GCTGAATCGTACGTTTGGAGATCTTAGCAGATAGGGTAAGTGTCAAGCTCTGTCGCTGTTTGATCTCATGACATGAACCGGAGCCGCCACCACATTGCGGATCAGCATTGTAAGATTTCGAAACCTTCAAGACGATGAAAATGATCATGGTGAGGTCGATGAAGTAATTCTATGTGACTTTGAACATTGAGATGTGATTGCATGTCACTTCCCAAAGCCTCGTGTGTGTGCCGAGGATGCCGGACTACACTGCTGACTCTCCAATTCATCGTTGTGCGTCGCATAATGCCGATTGTTGACATTGGGAACATTCACCAAATGCCAGCTATATCACTACCAATAAGAACAGGCAAGCTTGGGAGGTGTCGACAGGGACAGTGTGTTGTTGACGATGACGCATCAGTTATGACAAGCGGCATGGCCCGTACTGGTCCAAATTGCATGCTGATCCATTTAACGGTCAGTGAATCAGTCACACTAGCAATTTATAGGCACAAAGATAACATTCACATCAGCTCTATCACCTTGCAAACTCTCTTCATGTCTTCGCCTGCAGCCGTATCAATTGCCGATATACAGTCAGCAAACGTGGTGGCTGATTGTGGCGTCACAGCCCCATATCAACGCGTTGCCGGTCAACGCGCCCACGCTCAACTTGCGACCAGCAACTTACAGTGACGCAATACGACAACCACTGAACACAACTCAACGCGAACAATCGCAAAGTCATCGCGACTATCGTGGTTTTTGCTGCATAGTCATGGTATCACCCAACAAAGGTATTTCTCCTTATCGCATATCCTCGCTTCCGCTGACAATTCAGATCCCTACGACTTTCCAGCTTCCCCGTTAAAGATCCGAGACGCTATGACTGCGGAGACTCCTTCTAAGGAAGATGGCTTGGCCCATCGCGAGAAGCCCGACACTACCAAGGCTTCTCCTGCGTTGAGAACTGGCACTCCCCGTGGAACAACTCCTCGAGGCGTAACCCCACGAACTTCATCTCGAGTCGGCACACCCAAGGCTGGCACTCCGCGCGGAACCCCCAAAGTCAGCACTCCCAAGACAGAGACACCCGCGAAGAAGTTTGACCCCGTCGTCTCCAATTCGCCCGCCGAACACGCCGAAAAGAGTACAGAGAAGAATGGCGACAAGCTCAATGGGGACGAAGTGAACGGTGTTGAGGTCAACGGCGATGCGCCTAAACCAGCCAATCCCGGCTTTAAGGAAGACGTTGCGATTGACGAATTCATCGAGCATCGCGTTGACCCCGACAACTCGACCGTCGACATCAAAGTCAAATGGGAAGGCGGCGAATCCACCTGGGAATCGGAATGGAGTCTCCAAGAGCAGGTTCCCACGCTCGTCTACAAGTACTGGGAGAAGCTTGGCGGTCGAGAGGAGGCGACCCAGCTGGACGTTTACCACGTCTTCAAGATTCTCAAGTGTATCCCCGCCGCTGGCAGGAAGCGCAGCAGCTATCAGGTCCAGTGGGTCGGATACAAACAAAACGACTCTACCTGGGAGCAGGAGGATAAGCTGCGATTGATCGCACCGGGTGAGCTGGAGAAGTTTGAGGCTAAGCAGTTGGCTAGCGGCGCTTCTGCCGAGAAGCGCAAGACTGCACGTGGACCTGGACGACCTCGCAAGAAGCCGCGATACGACGACTGAAGGACAATTGGGGAGGTTGGAGAAAACAGTTGGCGAAGAGGGTGAAGCAAGTGAAGCGATTGTGGGCTATTTACACTCGACAAGGCGCACGCTTCGGCGAAGACGGCCAAAAGGACATGTAGACAGTATCTGGGCGCACACGATGGATAATGTATTTACTGGATCAAATAACACATTAATCAGTCCTTGTGTCCTCCTCCTTGAGCAATGGGTAATGCCCGTGATCCTCCTTGAACGACATGAGGGAAAATTGCGCAATGACAAAAACCCAGTACAGATTGTAGGCCAGGACGGATCCATACGTAGCAGAATTGTTCCATCCAACAACAGCATTCAGAATAGCCCATCCTCCACCACCGTTGAGCTGAGGATTACAGCACTGGATTGTCAGTAGGGTTCGCGAGACGTTGGAGGCTACTCACGTTAACGTGCCAGATACTCCGGTCGATATCGTACGATCCAGGACCATCTCCGAGTTCCGCGGCATCACCGCCGACAACCTTGTTCCACTGCTGTTGTTCAAAGAGCCAGATTGCGCGGGACAACAGACCTGCTGCGACGAGGTAGAGAAGACAGGTTGAAGCGACGAGGAAATATTGAAGTTTCGCAGATGAACCGCCCCTGACAAGTTAGACACGTTCGTCAATTGACTCACTGACTTACCGGTAGAGAGCATATCCGACAAGCCCGCCCAACATCAATCCCATGATAACGGGGAGAGGAACGGCAGAAGCGGGTGCGGAGAATGACACACCCGCAACGAAAACGATGCCTTCAATACCCTCACGAAGAACCGTGATGAAGGGTAATACGAACATGGCATACTTCTCAAAGAGATTAACCAACCACGCTCGTTTTCCCTGAGCCATTACCGGTGTCTCAATCGCCTTTGCCAACTTTGCCTTCCATTTATCCTCCATCTTACCCACGCGTAGCAATGCACCGCCCATGATGGTGATGATGATGGCTGAAATGAGCGAAAACACTCCTTCGTAGTAATACTCATGATCAGCCCAGGTATCGTTACCGAGGATATAAAATATCCCGATAATTATACCAGAGCCGATAAGACATAACGCAAGACCTGATGCCGTTCCAAGCCAGACCTAAAGAATCAGCTATTGTACGCTAAATTCACTCAGTCAAACGTACCTGTGTGCGCAAGGTCTTGTAAATCCCAGCATCGCGCTGTGATCCGTCAAGCGTCTGTTTCAAAAAAGCTAGCAGCACTGAGACAATAATAGCTGTCTCGAGGGTCTCCCGAAAGACGACGACGAACACGGGCACGGAGAATAAATCGAGCATTTTGACGATGTTGACGATGAAAGATCAGAAAGATCAGATAACAGAATTTCCGATAACCGCTTGCCAAGCTCGTCTCTGCCTCGACCGGGTTTAAACCAAGGGTCACACGATGTCCACTTTGATCGTATGACCGTCAAATCAAACCAGCCTAAAAAAATTCTGTCCAAAGAGAAGCCCTAAATCTTAAATAACCGCGCATAACACGACATTTTTTCTTCCGTCCGACGTCGGATTATCTGATTGATAAGATCCACTTCCCTCCTCCAACCTTCCATCCAGGTCCCCAGTCAACATGAGGATCTTGAGATTGGCTTTGTTGCCGGCGGCTTTAGCTGCGACGGTATCTTATGATTTTTCTATTGATTGGGTCAGAGCGAATCCAGATGGTGCGTTTGAGAGACCGACGATAGGAATTAATGGGGAGTGGCCGATACCGAGGATTGACGCGAGTGTTGGGGATACGGTTTTGGTTAATGTGAGGAATAATTTGGGGAATCAGTCTACGAGTTTGCATTTTCATGGGCTGTTTATGAATGGGTCGAATCATATGGATGGACCGTCGCAGGTTACGCAGTGTTCTATTCAGCCTGGGGAGTCGTTTCTCTACAACTTTACGGTATATCATCCTTTTGAGTATTATGATATGAAACGTACTGACTTTGTAGATTACTCAACCTGGAACATATTGGTATCACTCTCATACCGAAAGTCAATACCCCGATGGCCTTCGAGGTCCTCTTATCATTCACGACCCAAAGTCACCTTTCAAAGGAAAATACGATGAAGAACTTGTCATGACCCTCTCAGATTGGTATCACGATCAGATGCAGACTCTGATTCCAGAGTTTATGAGAAAAGGAAACCCAACTGGTGCAGAGCCCGTACCTCAAGCAGCTCTCATGAACGAGACTCAAGACCTCAAAGTACCTGTTCAAACAGGCAAGACGTACTTTTTGAGATTGGCGAATATTGGTGCTTTTGCTGGGCAGTATTTCTGGATTGAGGGACACAACTTGACGATTGTTGAAGTTGATGGTGCATACACGAAGCCAGCTCAGGCGAATATGGTTTATTTATCTGCTGGTCAACGATGCAGTGTGTTGATAACAACCAAGGAGGAGTCATCGGCAAACTTTCCTATTGTTGCAAGCATGGATACAGTGAGTTCGTTACTTTTTGATTTACAAAGCTAACTGTTTAGGATCTCTTTGATGTCCTTCCCGATGACCTCAACTGGAACGTCACAGGCTGGCTTGTATACGACGAACAAAAGCCTTTTCCCAAGCCATCTGTCGTTTATGAATTCGATCCTTATGATGATATGGATCTCGTGCCATATGATGAAATGGCAAGACTTCCTGAACCCAGCAGAAGCATCGAGCTGGATGTCATCATGGATAACCTTCGAGACGGTGCAAACTATGCTTTCTTCAACAACATCACCTACCAAGCTCCCAAGGTTCCGACACTTTATACTGCGTTGACGAGTGGGAAGCAAGCGACGAATCCTCAGATATACGGAACGTATACGCATAGCTTTGTGTTGGAGAGAGATGAGATTGTGCAGTTGGTGATCAACAACCGAGATGATGGACGACATCCATTTCACTTGCATGGTCATCACTTTCAGGTGTTGCATCGAAGTGTTGACGACGCAGGTGACTTTGATGGATCGGTGGAGTTTGCGGAGACACCGATGAGGCGAGATACAGTCGTTGTGAACGGAAATGGCAATGTGGTGCTGAGGTTCAAGGCTGATAACCCAGGTATGTCTCCCGAGTGAGTGTTGAATGAAGCTAATTGTCAGGTGTCTGGCTATTCCACTGCCATATCGAATGGCACGTCACATCCGGATTGATCGCGACATTCGTTGAAGATCCCCTCGCATTACAAGCTTCATTAAAACTCCCCCAGAATCACCTCGACGCATGCAAAGCAGGCGGTATTCCCACCGTCGGCAACGCAGCTGGAAACACTGATCTTCTCGACCTCACCGGCGAAAACGTTCCTCCACCACGTCTACCAGAAGGGTACGTCCCCCAATCCCTCGCGCGAGCTCACTAACAGTCACAGCTTCACCCTCAAAGGCATCCTCGCATTCGCATTCAGTACATTCATGGGTATTTTTGGTATCTACACAGTCGCATCCTACGGGATGAAGAAAGACAGACAGACTCCCGAGACAGCACCTCTCCTCGCAGAAGAAGAACCGCAACATTAGATTAGACAATAGATCGCCACCAACGCCTTGCACCCCCGTAACTGCTCATTTCTGCGCAGGTTGAGCAGCTGGATACTTCGAGACCTCCCTCAAATGATCAGGCGTGCCCAATGCTTCCATCTGTCCACCGCGTTCCTTGAATGCGACTTTGCGACCGCAGTTTTTGCAGAAATGACTAATGTTTGGCGCGCAATGACATGCGTATGGGAAAATGACACCGAAAAGAGTCGTGAAGAAGAGAGCGGTTGCGTAGATACTAATCTCAATTAGACAAGGTATATTTGATCAATTGGGGGGAAACGTACTGTGTCATTGAAGAAGCAGATTTCTTGACCTTTGTCTCAGCGCGCCGTTGACAAAAAGGACAATCCATCATATCAGCCTGATCAGCAAGCAAATGCAACGGCGTAACAGTTTCTCCCACAGGAACCTGCGGTGTTTGCTGCGCTGGAATGACCATTGACTGATGCCCCGCGTACTGCTGCTGGGCAAGAGCAGGATGCTGCAAGATCGGCGGCGATTGCGTACCGTCCCAGTTCATTATACTATCCGGCGCGGGAGAAACAGTCGATACGGGGTTATATTCGCTCGCGGGTGGAGGACTCATTTGTGCTGGGCTCGTTTGCTCGGTGACGACTTCGGGGAGGTTATCGTCGTTAATTTTCGGTTGTCTATTCTGCTGTCAGCGTGGCGTAAGATTCGGGGGAGTGTTAGCGTACTCAATTGCGATTTTCTCGTCTTTGGGGGATTCAGCGTTTGCTGTGTATTTTGGAGGCGAGATTGTATCCGCGTTTGTTGTTTCTGGCGATACGGTCGACATTTTGACGGTTTGACTGAGGCTGTGAGAAGTTGAGGCTGTGAGAAGTTGAGGCTGTGAGAAGTTGAGGCTGTGAGAAGTTGAGGCCGTGAAAGAGTTGAGATTGGGACTGGAGAAAGACGAGACGAGACACAGCTCGCATTCAAGAGTCCGAGGGAAGATTAAACAAAATACGTAAGCTGGGGACCCTGGTTATTAGCTTGATCCTTACGAGGCGCTTTCGTTTCAGCGGCTGATCCCCGGACTAGACAGTTAAATGACCGAAAAAGATTTAATTAGCTCTAAATTACTGTAGGAGTTTCCATTCTGATTGCTTCATGATCAGCATTGATTTGCGGCTTCGAGTAAAGAGTTGGATATCTTTGCATCGTTGAGTGCTAGAGCGCCAAGTTTTGGAGACATCTCGCATCAAAAAGGGCCTGACCCGCCGCTGGATTGGCGATTGGTGGTTGTTGCAACCTTGTTTGAGCCTTAGTGCTTATTCTGCAGGGATGATCACTGAGCTAGTGGAATTCCGTATCCGTTGGATATTATCGATAACAAGCTGAGTTGATTGATTGCAACAACATAGGGCTGAGATTGTTGAACCGCTTGAACATGCTCTACCGCTTCAAGCTATGTATAGTTCATCATTTCAAAATGGCTTCTCTGTGGATCAGTAAAGATTTGTGTTCATGTCCTCAACGATATCGAGGCTGTTGCCTTCATTTAGACTTGCATGTGGCTTTCAGCTCTTAGGCAGGCTGTGGTTTTCTCAACCAACAGCATCCATCGGTTGTCACATGGAGGCCGGTTTTCGGACAGTTTCAGCCTCTTGTGTAACACATAAGAGAAAACTGACCAACGAAGACTAAGGACAGCCATGCAGTTGGACGCATGTCTCTTTAAGAATGTGACTCCTGGGGATGAGAACCTCCGGGTAGAAAGAATAAGCAACGCAAAGAGTACCTAATTTCAACACAAACTTCCCAAGTACTCTTGTCCCTCAGACTCGGTTCTTAGTGACTAGTACTGCAATGGAGGCTCAAATACAAGAGGCCCCCAACTGGACACAGGCTGCCAGCATCTTCAAACCTTTTTATCATTTTACATATAATTCATTTTCATTATGGACGAAACTACGCGACTGGAGTTGAAAAGCCTCATCTCAGCGACTGGGTCACGGGTATCTGAAAATGCTTCCAACCTACCCTCTGCTGGTATTGGAGGGTCACTTCGGCAATCTTCGCCGTCTTGGTTCAGGAGAGTGGGCTTAGCTGTGCCACTTCTTCTCATCCCTATCGCATATGCAGGTAAGCTACAGGAGTCAGAGAAGCACAAAAGTTCACCGCACAATAGTTCTCCTTGCCATGATGGGCTATCTACACGGAAAGAAACAGAGCTCTTTCGGTGATACAGTACTCGAGGTTCTCAGCGTTGCTTCCACCTTGTGGCCAATCTTATTCGCTGCCGTCCTCGGACCATTACTCAAATCCATCGCGCTCTTCCGTGCTGAACGAGGATCAACACTAGGCTCCCTGGAGTTCCTATTGACCAGCCAGACCACAGCTTCTGCCCTGAAAAACATTCTCACGATGGGATGGATCGGCAGTTGGGCTATAGGCGTCATTGCAATTTGGTCGCTGAGTCCTTTAGGAGGTCAGGCCGCACTCCGATCATTAGGGCTTCAGCAAAATCCCATTTTTACAAAAACACAATCAACATACTACCTTGGCAGCAACAGAAGTCAGATTTACCAGTACTACCGTGCTGGAGCGAGTGTGTTCTTCGGAGCATCGGCTGGGGCATCCCTTATTTCAGATATGAGAACCGTTCTTTCTACCTCGTTTTCGACACAGGATATCCTAGTTTCCCATGCCAACACGAGTAGTCCACACTACAACGAGACCATTATTGACCTCGGGGGCAAGTGGGAAGCATCTCGCAGTGGGTGCAGAGATCTATGGCGAAATGTTCGAATTCCCTTTCTGGAACTCCTACCAGGATACGATAGCGACAACCCGGATACTTGGGTATCTGTCCCTGAGGATGAAATCGTCCCTTACGCTTCACTAATTGGACTTCCGATCAGAGGTGGCTCGTTTGAGAGACCAGGAAACTCAAGCATGACGGTCCATTTCCATTATCAGACCCTTTCGTGTGGGAAAGCCTTCAATGGGAGCGAATGGGTCAGGAACGGTTCCACGGCGCTATGGTATCACAACACCAGTATAAGCGTTCCTCTAAGATAACAATACATGGGTGTATCAGCACCGAACATGGGATACCCAAATATCTGGTTCGACTTCCCGAACAGTTCAACGCTCACAGAACATTTCACAGCAATGTTTGATACGGAACCACAGTCAAAATTGCAGCTTGTAATGGGAGGCATATGTACTGATGCTGCATACCAAACTACACAGATGCTCAGACTTTGCGATATCAGCACTTCGTATATCGACATGGAAGTTGGGTGCACTAGAGCAACAGTTGATGCTGACCTCGTATGTCAATCCAAACGGGCTAGGCATACGCCATCATACCCTGTCAAAGGCAACTTGACAGCACTTTCAAGCTTGAGGTTATCTCAGGGAATTCTGCGAGAGCTGCCATTCACAGGTGCCAGCCATCATGTTGAGGAACCCAGCACCCTCGAGATGTATCTTAGGGACCCATTGGGAGTCTTCCAGCGTATTCGTGGAGGATACATGGATGATCCGAAGACTACAACCAAACTGGGATGCTTTACCTCTCTTCTACCAGTGATTCTTGAGCAGAGACTCGCAACCGTTCTCAACACAATCACTATGTCAACGTACGAGGTGAATGTGTTGACTGGCGGCAAGGGACTGTCTCTTGATGGAGGACCAGTGCTCTGGCAGAATACTACAGCAACATGGACGGAATTCGACAAGGATACATACAAGTTGAATAAGCCGTGGTTTGTTACGACCATTATTTAGACGGGAATATTATTCATTTGCACTCTTGGCAACATTAGTATCCGTAAACGCATCAAAGCTCCGGACTTTCCAGACAGCGTGGTTGGTTTGACGAGAGATTCTCTATTTATAGATGTACCTCAAGATGGAAGTGGAAAGAGTGGTTCCGATCGTCTTGAATCGATCAAGAATGTCAAGGTTCGGATTTGTGATGTTAATCCAGAGCGAGAGGTTGGAAAGATCGCTTTGACGACTGAACTGAATGGTCCAATGCTGAGATGGGAAAGACGCTATGCCTAGCTTTAATTGTGCAAGATTTATCACAATAATGTTGAATTTGACATGTGAAAACATCTTGCTGGCTGACGGGTTGTCCAAGAGCACATTGCTTCAGAAGGTCAAAGTGAGTTGACTAGTGTGCACTCGGATCGATGGCAACCTAACTTGTCGAAAGGCGTAGGGAATAGCACTGCACTTGGAAAGTTCTTGATCTCCCCACCCAATTATTATTGTGTATCACTCCAAAGTAAAGCATGTCTTGCATAACTGTCGTGTCCATGACCAAAGTTCCTGGCTAAAGTGAAAAGATCAGTGAGACATGCATGCCGGCCCGCCTCATCCGCCTGTCAATTTCCCGGAAAAGCTACCGACAGCATCAAATCGCTGCAATTCTTTGCTCATTGGAGCCCGCTTGAATGTGCGACATACAGTGCATTCACAGCATGCCTGTTGCTCCAGAAGAGGCAGCTCAATCGTAACCAAGACTCGGTGTATGTGACAAGAGAGAAGAGACAAGAAAAGCAGCCCAATAGCATCGTTTTTAGTCAAGGCTCGCATGAATGAAGACCGCAAAAGAGGCGAAAGCACATGAAGCATCAAGTGAGGCCCAGTCCCGATTGCTACCGGTAGTGACCGGCCCACGAGCCTGGACTATGCAGCATATCTCGGCCTCATGCGAGAACGACCACCCACCAATTGCCTGTACCTGAGTCGATGTATGACACATCCAATCGAGTTAGTTGAGGAGGGACTTCGACACACGAACGCGGGGTTGTGAGACATGATAGATTTGCCGAAGTTGAATTGGCGAATAATTTGACGGCATATCAATGTGTTGCACACGCAATTGCTTCTGATGTTGCCAAAGGAGAGACAGAAAGGACCGATTGAACTCTGGAGATGGAAGGTAAAGAGGAAAGAGTGAACAGGCACTATCAAAGTTGATAGAGTTGAGTAGAGCATGGGGGCAGGCCCGATGAGTATAAATCTCCCAACCCTCATGTCGAGAGAACAGACAGACTCATCATCATCCATCACTTCACCTCAAACACCTTCCTTAGAAACCTATCATCATGCCTTCTGGTCTCCCCACAGCTCCTGATACTGAGATCGGCTTTCAGCCGCCTCCTCCCTCAAAGGGTCCCCTGGACAAGATACGCAAAGGTCTCGTCGGTATCATTCCCTTGCCTGAACTTGGCGAGAAACCTGTCATATACAACCCTGTCATCATCGTTCTCACAGGCTACCTTGAGACCATTAAGCCCGGTGCTCTTGATGAAGCTGTCCACTCTGCATACCAGCAAATTCCACAGTTCATGGACAAGCTGAACATCAGCGATGCTCGATCCTTCTTGGACTTTGCCAATGATCTCCTAAAGTGGGTGCCTCATGAGAACTATGAAGGCAAGGATATCTATGATATTCTCTGCATGTTCTACTTTATCATCGACCAACCCCCTCTGGCGAACTTGCAGACTGCCATCTCGCCCGACCAGGTCGGTCAGCCACTCACTTGGCTCTCCTCCTGGATCGTTGTCTATGCGCAGCTGATTGGCCTGTTCATGGACTCCCCTGCGTCACTCACGAAAGAGTCTCTTGAGAGCTTCAGTCAGAAGAACTCACCCAAGTACAACTTTGACGAAGCTTTGGTTCCAGAGGGTGGTTTCCGCACCTTCAATCAGTTCTTTTCTCGCCATCTCAAGCCTGGTATGCGACCTATTGCAGAGCCAAGTAATGACCGTGTCATTGTGTATCCAGCCGACTGCACGTACGACAATTCGGTCGCCAACCAGAATATTGTGAATATTGAGTCTGATGGAGTGATAATGATCAAGAACCTCCCCTGGACCATCTCGTCGCTTCTTCAGGGGAGTGAATACGCCGATGAGTTCCATGGTGGTGTCTGGATGCATGCCTTCCTCAACACCTTCAACTACCATCGTCAACACGCACCTGTTGCTGGTGAGGTCCTCGAAGCCAAGAACATTCAAGGCGCCGCATACATGGAGGTCAACTCCAAGTGTGAGCCCATGCGTGTTATGTGCGGCCCAGATGCGCCTGACACTCCAGGATATCAGTTCCTGCAGACACGTGGAATGATCATCATCGACAATCCCGTGCTGGGTAAGGTTGCTGTACTTCCTATTGGCATGGCACAAGTTTCGTCCGTCAAGATAACAATTCAGAAGGGTGACCGAGTGGAGAAAGGACAAGAAATTTCTTACTTCCAGTTTGGAGGATCAGATGTCATTTGTGTGTTCCAGCCTAAGGCGGGGTTGAGGGTTGAAGATTTCGTTGCTTCGTCTAACAACACGTACTCCAAGTATGGTACCATCTTGGCAAGGGCTCCCCAGAAGTGAGATGGGTCGGTGTTAGCACGGAATGAAGTTGTTGCGGTTATGATGATACTCGCCAATAAACAAGACTGTCATTGACCTTCCTTTAATCATGTGACATTGCGAGTACATGAAATGCGGCCTGCTTTTCCAAGACATGTTATGCGGTTCTGGCCTGTTTAAGTCTAATGGCAGAGTTGAATCACCACCCCAACACTTTCGACTGCAGATCTGGGTTCCATATTTTCTTAGAGACTGTACTCTTGTGGACCTGTTCATGGATATCAAATGAAAGCAGGTAGGTATCTCAGGCAGTGTCAGTTATGGCATAAATCCTGACTTGGACCACGGAGCTAAATTCGAAGATGTTCAATTTTTTCATGATGCTTAAATAAACTTGGGATACCTTTAGCATGCTGTTAGACTACTGGTAGTGATTTCTCGCACCCAGGCAAAGGCCGCAAATGTCCTCTGCACCCCCGCACTCAAGCATCTTGCGAGACCCGAATGATCTTGAAAAGGAAACACTTGCGTTCCAGACCGACTGTTTTTGCGGTCTTTACCTGTACAGGATGGCTGTGGCTAGCTGAAGAACCACTAGTCTCCTGCAACTGAGTGGATTGTCTTGGATGACGAATTCAATCGATGCGATAGGCGGTTTGACCGTATATCAATTGATATATCAACTTGTTGAGGTCAAAGCATAATTAGATGACTACTTACTTACTTATACAGAACAATTTTCTCTCAGAGAGACACCTTCAGTTTCCTGACCAATTTCTTCTACTCACTACCGTATTTCTACCATGGCCGATCCGTCCCACTTCACTGATCCCTTTTGGGAACCCCAGGATCAGATCCCTGCTGAATCCGATGCTCAACCCCAAGCTAGCCCCTACAAAACTGCCAATCTTCTATGCTCGCTCTCATCCTCTTGGGAGACTACCCCCGTTGGGATTGAATTTGTCGTGGGAGGGCTGGGTACCATCGCTGCCAAAGCCACTTCCCCCGAAGAAGGTGTAACATTTACCATTCGCCCCCAGGACCGGAAGAAACAGCCAACTCTGAAGCTTGAAATCACAAAGACCGACTGCGTCTTATCAAAGAAAGAGAAGGATGCAGATAAGTTTGTCAGATATGATGAAAAGCTGAAGTTTGAGCCTGGCGAGGAGAGGAACAAGTTTAATGATGTTGTCATGTTTCCGAAAGGAAAGGCTTCGGCTTTGCTTGACACATTGACCAAGAAGGCGACTTATTGGATCTCTGTTGACAGAAGTAACGCTCGAATTCGGTATGGTCAGCATCTGGTCAACAATTCCATGACTTTTATGGAGATCCAGTTTGTCAAAGAGAAAGCTGCCTGGATGGATAACCTCGTTTCTACTGAAGTCGAGCAAGATGGTTCGCCGATTTCGAACAAAGATATTGTGTTCAAGCCGCAGCCCGTCACGGTTGATCTCCCACCTGTGGTGATCCCCGAATCGGAAATGACTCTAGAGATACTGGAGTCACTATCGGCCATGACTTTCGCCAATCTCCCCAAGGCCTGCCAGAAGTTGTATCACAATATTTCTGGTGCCAAGATCACGGCTAGACCGTCTTCATTCCCCCAGCTTCCTGAAGCTATAGACGAGAGCTGCAGGGACGAGAAGAAGTACTGTGGTAATATACTGAAGGGAAAAGACACTTTTGGAGATCCCCTTGAGACATATCTCCGTATCACGATTGGTGATAACCTGGTATGTTCTTCCTGTTTTGCCAGTTCGCGACTAACATCAGCAGGCCGATTCACCTGGTATTCCCTACGTAATGGAGATCTGGCCCCCAGGCCACAAATCACCCATCCACCAACACGGCGACGCTTCAGCAGTGATCAGAGTCCTCTACGGCAAGATCCAAGTTTCTTGGTTCGACAAGGTCGAGGAGGGAAGTCCGTCACAGCTGATTGGCAACCCAGTCATTCTTGAAGAAGGCAAGGTTACTTGGCTAGGCAAAGATCAGTATCAAGTTCATCAGCTTGAGAATACCTCGGATACTGTCTGTATCACTCTTCAGTGCTATCAGTTCGACGATGATGATAGGATTCATGATGAGGCGTTTTATTGGAAGGACGAGGAGGGGCATAGGAGGAAGTTTATTCCGAATAGTGATAGGTCTTATGGGCAGTTTGTGCAGGAGGTCAAGGCTGAATGGGATAAGTCACACTGATATGCTAGCATTTAGGGTTATAGCTAAGTTCAATCTTGTTGCTAATCTTGTCAGATCTCCTATCAACACTCTTCTATCCTAAACAGTCTTGGGGCCATGTATTTGCGCGAATGGTGTGAGTCGTTTCCCAGACTCTGCTCACGGAACAATAGAGTTAAGGAAATCCGCATAAGGTTGCTGTGATACACTACCCTCTTTGAGTGGCGTTGTTGTGTGCAAAAGAGCAGCTCTGTGACAATTCAGAAATGCGTTGGTCGCAGTAGAACTCAAAGAGCGGATCTCGAAGTTTTTCTTGTCCACCTCGCCTGCGTTCCAGGTCAAGCTGGAATCAAACCGCGCATAGATGCGATATCCACTCCCATCGAGCTTCTTCACAAGATAGTCCGAGAAGTAAGCGCGCGAAGTGCCTGGGCCGGTCGCCAACTTCTTCATATCAACCAAGTCGGACGGAGCATCTAAAAAGTATTCTCTGTCATACGGTTGTGGAAGCTTGCCGATCAAGACGCTCGGAGTATCCATAATGCCGTTCAGTTTAAGCGGAGCGGACTTGACGAATTCGTGAGTGTCGGCGAAGAATATCTGGGCAAGGGCAGAGTCTACTCCCCAGCAAGTGTTCCAATTGGGCGCTCCTGAACCAGTTGCAAAATCTGTGATATTCTCCGTAGAGTTCACCAACTGGTAAGCGGGTTTGTTCACCTTGTTGGACAAACTGCCAGTTTGGGCAGCACCATTGATGACGAGCTGTCGGGTGATGAACTGGACCCATCTGAAGTCGTCGTACTTGGAATCATCCTTGAGAATGAGTGCGAAGCCGCCGTATTTCTGTTTGTCCTCGGGGATAAATAGGTTACTGGCCAGGACGGCGGTCCCAGTGCCGTCAATGCTGGTTAGTTTAGCATTGACTGCATTCTCTGCTGGAGGGGGGTCTGAAACGTCGTCGGCGACAAGTTCGGCAAACTTGGTGCCATATAGTGGTGTTTGGTCGGTCATGGCTTTGCTGACTTGGGTTTCTGAGTGAGTCTGTTGCAATTTGGGTTGATGAAAGCGCACGGTTGAAGGGCGAGTGTCTTGGGTTTGGGGAGAGATGAGTGAACTCGTTGGAACCTAGCCTTTATTTATCTTTCCATGAATGCAGGTTGACAGCATGTGATGATATGCAGTCATACTTCTTCAGAAGTATGGCTTTACAGCCACTGTTTAATGGTGTGATGGAGCTGAAAACCCAAGACCAATGAGAAATCGCAAAAACCTGTGACATGCTACTCTATGGCTTACTTCAGCGGAGGAAACTTATCACGAGAGCCTTCCAAATGCTTAAAGAGAGCAGTGCGTGGTTACATTCATGACAATATTTACGTAAGCGGTGTTCTGAATATGACTTATGAAGGTGAGCTGTCATTCGACTCTTTTGACTTTTGTTTATGACTGCAAGAAACTGAATTCATGATTCTTAGATTACGATGAGGAGAGTAAGCGGTATCATGTGAAGGCTGAGAGAGTGAGCCCAGCTGATCCTTTTCATTCTGGTGGTCAGACAAAGGGCCGAGACAGCAACTCTGACCAAGCCAAAACAGTATGCTTCTTTTAAAGCACATATGCTGGTTGATCAATTGTGCTCTATGGAATTCTAACACTCGGACTGTACACAATGATTATTTGTGAGCTTCTCCACATGGGATGGTCACTCAATCTGAAATGATATGACATGTTCATTGCAACACCAACCCTAGGGATGGGTAGTTATGATGTTGGTGTAGAGTTGCCAGAATCGAGCGTTTAACAAATCTCTTCTCGTTTACTTATCATAAAAATAACATGGGCAGTATTATTGCTCATTAGATTCTTCTATATAGCATTATTTTGAAAATCCAATACATTTAAGCAGATTATTGTTAATTTAGGGTTGAGATGCTTTAGTACTGGAATGCTTAGAACACATAGAGATATATAAAGATAAAGCACTAAAGAACTGGAGAAATTCTGGAATACTAATTAAATTGATTCACTATACTACTTTAAATCTCTAGATTGAATATTTCATCTGGCACAATTAATTGCATGTGAATACCCAACGGAATTGTTCAAGATATGTTTGATAGTACTGAAGCTTGATGTTGATAGACTCACCCTTACTGAACAGTCAAGGGCGTCATTTGGGGTGAGGAGTTATCGATGATGGTTTCAATGATCTTGGGATGGAAGAAGTACTGAACATCCCCAGTCTGCCCAGGCATGGGCGCCATCTTGCGGCTGATACCGAGTTTCATCGTGTGATCTCTGTCCAGGTCTCTGGGGTCAATGACCTGGCCGTCAACATGTATTCAGCAGTCAGACAGTCAAATTCTTCTATCTCAACAACAATCAATGTTGTTACTTACAGTCTGAACACGCCACTTCAAGTTCTTGATGAGGAATGGCTCAACATCCTCTTCGCCCATACTACCCAACTGCCCAATATTGGCATAGTCCAGTAACAGCGACGTAATGGGAGTCGTGCTAGTAATGAGCTGAGCTTGCTGCTCCTGGCTTGCGCAGTTATCGCAAACCTCGGTGCTCGAAGTGAAGTAGAATGGGGATGCTACATTGGGTTAGGATCGGAGCACCATTGGATGTATATGAGTTATGGGTCTACAAAGAGGATCGGGATTTTGTTTCTTGGGCCGGTTTTTCCCTTCCTCGGATCTCATGGACCTCATAGGAAAGCCATGGACTTTTTACAATGAACCTCCTTTGCGAACCTCTTAACTAGTCTCTTCCATCACTTTATCAGTTGGCGGTATCACGGCTGAGGATCCTCACCAACCACTGGGATATCTGGCCTAAGTCGATGCAGGCGACGCTGATGATACTGCCAATCACATGACCTTTGTAGCGAAAGCCAAGTTTAACTTAGCAGCAAGGTTCAGCGCGTACTCCGTACTCCGTATTCCGTATGGCCCCACCATCATCAACCATGACTCCGCGCTAAACCTTTTCTGGTGTTTTGGAGCGCTGCGCACCTTCCTCCTACTTGATGGTATATAACCAGGAGGGACTCGACGCATGCGACTTCTCACGATGTCGACCAGCAAAAGCCATGGATGCAGACAATGATTTTGGCCCGCAGCGAGCGGGCGTGTTCGATTTCACGATTCTTTTTGAACAGAGTATTTTATCTCTTCTCCCGACTGGTCTGTTTATCTTGTTTGTACCGCTGAGACTCTATGTACTCTGGAACAATGAAAGGGTCACCAGATCTGGGCCTCTGTTATGGGCGAAAATGGTAAGCAATCACTTGTTCTTGCTACTTGTGCTTACAACTCAGGTCATGATTGCTAGTTATGCCTGCCTCCAAACCGCTTTACTTGTTCTCTGGTGCCGAAAAAATTCGACAAAAACAGCAATTGCTGAGCCCGTCGTTGGCTTGATCGAATCTTTTGCACTTGCCGCTCTGTCGTTCGTCGAACACCGAAACTCCAGGAAGCCATCCAAGTTGATCGGGACATTTATTGTCATCACCATCATCCTCGACATTGCCCTTGTCCGAACCTTTTGGATACGATCGATGCGAAGTATTGCAAGTGTTTTCACTGCCTTCTTTGCGATCAAGACAATCCTCTTGATCCTTGAGGAAACGCCAAAGACGCGACTCGACGAGAAAGAAAATACAAACGAGACGTCGTCGGGGGTGGTCAACAGAAGCTTCTTTTGGTGGTTGAACGGACTCTTTCTTCAAGGGCACCGGACCATTCTTGAAACTGAGGACCTGCAGGCGATAGACTCAAAGTTTGACACAGACCATGTATCGGCGCCGTTAGAGAAACAATGGGGACGAGGTAAGCCCAGACTCTTAAAATGCACTTTCCTCGCATACAAGTGGCAATTCGCTGCCGGTATCATCCCTCGACTCCTCCACAGCGGCTTCAACTTTGCGCAACCTTTCCTCATTCAATCCGTCATCGTGCTTGTCAGCAAAAAGGAAATGTCAGTTCAAATTTCCAGCGGGCTCATTGGAGCAACAGTCCTTATCTACCTCGGCCTTGCTATTTCTGGCGCGTGGCACAAACACATGTCGTACCAGCTGGTTACTATGTACAGAGGTGGATTGGTGTCGCTGATCTTCAAGAAGACGCTCAAGCTCAAGACTACGTCCATAAAAGACTCTGCACCTGTCACACTCATGACCGCCGACGTCGAGACTATCGTGGCAGCAGGAGCCTCGGTTCATGACATGTGGGCAAACATGCTTGAACTTCCTGTGGGGATTTATTTGCTTTATCGTCAAGTTGGGAAGCCAAGCCTACTTGTGCTGGTTCCAACCGTCAGTGAGTACTCTATGCAGCGATTGATCAAGCTAACGATCAAGTCACAACGATCCTCAGCGGCATCATCTCTCCAGCGATGGAGCCAGCGACAGTGAAATGGAATGAAGCTATTCAGAAGCGAGTTGGTGAAACATCAAGCATGCTCAATCAAATGAAAGGCATCAAAATGATGGGTTTGACAGATTTCATTCTTCAAATGCTACAGGACTTGAGAGTCAAAGAGCTCAAAGTATCCGCCAAGTTCCGATGGCTGCTCGTCCACTTCAACGCCCTTGGTGAGTCGCCTCATGATTGTGTTACATCGCTAACTGTGCAGCTATGATCTCTGCCCAGTTAACTCCGGTGGTTGTCATTATGTCTGCCATTTATTGGACCAAATCAGATGAAGGTCTGAGTGTCGCAGAGGCGTTCACATCGCTGTCCCTGATCTCTCTCGTGACTCAACCACTGGTCATGATTCTGGTATCCTTGATGCAAATAGCCGGTGTTGTCGGGGGCTGTGGCAGGATTCAAGCGTTTTTGCTCCTGGATGAGCAGGCTGTTGCTAGGGAGACAGTCGATGTTGATGCTGTGACTATGCAGAACGCCAGCTTTCAGACGCCCGACGGAAATTCTTTGCTCGCCGATATAAACCTCCGCATCTCGCCCGGGACACTAAATATGCTCGTTGGCAAGGTAGGCAGCGGAAAGTCATCGCTTCTGAGAGCGATCATCGGCGAACTTATACCAGCAGAGGGGACGGTCAAGGCCGAGGACTCTCTTGCGTATTGCGACCAGGTACCATGGCTCCGCAACATCACAATTCGAGACAACATCGCTGGACTGTCGCCGTTGGACGAGAAGTGGATGTCAACAGTAGTTCATGCTTGTGCTTTGGAAGAGGATCTCCATCAACTGCCCCAAGGTCAAGAGACAACTGTTGGTTCTGCCGGAGTGGCTTTAAGTGGTGGCCAAAAGCAAAGGGTTGCCCTTGCACGAGCTGTCTACTCGCGAAAGAAGCTCATTATACTTGATGATATCTTCAGCAGCCTTGACAAAACGACTGCAGATACAGTCTTCCACCGCCTTATGGGGACTGATGGTTTGCTTCGGACAAGCACTGTTGTCTTGGTAACCAGTAACGGTATGAGCACTCCCTGTTCGAAGCTTTTCTAACAGTTTAGTTCACTATCTCCCATTCGCGGATTTCGTTACTGTGGTTCAAGATAGTCGTATCACCCGCAATCAAGTTCCATACTCTCAACTTAAATCCACCGAAACTCTAAACACTATCGCACCAATCGAAACTCAGGAACCTACACAAAAGGACATAGTCATAGTTTCTCCAAAGAAGGAAATTGACTTGGCTCGGAAGACTGGGGATACAGATTGCTACAAGATATATGTCAGGTCAATGGGTTGGAAAGTCATTAGCATCATCTTTCCAGCTTCAGTGATTGGCGCCGTGCTTGAAGCCATGCCTCGTGAGTATTGTGCTCGTCATTCAGACGAAGCTAACGATATAGAAATCTGGTTACGAATATGGACGGAAAAAGGCGAAGGCTCGAAGGATGCCCATTATGCAGGAGGATATATAGGACTAGTCGTTGCTTCTATGGTCCTGGCACTCCTGAATATCGAGTAAGTGAACCGTCTATAGAGGTACCTTGCTGATTATTAGTTACTTTCTCATTGTTGGCGTCGAAAGATCGTCGAACAACCTCCACGAGCAGCTTTTGAACTCTGTCTGCAGGTGCGTACGCCGTCTAGTGTTGGGATCGTCAGAGATGTCGAGGTGTCCGTATCTAATCTAGGTTCGATAGAGCCCCTTTGCATTTCTTTACATCAACAGAAAGTGGTAGTATCCTGAACCGGTAGGTAACAACCCAGTTTCAAGGACTTTACTGATCCAAGTAGCTTCAGCCAGGACATGACACTCATCGATATGTCTCTGCCGCTAGCGTTCTACCTGACGCTCGATTGTAAGCACTTCCCCACTATGAGACTCGGCTAACCCTCCCAGTGACCTTGCGATGTCTGGTTCAGGTTGGTGTGGTAGCATCGGGAGCGAGTTACTTTGGCGCTTTTCTCCCCATTTCATTCTTGGCTCTGTATCTCATCCAAAAGTATTACCTGCGCACCTCGCGACAGATGAGACTATTGGATCTGGAAGCCAAGGCACCACTCTACACACAGTTCACAGAGATTACAGCTGGACTAGCAACTATCCGCTCATTTGGATGGACAGATGAGTTTCTGAATGAAAGCTGTCGTATGCTTAACACATCACAGAAACCTTTCTACCTGATGTTTTGCATTCAGAGATGGTTGGAACTGGTACTTGATCTCTTTGTTGCTGGGATGGCCATCTTGCTAGTCACAATTGCGCTACGAATCCCCGGCACCACTAGCGAGGGCGCTATTGGGCTCGCGATGGTCAACCTGCTGGGGCTGAATCTGACACTAACAACGGTGATTGATCAATGGACGACTCTGGAGACGTCACTTGGAGCTATTGCCAGGTTAAAATCGTTCATCAGCAACACCCCAAACGAGAATAAGCAGGGTGAGATTGAAGTCCCTGATAATTGGCCAGGGGGCAGAATCGTGTTTGATGAAGTAACTGCGTCGTACAGGTACGTGAGAGTCTGTTCTGGGAGTTTCGACTAACAACCTAGTGATGAATCGCAACCTGTTCTTCGCGATGTTTCTCTTGCTATTGAAGCTGGGCAAAAGGTCTACATATGTGGACGTACTGGAAGGTAGTGACCAAACTCAATTGGTGAACTAGCTGACATCTCAGTGGCAAATCATCTTTGATTCTTTCAATTCTACGTCTACTCGAACTACGATCGGGAAGCATTCAGATCGATGACAAGGACCTGGCATCATTACCGCGTCAACACATCCGATCCCAGATAACAACCATCCCTCAAGATCCTGTGAACCTTTCAGGCACAGTCCGGCAGAATCTCGACCCAGAGGCCCTCATCCAAGCAGATGAAATCTTCATTCAAGCTTTGAAAAAGACTACCCTATGGGCAACCATTGACACGCGTGGCGGACTTGATGCTGATCTGAGTGAGCTTGGATTTTCGGTCGGGCAGCGTCAATTGTTTTGTCTCGCAAGAGCCTTACTCTCACACTCAAAGATAGTTCTACTCGATGAACCGACGAGCAGTGTTGACAACGCTACCGACAAAGACGTACGACATATCATTCGGGAGGTTATGCAAGGCCGAACAGTCATTGAAGTCACGCATCGTCTTGATTATGTGACAGACTTTGATCTCGCCGTTGTCATGAAGGATGGGCGCATAATAGAGACTGGTGGCCCAAGGGAGTTACTCGCCAAGAACTCGGCTTTGAAGGCGTTGCGGGGATGAACGCATCACTCCACTCACCATGACATATCACTGTTCTTATATATATCTCATCTCATCTATTGCATATTAAATCTATTATACTTTTGTCTATCCTTATCCCAATCTAATCGCTCTTTGAAGGCCACTTTATCCTTCGCTCTGCCCTCACATACAGGTTATTGGGTCGAATCAACTGAAACATTGGATCATACTCAACAGGTCCATCCTGTGCAAGACTGAACTTGTATCGATACACCAACTTGGGCAGGAAGACCTTGACTTCTTGGAGAGCAAAGTTGAATCCAACGCACATACGAGGTCCAGTGGCGAAAGGAATGTATGAAGCGTTGGGTCGGTTTTTGACACGCTCGGTGTCCCATCGATCAGGATCAAACAGAGCTGGGTTGTCCCAAATCTTGGTGTTATTGTGAATGTGGTGAAGGGCGGGAATGACGATAGAGTCCTTGGGAAGCTTATAGCCACCAGGGAGAATCATGTCGACGGATGCTGTTCGTGCAGGTTGGTATGAAGGGTTGTGTCGTCGTTGTGTCTCCTTGATGTATTTGTCAAGGAAGGTAAGTTTGTTGGTCAGATCAGCAGTGATTTGAGTGTTCTCATCAAAGCCGTTGTCGACCATCTCTTGGAGAAGTCTCTCTTGCATGCCGGGGTAAGCGACAAGGCCGTACAGCAGCCACGACAGAAGAGAACTGGTTGTTGTGAAACCGGCACCAGTGGCAACAACAAGAGGCTCCATGATGCGTTCACGAGGAAGCTTGTTGCCCTTGCTGTCGCTAGCACGAAGGACGTAATCAACCATGTTCTCGGCTTGGACAGCAGCATCTTGCAATTCCAAGTCTCCCTCACCCTTGGAAGCGTTCTCAACAGACTCCTTCATCATCATTTCCATGTGAGCACGAGCGTCACGAAGACGTTGAGGGTCACCAAATGGGAGATTCTTGTACCAGCTGCCCATGGAAGTGATCTTCTTGTTGAGTTCCAGAGATTGCGCAATTCTCATGACCATTGCATGAGGTCGTGCATCAACAGAGGTAAAGTGTTGGAAGTCCATGCCAAGCACCAACTTGCCGAAGGCCTGAGATCCAAGCTTCAACATGTAGGGGTACACATTCCAAGCCTCGTCGCGCTCATCAAGCTCGTCAAAAACCTTGAATGCATCCTCAACAGTCTTTTGCATGGTTGGGGCATAGTGTCGCACAGCCTTGGGACCAAGAGCTGGAGGCAAAAACTTGTGCACCTCTTTCCACTCTTCTGTATCAGTGTCACCAAGGAAAACACCGGCCTCCTTGTTCTTGATGGGATGCAGAGGGTGACCCTCAATGATGCGCTTGGAGAAGAAGTCTGTCTCGCCGAAAACAATGTTGGCCAGCTTGGGATCATTTGTGTGATAAACGGTGCTACCCATGTTGGTGGTCTTGAAGAGAGGGCCATATTTCTCAAATAACCGTTGATGGTTTCCGAGATGGTCAGGGTACACTTCGAAATAGTTGCCTACAAGGGGCAGACCTTTTGGGCCTGGAACCTCACGAACAGCCTTTCCATCGATGGTGATGGAAATGTCGTCAGCGGCGAGGACGTCTGCAACGGTTGTCAAAGCATCGGACTCAGTAACAAAACCAATGCCTAAAAATTAGCGACATCACCCCAGCAAATGATTCAACTCACCAGATGGATCAACAATTGCAAAATGCGACGCCACCAAATGTTGAAGACCTTGCTCGTCTAATGACGTAGGGATCTCAATTTCTTGGGCAGTTGAAGGGTCTTCGCCCATGAGATGAAAACGTTTAGTAGCCATGATGAATGCTGAGAATTGTCTAATAAATGACAGGCTGTTACGGAGCAGTCTGTCTATATAGACCACCGACGTTAAATGAGCCGAGGCTCAGAGCCTCAATGTTGAGTGGATCTACAAACCTTGCAATCTGTCGGTAGATATGGATAGGGGTGAAGAATTTGACGCTTGGACGGGATGATTCGGTGGCGCATAAAATCTCCGCTGTGCGTTGGTGAGTACTTAATTGTCGGCGTGGCTTGCACTATTGGACGGGTATCGTTGATTTGACTAAATTAGCTTATTCGTATGGAAATAACGCATTTCGATCATGACGAGTTTCATTGGCACGAATATGCTAGCATCTTGATGGTGTCTTCAGGCAGTCAAGGCATGAGCAACAAACCCGACGGCATTTGCGTTGAAACCGAATTCCGTGCCTCGGTCAATGCAACCTTTGATCCATGTTTATCGGGTTTATATCCTTTAAAAGTTGGTGAAATCATGAAACGGAGCAAGCACGGTCTCTCGGCCGTTCCGGACCCACAACCGGCCGAGAAAAGACCTTGGAGCCTCGGCTTGACCTGATGAGGAAATTAACTGGCCAATCCTTGAGGTGGTATTTGATTGCATTCATATAACGGTGCCTGCGCTCTGTTACCGTCTTTTGCATTCGCGTGATCAAGGAAAATGGCTTCGTTTACTGCTAAAGAAGTGGCCGCTCACAACACTCGTGATGATTGTTGGACAATCATTAACGGAAAAGGTATGTTTTTTGTTTTGGCGGTGAGATTTTTCTGACGGTTTAGTTTATGATGTTACGAAATACATTGAGGATCATCCTGGTGGTGCGGATGTTCTGATTGAAGTCGCTGGAAAGGACTCAACAGTGGAGTTTGACAATGCCGGTCATTCTGAAGATGCGTTTGAGATTATGGAAGAGTATCTCATTGGGACATACAGCGGTGCTCCTGTGCGAGGCGCGCCTAAAGCTGTGACACTCAAAAAGGCAGCGCCAAAGGCTGTTGCTGGGAACAGCTTCACTTCAACGGCCCTCACAGCTACCGCGGCCATTTCTGTCGGCGCTGTTGCACTTCAAGCATACCGATTGAATCCCGAGATGTTGAACTCACTACCCAAGATCAAGACCAGCGGCTCAGGACCAGGATTTGTTGAAGGATTTCTCATCGCTTCAGCGCTCTTTACCGTCGCTGGCACAATCACCGCCAAGAAACTCTCCAAGCATCTTCACTTCGAAGAGGGCGGCTTCATGAGCTATGCTCCTCACAAGAAGATGCCAAAGGTCACAAAAGTCAACCCTCTCATTCAACGAGGCTGGCTCGACCCAACAGCATACCACGCCCTTCCTCTAACCGAGAAAGAATTAATCGCCCCCAACGTCTACCGTCTCGTCTTCAGCCTTCCAACACCCACAACAGTCCTCGGTCTTCCAACCGGCCAACATCTCGCCATCAAAGCTGAGATCGACGGCAAGATCGTCAACCGCTCATACACCCCCATCTCCAACAACAACGATCTCGGCAAACTCGAGCTCGTCATCAAATGCTACCCCGACGGTCTTTTAACAGGAAAATACCTCGCCAACCTCTCCCTCGGCGATGAAGTCTCCTTTCGCGGTCCCAAGGGTTCAATGCGCTATAAGAACGGTCTGTGCAAACGAATAGGCATGCTCGCCGGCGGAACAGGAATAACACCCATGTTCCAAATAATACGCGCCATCTGTGAAGACGATCGCGATTTAACACAAGTAAGCCTCATCTACGCGAACCGCTCCGAGCAAGATATTCTTCTGCGCAACGAACTCGAAACCTTTGCGCGTCGGTACCCACAGAATTTCCGTCTGTACTACGTTGTTGAAAACGCACCGGATGGTTGGACTTTTGGTACGGGGTATGCTACACAGGAACTCATGCAAGAAAAGTTCCCTGCGCCAAGTGCAGACTCGAAGATCATGCTGTGTGGACCGCCGGGGATGGTAAAGGCGGCAAAGAACTCGCTTGGCAACCTTGGCTTTGAGCAGCCTGGCGCATCTGCCAAGATGAGCGATCACATCTTTTGTTTCTAGACTCTTTCAAAAGTACTGTAATAATAACACTATTCCCCGCACACCCATGTCAGCACCCATGAAACCTTGTCTTATGCTTATGAGCTTATTTTGTGGCCATCCCAACGCCCGCAAATCTCACGACCTGCCGTTTTGAGTAACTCACTGCATATTCCGCGTAACCAGGATTCGATGTCGACATTGTGTCTGCGCCGTACTTCTGTTATTATAAGTTGCCCCCAAGTTTCCCGTATGTTTTTAGATCAGCAATGGCGGACCGCAAAGAGGCTCAGGCCTTTGGCTTGAGACAAGATGACATCAGTGATGAACGACCTGATAATGGAAGTACCATTGACGCACAGAACTTTGCGTACAGTGAGGATCGAAAGATTGGTATTACGGGCGCCGTGTTTTTGATTCTGAACAAGATGATTGGAACAGGAAGTAAGTTTTCTCTTTGATGAGTGACGTCGCTGACTTTTAGTCTTTTCAACGCCTTCGAGTATATTTGCAGCTACTGGCTCTGTCGGCATCTCTCTTATGCTGTGGGTGATCGGCGGCTTCCTCACCTTCTGCGGTCTAAGCGTATTTCTCGAATTCGGCCTTGCCATCCCACGATCTGGTGGCGAGAAGAATTATCTCGAGCGCGTTTATCGACGACCTCGATATTTAGCAACTTGCGTTCTTGCATCGCAGATGATTCTTCTCGGCTTCTCATCTGGTAACTCCCTCGCATTCGGACGATACATTCTCTTTGCATCTGGACGAGAAACACCCGATGGCTGGGAAGCCCGCGGTATCGCAGTCACATGCGTAACCTTCGCCGTCCTAATGCACAGCATAACTCCCAAGTGGGGTATCCGTCTCTTCAACGTTCTCGGCGTCTTCAAAGTCGTCATTCTTCTCTTCATCGTCTTTTCAGGCTTTGCCGCTCTCGCAGGTCACCGCCGCGTCCCAAACCCTCACAACTTTGACAACGCTTTCAGAATCGAAGATGGCGATGGCTACGGCGGCGGCGGAGCATACGCTTACTCCAACGCCCTTTTGAATATCATCTACAGCTACAAAGGCTGGGAGAACGCAAACTACGTCGTCAGCGAACTGAAGCATCCCAAGAAAACTCTCGCCATCGCAGCCCCTATTGCAATCGGTGGCGTCACAATTCTCTACGTCCTCGCAAACGTAGCGTACTTTGCCGCCATTCCGAAATCAGACCTGGCCAAGTCCGAAGTCATCGTCGCTGGTCTCTTTTTCCGAAATATCTTTGGTGAGAGCGCGGCTGCACGAAGTCTTCCTGCTTTTGTGGCGTTGAGTAATCTTGGAAACGTCCTTGCTGTTTCGTTTGCGCATGCAAGACTTAATCAGGAGCTTGCGAAGGAGGGAATGTTGCCGTTTAGTCGGTTCTGGGCGTCGAATAAGCCTTTCAATGCGCCGGCTTCTGCAGTGAGTTCTTATGATTCTTTTGTGATATGTGACTGATGATTTAGCTCTTTCTTCATTGGATTGTCACGGTTGTTGTTCTTCTCGCACCGCCTGCTGGACCAGCGTATAACTTTATTGTCAACCTGTGAGTCACCCCTCCCTCCTCGCTCCATCAACAAAGCTAACAAAGTAGATACACATACCCTGGTTCGTGGATCAACGGCTTCGTCACAGCAGGTTTGATATACCTGCACTACAAGAAGTCCGAGAACTGGACATCACCGTGGCACACATATCTCCCCATCTCGATAATCTACCTCCTCGCCAACATCTTCCTCGCCTTCGTACCGTTCATCCCACCCGATGGTGACTGGAACGCAGACGGATATCCGTACTACGTCTTTCCTGTTGTTGGTGTTGGTGTTTTGATCCTTGGTGGTGTTTACTGGAGCTTCTGGACAAAGATACTTCCGAGGATTGGAGGATACAAAGTTGTTGCGGATAGGACGTTTGATGACTCTGGTGTTGAGACTGTTAGATACCGAAGGGTTCCTGTTAAGAGGGACTAGTGAGCGTGGCTTGGGGACGGTCTGCGGGAAATTGTGATAGGTTGTGGTACATAAAGTTGAGGAAGTTTATGATCTTAGGGTATCGTATGACGATTTCAGAATATCTTATGATAGCATTAGGTATCTTATGATGGGTTTACATAAATTCTTAGTACTTCGTTAGCTGCTACCTAATGGGTTACCTAAATCCCTAAAAGGTTCCAAGTGTGTCTGGATGAAGCCGTTTTCCAGTAGGTCAGAGAACCCTGCTGTACCTAAATACAAGCGCATCGAAACGCGATCAGGTTGACCCGAAAGTTTTGGTACTCCAAACTGGGTGACTTCTAGAACTCACGAGTTGTCAATAAGGCTGTCTGATCGAAGTCAAGGGGCACATGCTGCTTGGGTTCTGGGTCGCAACCGAGCTGTCGCTCTTGATTCGTAAGGTTCGAGGTAAGATACAAGTATCAGCTGCCAGGTCTATCAAATGAAAATAACACTCTCAACTACACACTTCAGGCAGCATACGATATGCAAGGTTCAAAACTGCGAAGAGATTCAGCGTCATTTCTTACATGATTCAGTGTCTAGTTTCCGGAAGGTCGAGAGGCTGCTGGAGGAACCCAAAAAAGCGGGTCGCCAGGGCAGTTGAGTCCAGCTTTGATAGCCATGGGCATCCATTCCCGGGGCAATAGAACAACATCGGTTGGGTGGCTTTAGTGATATTTCCAATACCAACATCCCACCAGTAGTGCCAGCTGGATCACCAAGGATCTCATTTGGATTGCCAACTACAGTATCTCCATCATCAACTCTTTGACTGGATTGGAGTCCGGGCATGACTTCGTCCTGGCCCTCTTGGTGCTCATCGCGCCCTGTCTGGTAGGGCTGGAACAACGCTCGCAATGCTTGCAGGTTGAAGGCCTGATCTCTTGCTCAGTCGTTTGTCGCAGTAGGCCTTGCGCCTCTCCTGAAGGATATCTTATTATGGGGCTGTATTCAGTCACTAAAATCACACATATTTGATGCATGAACTTGTTGATCAGGATTCTATGTAAAGGTATTCTGTTACACTTTCGCCAGATGTTGGACCAACACTTTCGCGCTTCTGACGGCGTAATACCCAAGCATCGTGTATGATGTCCAAGTGAGGGTCGAGTGGTAGGAGACAACTGGATGTGGTATGCTCAGTTGATGCAACAAAGAGGCATAGCCCGTCGCAAACCCAAGTTTGTCGTCAATCGAGCCGCCATGAAGCGATAGTGAAAGCACAAGTGAGAAGTCGTCTAAAATAAAGCTGTTTTCAAATGGCAACCTGCAAAAAAGAGATGGGAAACCTCTGGAAACAACCCCATACGACGTAATGAGTATCCATACTTGAGACAACAAAGACAAACGCAATCAGATGGGATACAGGATTGATGCTGTCTGACTTTGGAAACAAGAGAAAGCTCGCTTCAATACTCAAACGCGACGTTGGTGTTTCAATGAGTATACATGCCAACAATCAATTGAATACGAAGGTTTTGGTAATATTCGCGCAACATTGATGGTACTAATGCACTTTGCTAGATGATGTCGAAATTTGTCTCAGCCTGTGACACTGCCTTTTGATTGGCGCAGTATGACACGGGCCCATTGGTTCATCTCGCTCTCCATTTGGGCACCTGCCTACCTGCCTACCTTTGTACGAACATCAACCTGTCCACACGACAAAAATTATTTGGATGTGGAATCCATCGTCCGCAGAACTTACAATGAGAGGTGAACTTTCCAAGCAGAGCTATACTGAGGGTAGTGCTCATCGGTGTTTGCTGAGACAATGCCCGTAGATCTGGAAGTGCCATTCCTACAAGGTATGCGAATTGGACGTAATTCATTTGTGGGACGTCTGGTCTGAAAGCAATGGCATCATCTCGCAACTGTTTGATGATTGCATACCGTTCTTCAAGTTCATCCACAGGTAGGAACTGATCCATTATCGGCCAACTTGTACGTTGAAATTGCTGTTCAATATGTTTTTAAAAAGATGGAAATGGAGGTCAGATAGGTATAGGAAAGTATTAAATAGAAGATAAAGTTGCTGAAAGCTTATGTTCGCCATTGAGCCTAGTCAGAAATACACTTTGCGGCTGGTTTAACAAAGTGTCTGCTGTGAGGTTAATCCACTGGATGGTACTTAGCAACAGACTCGCCACCAAAGTTTATCGATATCACATCAAAGCGAATGAGAGATGATCGCAAAGAAGTCTAGCTATGGACGTTCCAAGCGTGTATACCGGGTCGTGATCAACAAGTTCATGCGTCTGGGGACATGGTAGTCAGCGTCGGGTCTTTCCGTCCCATCACCCCTGATTAGAGCTCATCATCACAGTAGGTCAACAACTAACGCAGTTTTAAATTCAGGTTTCCATTTAGTGAACCACTTCTCGAAGGTCTCAACGTAAGCTACGACTATGTATCGTTGGTACTACCAATGCATCCATGAATCTCCTTTGTACAGGACAAAGCTCAGCATTTATGTTGTAGCAATTGGTCAGACATTGTGGTATAATGTCTAAATAGTGAGCTAGATGTCTTATTTGCAGTTGAGACCTGTGGCTGAGAGCTTATAATCACCACACAGAACTTAGATTCATTTGTTTGGCGCTAGCCTTCTGGCTTTGCTTTTCCGTGCTGGTCGAAGTCCGTGATCAGAACTCATCTATCAGGGCCGACTAAGAAACAAGAAATCCTGAGAGTTGTAGTTATTTTTTCACCTGAAGGCATTGCCATTTCTCTTGAAGAGCGCTTGAACTCCGTTCAGTTCCAAACCTCCTTTGGAATTTGACCACAACCTCTAACTTACTCATTCCAGAAGACCTTAAATGTCAGGAACGAAGTTTCTTCCTCGGACCATTTATTTGGTGCGCTGCTAGTCGTCAACACGAGGAACCTGGCTCTCCATCCTAGGGAATGTTTCGATCGACTAACTTCGCATAGACTCAGGTAACGAGATAACGCTTCGGAAGGTGCACCAGATTCTTTCCAGACCTGGGTAAGCAGAGCATCCTCCTCCTCTGTCCAGCGCTTTCTCCGAACGCCACCACCTACATATCCCTGTGCTCGTTTTCTTTCTTGCAAAGCTTTTTCAGTGCGCTGAACACCAAACTTGGCTTGAAGCTCTGAAACAATGTCATTCCATGATCTTACATCAAACGACTGAATCATTTTTTGATGCGTTGATTCACTTCGAGATGACCCCGTTCATTTTGTAACCCTTGGCATCAAAATAATAGCAAAATAGGGTGATTTAAGTTCGAAATGTCTCTTACTCAGATTGATATGGCTTAAGCAAGTTTAGTGATAAACCCCATTCATCACGAAGCCCAAACAGTCTGAACGACTAGACTGATTCGGGTCATTGTTTGATTTCCGGGATCCCGCGGACCATGGACCTGTTGCCATTGTCTTGTCGTGGTCTCCTTGTCCCGAGCTAAATCCGACTTGGCGCCTTTCATTTGTGTTTGGACCTGTGCACAAAAGAAGTCATCCACGAGTCACATGACGAATACCAAAAGATTGTAAGGATTACGATGATCAAATATTTGCCACGAACAGCGCTTGAAAATCAAGTTTAAGACACATTTGTATTCCCCAAGACTAAATGCCCAAAACGAGGCCAGTTTACACGCGATCAGCCTTGAACGAGGGAAATCATTCTGATAAGCAGGGTCATGTTGTCGTGACACGAAACGAACGTTTGATTAATTTGTCGGAATTCGTACCTTTTCAGCAATTCTGTTCCTATTGATACATTGCATTGACATACCCCGTTGAACTGATACCCGAGATTCAGTCATAATCATCTCTGTTATGATTCGTTGTTCTGCTACGAACAACCTTGACTTTCGGCTTGTACATGCATTTCACTTTCGCTCAAGTGTAAATGCCTCACTGGAATACCCTATCCAAGAAAAATGAGTTGTTAATCAATGCCTGGTGATGCCAGATCAGTCAAATGAGCCAATCCTCGATGATTATCATAATTACTCGGTATGGACCTCTTCCCTGTCTTGGCGGTTGTGCCTCTTCACCTACATAGCCTGATTCTTAATGCTCTCGAAATGCGTATCAGCCAGTCTGAAATCTTACATGAGCTTGGGAATCTCGAACCTCGCGTAATTTCAGTGTTTTGAAGATTGATTCATTGTCCAGGTACTTATATCCAAAATCATGCCGTCGGAGAGTACACACCCGCCACTTCGCTAGCTGGAGTCTATGATCTTCACCATCACCCTTTCCTCTTCCCACAATTCAATGGGAGTTTCATCATGGTTGCTCCGCAGCAGTCTCTCACAAACCAGGATACTCGCTAAACAAGTTGTCTATGGTAATAAGTTCTATGGACAAATCGAGTCGGCCGCTGTATCATGTCATACAAGGTCCACTTTTTCAGTCTTGTGGCGCATGCTTGAGCCATGTGGCTTTTGTTGACACAAGTAACTGTGTTCAGAAATCACTTTACTGGCTGGACACCAGACACAAATTGCTCACTTGACGTGGTGAATTGTCGATTCGGCAAAATTCCAAGTTCACGGCCGATCATCGAATGATTTACAGTTCATGCCCTCATCCCGCGATTCGATTACAATCCGACTTCAAGATACAAGCAACCGTCGTCACGACCGACCGTTACCCAAGTTATTTTGCTATTCTCAAGCCACTACGGATGTCTACTTCCGACTCCTCAGGTCGAAAGAATCGAGCTGTCGCCTTGCGAGTGACGACATCGATTCAGGGTATGCTTTCCGGGTAGACTATCATCGTCTGTCACCACCTCAACCAGCAATCTGTCGATGATGCGTGCTGGATTGATACTTCAAAAGCCTTCAAGAGGTGTAACGCTACTCGGAGCTCGACCATGTTTCGCATAGCTCAAGTTCCATCACACACAGCAACGTTTGACCAAACACCTCTGGATTTGTGGTAACCTTTACCCACCAACAAGAAGTATCTCTCTTCTCACATCCGCCACCACATTCAAACAGCCTCGGCTTCTCGTCTTTACTCCTGCTCTCATGGACTGGCTTCAGACTCCACTGTTTCCTTCTCCAATGAGGCACGGGCGATCATGGGCCGGGTGCGCACCTCTGACTTGAGCCATGCTTCTCTTTATCCATCGTTGTTTGCCCTCGCCTCTATCGATACAGGACTTGATCAAGGGGTCAATTACTCATCGCCTTTCTCTTCGAGCCCTATCTGCGCAACTGTCGAACTAATACTTTGTGCCTCTCTCCCTCGCCCGTGGTCTTTATTCTGAAACTAACTATGTGGCTAGGGATCATAACTTCACCCCCGAATGTTGCCGTCGTATGGAACCGACAATCTCACATTGGCCCTCTGGTATGCAGCTATCTGTTGCACTGATCACAGGCGACCTTGCAAAGTGCCAGCGACAGGAGGCCCGATGAACTCATAGTGGCCTGATGAGCAAATTGGTTGGCCCTTTATCGTTTCACCATTCCGAAATCTTCACAGATACATGTTCGCCGACAACACCCCATATCGCCCTTTGACTCGTCCCCGGTTAACGATGGCCATGAGATTGGAGGTGTTTTTTCCGCGCTGTCGCCATGAGCGCAGCCAAAGCCTTCTGGCAAGCCTACTGACAAGGCTTCAAGCATTTGATGCTTTCGGTGCTTCAGCATCGTTCGTGACTTCTGAAGTCCATACATCACCGAGTACCGCCATTTCAACGGGTACAGTCACCAGCCTGGACGATGGGAAGGTAAGCAAATCTATCGACACATGAGACTTGACTGTGATGGAGATGAGTCATTTGTGCTCACTATCTAGATGGCCTTCAACATGACCAGATAATTCGAGATTGCCATTAAAGACGAAGTCCTTTGCGACGCACCTCAACTGTCCGATCTCACCGAGAGATACCCCTACAAATCGAATCGACAAGTCATCGCTCACCTTCGTTTCTATAATCAGTGTTTTATATTTTGTAACCTTTCACGACAATCACACTCCGAGATTCGCTCCAGAAACAGGCCATTCCTCACTGGATTGTTTAGGACTCCCTTGAACCCCCTCAGCCGAGGCTTACGAATGCCTACATGAGATGACACAGCCAGCCTCAGATGGCTGGCATCAGTTGTGCTCTCAAAGTACTTTGTCTGGGCGGCATCAGCGCTCTTAAAAGAGGTCTGGATATGCTCGAGGTCACAGTTGGCAACCTAGCCAAGGGCGGTGGCAGTGGAGGGCTCTGAAGTGTTAATTAGGTTCTGAACACTCGGTAATCATGATGAGGGCAGGATTGAGACTGTATTGCGCAAGGGCGGTGATATGTGGAAGAGTCACAGAAGAGTTGCTGCATCGTCATGGAAGCGTGGAATTGGTCCAATTTTGCAGCCCCATGATGAAGAGTTACAGTCTGGGATCAATCACAAGCAGAGTCAATGTACATTTCGTGACATTTAATTCCATGCATTCCTATCACCACATGTGCCCACCGCCGTATTTACATGAAAGTGCCGCAATTCTAACCCAGGACAAACCCCGACCGACCCGCCTAACCTGACCCCAGTCTATATGCCACAGCTTTCTCTCCTCACCGACAGGCTCAGTCGTAGACAATGAAACAACATCGTTGTCCCATCATCACATATTTCGTTAACTCTGCAGCGATAAAAACTTGCGCAACCCAGAAGTCTGCACAAGTCTCAGTTTTCGGTTCTCAAGTTCAAGAGGGACGGCTTCGTACTCCCTGGCCGTGTACAAAAGTGCATGGAGGATTCTCAGTGGAATGTGTGACTTTCTGAACTTCCAATAACCACTTCTCTCTAGACTCTTTCTTCTTCCTTCTTTTCCTTGATACCTTCATCGAAGAACTTGTTGAGAAAGGAGAAAGTTGGCCTATCTCGGGGAAGATGAACGGTTTCAGCAATTCCAAAATCCGGCATCGCGTCTCCAGCGCGGCAATAGAATAGCATGAAATCGCCATCAATTCTGTCTTCGAGACTCCATTTGTTCCCTTTGCCGCTGCTAGGCCATGGCATGATCTCCTCGCCGAGAAACGCGTACGTTCTGATGCGCTGTTCTTTCAGTGACACTGACGCAACCAATGTGTAGAGGCAATCTCTGTCATCCGGGATAGGCTCCGAGTCCTTGATTTCGGCAATGGGGATGTTGACGTTCTTGAGAGTCGAGAATGGGAAAGGTTCCAGGTCCTTGTTTGTCTTGTAATGTACACGGATGATACAGGGCTCGGCGCACATACACAACTCTCGTTTGTTGCGTTTCTTGACAATCTTGAAGTATGATCGCATATACCTTCTGAAACTCCACTCCGGTTCGAGGTTGCGGTCAACCACTATAGTGCTCATGTCGACCATCGCAGCGGCGGCATTCGGACCTAAGTCTGCATGGCCCCATGGAGCATCCGTCGGCTGCTCCAAGCAGGCTCGATAAAGGATGTGGACCTCATGGTTCCAGAAAGTCTCTTTCATGAGAGGAGAGTTGACGAGACTAACAAAGCTCGTCTCAAGGGTTCCTTCTTGAGAGGGGCTGAGAACCTTCAAGACGTGCTGCTTGCAATTCGCCCATGCAATCTTGTCCTCGAAGTTGATATCCAACCAAGCAAGGGCGAGGACTGGGTTCTTTTCCTCTGCCTCTTTGTGTTCCTCTTTGTCGAAGTATACAGGCAGAATTTGGCTGTAGATGTGACGGATCAGCGCGATCAGACAGTCCAAGCCGCGTGTATCGAAGTCGTTGGGACCCGAGCCATATTGCTGGCCTGGAGGGCGGTGCAGCTGCAGATATCGGCGAATCTCTGCCTTATTTTGAGTTAAATCTAGCGTGTCGCGTATATCTTTGCCGAGATTCTGGTTGTCCATTGTGGCGATGCGTGAGTGATACTGGATTATGTGTTGTTATAAGGCGAAGGTATCTGGAAGGATGGAAGAAATTACAGGTGGGGCGAGGTGTTATGACTTGCGTGGTTCTGTTACGTATATCCTACAATTTCCCTTAATTAAACGTAGTTACTACAGACAACAGAATTCCACTAATAATTACTAAGATTTAAGTATAATAAAAATACTAGAATTACTAGCAATCCTTAAAATTACTTATTAATTGTATTAATTACTTTATAATTATCTTAAGTATATAAAATATAAATATATTAATATATTTATAAAACTTAAATTATTATTTATTTATAATACTTTTTTATATAAATAAGTCTTCTTTTTATTATTTAATAATAATTAATATATATATTACTTTTAATATATATAAAAATAATTAATATTAAAACTATAATAATAAATAAATATAAAAAGTAAGATAATTATTATATATTAATATATAAATTAAATAATAAATAAATAAAATATAAAGAATATTAATTAATATATTTCTTTTTTTTTACTTTTAACCTTATAAAAGGCTATTTAGCTTTTTAACTTTTATATTAATAACTTAAATAAAAACACTTTTATAATAAGTTATTATAATAAAAGTTAATATTAAATAAGGTTTATTTACCTTAATATTTTAATTAAGTAATATAAATACTAGCTTTTAATAATTAAATTAATAATATTTCTTTAACTTACTTTAAAAACTACTTTTTAATTAACTTTTATAATATATTATACCTAATTTATATATTATACTTTTAAAATATATTACCTAACCTAACTTTTATTAATTATTATATAACTTAAATAATATATAAAAGTAATATTAAAAATATTAATAAATATATAATTTAAATAGTATATAAAAGTTATATAAAAAATATTAATTAGTATATAACTTAAATAATATATAAAAGTAATATTAAAAAATATTAATTAACATATATTGTGACGGTTGTGGCAAGCATTCCAGGGTAAGAGGTCTAAGCTTCGTTAGTGGGGGCCAGATAGATGTCTACGGTGACAAGGTATAAAAGGGTGACATCCCTTTAGGACTGAAGACTTCCCGGATGCTTTTTGAGAGGCTTCTTCAGACTCAATTCTCATTCTTTTTTTTTTTTTCTTCGTATTTGATACCATTGAACTGATCGTTTGATTCTCTATCTTATGACGAAGACCCTATCTCAATTGAACCTAACTGGCAGTCTACACTTAGCTTGCAGTTGAGAAGTGTTGGAAGATATCGTCTTGTGCAGTCTTTTCTTTGTTGTTGCTCTTCACTTTCAAAATATAAATTATTATTACACTTTTTTTTAAAAAATAATTTATAACTTATTAAAATATAAGAATAAACTTAATTATAAAATATAAGTTATATATATATTTTATAATAATTATACTTTTTAAAAATTATTTATTTATTAACTTTCTTTATTTTTTCTTTTTAATTTCTTATTAAGTGTATATAATAATTATAACCTCTTAGCTATAAATCTTAACTACAAATACCACATCTAGCTTACAACTTTATATTTCTCACATACAACACAGTCACAACTCAATCAACATCGTAATGGACTACATCAGAGAGTGGTCACAACCGAGGACAGCAGATGGTTCAAGCGACCTATCGGTTTGTCATGCCATTATCCCAAGAAATATTCCATCAGATGAGGGTACATGGCTTGGAATACTTGAGGATGTCGTCCGACCTGGTGTGGAGGTTGTGTTTGTGGGGTCGCATCTCATGAAGCACTTGGCTCAGACGTGTGCAGGATGGTTGGGCCTCGAGCCATTCGCGACTTCGGGCCAATACACCTATGAGGAATTTGTTGAATTCTGTCACAGTCAAGAATTTGGCTCTGATATTTGGTCTGAGTCAGCCGTGCTGTCGAACCTGATCGTTGTGTTCCATATCGACAGCAACATGACAAGCGATTGCGCACTTGCGTTGATTGCGGCAGTGCATTTTGTAAAATGCCACGCTGAAACCGTGCCATTCTGCACAAGACTCCTCACAGCCTCAAACGAAGAGAAGCCCCGAGCCCTGTCCGAACTGGCGTCATACTTCGGCGTAGGACCCGTACATAGCTTTGCTATATCACACGAAGGCGAGGGGGGTTGGTACGGGGCAAACCACAATGTCATTGATACAAGGGATAACGAGTGGCCTTCTAAGTATCGAAAGCAGGTTCGAAAGGGGCTCCAAAGACAGGTAGTTATATACTCGCCTTCTATGATTAGTATGCCTGCATCCATGGTAAGTCTGACTCTTGTTCGCTCAAGTATTGCAATTCTAACAGGAAACAGGAGACAGCCGTCGATAGATATGGCTTCAAGACTATGAATGTAGAAAACACGTTATATTGGCGCCTGTTCGCGATCGAAGCCCCTGAAGTCAGGATGCCCCTGCCGCTTGAGTTCGACGAAGTACATGTCATTGTGGACCACTCCCGATACTTGAGAGTCTACGACAGTGTTACGCGCCAAGTTACTCACATGAACGTCTCGATGAGTGCCGAGGAGCGCGAAGATCAAGTTGCAGTGGCCTTTCGAGCAGCCAAGCCTCCAACACGCGTCACCTTCTACATCCACGGACGGACTGTGGATGAGTATGTATGCGCAGGAAGAGCTCGAAGGCGCCTGAGTGTCTGTAATGCTCAAGCAGGAGGCTTCTTGGGGTCCGTGAGACAGTTCAAGCGATGGGGCTTGGATACAGATGTTGCGTCCTGCTTCTTCTCATCTCCAATGGAGAAGGACGTCTTCAAGACCATGTCACGTCGTCTTGAAGTGCAACTGCAGACTGCATCTGCCAGTAAGCTGGACGTGGCGTTGTTCAGGAGACTTCTGCCGATCGTTGGATATGATCACAGGTTGGCGCTCTTTGTCGGATTACCTTCCGAGGGTGATGCGGTGACATTGACAAAGATCCGTTGGGCGGCATTGACCTCGGTAGGGGTTAATAAGTTTGTGAAGTTTCCCGACGGGAACAGCATCATGGGACGCGAGAACTGCCGTATGATGTCGGTGAAGCATGGGTCAGCTACACCATTTCACATCTTCGGCACAACATGGACGGCACTGAACCTTTGGGGAGATGTTTGCCAAGCGTCGCGATGCTCTACAGTATTTCCAGCATCACAAGAATGGATTGAGTACCCTCTGACTGAGGTGCAAATTCACATTCCTTCATGGAGACAGATTGAAGAGACAGCCAAGAGTCTTTCAACTGCTGTTGGTATAGCCCTACCAGACTCAGACTTCTGTAACCTTGACTGCTTGGAGGCCCGTCAATTACAGCGACATCTGTTGGACGCATATGTTTTTCAGTTGACGAGAACAATTGACTCCAGTAGGAATCTTATGGATCTGGCAACTGGGACTTTGCTGGCTGACAATGGCGTCACAGAGTGGACGACCAAGGCAGCTGACAGGGCTGGAGAGACTTCGCTCTTCGGTGTGTACTCAGACATGGAACGGATGGCCAATCAGAACACAGTGAGACTGCACGACTGGACTTGGATTCCAGCATCCGTTGTCGTTGACTAGCAGTCGGCCCATACTAATGGTGTTGATCTCACAGAGTTTCTGTCGCGATCTGGTGACATCGAGGATGAGGAAGAGGAACTGAGTAGCGGTGTATTTTGGGGTCAGCGGTAATATGCTTGGGATGAATCGAAGGAGGGATACTTAGGTTTCAATATTGACAGTTTCCAATCATGTGTTCATAAGAAAGAAAGTAAAAGCACAGTGATCATGAATCGAAATGTAACGTAAGTTTTCTATGTACATGAGTGACGCATTGTCTGACAAAAAGAGTGTTCCCGATGACCTTGGATATTGATACAAATAAGTGACAGAGTGGCTGCTGGTCGAGAGGACAACCTTGCGCTTCGCTCCGATTCCACCCAACATAGGGAGTGGTGCGTTGGAATGATCGAAGGTCTTTGTAACATGACCTGGACGGCTTTACGCGAGACCCATCAGTTGTAATCAAGTTGTGTCTCTGGAATGCAATGAATTCGTTTTGCAGATCAAGGTTCAGAAAGAACAAAACGGCTGTTCAGCAGTGTGTTGAGGTGAGGATTGATCTTGGTGAGACTTGGGGTTCGGTCTGAGCAAAGGACAAATGTGACGGTTGTTCGGATAAAAACTGGAAGACGGCGATTAGCTGCTGGATATGTACAAATGGGATCACCACCTATTTGACCGATTGCGACTCTCACTGTGGCACGTTGTTCAATGTAACGGCCATATATGAGTGGTGGCAACAATTGGTGGTCGCGGGAAAGATGGCATGGCAAACCGTCGTCCGAGGAGTGCAGCTGTACTGTGTTGTAAATGAATGTCTTGTTAACAACAGTCAGACTTTGAAGTAATAAGAAAGCTCATTTCACAATACTCACATGCGTGATGTCGTTCTGCGCGAGAGAGGCATTTCGCTCTCACGGGAGATCAAGAAATTGGAAAGTATCGACAAAGCCGGTTCCGGGCCAGTTGGACGCATGGAATACACGGCAGTATCGATTTGATTCAATCCTATGACTGCTCTCGACGATATTGGTAGAGATGATGCGCTGTGGTTTCTCTCCAGAGCAAAGGTGTTTGTCATTTGGATTTTGCATGGCCTGGAGTGTAATGGGAACGTGTCCGAGTCTGCGACATTGCGGCGGAATTCGAAGCCTGTACTGCTGACTTGATGAGATGATAAATTGATAAGAAGGGTACGAGTATATTGCCTTTGGTGCGTATGGACAGCCAGTTCTGACAAGTGGAGCCCAGTGCTGGCCTTAGATGCGGCTCATGCCCTCCAGGCTGCCCCACATCAACAGAGAGTCAACATAACACAAACGAGCCAATGCCCGCGATAACCTCTCAGCTACATTCAACAACACAACGAAGATTTGTAAGATTCACGGACCCACAAACCATCGGACCTGACTGACTTGTTAGCTCCTCGCACAAAGATGTCCTCCCGATCCGAAAACGAGCGCGATACAGGCGAGGATGAATATCAAGACGAATATCTTGACTCTGACGAGGATCAAGATTTCGGGTCCGACGAGGAAGAGCATGGAAATGACGAAGCCGAAGCCGAAGCCGAAATCGAAGACGAAGAAGAGTCTGAACTTCGGCCCATGAGCCACGGTCGTAAGCGTCCTGCAACAGCCTCTCCTCCCCTACCTCCTCCGAGGAAGCGAGGCAGACCCAAAGGCTCAAAGAATAAGCCTAAAGCAACCCCTAAAGACTCAAGAGCACAGGGGAAACAGGCGGCGAAGAAGGTCAAAAAGCTCAGTAATGTCAAGGTGAAGCGGCAGAAAGAGACGACACAAAGACAGTTGATCTCTATAACCTACACCAGGCCACGGATCACAGTTGCTTGTGTATCAGCATATGTTGGTCCAGACGTTGCCACTTTTGACGCGAACTGGACTCATGCAGATGAGCGCGCACAAGGGTATGAAGGATCCGCGGAGAAGCGCGCCATATCTAAAATGACCTTGGGTAGTCATGGTAGACAACTGACCTTCTGGAAGGTCTGTCTTTCCGTGTGTCAACGGTCTCCATTTGACATCCTGTTATCTGCCGTCAAAGGTTACAGATAAGACGTCGATGGCCGTTTGGGACCAGATGTTTTGCCGAGAGTTCGCGGACATCATGTCTCACCACGTATGGAATGGAGACATTGATGTATTGGTCACTTTACTCCAATACACCGTCATCTGTCGAACGGATGACCGAAGGCGCTGGCAGGTCCCGACAACGATGGTCGAGGCTGGTCCAACAGTTCGTCTGAGGACAGAACTACAGACATACTTGGCGCCTTTGCCAACATCTATTCACGAGCTACACAAGGATATCCGCGACAACAGAAGCCCAGCCATCATTCACTGTCCGCTCTCGAATCTCATGATGACGATCGCAGAGGTTGAAGCCGACAGACGCGAATCTGGGCATTACACGCGCTGGAACACTGTCAAGCAATTTCATGATGGCTATGAGGTGTATGGGGTCACGATAGCAGATTTGGGAATCATCAAGGAGGCAATTGAGATGTTCAGCAAAACAAGCACTGAGGCTTCGTTTGACGCATTCAAGAAAATTAATAAGCTCGGTAGAGAAGAAGTGACCATAGCTCAATTCCGGAGCCTCATGAGACGAGCGTGGCTTCAGGAGAAGCGCCTTATTCATTGCGACAAAGGTCTGAACGGGGGATCGGGAACCTAACCTGCGAAAGTTGCGGCCACTGTCCCAGTCTTGACAGATTCGAGGCGTGTTGAATACGAAGAGGTAGATGAATACGAAGAGGTGCAGGATGAAGTCATGTCCGAAGTCCCATCCAGGGCGGATGGTAGAGACACAGGTGCCAGCAACCCGGGTGAGGACATTGATCCTCCAACATTCTCTGATGGTGCTGAAGACGACTTTGACGATGGTGGCTACGGCGGTGGTTATGAGGGTGGTTTCGATGACCGGTCAGACGGTCTTGCCTCGGGCGATGATCAGGATATGGGCGACGCTCCTGAGACGCAACCTGGAGGTGACCCCCGTTCAGAGTTGCCTGAAGAGGGGTCTGTCCCTTCGGAAAGCATTGCGCCTACTCAGATTGAAGATGAGATGTTGGGTGAACCATCGTTCATTGACACACTCCAGTCAACGCCACCTGCAAGCTCTGTCCATGAGCCCGACCACCATCACCAAGACCCTGATCAGCCGCTCCAATCGGTAGAGAGCTCGCTTGGCTCTACCTCCTTTGAGCCTCTTGTCCCACACGTTAAGCCACTAGTGGCTCCTCCTTTGAACGCAGGCCGGTTTGCTTCAGGTGTTGGAAGTGCTGGCTTTGGAAAGGGAGTTGTTGGCTACCGAAAGGCACGCGACCTTAGGGAATGGGAGAATGTAGAAGCTATTACACTAGTATTGAAGAAGTTATAAATAAACAATCCAAGTGTTATACTAATAGTGCGCTGATACTACGGATGATTTGCTCATTTGGTTATGTGATAGCTGTTGATGCTCAATTTATGACTTTATCTTTTTAACTTTCAGTACCTAAATTTACATAAGACTAATAACCATGATATGAAGACAATGCATGCGCTTAATTGACATAGGTACGGAATGTTGTTTCAAATGAAAAGTGTCCGGTTTATGAGGTGAGGCTCTTATGTTAACTGGATGCAATCAAAGCATTCACTAAAGTACAGAAAAGGCCAAGGGGGAGCAAAGACCACGCCCCCGTGTGCCCCACTTCTTTTCAAAATACGCGTGTAAACAATGGCCTCTCGTTCAATCTCTTGAGCTTCATCTTTCCACACACGTCAGCGTACACACACAACCCAACCCACGACCACGATACGCACAATGTCGGAAAGCATGTCATACAAGGACATCAAGTCCCCATTCAACGAAGGGCGATTTCCTCAGGCCGATGCGCCTGTCGATCCCACGAAGACGGCCTCACGACGGCCACACCTGAAGCAGTTCATGGTCTGGCTTTTGCCGGCATGGAGCACAAAGATCGCCGAACATTGGCGGGACGCTGAGCAGAATGCATGTGAGGATTTGGCATCCAGAGGACGCAAATCTGTCAGTGAGCGATGGTTCGAGTTCCAGGTTGACAGGATTGCATACTTGCAATTCTTCAATCTGTTCAAGCAAGCCTTCAAGCGCGAAGCTGCTGATTGGCCTTGGGAGGATATTCCCTACAAGGATCTGGCATCGCCACAGGACAGGAACTCATCCGTGTACGACAGGTACCTGAAGAAGCAAGAAGTCGCAGCGATCGCGGCTGAGAAGAATGAGTCTGCCATGGAGGGCGTAGAGGGGCCTGCCGCTGAGAAGTCAGATGCGGCCAGCAGCAAGCTGAACCCCAAGGCTCCATCCTTCGAGATTGGCGCCAACCGAAGTCGACAGCGGCGACAGAACAAGGGTCTCTCACACTCCATGTATGCTGGGGGCTCTGGGGAGAGAGGTTCTGGTCGGGGTCGCGGTCGGGGTCGCGGTCGTGGTCGAGGATTTCACCAATCTGGAGTTCATCACGAACTTCCGCCGCAAGAAGATGACTTTGAATGGAAGGAAGATGATCAGATGCCATCTGATCAGGACAACCAGGTTCTGGTGACTCCTAGTTCACAGGCGACTGACGTGAACCAGCAGGATACCCAGAACGCCATTTTTTCTGCTGAGCCTGGCGCCTTGGGCCCAAAGAAGGGTCTGGATAGCTCGCTGTTTGCCCCGGCAGTCATTCCCAAGATCACGATCGCAACACTGTCGGAGGCCATGTCAGACAATGGCTCAGATTTGCAGAAACGCACTCGAGTCTGGGACAGGTTCTTTGGAAGTGCGGCTATCCAGAAGCCAACCGTCGGGCCTTTCGAGATGAAGATCTGGGATTACATTCCAACCGAGGTTTACATCAGCGAAGAACGATTGGTCGAAGCCAATAGCTGGCTCACATATGTTCAAATCACCTTCGATCGCCAGGACCGAAGGTTGATTGTTGGATTCGCTGCGCAGAAGGGTCCTGGCACGAAGCCAGCTCGCATGGAACTCGTCAACACTTGGCAAGCTGTAAAGGTGTGGATGACGGAAGTCTGCTTGCAGTTCCCAGCATGCCTGGATGATGTCATCTGCCGACAGCTGAGAGAGCCTACCACCATCCCGGAAGAGCAGTACCTGCAGGCCATCATTGAGGTCAAGAACAACTTCAACAAGATGCCAACGCTCCTCCCAGAGATTGGTCGGCAGTCGGTGACCATGCGTGAGCAACTCGGTCCGCTGTTGAGTGATGACTGCGAGAAGACACGTCATGATGTCCAAGTCTGGCTGAACAGTCTCCCCGACAAACTGCTTGGGCTCCGTGCCGCAACTGTGGAGTGGCTTACAGTCTGCAAGTCTCAAGACAAGGGAAAGATCCTTAACTGGTCCCAGGAAGCAGAGCGTTATTATCGAACACAAGATAGTCGTCAGTGAAGGACATCAGATAGTAACTACGATGAAGTGAATTGAAATGGTTCTGACATGTATCTACTCCCGTATGCCGTTATGATTTGCATGTACTCTGTGACTCAACGATTTGTTCTACGCGTTTAAACTTGCAAGTTTCACAACTAAAAATGGTAATTGCGTAGTATTGTCTTGCAGGTATAACTTTAAGTGAATAGAATCCCATGGCATCTTCCTCAATTAACTTGTAAGTACCTACTTCACTACAACACCAGTTCAAATCCCAACCTACTTCCTGGCGCCCAACCATTACTCCGCATCATCCACAGTCCTCTGTCCAAGCCTTAATTGTGTCATTTGCACCAATAGCTCTTTCTGCTTTCTTCTCTTGTCAAGCCTTTCGATCTGCTTTTGCATTTCTTCCTTCCTTGCTATCATGGCTTTCTCGAGACTCTGAAATGTATCACCCTGGTGGTTCGAGCCTTTTGCGGCAAGATCATCGGCTTCCTTGACAAGTTCTTCACCCTTGTTATTGACATAATCGAGTGTTTCCAAGAAATCGGCACGTTTGTCTATCTCTGCGATTGTGGCCTCCAAATTCTGCTTCATCGTATCCTGGTGACCAAAGAGCAGCTCGGCAGATTTCTCCAACACATGCGAGGTGCCTGCGGGCTTCGAGAATCCCGTCCCCCCGGCCTCGACAGCGTTGAATCCATGCTGGTAAACAAAAGAGCATGCGACGGTGGTAATCAGGCGCTCTGCTACTGGCAGTGGAATTCCTTCCCATGTTCTGACAACAACTTGTACGCTCAGCTCTACAGGACGATCCAGTGCCGAGAGAATGTTGACAACAAGACACAGGGGCTTATTGACATTCAAAATACCGCCCCGCGAGTGTAGCTTGTACTTGCTTGTCCTCTCACGCAAGTCTATTGAGCATCCAACATACAGTGGACTTTGAGCTTGTCGCACCTTTCCTGTGGGATCTAATTGCCGATCGCAGCGTAGTTCGAACGAAGAGATCAACGCTTCTATCTTCGAGAACTCTCCATCACTTTGAATGGATTGCGGAGAGGGCATCGAATCTGGTCTGAGGTTGTAGCCCCCTTGCCAATCCACAGTCGACACCCATTTCACAAGCTCTTTATCTGCCCAGTCTAAAGAGTCCTGTGATTGATTCGTCCTGCAAAGGCGAGCCCCCTTCACATACCTCCGAAGACCATCGATCAGTCTCTCTGTCTCGATGATGTTGAGGAATTTACCGTCCTTCAGTGAGCGCCTGAGCCCAATTACGTAGATCCCTGGAACCTTGCCCTCGGGCTCCGTAGGCATCTGTAACCATTTGGACTGCTTCATCATCGCTGTGTAAGCCACAGTGCCCGAGACAATAGCTTGTAAAGCCGTTCGATCAATGCTGTGAAGAAGAAACACCATCCTCTAGCCAGTGCTTCCATCTGCATCGATTGTCCTCGTAGTCTCATTGACAGAGAATCTGTTGGAACGTAGTACCGGGTCATTTTTCAGCGCGTCTGAAAGAAATGGTAGGTGGACGCAAAACTCGTATATAGACATAGGCGATGCAAGCGCTCGGATCATGTCCTTTTGTAATGCGCCTCCTGGCATCGGCATCTCAGCACTGCTGGTTGATATCTGCAGAGGGCAAGACATTGTTGTTGTTGTTGATTGTTTGACGGGGAGCGGCCTTATGAGTAGTAATAGATAATATATTATAAATTTCTTTTTTAAAGTAAAAATATAAATAAGATTGTATTTAATATTATAATATAACTAAAAGTTAAAAACTTAACGTAATATATTTTTAAATTAACTTATTATATTAATTAATATATTATTAAATAATATATAAAATATAAACTTATTATATTAATTAGTATATTAATAAATAGTTTATAAAATACTAGCTTATTATATTAATTAGTATATTAATAAATAGTATATAAAATACTAGCTTATTATATTAATTAGTATATTAATAAATAGTATATAAAATACCAGCTTATTATATTAATAAATATATAAATAAATAGTATATAAAATACAAACTTATTATATTAATTAGTATATAATTCAAAAGTATATAAAATACTAGTATATTATATTAATTAATATATAAATAAATAGTATATAAAATATAAACTTATTATATTAATTAGTATATTAATAAATAGTATATAAAATATAACCTTATTATATTAATTAGTATATAAATAAATAGTATATAAAATACTACCTTATTATATTAATTAGTATATAAATAAATAGTATATAAAATACTAGGTTATTATGTTAATTAGTATATTATTAAATAATATATAAAATACTAATATATTATATTAATTAGTATATTAATAAATAGTATATAAAATATTAACTTATTATGTTAATTAATATAATATTTAATAATATATAAACTTATTACTTATTTTATTCATTAGTATATAAGATTTAAATAATAAATATAAATCTATTTTAAAATTCTTTATTTCTATATTTATAAACTTTATTTAAATTATATAATAAAAATCATTTTTAGGTTATTCTTAACTTTATAAAGTTTTAGTATCTTGACTTAATTATATTTTCCCTTTACATCTGCATTAATACTGCGCTTTCATCAACTTTCAAGTTAAAATGAATCCCAACAAGGCTGCCGGAAACTGTAGAGAAGTGTCTCAACTCCTTGATGGAATGAATGAGATGAATCTCGGTGATGCCAACGAGACTCCAGCCCTTGAACTCGCGTCGAATGTTGGCAAGTTGAGCCTTGGTCGCATGAGCGACAGCTCTGCGCCTGAGCTTGCTGCGAGCATTCGCCAGTTGAGCCCTGATTCTGTGAACGATGAGCCTGAGCCTCACTTCACTGCTGGCATGGACCAGCTGAGCCTTGGGGGGTGGAGATAGCCGCCTCGAATCATACCTCGTCGCTGATATGTGTCAGTTGGGTCTCGCTGGAGAAGCTGCTTCGGCTCAGTCGGCGCTCTTACCCGCTATGCATCAGCTGAGCCTTAGTTCGGCTGCCAATGCGGCGCAAGCGGCTGTTCCGGTTGTCCATGAAGATACTGTCATGGAGGATCCTGCCATGGAGCACGAGAACGACGTCGGTCATGTCACCCAAGTTGGAGGACTTAGGTTGGTCGGAGTCGTCAACCCCCTCAATGAGACTGTGGCCACATGGGCTACGAGCAGAGAAGTTGATGGTGACATCAACGTCTGGGCATGGTCGAATCTCTTGCCAGGTGCTATCCGGTGCCAAGTCGAACAGGGATGCGTTTGTGTTGAGGAGGTCATCGCACGTTGCGATCAAGGCAATGGAGTCGGGCGGATGAGCTGGCGCTCTACACGAGCCATGATGAGGCGAGACCTCCCTCATGAACTCGCGCTCTGGAGTCTCATCGTCGTTCCTGAAATCCTTGCCGATCCGAGACTCAAGGCCATGGACCCAGAGAGCGTACCTCGGCGCTTTCTTCGTTGGGCCGTTGATTTGACTGATCAGTGGCACTTCGAATGCACATTCCAGGGGAACCCAGAAGAGATTCGAGACGTCGAGACTTCTCTTTTTTGGCCGATTCTCCCTGCCGGCCATCAGCTGGCCCGTTTGCTGGACTCGGTTGGTACCCAGCGTTTACAGGAGATCAAGGAAGATCCTCAGGTGGTAGGATAGAACGCTGATGAGCATATTACAGTGTTGTAGGGAAGAGGGTGGAACGGGTAGACAATAACTAATTATGATGTTGGCCCATATCTGACTTATTCTCCATGGTTCATTATTGTGCTTTAAAGGTGACATAATATGCTAACTAAAGTCATACCAGGACAAGACGATAAACTACTTAGTCCCTTTAGATCTCATCGTGGACTCTGATTGTAAAAAAATGAACAAGGGCAATTAGAACACTGCTCCCACCAACAAGTAGCTCCAAGAAAAATGAAGAAATCCATGCCAGGGCAAAGTGGCATGCAATATTTATTCCTCTCCACCGTAGACTTGGTGCAAATCGGTAATCCCATTTATTGAAGAAGCCATGGAGATGGGCCCTATGGGATGAGATGATGCAACCCAAAACGCAGATAACTCGCGACTGTATTTTATAAATGCTTCAATTGAGATGAACAGACAAAGGGATAGTCGAAAGGGTACGGTCCCAATGATTGATGCTCTGGAAGTGATCTCGGCTCAGGTGGGGAAGTAACGATCGGCGACTGGGGCAAAACCTTGTTTAGTACAACCAATCGTCTTATACGGAATCTGACATGGACCCACGAACGTAAACCATTAACGGTATTGGGAATGGCGAAGACGAAGGTGGCGCGGTTGTGGTGATATGAAAGTCACGAAGTATAAGTATTCGACCGATGTAGATGGAGGCGGCGAGGAGATGGTGAAAGTGGAATGGGAAAAGAATAACGCTTTGGCCTGGGCGCATTTACATAATTAGAGTGACTGTAGGGAATATTCAAGAGTGATGGGTTCTTACCTATGTGCAAATGATTGAGTGTAAATCAGATAATCGGACCTTGTTCTCAGGGGCTTGATGCCCAAGAGCGTGCGTGGTTGGTGGGATCCCGTGATAGCCTCGGTTGTGAGCGCACGAGGTCGTGATGCGGAATGGTGCATGCGACGTGCTCATCGACTTCCAGCGAACATGTTGATGAACTGTTAGGGCGAGATGTCCATCATTTGAGCGAGGAGTAGAGGTCCTTTGCCTTTGTATGTGTGGGGATGGTTGGAGAGTCATAAGGTTTCCGAAGCGTGGCTCAATCGCCCGAAATGTCGGGATCGTTCGTAACCTTCTCCTCACTGCGCTGGGAAAATTGCCGTTGACTGTAAGTGACGGCCTTTGATGAAGTATTCGTAGCAGTGGACACACTACAGACATTGTTAGTTGAATGGGTTCATCCAGCCGTCGTGGATGGACAGATGAAGGCAGTGAGTGAAAACTTTCCGAAGCTTTTGGTCTACCGTGCTGTAGGTCAAATATTGATTGAACAGGGATTGCGAATGTCTCTGTACAGACCGCGCGAGCTTGCAATGAATACATGGACAGGAAACCGGACAGGAAATGTCCAAGATCCCATTCATATGATCATTTCAGTCGGTGCTCACGGAATACGTCAGCCTGTGAATGCTCTGTTGAGAATTGTGCTGTGCTTCTGTCCGACTCCGCAAAAGTGGCTGCTTTATTCGCGTCGCGGTATCAAATGCTCTGCGGTATCTATGACCATGACGAGATGACCTGAGAAAGGCTGCCGAATCTTGTCGATGTTCAATCACCCGACTTGTGAGGCTGTGGAGTACCCGGCTGATCATCGGCACTTCTGTCATTGGACACTCCCTGGCCCCAGAGCCCAACAGAAATCACTCCCATTGATGCAGAATCGCAGGCTACCATCCACAGACGACAGCCTCCTGCGATGCCTCCCACGGACAAGGTAGATCCCCTCCATCAGACCGTATGTTTTTCCACACGCCGGCTGACCCTTGACGTCCCCCCAGGTCGAATGCAGATCACTCCCGCGGATGGTCACGGATCCCCTCCACCAATACAGATTGCTCTCATAACAGCCGACCTCTGCGGTATCTCTCAAGCCCGAAGGCAAATCACTTCTGCTGATGCATGCATCTTACGTGATGGCTGAACCGCTGCCATGTAAACTCGTGAACGGGTCATGAAATTAGAGCAATGGGCATATCACTGGCATGGTTAGGTGGTGGAAACAGTTAAAATGATTGACCATTACGTTTAGACAACTTCGACAGCAGCTGTCGGTCCAACAAGAAGAACACATGGAGCTCACATAGTTACATTGACATGCATGAGATATAGTTTAAATGTAATTGATTGTGCCTACGTAACCATCTCTCTATCCCAGATGTCACCAAAAGGTCAGTTTGTTACAAACTGAAATGCCAAACCTGGCGGTGATATGACAATGCATTTGAGGAGGTACTCTCTGTTTGTAGGACATCTACCAATCTGATGCTTTCCAGACCTCATTGTAGATACCATCGTAATTCGGTCGAGGGCTGCCGTCAGTCCTGAGCATGGACTCAATTCCGAGCCTGGGCATTCCCACTCTGTGTCGAAACTGCTCAACCCATGTCGTGACAATCCTTGGAGGAATCATTGTCCAATCTTTGAAGTAGACTTCAGCTTCAAATCGAATGAGGGAATGATAGATACCAAAAGCCGGCTTATTGTCCGGGATCCTGCCAAAGTCAATCGAAGCAACACTCGCACCTAAAAGCCCGTTGATGGTACGTTTTGACGAGATGTCTAGAAACTCAAAAACGTCTTTCTGGGATCTGTCTCGACAGCACGAAGTCAACTGCGAAAGATATGCTCGGAATAAATGAGATTGGATCTCATAGCACTCACTGGTGGAGAGGTTGGACTCATCGCCAAATCTTTTTTGTGCCGTCTTGATGCCGCATGTTGCAAGGGCGGATGAGATTTCCCACCAAGATTGAAAAGCTTTGAAGCACAGCGACCTCTTCGCCTTCACATAAAGTCCGGGGAGCTCAAGCGCGCCAGACGGTGGAATATTTTGAAAGCTGTTGGTATGGTGAGCAAAGCGCTTCCAGAGACCAAGCGCAAGCCACATATTTCCCTGATCGGAGAGAGGTTGACTGTAGCCGGTGCAGGCGCTGACCACCTTTTGTAAAGTGTCGGCAGACTGTCCCAGACTCGTCTCGAAGTCGAACATGCTGATACCTCCGCTGTTGATCACAGCCGCCAACTGAACTTTGGTCTGGAGAAGGTCGTCACTGCCAGTCGGGGAGTCTTGTGCGATGAAGTATGCTAGTCGGTAGTCGTGATCGACAAATGGAAGGACCGTGAGAAAAGCTGCCAGCTCGCGTCCCTCTAGACCCATAGTCAATCGCTCATCTTCGTTCCACTTGAGGATACCATGAGTTTGTAGACGGTATGCCATGGTCAGATATTTTGTAAACACCCCTTCGGGAACAAAACACTGAACGGCGGCGACAGGATCAACATTGGGGCCGAGTGATGCGACGATGGCCATGAACGCTCCCAGGGTGCGGTTCCAAACATCCTGTCGACGTACCAGAGGTCCCTGCTGCCACCAATCATATTTGCCTTGTTTCTTTTGCTCATCCATCACATAGAAGGTTGCAGTTGAAGGACGACTGCCAAAGCGATGGAAAAAGGATCTGAGCTCGCTCCGTTCTTGGATGCTCAATACCTGTAAGAAACTCGTCGTTTGACCGACGGCGAAGTCAAAGCTACTTCTCCGAACCTTCGATTGGACTACCACGTGGACGTGATCGAACCCAGAAAGTGGAACTGGAGAATGAAATCGATCAGGGAGAACTAAAATAGCATTGGCTTTGACTTGCCCATTGAACACTTTCTCTATTTCATCCTTTGGTCCTGGTGGGTGACGAATGTGCAGACACGCCCAGTCATCGCAGTTCAATTTGTTTGCGACGGCCACCGAATGGAATACAAGGACAATCTGCTTCCCCTCGAGGTTTCCAATCTTCGCGTTGAATCGCTCAGCGACTTCAGACGTGGATTCGCAGTATATGGTTTCGGATCTTCCAGGCTGGGTATCATACCACGAAGTGCCGTCGTGCCTGAAGATCTTTGGTGGTGCCAGCCCATGATGCTGGGACAGCCTCACAAAGGCTTGGTCGACATCAGTGCATGAAACTGTCAACAGTCTCGTCATACTGTGTAGCGCCGTGTCCATTGCAAAGTGGGTAGCGGCCATGAGTGCGATGGCACAGTCGATCTTCATAAGGGGGTCTATATCAATGACGAAAGTCGAGTTATCGTTCGTTGTCGGTTCAGGATCTGACCAGCAACTCTTGACATGTGTGAACCAGAGTCCGTAGGTCCATAGCACCAAACTATCCCCATCTTGACCGCACATTTCCCATCCTCGGCGGATGGGATCTTGACGAGGTCCGGCATCAGAAGACACCACGATAAGCGAAGTGATGCCTTTTTGCGCGCTCAGAATGGTGAAGATGTCGCGCCACACCTCTGCCGTGTGGATGGTGTTTGGGTCATACTCATAATGACCAAAATCAACTCTGTCAACTGAGTTGGGAGTTACCCAGTCGCTCAGGGTAAGAGAATTCATGTTGAAGTGTTGTGGTTGAGTTTGAAATTGAAAATGGTTGTGGGATGATGAACCCGCCTGTTCAACGTGACGGTGACCAAGGTTATTTTTACCCGAACCTTTACCGGTTACGTTCCCGACCCACACAGGTGCTCGGCCTTATTCCCACATTATCGCACATTCATTTCCAGTATCTCATTGAATATGAGGCGGAAAAACAGGTTTTCAACACACACAAGTATTGGACATCAAAAATACATCTGTAAACGAGATCTACAATCATGTCACACATTTAAGGGTTTAAGTGGGCATTCAAAGTGACGGTGACGACAATTCAATTAATCAGACTTTATGGTGACTATTTCACCCGACTACCCATCCTATAACACCCTAGACTATCACAATTCAGAGGCAGAGCTCTTGGCACGGGCGATCCTTTCGCTCTCAGCCTTCTTCTGGAGTATCTTCCTTCGCGCCATGCCGTCTTCATCATCATCGTCATCGCCCTCAATCTCTACCTCTTCATCTTCCTCTTCCGAATCCTCATCCCAGGGTCGTCGATGCGACAGCTCTTGCTCTTCCTTTGCCTGTGCAAGGATCTCAGACTCGCCGTTGGCAGCCACAGGCTCTTGTTCGAGCACAGGAGTGACGCCAGACTCGCCTTCGACTTGAGCAGCAGCCGCAGATTGTTCCTCAGCTTGAGGAGCATTCTCAGCCTGGGCGTTGTCACCCATCTCAACATCTTCATTAACCTGCTCATCTCGATAGAGCCCAGTGGGAAACTTCGTGTTAGGACGCAGCATCCACGCCATAGCCTTCTGCTCATCTGACAGAGGAGTCACCTTGGATCGCGCCTCAGCCAGAGCTTTCTCTTTCCCCTCTCCAACGAGGCTCCTGTAATGGGCCTGTACAGCCGTCCACCCCATCAACTTGGGATCCACGGGCAGCTTTGTGACTCTGAACCCATGGGTGTCCAGCTGATTCTGGAGTTGCTCAATGTGAGCGGCGTTGGACTTGGTGAACTCGGGGGTCCACGGGAAGCACTCTCGATCCGTAGGCCTGACATTGGCAGAGACAAGCTCGAACCAGCTCTTGAAGTTCAAGAAGCTTGGCATGTTGCGTCGCTTGAAGACAAACTGGTACACTCTGTCCTTCTTGACCTTGAGCAACCCGCTACGACAGTTGCTGGCTTGATGATCGAGGGTATTGCAGAGCGGGCAACCCTTCATGAGCCCGTTGTCGCCAGCCTTGAGGCATGTGTCCAGACAATGCTTGTCGGACTCACACCCAACGCAAAAGAGCCGTCTCTGGCGCTTGTTGTAAGGTCGGCCTTGGTCTTGACCATCACCCTTGGGCTTGGGGCGGTTGTCTGCCTGACCGCGGCCAGAACTCTGCTGGTCCCCCTGGCCTGTAGTAGGCAAAGCTTTAGCCTGTTTTCTGGCCCAGGCTGCCTCTAACTTCTCGTCGCCCATGTCATCCAGCGCAAGAAACTTCCTTTTGGCGCCCGGCTCAAAGAACGTCTTCTCGTCAGTCATCATCAAGAAGCCTGACACGCTCTGCCCTTCTTTCCTGACTTGGCTCGCTATATCCGCGACTTGGGACAGGCAGGACTCATTATCACCGTTAAAGACAATCGCGGTGTTGTCATTAACGGTGGACAGACATATCTGGTTCTTGGCCAGCGCGCCGGTATGCTGGTTCACCGTGCCCACTCCAAGTTCGCCGATCTTGCTCTCCGACGACCCAAGCGTGAGAGTGTTGCGTGGCACGACCTTCAAAAGCTTGCTGACGGTACCAGAGCCATTCTTGGCACCTTGAGCCGACGAGCTGTGCTGTCCGCTCTGCGACCCAGCACGACTCGTCAACTCCTTGTCGAAGCCCTTGCCCTTGCCCTTGTTCTTAGGGTCATTCTGGGTCTGCTTCTTCTTGTCGTCCTTGTTGGCCATTTCGATATATGACCGTGTGTCTCACGCAAGTGCTGTAAATACTGTGTTGTATTGTAGAAATAGCGTGAGCGTGAGTGTGAATGTTGTTGTGAAGAGATTCCTCACGCGAGCTGCGAAGAGCGCTAGTCGTTACAAAAAGGTGGAGCAGAGCAAGTAACGGCGCTTGTTCATTAACCAGGCTTAAGACTCACATTAGAACAGATTATTTATCCATTATGGGTGTGATAAAATCTTAGTTTTTATAACAAAATACAATTACCATCTACTGAATGCTTATGCATTTCAACTCAATAATACACTAACTATAGAATTTAACAATACTTTTTGAGTGGTGAGGTGAGTGGATGATTGTAAAATGGCGGCGCTCTTGTTTCCTCCATCAAGTGCGATTCGTCGGTAAATCTCCGGGTTAAATTCAACAAAGACCGATTCGTTGCACACTGCAGCAAGCAATACACCGCAGCAACATACACGACACATTTTCCAAGACATTTTCTACGAAGATACACTACCCGACAACACGAAATCACCTTTGAAAATGGATGCTTTCGATGTCTTTAGTGAGAGATTAGTTCGTGGAGAAAATAATCCCGCTATCCTTGCTGCTATGGCGCGGGTTGCCAAGGCCACTCAGCGTAGCATGGAGGACTCCAAGCAACAGGCTGATCAGTCGAAGGGAGAGTATGAGGCTCGCAAGCGACTCCTTGGTCCGAAGCAGGAGTTGATCATCCAAAAGGTTGACGGCATATGCCCCACTCTCCAGGAGAAACTGGAAGTGATCGGGCAAGCTGTTGAGGATATCCCTCGTGCGTCCTTCATGGAGACCCTGACTCAAAGAGCTACAGCTGGCCTAGGTGACAAGATTGACCGAAGTGTCAATGCCATGGTGGCTGAAGTCAAGGTACTACTGGACTCTCAAACGCAAGCCATCCCTAGCCTTCAACAGATTGATAGCTCGGTTGGTGAGATGACCACAACAAGCGTAGACGCGATCGACGAGCAGCTGAAGATACTCAAGGTCGACTTGCAAGCGGCTATCTGTGCGGCGCTTACAGACCCCGTGAAAGGGCTCTCCACGGTCGCTGATGGCAAGCAGACCGCAACGGACACAATCTCGGAGATCAAGGCTGCCAGCGCCCATACGACTCAAGAGATAGGGCACTTGCAAAATGTTGTTGAAGGGACCAACAAGGAGGCCCTGACGAAGATTGATAGTTCCACTGCTAAGACCCATGAAGAGGTCAATAGCGTTAAAACTGCCATGATTACAGCAAATGAAGAGGTTCTGTCTAAGATTGGTTCTTCAGGTGCTGACATGCAAAAAGGAATCGAAGGCATTCGAAGTGCCCTGGATCAAGCAACGAGTGTCACCGCTGACGCGATCGACTCTGCCAGGGAAGGTACACGTCTGGGTCTCAAAGACATCGAAAAGACACTCGAGGGGCAATCATCGAATTTGGTGTCTATCCAGGGTAGACTTGAACAGGTTGCTACATGCACACAGACTCTGGAGGACACTTTCGACAAGAGCAAGACGGAGTCTGAAGGTGCTTGGAATAGAACCATTCAGATGATCGCCCCGCTCTCAACTGCCGACAGTCTACTCGATGCAAAGCAAGCCATTTTGATCAAACTTGATGGCGTATCTCAAGTTAGCAATGCCCAGTTATCGGGTATGGAGGCCGCCATAGAGTCCTCTTTTGGCAAGGTACAAAGGCGACTCGGAGAGCTTGACCAAGTCTTGACCGATAGGCCGACTCAGGGACAGTATCAGAGTATACTAGCTACGGCATTAGAAGTCGACTGTGATCATATCACCAGCAGGCTCGATGCCAAGATTGCCGAGTGCAAGGACATGGCCATCACGAGCATTGAGTCCTCCCTCCGGGAGTCTGACAAGACGCAGCAGGCGCAGTTCAAGAGGGACCTTGAGAGTTGCCAAACTGCAATGTGTCAAGCTGTACAGTTGGCAGCTGATCGCACAGAAAAGCTACTGAGTGACAAGGACCAGGCAATTGATCAGCTCCGGCGAGAATACGAGGCCAAGCTGGATGCTAAAGATCAAGAGATCAAACATCTTTCAGATAAGGTGGAGACTCTGAATGGCAAGTGCGATGACAAGGAGGCCCTCAACCAATTACTTAAGCAACAGGTATTAACTCGCGAAGAGCAGCTGAAAGCCCGCGATGATCTATGTAAGGCAAGAGAGGAGAATGTGCGTCAGGCGCTTTCCAAGGAAGCTTCGTCTCATCAAGAGACATTGAAAAACTTGAACAATCGCGAAAAGCAGTTCAAACGTGATCTGGAGCAGGCAACTGATAATACAGAGTCTGAGAAAAAGAAGAGATCTCACTTGGATCGTAAGTATCGCTTGACTTTGCAAGCCATCATCGACCTGAAAGAAGAACTCAAGATCCAAGAAGAGCAAGCGACAGAGGAAGAGAGGGTCCACATGGATGAGATCATCCGGTTGAAGAAGCAGCTTAGGGCACCTTTTGAAGCAAATGAGATTACCAAAATACTCCACGACATGGCATTGCAGGTCATGGAACTGGACATTTACCCAATCGAGGTATTATCCGGGCAAGAATTCGTCAGGGAGTTGGCCTCACAGCTACTTTTGACTGGAAGTGCTGGACGTTTCACTTCATTCGTGCAAGAAGTCAACGATGAAGAATGGCGTTGTTTTATTGACGTCTGCAGAGTTAACCATGTTCTGCCTCTTCCGAATAACTTCTGCGCTCAGCACGAGGACAACTGCCCAAAGGTTTGGGTGGATTTGGATCTAGCACCGGACAAGAAGGTTGTTTATTTCGAACCTTGAGGCTTTAATCTCTTTCGTCTGTATTGTATTTACGGCCAGGCAGTAGTAGATAAATTATATTGCCTATATACATTGATATGTGCCCCTTGCCTTTGCGATAAACGCATAAATATCCATGAATTGGCATTTTGGCGTGACTCGAGGCAGCCATGGGAGGGCTCGTGATACGCTAACCCAGACGTAGTCGGTACCGAATGTGCTGCTCGCTTGTCGAGCGCAGTAATATGACAAAGGGATCTTGGCGATATTAATATCGGTTTCGTCTTTCGAAAGACCTCTTGACCATCGTCCTTATCTGTGCGTCGATCGCAAATTCGCTTCGTCTCATAAAGGGAGCCTGTTTTCGACAGATCTGAACACGAAAAGGTTAGTTAATCACCAACAACATAGGCGCCAGGCGGACCATGAGAACGTACCATGTTTCTCATTGCGAAAGTGCTGTTTGAGGGCTGAGATATAGTTGAGCCAGCTGTAGAAGCCAACCGATGGTGAGGACATCCTGAGTCCCCCTGGAAGAGCAACACCCCTGCTGCCGCCTGGAGTGAAATGTGCGACGAGGCGAGGTGGCATGACGGAGTGAGTATTCAGCGAGAATCCGGGTCAGGTTCACAATCTATCATGTTGCTGAATTCACCCCCATTCCTTACCATCCCGTCCCCGATGTCGACCATCTCCAAGTGCTCTGTTCATGGAAAGAGAAATCGTGGTCCAGTGCGTACACAAGACCAGGGTCCGGAATGTTCGGATGGAGATTTCATATCATTGAGGACTCGAGTGATAAGGGAGATTGCATCTGACTCTGGCTTTTCATCGCGGATTCGGTTTGTTTATAGCAATGTACGAAATAGCTCATGCCGCTGTGAACGAACTCCTGTACTCAGCGATGTTAGCGCAAGAAAGAATGAACTGGAGAAGTTGCATGGTCTTGCTTACATGGATCCTCTCGCGATCGAGTCCAAATCCTGTCGGCAAAACTGTGTCGGTCTGTCTTGGAAACGAGCTCCCCCTCCTGTCGGTTAATGCCACCGAGAACCTCGGTGGCGAGAAAGCATGATTACCCTGGCTTGAAACTGCGACTCGGGAAATGTGCTTCAAGAATCTCTGTGAGGTGGCGCTGACGACATCGTCAAAAGATCCCGACCACAATCTCGGCGAAGGTGTTTGCGTATTGGAGAGAGCTATCTGCCCTGGGGATTGGAATCTTCGGTAAGTCGAGGCAATGTAAGCTCTAAGATATCCTTGCGGCTGCCGCGCAAACGTCAGTTTGCAGAAGGAGAGGTGTTAACTGTCGGCTTACTGAAATTTAGGAAAGAGCTCTACCTCTGTTTGAACAACCATTTCCTGGTCTTCAAACTCAATGGAGTCTTCGGTTGGCAAGTATCGTGGCGCTGTCGTTGCGGGTGAGAAGGCTTGTATAGTCATTGAGCGGAATAGACGGCTCAATAAGGCTGTAGTTGACGTGAAGTTTATGTAAAAAATGATCGCGATATCGATATTGGAGAGGGGGAGCATTCGATGGAGTGGAGAGAGGAGAAGTCAAAAGCATAACTAGCGCGTGCGCCCCCAGCGCTCACTTCTCTTGTGGGGACTGCATAGGTACCTAGCTGCTGTAGTGTCGCATTATGCCAACTGTTTGTCCCCACATGGCTGATAACAGTCCGCAAGGCTGTTAGGGAAAGTGAATCGACATATGGCTTCAGGTCTTAATTTCACGTTACATTTCACAAAGACACGCTTACTGCAAAACCTTTTGGGAATACTTCGTATTTCTCTATAGAATATGTTCCACCCACCAATTCCAGTTCTGGCCTTCGACTTCAAATTCAATCTCATCATCCCCTTCGCCGACACTGATGTCATTTCCATCAACCTTGACAAAGTCGTGATCAGCCCACCGAAGCTCAGAACCTCCAAGCAACAGGATACCATTGGGGTTCCTGAAGAACCCAACGAGGGCCCAGTCCTGATACTGGAGTGATGTTTCACAGTCCAGAAAGTCCTGTCGCTGTCCCTGCCCCCACAATGCGACAGATCGAGAAACAGACGAGGTCAGCTCATGACTCCCACCACGGTGAGTCAATTCATTGACCGTATCCTGGAATTCGGGCCATGCTCTCCCAATTCTCTCAGCGACCTGGAGGAGCAGGAAGACTTGGAAGGCATGAACTCCTTCAAGCCCAATACAGACTGATACGGCATCAAGAAACAGTTTCAAAACTGGGAAGATGCACTCAGACTCTACATCCAACCTCATTTGTATGGCCGCTAAGCAGCTGACCATATCAACAAGCGACCCCGATTCGACTGAAGCAACGATCAGAAGTAGCAAGGTAGTAAGACAGTCTGTCCTCTCCGAAACTGCTAACCTTGGATCTTTGGACCAGGACTCTTGGATCTTCCATGAACTCTGAGTGGGTAGAGCCACTGTCATCTGACTGTTCCAGTCGATACTTTCCACGATACTTGACCACTGCAGACCTGGGGGGCACTGGGTCATGACTAAATTAGCCATGGTACACGCAGCCTGGTTCGCGCCAGTCAGAGCGGACTTGTGATCCTGCTTGGTCTTGTCCAGGGCCGACTTGTACTTGCTACCCTTGGACCTGTAACTAGTCACCTGCTTCGTCAAAGAATCGACTCGGCCTTTAAGTTCCTCATTCGGCTCAGTCAGATCTTTGACCTCGGCCTCTGCATCGCGGCATTGCCTCTTCAATTGTGTTTTCTGTTGGGCCAGTTGTTTAATCAAGCCGTCTCTTTCCCTAATTGAATCACCTTTAGAAGACATATCAAGCTTCATTTTCGACAGTTGCAAGTTCAGGTTTTTGACTTCTTGCCCGAGTCCATCATTTAACTTTGCGATATCCTTCACCTCGTTGAAATAGCCATTGGCAGACCGTTGGAGGCTGTCAATAGACTCGCCTTGTTCCCGAATCGTATCTTCGGCCTCACGAAGCTCGGCTGACAAACTATCGCTTTCTTTTGTCAGTTTTGTCACCTCGGTTTTAGTCTCTTTCAACTTCCACCTAAGATCCGCCACCTCGTTATCGAGTTTGTGGATCGAGCTGTCGCGCTTCTCGCAACGCTTCCTCCAGTCTTCTGACGCGGTGAGTCTCGAATCACCGAGCTGGCGGTGATATTCGAGGTCCACACGTGCACGGTCTCGCTCTTCAATCAAGAGCTGTCGACCTTTAACCAGGTCCTCTTGTTGAACGAGCTTCTCCATGCCGCCAGCAACCTGAGCATTTAAGTCGCGAATATTGGCATCTTTGGCATCGATGTCTTTTCGGAGAGTATTGACCTCCAAGTCAAGTGCATCTCGCGATGACTCACGCTCCTTGACGGTTGTCCTGAGTTGCGTAACTTGAGCCTCCAAGTCTTTCATATGCTTGTCGTTCACAGCTTTAAGCTCAAGTTCAGTACGTTGACCATTCTCCAATTCTCTGATTTGGACTGCCTGGCGCCGTAACTTGTCGTCCTTGTCCTTCAGCTCTGATTCCATTACTTCATTGTCCCTCTTTGCCTGACAGAGCTCTGCCCTCAGGCGACCTTCGCTCGATTCAGCTTCTCGCTTCAGGTCGAGTGCCTTTTCGACCTCTTCTTCAGTCTTCTTGCGGATAGCAACCTCTTTTCGCTTCTCCTTCTCGAGGTCTTCTTGTAACTGTCGCTCGATTTCTGCCATGGATGCAATCACGACACCCTTTGCATTGGCCTGCTCTTGGGCAGAACGCAACTTGGACTCCAATTGGTCGATCTGCCCAATGAGCTCATCACGACTTGGTCCCTGAGTTGCGACTTGGCTCATTCTAGCTGTCAAGGAATCATTTGGATCTCCCGGGTTAAGCCTTGCAATGGCCTGCTCTATTTCGGGAGTCATTTCATGACCCATGGCCTCTGCGAATAATCTTACTCGAGGATGCTCCTGAATAAGCCAACCGAGAACCTCAGCCGCAAGCTCTTGGGATGTTTCGTCGTTCTCATCACCAAGCTCTCGCGCAGCCGCCAGAGTGGAGTCATACCGACGAAGCTGATCTCTCACGTCTCGAACAGTCTCGTCCACTCTGGCGTTATCGCGTACTTGAGCATGCAGCTGGGCCTCAAGTGTATCGACTTCAGTGCGCCATCCCTTTGCCTTCTCAACGTTCTCCGGAGTGAAACCTGCTTCAGTAGCACTGCTCACTGGACCTCTACGCACCTTGTCAAGAGAGTCGCCCAGCTTGCCCATGATCTCTTTGACCTTGTCCACTTTATTCTTTAAAGCAGGTCCAAAGATTGACCAGCCGCCGGGCCGCCCTCCAATAGTCGTTTGCTTGCTCATCGTGTTGCGTTATGTGCGCTGAGTTGAGTGGTAAATAGTTGTTCAGGTTGTAGCAAGAGATTTCTGAAAGTGGGAAGGAGAGAAAAGTCGCTAGCACTGTTCACGCCACATCTGGGGAATTTAGGGGGTAGGCGCACGGTGGGTTTTAGCGCTCATCCAAAACAATGCCTACCTAGGTGCCTGCTTACCTAGGTAGATAAAACATCAGAAGACCATGGCCGAATTGATCAAGTCACAACAACCAGGGTAAAGCTTTCAACAATAAAATTGTTAGTGGGGGGTTGACTCTAATCTGAGGCTTTAGAACGAGGGTTAACGCGTCTCTACTTGAGGATATGGCCATTTCAAGGGGAGCAGGCATTGCTATGTAGTCGAAATGAAATCGGCAAGACTATCACATCGCAAAGTCGCAATTGTAATACCCGATGCTAAGCAGGAAATTGAATTGTTTTATCTAGTAGCCATGCAAGAGTAGGATACACTGCTATTATATACGTGAGACCATGACAGCGACAGAATGACCGCTAATATCTTGCCCAACCAACTTCTATAACATGCAACTACCATGCGCTCGTGCGAAGGCTTGAGGTCACTCCTCAAAACGCTGCCAATGCTAATGAATCAATTCATCCAAAACAACTACCCCATTCAATTCCCCAGACGTGGCACCATTTCCCTCTGCTCATATCCACTGCTGACTCGCAAGTTCACAGACTTGGAGGGGCAGAACAAAACACACTGCGGCCGAGTTTGCTGATCAGCTGTCACAACGAGTTTCAAGGATGTTACATGCAAGTGCAACTGTTACTCAACCAACTGTCGACTCTTTCAATGATGGACTGTTGACTCGCACAATGACTTAACAATATATCCAAGCTGAGCCATCATCAAGTCCTCTGTCTGGAAGAAGTCGTAGATACATGCTGGATCTGGATTAGTCAATAAGCTTCTAGAGTCTGGTGAAAGATTACCTTAAAGAGCGTAGGTATATCGAATCTTTACAGCAAGACAACAACGGCATTTCAAGCCGTCTTGCACTCACACTATGTGCCTAAAACAGACTTGAAGAACGCGAGTCGCAGAGGTGTAAAAACTCCGTGGGCCGGCGCCCCATGATGAAGACAGCGTTTTGGGTCCCCTCTTAAACACTTGGGTGGTCTCTCGAATCTAGCCAATGGCACCAGAGGAAAGTCGCATTGTTGTAATGTGATGGCAATGGCGAAAAAGTGCACATACGTCATCAGATTCAGAGTTCTGTCTGGTAGTGGGGAAACTGGCCTCAATGGCGGTACTTGGCAAACAGCACGCTGGTAGGGGATGTAATTTGATAGATACTATCGATAGGTCTTAGTCTAATGTGGCGATAGATGCTCGGCCGTAGTCGAAACCCATGGGACTAATGTTTGGGCGCCTTGTTCACAATGGCGGAGGAGTGTATGTCAACGTTGGTTCCTGATTCGGTGGAGTGGGAGGTCTGGGGGAGACTATTGACTGCGAGGGAAGCGCAACGGAGAGTAAGCTTGTACTGGTAGCGAGAGTTTTGTAGCGAGTGGGAGGATATTGACAAGCCGAGTAATGCGCAGTATGCCTGGACACTTCATCTGACGGCTGCGGAGAGGGCTTCGGTAGCAACACCTATTCGTAGCACCACGAAGAAGTTCATCCTGTGGAACGCCTACGTAAGCCAGGGAGCTGGAAACGGGTTGTCAATCTTACCTAGTATGTGTCGCTACATAGAAGAGGATGAGTTCGGGGAGAGCATTTACAGAAGCCAGAAAATGATTCGGCATCCGCCAAGAAATATAATGAATCTTACATTTTAGTGGTCCAACCAGTATGTCATAGCCCAATATCAGCAGAAGTGATCTGCCTTGGACCGGGGAGGTCAAGGAGTGTTGGAATTTCCGTTCGCATCGCTCATCAGCAACGGACGGCGTATGTGATTCCTGGTAACTATTGTCGTTTTTCGTGCATGTGAAGCCACCAGGGCTATCAGGACAAGGACCGTGTTGTACAGTGAAGGCCGGGCAATCCAAGTTGCTTTTGACGGATGGCCATTATAAAGTGAACGGGCTACAGGGACAACTGCATCAAGCTCTGATCCCTTCGCTTCTGAGTCGACAAATGCAGGCTCAGGCCCCTTATGATGCTCGAAACTCAGTCGAGGCAATCGTCGATGCAAAGGATCGATGCATGAGTCCTCGGAACACGCCACAAGACCCGTGTTGCATGGGAATGGACATGCGATGAAAGTGATGTCGAAAGTCACACGTCAATCGCTGAGTCTCTTGAGGTTGGTGCCACACTTTGATGTATGAAAGGGATGTAACATCAGCATAAAATGTTCGATAGACAATGGCGTTGCAAGCTAGCATCAGAAAATGAGTTGACTTTGCTAGGTTCTGGCTGGCTTTTGAGTATTGAAAAAGGACGTTGCCATGCAAAAGTCTTGAGATAAGATCTTACCTAGTCCTCATTGAACTTGTGACCCGTCCCAAAGGAATCACGTAGTTATGTATGGGAGTGGGTGAGATATCCCTTGTCAGAGCGTTTGTCATTAAGAGACTTTTGGGGTCGAAACATAGAAGGGTAGAAGGCAATATATGTTCCCGTTGAGCTCTCAACTGTCGATTTTTCGCGCGAGGTGGATCGAATGAAGATTTTCTGTCTGGTGAAACAGGGTCCGAGGGTAACGATCGTGGGCTTATGGTACCCTGACCAGAGTCAATCGACTGTATTTCCAAGAGTTTGATAGAGACTTACCACAGGAGACTTTCATGACCGTATCGTTTACATGTTTGAAATTCCGACGTCATTGTATAGTCTCAGTCAAGGTTTCAGGGGGAGAAAGAGTATCCACGTACAGGGTCTGTGTCTGGGGTATATGCTGGACGACAGAGTGAGTGACGGAGTCTTTGAAACCGAGTGAAACATTGCCTGGGGGGGAGGGGGGGCTGAGTATATTCTATTGGCCCCTTAACATCAGAGAGACAATTCAGCTCATCTTGCAGATAGGGTGAGTGCATAAAAGTGACTCAGACGGTGCCAAGCTGGAGATATGAGAACTTCGGGGCCAGCGTGCATGGCGAAGATAGCTGTTTGAGTCTCTGTTTGCCGCTTGGCCCTAGCCAGTAGTCTCTGAAGGGCGCTGCTTTGTTTTGTCAGCAGGATGGCGGTAGAGATGTGCGCATGCGTTACCAACTTCGAAGTCTTGTCTTGTGGTGAAGTGGGCTCGACGGCGGTACATGACAAACAGTACCTTTTCGAGGGATTCGACATGATATGCTCGAATCTGAGGGCCTAATCCCATGTAATGACAGATGGTCGACCATGATTTGCGCGATTGTCCATAATATCGGAATGAGTGCGACGTAGAGGACATGTACAGGAAGGTACTTCACCGTGCCGAAAGATGTGATAGATTGGGTAATCGATCCTGTGCCAAGGTTTGTGATGTCACCTGCTTGTGTTATGTGATGTCGTTGGGTCAAGAACGAATCCCCCCTCGTTTTGAAGTCGAGTCATGGCCCCATACGCTTTGCAACTGGAGAACAGGACTCGCCCTGTGATCTGATCCACTGGGGCATGTGTAGCTGGAACACGACATGCTTGGAAAAGGATTATAGTCGCAATGCTTCGGTGCCCATCTAGTGGGCATCGACATAACCTTCTGCCTCTTTAGTGTTGAGGCCCGGTCGGAGAAGGGCCAGAGGGCTTCGGGCTGTGAAGGGGGCGCGATGGGTGATAAGCCTGTACTGAGAGACGGAGGTACTACGGCGAGGCAGGAGGTCTTGAAATGTCGAAGGATGTGCAGTAAGCCTGGCGGCGTGGGGGAGCGCCTTCTGGAGCACCGCCCAATATAGCTTCATCCTGTGGAACATTGATGTTAGTCTGACAGCCGCAACTTATTGTCCGTTACTTAACGAGTGTCATCACCTCGAAAGGGGTGATTTCGAAGAGGACCATCTCTCGAAGCGGCTTGAGACCTGTTCTCCTCACCGCTTTGCGTAAAAATGGAGAGTCAATTCACCAGCATCACCATCAACTCAGACAGTTCAACTTTGGCATCATTTGAGAAAACTCGATACTTGCTCATGAATATGTAGAACTGATGTTCCTCCTTTGCGTGGTCACATCGTCTCAATTTGAGCCAGTCAAGAGGGCACCGGGTGACCGAAGGGTCAGCATTGATCGGCTTGGGCGTATAGACCATGTGGGTGTCGGAATAAGTCGCTGAGGATCCCAAGAAATGTACAGTCGGTCCAAAATATTGTTTGATGCCTGTTTTGATCTACTATGTTAAGCGTCGCCTGATCCATCGACCTTCCTGGTGATAAGCGCGCGATCTTGGTTGAGTAGAGGGAGGCTGAAAGGTTCGTTTGGGGTTCATAGAAAGCCTGATACAAAGGTCCCCAAGGGTGGCCTGAGATGTGCGGACTGGTCGAACAAAGTGAAAGATTGGACGTGAATGCCATTGTCGGGTGTATGAACAAGCAGAGAATGCCGTGTAGAAGATCATCAAAGTGGTACGCGGCACTGCTGAAATGGTCGGGTTCTTTGTTCCTGGGATCTGGTAAACGTCAAGAGCCAGAGGGTCTGGCCTACAAACGGCTTGATCGGGGAGGAGCTGTATGCGGCACAGTTTGTTGAGTTGCGGCTGTGGTGTGGTGTGGTGAATTGAGGTGAGACGAGAGCACAAATTAAGATTGATGCTGAGAGTGGTGAAGTTTATGATTGTTTATGATGGAAGGCCATCTACAGACACCAGGTATTCTGTAAAAGCTTGCTGGTCCTCTTCGGGAGCAAATAATAGCAGTAGGAGCATAGGTGAGATCTCGGTAGTGGTAAAGGAGTGCCCAGAGACACTCTTTCGTACATGTCCATTTCTGAGGCGGAGACGGATGTAGACTAATGGCAAAGAGGAGACACTTTGAAGCTTCATCAGGGGTCGTGTGCAATGAAGCTGGATTCACCGCGGATCAGGGGAATCACACTCTATGATGCGCTTCGGAGTAAGAGTATTCGAAGAGACCGATGTGCTGAAGAAAACTGTTGTGTTCACTCTTCAGCCTCGATGTCCAATCGTGGGAGTAGTAAGTAAGGCATATTTGAACAAATAATCCTTTTCCCTGTGACTTGGAACTGGTTTCGATCGAGGGCTGACGCCTTTTCTTCGCCTTATTTAAACAACACGGACAGACAATTGTTGAGGAGCAAGCAAGCGAAATTGGTAGTGGACGCCTAGTCGTATCGTGAGGTTGCAGTCTTGATGGTATGATGCAAGCATGGCCGTGTGGTACCAGGCGCTCTGTATGAATTTTCGGCAGATGGGTTTGACTTTCGTCGGATAGGAACGGGTAAGATCTCCTACGGAATCAAGGATTAGCTTCATTCGGCGATATTGCACCAAAGAAAGAGCCAGGCCCCCTGAAAGGGAGTGTACTTGAGAATGTGGACTGTGGACTTGATGGGCGGCTAACTTCAGAGTCGCCGACAAAAGGATGCCACGGAAACTGAGGCAGTCTGTATTGATGCGACTTTGACGAACACTTGCATCACATAAAGGTTGGGTGTTGCGATCCTTGACCAAAGTGATAATTATCAAAATCTTGTGATGGTCAATGCGTATGTTGCGATGTGTTGAGAGGAATGTGTGTGTACCTATTTGTGACAAAGGGCTCAGGCCGGATATACGGGTAAGTGCCTCAGGCACCCTCAACGCGATGCACTTGCCCCCAATCATCAACCCCCACCAATCACATCACACGCTCAAAAAGCCGCTCCCAGATGCAAAGAACGACAAACGAGTACAAGTCACCTCGTGCGTCGGCATCCACATGCACGAATCTTCGAACCCTCGTCATTTCACCAACTTAACTTGCACAAGAAGCACAAAGACGGCAGATCCATATTTCCCTGCAAATACCATTGGAGCACTCCCTAGTGAGCCGGTCAGTGCTGTTTGGCGCATCTTTGGGGTCCGGTAAACTAGTCCATATCTTGACGACACTATATCACCCAAACGGCTGACTGGCCAACTTCAATTTGCAGTGTCCAAGTTGAGCAGTATCTGTCAGTTCTTCAATGGCGAAACCCAAGTATGACAAGTCAGGCATCGTGCTGTATGTCATAGACTCATTGGACATCCCCTGACTTACCATCAGTGAGTCTACATACTCGATCATGGACCACAAGAATTCACTAATTTCGCAAAGTTTGGCAGACGGTATTTATATTATATGTAGGGTTCAAACCAACACAATGCGCCACTCCGCACCCTGTCGTATTTTCGACCATCAACAATTCCGATGACGATGAGAACTGCGATGCAAGGCCAACGTGAGGCAAGGAAAGAAGTGTACTCAGGCCCCTCAGCGGAACCTCTCAAGCAAGGTCATAAGCCCGCCTGCTTTTCAACCCTAAACAGGATTAGCACGGAAGTCGCCAACACGAAAGAAGAGTACGGCAAAAAGATGCGATCCAGGATCAACTGTTCCGCAAGCCAAACTGGATTACTATTTCATGTCAGCAAGAGTCTTGCCGACTCTGCTGTTGTCCTTGTTACCATATCGTGCAGTACGGGATTTCTTTGCCTGCGGAACTTGTTTCGTTATGTTTTCCCTCAAGCTCTCATCCTCATGTGTTGATCAGTCCGCACCAGATGCGAACAACACGCGTCCATTCACATCGATTCAAACGCTCAGTGTCCAGTTCCCAATGTTGTCAATTGTCTCATAATCACATAAAATCTATCAATCTATACCATATACATCTTCCCCTGAAAAGTCAATCAGCGTAGCTTCATTCGCGACAAACTCCTCTTCCCAAGTCTGTTTCTCTGAATGTCGTCTTTCTAAACCACGTTTTGATATCGGGAGTCTATCGCGGAGTGCGTCTTGTTTCGTGTCCTTCGTTAAGTCGCCTGCTTTGGTCGTCATTCCTCGTTCTGCGGAGTTGATCTTGGTCGTCAGGCCTGTTTCAGCAGTGTTGGTCAGGCCGCCCTTCGTGTCGGCTAGGTCTTCTCTTGCGTGGTAGGATTCTCCTTGCGTGTAGGCTGGTGAGGGTTCGTCTTCGTCGTCGAGGGTCTTGGCGGGTCGTAATTTGTCGGATTTTGTGGTGATGGTTGTGTCTGGTACACGTTCACTAAGCTGTCAGCCTTCCATCACTGAAAACTTGCAGTGAGCAACTTACCTGTTTACACGCCAGTACGGCGACGCTTCTAACAATTCCAAGTCCACAATCCCCTCCGCATCCAAAATCTTTGGAATAACATGTTCGCGACCAACAGGTATGTTCAAAATACTTCTTACAAGGCTGACCGCCTGTTCAGACACAGGTCCAGTGACACTTGTCTCGGGGTCCGTCATGATCCACTCGAGCAGCCGACGGGGGAGCACTGTCTGTTTCAGGATTTCCCAATTCTCGTCGTCGGCGTACACGGTGAAGCCGACTGTGTCTTTGATATCGAGACCGCCCATGGGGTTGACGGCGGTTATAAAGGCGCTGCCGGAGCGGTAGATCAGTTGTGATTGGAAGCCCGATGCGAGGCGGACTTCGGAGTGCTCGAGGGTTTCGCGGAGCCAGGATGTTGCTTTTGGCGTGGATGTTCGGGGGCTTTTGAAGTGCACGGCGATGCTGGGGGGGTTAGTGGGAGTAGAGGTTGGGGGTGGGGGACGTACCGGAGAAGTTGGTCGGCTTTTGATGAGAGTTCGTCGGGGAGTTCGATCGATTTGAAGTTCTCATCGGCTGGACCTTGGTCTTCTACATGTCGTGAGAGATACCGTTGGTCAAGACCAGCCCAGACGAGTAGGTTGTCAAGCATCCAAACTGTCTTGGGATCAAAGTCCAACAAGTTGAGTTTCCCTGTGAAGGCCTCTTTCAAGTTCTGTCGGTCGGCAACTGAGAACTCCATCGTCGAAGCGCACAACAACACACCATCCGCCGTCGAAACGGGAAAGATGTTACTCCGCACGAACCGCTCCTTGTCGAAGATGTGACCGAACTCGGGTATTCGTTGACTCACGGCGACAAGAAGACCTCTAGCTGTGTTGTCGCGGGAACAATCCGGACTCAACGATGAGACGTTCATGAGGGTGTCGAAGATCAGACCGGAGTCGTTCTGTTTCACGTCGAGAAAGTTGACAAAAAAGTCGTGGAGCTCGGGGTAGTGTTTGCTCAAGTCGTTGATTTCGGGGCTCTCGAGTTTGGGTGACCATGTACAGTCGGCGGCGTTGAGCCATGTCACAGCTTCGCCAGGCGCGGTGGCGATGATGGCTTTTTCAGCGAACGCAAGTCTATTCATGTTAGCAGTGAGACTTCATGAGTCACGGTCAACTCACTTGAGATCAGCGGCATCGTCCGGTGAGAGATCTAGTCTCATCTTATCCAACGCACGATACAACTCATCCGTCAACCAAAGATCCGCAGGGTCGAGTTCGGCATCAAAGTCGCGCTTCTCCAAGACATCGAGGATCGTCCGATAGCTCGCATTTTGAAGCCGTAGCGTCTGTGTGTAAAACTCTCGTAATGACACGAGCTCCGACTTGCTGGCATCCCAATCTGACGGCACTGGGAAGACTGGTGACTTTGAGAGTGTGCTGGATATCTCGCATGTATCTTCCAATAAGCATTCGCTGAGCGGTCTCCATATTGGGTGGACATAGACTAGCTGCTCTTTCTCAAACGTGTTCCTGGTCGCGTGAGCATGTCATCATGAACTTGGCATTCATACATACCTGACTTTTTGTTGGCTCGCTTCAGGATCTTTGGAGTCTTCACACTCTGCTTGTATCCGAAGGTAGAGTTCCAGAATGCGGCGAGGAAATTCAACTGTTGACGCTTTCGTTCGTCGTATCCGTACCAACATCTCGAGAAAGAAGTCTAGGTCATCATGATACTTGGCAAACGCTCTGAGACACCTCCACTGACCGAATCCCCCCTCAGCTCGTATTGGCGGATCAAGTCTGAGAAACGGAAAAGGCTCTCCTTCCAGCATATATCGATTCCGGAGGTAATGCAGCTTGGGCAGCGGGATATACGAGTTCCCCAGAGGCCTGAACTTTCCATCTTGACAGAGCACACGTATGGCCTTGATATCGAACATGGAGTCTGGGTTCTCCTTGGCGTAGATCTTGTCTCTCTTCCAGGCCTGCTGGAGATAGTTGAGGAACTCCTCCGGGTGCTGCTTGGACATCTCGATGCATTTGGGCGCTACGGAGCGACCCCGCTCGCTGAACTCGAAGAGCCGGGGCTCTGAGGCTCCGAAGCCTCCATAGCTCCTGGAAGAAGTGCTGCTGGTGTCTCCACGATCGCCACGCAGTAATTGCATCGGAAATGGTGGTGTTTGTTATTTTCGTCAAGGTAAGGGACTCCCCAGATCAGATCTGGAGTCGGGTTGCAAGGCAAGCAGACTCACTCACTCACCGACAATAGCCTTTGACGTGGCCATAGTGGAGACGGCTACAGGGGGGAGGGCGGAAAAGACTAAATTCCGATGGGCCAGCCACCAATCAGAATGTCGCTTTTCTCAATTTTTCATCGCCTTATCGTGGAATGGTCTCCGCATAAGCATTTGTTGTTGTCAATTCTGCCAAATCGCTCAGACGCGGAGAGAAAGACGTGACATGATGATTCGCTACGTCATTTCCGTAAAAAGCATGATTGGTTTGCCCCTGACTTACCCTGTAACCCTCGATGAGGGGATTTGTCAGCCTCTATGATATGACATCCGTGAAATGCATCGAATCTGATTAAAATTTCTTCAATCCTGACAGAACTTTAAATATTTTTCTTGATGGATCAGCAGGAGACAGGGGACTCTAGCGCTGACTAGGGTAGATCCGGGACACCACTAGTAGAGACAAGCTTTGCTATAGGGTGAGCATCAATTTTATGAGGTCGCCAAGTTCAAATGCGAAGAGCATCATTAAACGGGCACAAGTACGACCTTGAGTGAGCTAAAAGTGGGGTTTAAAGTGTCTGCGTGAGATTGCGTCGTTTAATGGTCTCATTTTTATCTCAGAACTGAGCACATGGAATGATCGCGATGAAATTCTCTTATACTAAGAGGTGAGACTAACACAGCGATCTCGCAACCAACAATGAGCAAATCTGGGGAAACCAGAACAGGGTTATATTGGTAAGACAACAAACTGATCAATCTCATTTACCTCAACCTACTCCTGCGTCACAAGGGTAAATTGTTTGCGATCTCGTGTTATCCGATGACCGCACCTTGACCGATGTTTAGCCATTCCGGCCCGTCATCGCGGGTGATCTTTCACATGCTTACTGCCACATTAGGAGATACCGCAAGCACGCTTAACCAACTTCAGCTTAGATCTACTCGGTCGCTTGGCGTGCCAATTCGAAAGGAGTAGAAACGCCAACTGGGCTGTGCCAACTTCCCCAGACACGGACATAGACAGGCATTGAGTCCCCGAATATAAACATCACTCACTCCCCATCTTCAACCTTCAATCGTCACAGTTTCAACAATGACGACAGTTACACAGACCGACACGAGGTCAGAGACCTTTGAGCTTCGAAGTTCACCTAGTCCAACGCGGAACGTGCTCCATGGCGCTGAACCTCCGCATTCATCATCGAAGCCAAGTACCGCCGAACTTCTGAAGATTCTCAGCGCTGGGTTCAGTTTCTTCGTCGCTGGTGTTAACGATGGAAGTATCGGTGCTTTAGTACCTCATATCATTCGAGATTACAATGTCACGACGGCAATTGTATCATCAGTGTGAGTAGCATTTACCCAAGCCAGCTCAACTCTTACTGACCATGACAGTTACGGCGCGAACTTTATGGGTTGGTTTTTCGGCGCTTTCTCGAACACTCATCTTTTTCAAATCCTCGATCTGGGCTCAATGCTCACTCTTGGTGCTGTTCTGCAAGTCATCGCTCATGCCCTTCGATCATGGAAGCCGCCCTTTCCTCTGTTTACCATCACCTTCTGGCTCGCGAGCCTGGGTCAAGCATACCAAGATACACATGGGAACACGTATGTATCAGGAGTGAAGGGCTCTCATAGGTGGCTGGCGTTTATTCATGCGATGTATATGGCTGGTTGTCTCGTCGGACCATTCGTCGCGACCGGTGTTGCATCGGCTGGAAGTACGTCGAGATGGTACTTATTCTACACGTTCCCACTTGGAATTGGTGTCTTGAACGTCGCATTTGTGGTCTACGCCTTTTGGGACACTCTGAGACTGAAGAGAAAGCAACCGCCGACCGAACGTACCCTCGAGGCTGATGAATCGCCTGCATCAAGAAATGACGATGCATTTTCGTTGATCAAGGAGACTCTCAAGAACAAAAACGTCTGGCTCATCAGTCTTTTCTTCTTCTTCTTTCTCGGCGCAACTCTCACCGCCAGTGGATGGGTTGTCGAGTACTTGGTCGAAGTCCGCAACGGCGACATCAACCAGATGGGTTTTGTGCCCGCTGGTTTCAGTGGAGGATCATTGCTTGGAAGACTGTTTCTTGCGGAACCCACGCATCGTTTTGGAGTTCGCCCGATGATATTCGCTTTCACGATTCTTAGCATTGGTTTGCAAGTTTTGTTCTGGCTGTAAGTCTTTCGTCGTGATACTGAAGATCGAGCTGACGCTTCCAGGGTTCCAAACATCATCGCCGCTTCAATCGCCATCAGTCTACTCGGCTTCTTCATGGGTCCATATTTCGCGACAGTCAGTTCTCTATCTTATTCTCAAACGACTCAACTGACCAGACCAGGGTATCGCCGTCGGCTCGAAACTCTTTGCCCCGCGCATCAAATCAACAGCATTGGCATTTGTCTTTGTTTTTGCGCAGCTCGGAGGTTGTCTGTTCCCAATTATCACCGGCCTTATCGCCGCCAGCGCTGGAGTCTCGATTCTTCAGCCTGTTCTCTGTGCACTTTTGGTTGCTACGAGCGTTTCTTGGCTGTTCGTCCCCATGCCGAAGGAAGGAGACAATCCGACGCTGCACCAGGAGTAGTTGAACGTGTTGCGTAGAGGAGGAAGCGCAATACTCTGCTGCCTTGGATGTTTCGTGCTAAGTGAGGATGATGAGGAGGGTTCGAGGTTATATACGAGAGCCGATCTGGGTAAATTAAGAAAGCTGAGGCAGTGACAAGGGGATCATCACAAACAGGCGAGTCGTTACTTAGGCTTGTGAAAGAAGAATATATCATCACTGAGGTATGAGTTTTGTCTTCTAGCATCATATCTACTTCTTCACTCAGTATATCTCTGATGAAATCAACTTGGCCCACCACGTCCTTTTCTGAAAGAGTATCTCGACTCCTGCAGCAGGCCAAGAGAGGCAATCAAACTCCAGGTCTCTATCCTAAATGAGAAAAAGACTTGAGTAAATTCAGTATAGACTTAGTAGATCTCGGAATACTCATTTTCGGTACCTTGACTCAGGACCAGAAGTTTTACTGCTCCCTCAGGCAGGCTTCATGCAATGCTCAGTTCATTTCACGCTGGCCTGGGGCATGAGCCGCCTGCTTAGCAACGTCTTTGTGCTCAACCAAAAGCAGAACCTTCCCAAGCTTCCCTCCCTCTCCCCTTGTCGAGGTTAACTTATATTTGGATTTTTGGGATGATAATATACTCAACAACTCCGAGAAGAAATGTGGACGCAAGTCCGGCGCTCAATACAGATGGCTTCCACCGTCAGTACGACATATGACAACAGCAGCGGCTTGTTAGGAACCTGATCAAGGTTTGGATAGTGAATCTTGGAAATGAGAAAAAGGAGTCTTGCCAAGTAGCAGGGTTGTTTGTCACCATAAAGCACACACTGAATGGCATCCACTCGAGACCAAGAATGGGAAAAATCAAGTCACCCATCCTTTCAACCCACTTCCATTTCCAAAACACCAACTGACAAAATTGAAATCCACTTGGCCAAGTCATTCACAGAACGGTTGTCGGCATCCTGCCAAGATCGTTGCGGGGGAGGTCGAAACCCAAACCTCTGGCTCAAAACGTTTCATCCTCACTTTAGAGACAACGACAATCGGCCGTTCTGTATAAACAGGCTAAATCAACGTTTCGAATCGTTTCGGCTTTAAATTTCGAGCCAATCACGTTTCAATCAATTGCAACCATATTTCTAAGCTTCAAACGGTTCCTACAAATAGTAGAAACCAAACAGTTTCAGTGGTAATAGGACGGAGGAGCGTACTGGAAAGAGAAGAGTTCTCTGAATCTTTAGACGAGACGGGTTCTTGAGTGTTTAAGCGAGCGTTTGTTTAGTCTCAATGGAGACTTGTGACGGTCGCTTGCTTGAAATAGAAGCTTCAGTGGGTGCGAGGCCTGGCTTTTGGCTCCCTCTCGAGCTTTTAGGGTTTGAGGCTATTCTTGTATTTCTTGGCTTCATTCAGGTAGAGAGTATAAGTACTACCTTGTATTCTGTCTTCTTATACTCCTCTATCATCTTGTACTCAGTCTTCATTTAAGCACATAATCTGCATCCTTCCACAGTTCATTTTCTTGATACCCAGTACGAACACATTCCACAAAATGCCTCTGCTTCGAGATATCCACAACCGACGTGCAACACGCCAAAGACACATCAACCCTCACCGAATCCTCGCCACCAGTCTCCTTCTTCCGGCACTCGCCTTGGCCGATGACGAGCCTACATCCTCAACGAACCAAGTCTCGGAGCCCTTCGTCGATCAAGTGACAGGCCTCACAATGGAGCGTTTCTTCGGAGCCCGAACATCATTCACATTTGCCTTGGTCTTACCCAATGCCGCGCCAACGAACGGAACTGCTGGTTCTTTCATCGGACAACTACAATTTCCGCTGGCAAACGGTGAAGGATGGGGTGCAGCTGGTTTGACGGGAGATATGGAGGGCAACTTCATCCTCGCCGCATGGCCGGATGGAAAAGGAGGAGTTATGGCTTCGTTTCGACAAGCGATCGACGAAGATAACCCTGCGGAAGTCAAGGGAAACTTCAAAGTGAGACCTTTGCCAGATGGAGTTTCTGTCAACGAGACTTCACTCCTGTACACATTCCTCTGCGAGAACTGCCTCGACAGCACATTGGGCCTTGGCCCCGAAGCCGCTGTTGGTAACGCAGTCATGGGCTGGGCATTGTCCGAGAGGCCTCCCAGGGGAGACCCCTCCAACCCTGGCGCATTCCTTGGTTTCCACGAGAGGGGCTTTGGACCTTTCACCGCTCGATTGGCAGAAGCCAAGACAGCGGGCTTTGATGCCGTTGCGGCCAAGGCGCATGATCCGGTTGGTGACTCTGGAAGAGCTGTAGCAACGGTACCCAACGCGTTTCTGGACGGCGGGAGCGATGATGAGGATAGTGGCGATGAGGGGGCGGGAACGGGAGGTGGAGTTGGAGGTGGCAATGATGTTGATAGCGACTCTGGAAATGATTCAGGGGATGAGGACGATGACTAGACGGAATATTTGAACTGAGATCAGTTAGCATGTCTTCAAAGTTGTAAATCGTTGGTTGAGCCGGCGTCTATACTTGCAATTAAACAATTACACTGAGCGTACCTGAAAACGATACTTATTGAACCTTGAACCGTCATGTTGTGAACAACGCCCGTACATGAGCTCAGCCAGCCACGCCTGATGCAATACGAGTCCAGCTTGTGAGAGATCCTGAAAATGTCTGCCAAGCGGGAAAAGCGAATGAGACAATCATCTTCACGGCAGCCCCCCGAATGTAAGGGGACCTTTGTGAATTGTCGCGCAGGAATGAATTTATTCAGGCGCGCTATCCACATCCTCACTGGATGTCTTCTCGGCAAAGCCCTGATGCGCATTAGTGATCCTCCGACCTTCTTCTTCTCCCAAGAGCGCGTACATACCAACAGACTCTTAGCTTGTCGTGAGCTAAATGCTGATTCGCGGGTCCGAGTCTACGGCCAAAAGGGTAGGGGGAACCGCTTCAGCTGGTCCCTGTTGGTATTGATCGACAGCGAGTAACGGTCCTATCTACTCACAGATAGCTCCGAACACACAACGATCCCGCTGGTGCTCAAAAAAAGCCCCCAGATGTCATTTATAGTATGAGCGGTGCCCCATGAACATCCTTATGTATAGACTTTCCTCTCGGGCGAGAAACGGCTTGAGGCTGGGGAACCACCACGAGAGGTGCGCCTTGATGTGCCGGGGTCGCGATACCCTCCATTATGTGTCAAAGATATCGTTGGTTGCGGCAATGGGTCTTTATTGGTGCCTGGGGGAATCTGTCCTGCCATTCTTGTGTGGTTGTGAGTATAAACTGGGAGATAGGATGATGTTGTGATGAAGTTGAGCACAGAGATTGAGTCCACGCTTGGCTGCAAGATGAGTGGGGCTCCATTCAATTATTGGGCCAACTGTTGTGGAGCAGTTGATACAACTGGGACGAGGCAACCCAGGTAAAAGAATTTGATCAACGGAGTCAAGACGGATACTATTTTCACGAGGCAAAGATTGAGGTTGGTCAGGACCGACAATTAATTATGCGACTGCAAATGAAATTGGCTCTACCTACACGAGCAGTCTACTACCAATCTACTACTGAAAGACTCGCCATGCAGTTGTCTAGAAGTTGACCTCAGAAGAACTGCATGTTCTCTAAAGTTCAGCCTGACTACAAATGTTTGTGTGTATGGACAACTTCATGGGATCGTCGTCAGTAGTCAGTACCGTACACCTCCATGGTGTCTGTGTCTCCACCTCACTCAATCTACTTATAACTGCAGGCGTACAGCAGCATGAACTGGCCGTCAACCTTGTCCTTCAGACTCCACTGTTTACCCTCAGACTTGGGCCACGACATGCGGCACTCACCCAGGTAGTCGTACGTCTTAACCTGGTCAGTTGCCATGTTGACGGCAGCGAAGAGTTTGTACAGACAGAGGCCGCTTGAGGAATAAGCTTCATGTACGGGGACAGCCATTTCCTTCAATGTCGAGAAGGCGAAGGGTGTCTGATCCTTCTGAGTGGAGTAGATGACACGGATCACAGCCGGTCGCGCGGTCATCTCGGTGCGTCGCGCGGCTGGTGGTTCGGATGGAATGCTAAACCCGACCGGTGGAGTATCAGATCGCAGAGCCACCTGAGTGCGTCGCGAGGCTGGTGGTTCGGATGGAATGTTGAATACGACTGCCGGAGTATCAACAAGAGCCGGGAGAGAACGAACATTGACTGAGATTCTTGGTGCGAAAGACTGGAAGTTCAGATCGATGTGCTCTTGGAATGAAATACCAGGTGTCTGTCGTCGATTGACAGTCAAAAGAAGTTTCTCGGATATCGCAGCGTGTCCATGGATGACAATACGAAACTCGGGGGTGGACCAGATTGTGTCTGTCATAACTTTGGAGGCGGCAAGCTCATCGAACCGGGCTGAGTGGGACACATCACCCTTGAAGGCATGAATAGCATCTTTCTTGGCTTGGACCCATTCCTTGTGTACTTCAGGATGAGTCTCATCGATGTCCAGCCATCCGAGTTTGAGGATCGGGTTTTTGGCTTGACCCTCGCGGTTGGAGATGTTGTTGACCTTGTCGAGGTACTCTGACGGCATGTGAGAGTAGATGTGTCGAATGACGACAAGGAGGCAGTCAAGGCCACTGGTATTGTGTCCCACATCGCTGGCGCTGGTGACAGATGGGAGCTGTGCCTGGAGCTTAAGACGAATCAGATGCTCGGCAGAAGCGCGCCCGTAAGGGTCGATCACACCTGCATGGCTGTCGCCATCTCGGAGGTCCTTGCTTGACTGCATGACTGAGGACGACACCAGAGTTGAGTACAGTTAGATTGGGTTGAGAGTTTCGAAATAAAATTTGTGTACAATAATCCGTCAGCATGGCTCAATCTAACTGCATGGCGAAACCAAGGTTGCAAAGATCCTGCGTTGAAAGAAGAAGTGTTGATGATGACGAACCTGAAGAGTGTCTGGCAGCAGTTGAGCGATGTCGAGAGTCTCGTTGACGAAGACTCGAGAGTGAAGGTATCGAGGGAGCTCAAGCAAAGTATGCGAGCATGAAGTTGAGGAAGAGAAAGAAGAAGCGGGTGCGTGGCATTTCATATTTACATGCCCTCCAGCTCGGGTGTGTTTCGGTCAGTGCGTTTTACCCTGAGACCCACATTAACATCGCTAGCTTGTTACCGTGATTGTGACGGATGTCTTCTGTGCACGCTCTAGCAGCTCTTCACTGTGCTACAGGAGGTAGGTATTGTACCTATTCGCATGGATTCACTGACCACAACCACAAGGGATTATGAGACGTCTCCACTGCTCTCAATGCTACTTAGAGGGTCTAGATCTCGATCTATGTGAAAGAAGGTTGATTCATGTTTGAGGGCTAAACCATAAATACTTTTCAAATTTGCCACCCCCTTGTTCAACGCATGAGTGATGAGGAAGTATTGTTTAATGTTCTGAGTACTGAGCGAAGAGGGGAGTTCAGGGAAACGATGGTGATGCTCAGGTTTGGCCGCCCCAGTAACCTAGAAAACGGAGTGAACTTGGGGTGATACAAGTGATTGCATCATGATACGGGAACACGATGCGCGGAGCGCGCTTTCATTCTTGATCACAATATGGAGATAAGTTTAACTACAAAACAGCGCGGGATGCCATTGGGCCGAATGTATTGTCGGCGGTTGTGAATCATGTGACAAGAGACCGTAAAACAGACTTGGATCGAAGAGGTACAGTCGAGATCAAACTGTTTTGGTGATATCACGGGACGGGAAGCGCTGACTTACGAACTCTCCTTGACCGGCTGGAAACCGCTAGGTTCTTCTCTACTGCTGAAATATACAGAGGGAGGATCGCTCAACCAACTGAGCTGCTCCACGAAAGCCCACTGTCCTCCTTGACTCCCTGAAAATGCTGGAGTAGAGTCTTCACCTCACCCTCAGCCGAAGTGTTGATCATCACCTCCCAAGACCGCACAATCTCCCAAACCTCAAGAAGAGTCTGTCGTGCAGAAACAATTGGGTGAATGTGCTCAGACTCAACAATGGTGACAAAGACCCTCTTGTTCGTAGCGTTCATCTTGACTGCGATGCTTGGGGGAAGAAGCTCGTTGATGGCTGCCAGGTCTTTGGCGACGTGCCGCTCCAACGGGACATTTGGTTCGACTTCAAAGGGACCGACCGCGTTGCACTCTTCGAATTATTTTCCGATAGTAAGGTCCCAGATGGCTTTTCTCATGCTGTAGTCGGTGTCAACCGGAAGCGGATCGCCGTCGTTGTGGAGGGGAGCCTGTGATGTGACGATGAACTTGTTGTTGGGGTCGGCAGCGCGGGCAGCTGCTGCGGCTCCAGCTTGCGCTTTGAGAAACTCGTTCATTCTGGCGACCCCAGCGTCTCGAACCATCCGTTGGTGGCAGTATGTTTCGAATTCGCCATTCGGCCGCTCCCCTTGAGCAAGCACGGAAGGATACTTGACATGTCCCCATGGCCATTCCGGGGCGTCGTCGCCAAGCGGGTCAACTATCAGTACCTGAGTCAGAAACCGTCTTTAAACCGTGATCACCAAGTTGCAACTCACAACACAACCTCCACATGGTGCGCTCGCACATCAGCCGAAACCACGGCGACGGAGTAGCTCGAACACCAGTGGCGTAGAGTTCCTGACAGACTCTCTTGATCGCAGCTCTTCCATACTCGCTGATTATGTGACTGATCTCTGGGCGTATGAAGGCGATGTAATCAGAGATGTGACGACGGCGAGCACCGACTTGCTCGAGCTGTTCGGCGGTAGGAACTGGGCCGGAGAAGCGCGCACCGGTGCTGGGCTCACCTAGGCGTCTGCGCGGTGAGCACTCGAGGTAGTTTTTCTGTGCCATCGCTGGTTGATAGTGGTGAGTCGCGTTGGTGCGGATGTAAGAGGTGGGTTGCTTTGGTGGAGTGGTGGTTGAGAGCGCTGCCTTCAGGACTCGGTGGTGGTTACACAGAGCGGGTTGCTGGAGGAGGAAATTGGAGAGGCTCAGGTCTGCGCTTTGTTTAAACTTTGCTCCGGGATGGCTTACAGTGCAAACGGAGATTCAAACACTGCTTTCAAACAGGCAAACTGATTGCCAAACAAGCATTTGCCCTCTGGTCCCTCTCGTCAGGTATTTGCTCACAGTGGGAAATCTCACACTTCCACCCCCTGCTACATCCTCATCCCAGTGACGTCGATAGATTCAAGCCAGCCTCTTGTGTCCAGTCCATATACCAAGAGATTGAATCAGGGAATATTATCACATTTTGTAGATCAGATCGAACCACGAAGGTCAACGCCACAGTGCAGCCACGCCAACTTCAGCCTTGCGGGGCGTCATACAAACTTCAATGTTACAACGTTTGTGTTATTTCAAAACGTTTGGTCTAAACGTATGACGTCGTCAGATAACAATCCATTGAAGTTGGCTTTGTTAATCTGTAACTTTAGTTGTCATCGTCTGCATCTCACAACCCTTTCTTCACAGTGCGTGCTGTCTTCCTTGTGTAGTGCAAGTTTCATGTAACAAAAAGCTCGCCTTCATGATTCACACTCCACCATAGCTCCACCTTGCTTGCGTGAATAACATAATGAACTGTATGTATAAGATCCCTTCTTTGCCCAAATTCTTTCTCTCCTCCATCATTCCCTCACTCAGCGGGTTCCTCATCATAACCGACATCGATCCCATGCCTTCCGGCGACGCCAGCACCCCTCAGAACGTCCCAGAACTTAAAGCGATCGGCATCGCCTCCGGCGGAGTTCTCTATGGTGTCCGTTTCGAAAGTCCCTCCGGTGAAACAGGCAACATGGTCGCGCCATCCGACATCACCGAGAATGCAATTATCTACCAGGGTGGCAACGCGGGCGAACGACGTGCCATCGAAACTTCCAATCTTCGCCGTCCTGATGGGGGCATGCTTTGCAGCATTACTATCCCCATCACCAGCAAGGGACGCATGGACTCTGAGTTGCCGGCTGGCTATCGCAAGATTGAAATGAAGCTGAGCTTCGCTGAGGAGAGCGAGACTAATGCTCAGTCTATGGGAGCTATGGAAATTGCCAAGTGTGAGGAGGAAAAGGCGACAGTCTGTTTTACCTCGGATGATTGGATTCCGTTTGCACGTGGAAGGAAGGCGCTGATGCTTGAGGAGGTCGTTGATGGGGGTGAAGGAACCGGTGCATGCTGGATTATAACCCCTCAATGCTCAGTATCAGTCTGGTAACTGGAGATGGATTGTGGGATTTGTTACTACGGGTGGGAGAAGAGACACTCGGACAATAAATTGATGACCTTTTCTGGCACCAAGATCTTCTTTCGTGATTAAGTTTGAAATGCTATCCATAACCTTGAGGTGGCCTGTCATTGTTGGTTACAACTGGACATGGTGGCGAGTCGGATGATGATATTCGCATCCCCGACGAAGGGCAGGCTCCTGAGTCATCCACGGAAGTTGGGGCAAGCGATTCCATCATCAACAGCAACGACTCTTCATCTGTTGGATCCACCAGCGAAGGCGAGTCAAACGCTGCCTCACAACCTGTCCTCACCATCCCTTCCACGCCGCGAATTGTCAGAATCCATCAGGTTGGAGAATTGCGACTCATCGGTATTCTCGACCCCCTCAATAGAGGAGTTGGTTTCTACTTCGAAAACGCCTACGAAGGAATCCTGGTCCGCAACGTCATGGCTAATGTAAACCTCGCTGTTCAAGCCTTAATCTTCCAAGGAGAGAGAGGTGCAGGCAACCACGTTGCTCGAAAGCTGCCTGGACTTTACCCCAACCAGGGTCTCAGAGTATTCAGCTTCAAACCCCCTTTTCGTGTTGCATGTCCTGCGCTCAGACACTTAAGACTCCCTCTGGGCTTTCGTCGCTGCTTCTTTGGACTTCGACCCAAGGGTACAATTGTGCATAAGTTGGCCAGGGACGCTGAATGTTCGCCTCGAGAGGTTAGACGGTATAACCGCATCTGGCAAGCTTGGAAACAGGAGAATGGTGCGCTTCCTAAGTGGGAATGTGATGTTGCGCTCATTGCGTGGCCGGCTATGGCGTACTGTGCTGGTGGTATGTCGTTGGAGTTTGTACAGGAACTTGAGGCTGATTCACTTGGAGGCACTGAAGTGGTTATGTAAAGCGAAAAGAGGGTTTTGTAAGGGCTGAATTAGCTGGGATTTGGGTATTCCTGGTGATCGTGGCGATGCTGCCAGCACAGTTGTTAGATCCAACCAGCGGCTAGAGTTGTAAGTGGGTGGATGAATTAGGTTATGATCACTTTTGTAAGGTTGGATATCTGACTGCGCCGGTAGCTTATGACGTCAAGCGGGAGATCCGAACGGGTTAGTGAACACAGGCTGTTCGCCATTAGATAACTCAACTAAGAACTCTTTATCCCTTGATTGCTCCTGATCTTATTTAAATCGTCCCTAAGCTTAACGTGTTATCTAAATAGCATGACCTGGGGAGCAAGAAAACTGCTGACCTGGAACTTAGACTAAGGTGCCAAGGATTAGTCTCAAAGCCACTAAACTCATGATAAACCTACCTGAGGGTTAGGATAGAGGTCCTAAGTTTTATTGCTTGGGCGTTGTGATAAGGCTTCTGGCACTGTACTTTGGTGGGCGTAGTGTCCAGCTTCACGACATCTCAGAACGGTTGCAGAACCACAAAGGTCACGCCGAAGATTGAATCACAGAAACAGGGAGTACTACCGGGTCAACATCATTTGATCAAGCGACGAAGTAACTACTCATTGCTCCGATCCTGTTGCCAAAAGGCATCAACGTCTAGCTCGCCTGTAACCTCCCACCCAAACGACAAAGACAACAAAACACCCAGTCCCTCAGTGTAAAACTCCCAAAGAATCGGCGCGACTCATGTCGTGTGTCTGCGCGGTTGTCTCCCCTGTTGATTGACGCCATCCTCCATGTTGTGTTTGTGTCCATTCAACCCACTTCATCCTCAGCGACACCACCATCAGAGCTGACGCGGTGAGTCACCAGTTCATAGGAAGCGATTTCGACTTCAGCTTCCTCGCGACTCAACTCGGTCTTCTCCTTGTCCGCTTTGAGCGGCTTGGCCATTTCGCGGATCATATAGATCCCCTCTTCGATCAATTCGGACTGCCGTTTCTGCTGATTACGAATGTAAAGAAAATGGGCCTCTGAACTTATCCAACACTCTATCATCAGCGCCATTCAAGATGGCGGCATGACAACCATGCCTCGGACACAAATAGCGACAGGAAGGATGCCCCCTCGAAGACCTTTACGACCAAGTCAACCAATTTAATACGAACGACGTTCTCAAGCGGGACTCTGCCTTTTGCGAGCCCAATCAGGGCCAACGAGGATGGCTGGCCCGCACAACAAGCCATGGAGCTCATCTCGACAGGAGCTCTGGCAAACAAACTTTCTGCACCATTATCAAACCACACAGTCCAAGATTCGATATGGCTTGATATGGCTGCAACATCCTCGATGTTGATTGCAGACCTTTCGCCATCTAGGTTAAGTCTTCAATTGCATAACCAGTATCGTAACAGATCAAGAGCCCAGGAAACTCAACTTGTATCAACCCGAATGAGTTGACCAAGAACAAGGGCTCTCACGAACCATCCTCATTCGTATCATACTGGGACCTGACGCTCTCCGGGACCAAGTCAGGGGATATACAGCAAGGCGAGCTCATCCCATATCAAACTGAACTGCAGGCAGCTGCGTATCTGCAGGGTTAAACAATACCGAGTGGGATGCGCCCTGATGGCATTTCCAGCATCTCCCACGGTCGAGTTTCAACGTCTACCTTCGATGTTTTATTCAGTGGTAAGATCACTTTTTGGGTATGTGTTGTCATCAGTGCCGCACCAACTCAGAAACACTCGAGTTGTCATCGACCTTGTCGTCCACGTTGTGATTTGAGCGCGGGAGTTTGAGCGTGCGATAGGGATTATCTTTGAATGATGAGGAGCGACCTGACCCAAATATCTCAAACTCGAGGTGGTGCAGTCCATCTTCCGTTCGAAACGTAACGGAGGTTTTTAGTAGCATGAAAAGACAACGATATATGATACAGCATTCGGGCCTCGCCACATCCATGCTAGTAAATTGCCCCTGAGGGGTAGACCAGAGCGGTCTGACTGGTTGACCCGGCAGATGATCAAGGCATGGATCGACGAGAAAGACGCCTCATCGCCATAGCCTCAATATGACAATGCATCTGGCGCATAATGTCTGATATCACTGTTTCCCATTGTCTTAATGTTGTGAGAGCCTTGTTTCATCATGCTTACCTTCCGCCCGATGAGCCGGTATGACGTTCACCTTGATTCGATTCCTCCATTGGTTGGTAAGGTTGTCATAGCGTAACCAAACACGAAACGATCTGCTGGAACTACACCCCTATTTGAATTTAAACTCTCGGTTTCGGTTTCGGTAACGGTTTCGAGCGCTAGTCTAAATTTAGTGTATTTCGACATCTCCATTCTCCTTCAAGCATAGCCCAGCTCACCCATATTTCTCTGTGCCTAGAGCTTTCTCATTTATCAATATATGCTCAAATCGACCTGCATGTTAACTCGTTTATTTTCCCCAGGAAAAATCGCTCAAGTCACTTGATATGGCGGCCTTCACACTTCCGGATCCTCCGTCTTCAAACAAGACCAATCTTGCCATTGTAGAGCTGGTCCTCTATGCAATTCTCTTCATTCCGGTGATACCGATCGCTTGGAAACATGGCAAGGCCGGCATGACCTGCTGGCCAATCTTTGTATCATACTTTCCACTTCGGTTCGTCGCCGACGGATACCAGATTGCCAAGCGCAACGATCCTGAGATTCCCAATGCGGTCATTATCATGACTACCGCCGGAAGCATTGCCTGTTTATCGCTGACTATAATTGGGATGATCTATGAAGTGTAAGACTGAGTGATACTCAAGGCGGACAGAACATGTAACTAATCAAGAACGGCACTTAGGAACGTCATCCTTCCACTTCCCCCAAAACGATGGACCGAAAGAATACTCCTCGCCGTCACCCATCTCTCCATCACAGCTGGCATTACACTGTCTACATATGGAGGAGCACCCAAGTTTGGAGCCCCCGGTGGTGTTGTCGCACAACATCTAAACCAGATCGGCACCTGCATGATGCTGTTTGTCATGATATTCGGTGTAGGGTGGTGGCTTTGGTGGACAGGAAAACGCGTCACAGCCATGAAAGCGCATCCGAACTTCCAACCCGCAAGATACCTGCTTCTCGCGGCATGCGCGGCATTTCCTTTCCAGCTTGTTCGGCTTGGCTACGCCTTGACCTACTCCTTCACCCCATACTCGAGTCTGGATCCCGTTTCTGGAACATTCGCTACTAGGCTGGTGCTTATGTTTGGTATGCAAATGATTGTTGCAGTAATTGCTACTGTGGGCGGCTGGCGTGGCATTGGTGCTGTGCCCAATTCGACCCAGAGCAATGGAAGGCAGGGATTTGGAAGTGTCGCGCAACCGTGGGTATGATGTTAAGGGAATTGTACGGTATACTGTTAGTCCATGCTGAAAAATGTTAGAAATTGGCATTTTATATTTAAAAACTTAGAAATAATATATTTACTTAAGTTACTGGTTATTATTTGCTGTGCTACTTTTTCTTTTGTGCGGTTCCGGCTTTTTATATTAAGCAGGGAGAAAGAAAACTTCTATCAGATCTAAGGTACTAATGTCGACTAATCTAAATGGCTACTAACTTTATACTAAGCTTATCTAAACTTACCTAAATATGTTTATTACTTACAACATATATCCCAAATATTCTTGTCTCCCTAGGCATCCGCGCATCTTGTCGAATGGAGGTGTTATGCTAATGTCTATCGATCAGTGGTGGCACGGATCAAAGCAGAGGCTCAGTGTTATCTTAAAGCCAGCGCATCCGAATACCTGCAAAGTTCTTGTGGTCAGATCGATATGTCGCCTTATCAGTTCGCATAATAGAAATTATCTGACTGAACTCTTTCACGAGATAATCTGCGCGGCCATCTTCGTCGAGACTCTCTAGAAGGACCTTCAGCCTATTCCCTTGGATAGCAAGCCTATCACAAAAGTAATCTCTCCCCGCTCGATTAATCTTTAGAAATTCTCTGATATCCTCGCGTTGCTTGTTATCCAGCTGGGATGGATTATCCGCAATCCGTGGGTTCGATGATCCTTGGCTTTGACGCAGGTAAGAACGTACATTTTCGACCACCTTTTCAAACAGATGCACGAAGATCTCGAAAGGCCTGAAGCAAAAGACTCTATGGCAAATTCCAGGTGTGATTTCCAGACGACTAAGGTCCTTGCCATAGAATGGGCGCCGAATGGACTGACGGACACGGACACTACGCTGGCATTTGAACAGAAATAGGTCGGGATGATAAGTGAAATTGCAATAACAGACATACCGCAAGAAGCTCTCGATGAATTTCCATTTCCCCAGTGCTGGTATCTCTCTAAGAGGCACATTGCGTTCCTGGCAAAGAAGACCCTCCTCGCACGGTATTAGCTTCATGGCTAGGAGTTGCCAATTTCGGAAAGCTTCAATAAGCTCCGGTATCAGGGGCGTGGCAGCCGCAAGGACAGATAGACTAGGGTCTTGTGCGTAAGGGGTGAATTTGAAGTGGTGTTTGGCTCCCGGCCGGGCTCTGATGCACTCAACCTTCGGTGTAAGCCTTTCTTCGACTTCTGATGATGGTATCCCTTCTAATCTGTCTCTCAGACGGCGGAATCGAGTTGTAATAATGACTAGTGGAATTGCATTTTTGCTGCCGTAATGATCCATGATGTGGTCCAAATGGGGCTTCACGATGGAGGTTTCGTGTTTCCGGAAATAACGTAGCACTGCAGGCGAAGCCATTGTGAGAGCGTGAATATCATGAAGGGGTAGTTTGAGCAGAATCTCAATTGTCAGCTCTGCTGGCAATCCGCCAAAGTTATCGGATTCATCTGGCGACATTTGGAAGTCCTGCTTAAGCCGTCTGTGGGCAGAATGTAAATGCTCAGTGTTTTCTCAACGTATTGTTGAAATCTCGGTGAGATGATATGAAACAGCTGTAATATTGCGTACTGCTATTGAGGAGAGTACGGTTTATATCAACTCCTGAGTCCAGACCTGTGTTCATTGAACACCTCCTCCAAGCCTTTCTTTGAACAACAACTCTAACCCACCATGGTTGAACGACATATGAAGAACGAACAATGCCCAGTTACTCTGCTGTATAATGTCGAAGCATCTTGGAGCTAAGGAGAAACGAGCAAGAAGAAAGTTTCGCTGTGACAAGTTCAGCCATTCTATGTACCGTGAGTAATTCTTGTCTGCTCTCGTTGCAGCTGGACAGGATGTTAGGTGGCAAAGCTCAATGGTTTAGCAACCAAGTCCGGTATGGTGTAGTGGCTAACATTTCGCGCTCTCATAACCTGAGAGATCAGTACCGCGGAGCCCAGGGTTCGATTCCCTGTACCGGAGTTTACTTTTAGCGAGATCCTCAATTTTCCTTTTTGTCAATTCATGAAAGAAGACTTAATGTTCGGCATATACTTTTTATTCAACATTAGCTGGTGAATCCCTTGGACTCGTATTGCTGCTGGTTGGCTGAACAAACCATATTGATTAACTAATTCAACCTTTGCAATTGCATCCACTGATCCACATCGAAGGTGTGTCTCTTGATGTACTCCCTCATGTTCAACTATTTATTTGATTTTTTGTGAAAATATCTGGATCCGATTGTCTGTCTGTTAGAATGTCCAAGGTCTTATGAATTCTTTACCATAATTATCGGTGTTCAGGATAGAGGTACATGTTCAATCCGACAAACGTACCCTAGAGCCCTGTGCTAAACCTCGATCATAAAGAACGCACTACCGATCATGCATTCGATCCTCACGGGACCCGAAACAGGTCAACACGTCCCTCATTATAGATAAAGGCTACACTGGAACCGGTCTCTCTGACCAGTCCTCTGTTTTCGGTTTCGTCGTGATAATCTGATAGAATCCTTCAAGAGTGTAATGTTCAAAGTCCTCTGGTGTGAGACTCTGCAAAAAGAAAATTCGAGGATATCTGTCTATGCAAAGGCGGAATATGTAGCACCATTGTTGTGCTGAGCGTCTGTACAAGAACTGATTCCTCCTCAGTGTTAAGACATCGCGTTTCCATCTTTCATGTCTCTTAAGGGGCTTTGGCTGACGGGATCGAAGAGACTGATCAAGTTGCTTCAACAGATCTTTATGGCATCGGAAAATGGCGTCAATGATGTCAGAGGTCTCATATTCCCGATCCCGCGGCCCAGCCCTAATGGTAGAATGGAGAAGAAAGGGCCGGGAAGATTTATCTTTAATATAGTCTATACCATTGAATAGAAATTGGCTTTGGTGGTAGAATATGTTGCAATAGCAATCAAACCTCAGAAACATCTCAACGAATCTAAGCTGAATTCGCCGGATTCCCTTTCTAGTGAGAAGTTTCATATTTTTCAAAGATATGCTCTTTCATTTTGGTATAGCTTGAAGGAATTGCAAAACTCTGGCACCAAGTTCAGAGCAATGTTGAGCATCGGGAGGTTCAGGTCGCCTGCTGCTGGTGATCTTGTGCATTCCAATAATATGACTGCATTTAGCCAAGGTTTAAGTATCTCCTCCACCTCCGAAGCTGTCTGTTGTTGACATTGTGAGCGAAGAAGGCGAAGGCGCATGGTAAATGCAACGAGAGGTAGCATGCTTTCATTGATGTAGAACTGAAGCAGGTCTTGTAGGTGATGCCTCACGACATAGGTACGGTGTCTTCGAAAGGACTGTAATACAGCAGGCGAAGGCATGATGAGATGCCGCATATCTTCAAGAGAAAGCTGAGCGAGTATTTTGATGTTCAACTCAGGGAGGTAGGATCGAGAAGATGCCTGTGCCGCTTTGATCTGGGGGTTTTGTAGTGAAGGCATGATGATGGCGGAGAGAAAAAAATAACGCCAGGGAGAACAGATGATTTCCGATGCTATTAAATATGTTTACTAGGGTATGACTTAAAACCACTCCTGGCAGAAGATTGAGTCATAGCCAGAACGATGACTGCGTAACTCAGGGGGCGCTATAGAGTTTGATCTCCCTGCATGCTATTGCTGCAATGCGAATGCAGGAAACTCTAAACAACCAGGGCATAATACCATTGGCTCTTGGCTAAAGATCACCCTCCGTTTGTCGGATGCCTCATCGAACTCTTGAAGTTGATGATACCGAGGTACAAGATATATTCGGTCTTCCTTGTTATTTTGAGATTTTCACACAATAGCTCTAGATCATCTTGGCTCTGTGCGTGCTCTTTCTGATTCGATCCCCTTTGAACATGTTTTGCCATTTGTTCTGCCCGCTGTATAGTAGTATTACAACGGCTTTGCTTTTTGGAATTTGAGTGCAATTATAATTCGTCTGCATATTCAGTCTAATAAAGGATATCCCATGCTGTTAGCAAAATAAATATAAAAGGCATATCAAAATGGTGCTGAAAACAACCTTTCTTTATTTTTATGCGACTACATTACACCCCGTCCATTCACTAAACCCCTTTCAACTCTGTCTGTATGTCGGTTGTGGTGATTCTAAAGTTCAATAAGTCATTTTCAGATTCTCCCAGACTGATTGATCCCAACCTTGCATCCAAGCAGTCTATTCCCACATCATCTCGTACACAGAAAGCATTGAAACCGGTTATAAAGTACCACCATCTTCCTCTCGAGGTTAATAACCCATCTCACTACTCCCTTCAAGGATAAAATATTCCAAAAGGTCATAGTAATGAACCTTGTCCACCCATATATCGTAGTTCTCCAAATCCAATGTAACAAGTTCCTCAAATTCCTTTAGTATAGCGTTCTCTAGCTCTCCATAGGAGAGTTGTTCCAAAGAGTCAAGTCTGGGATAGCCTTGCAAGCAAAGACGACACAAGAAGTAATCATATTGCCTTGGACTCCGGTTCAAAAACTGTATTCTGCGAATAGCCGCAGAGATCTCATTTGACGTCCTCTCTCTCCTGAGAATATCTGATCTTTGTTCAAGAAGAGAATCATCAACTTCCTCTATTAAGTAATTGTATCTCCAAAAGATGTTGCGTAGAATGGTAAAGGGATACATCCGTAAAGTGTCGTCGTCAAAAGCCGGGAACTCAGGAAACGAGTTTAAAAAGACCTCTTTCATGTCATCAAGGTTCTGGAGTAGGTGTTGGTGGTTATGATAGAATATATTGTGGTAGCAATCGAATCTTAGAAACCCCTTACTGAATGTGGTCCTTACGACCGGGGGGGCCATATCCGGCCAAATCGAGCCCGGGCTCCGATCGTACAACTCCAAATGAATGGACTGGTACCAGGGCATTGTGAAAGAGGCGGCAATCTCCGGTAGTAACTCCTGGGCGGCGATGAGCATGTAAAGGCGAATATCGCCTCTTTTCGTGGCCTTTTTGTAGTTTGACTGTAAGATGGAGTCCAGGATAGGCTGGACCTGCTTTTCCAACTCTGAGATGCTATCTCCATCATGCTTAGAATGCAATGCACGAAGGTGCGTAGCTGTTGCTGCCAAGCGAAATGATGACTCTTCACCATAGCTTTGGAGGAGTTCATGGGAGTGTGACCTCAGAATATAGCGGCGATTGCTTTGGAATGTCCTCAAAAGCATCGGCACGGCCATGATGACAGACCGAATGTCGTGAAGGGAAAGGTACTCTAGTATCTCAATGTTGAGTTCAGGCTGAAGTGTAGAGAAAGGATCTGACCACTGTTGATGGCCTGATACCTGTGAGGGGGCCATCTTGCGACGCCAGTTGATCGAGTCCTTGGTAGGTGAATCGGTAGGATCTGCTTGGAGATTGATGAAGAAGAGAAAATTGGCCCCCAGAAAGGAAAACATTCTTCTTTTACTTATAGTTCAAGGATAAACAATCTCGGGTTACGTGGCAGAATTTGTACAAAGTCTAAATGTCAAATGTTGTACTAAGTTCTGAGTGGTGAATATAAGCTCTCAGCCACAGGTCTCAACTGCAAATGACACATCTGTCAAATGTTGCACGATTGGCTAGTACAAGAGATCGTTAACTTTGTGCAGACATCTGATTTGCATGTCTAATAAGCTTTCATTGTGAAATGTCAAATACTTCTGGGTTGATTTTTATTGGTTCTACATGCTTCTATGCCCTCATTTGCAATGAACATCAGCAGACTACCAGTACTGGCCAGCTTGGTCTTGACCTGTCCTCGATCTTGGCCTTGATCAGTTTTCATTTAGAGCCTGTAGCACATGTAACCTAATTCGTTAGTTCAAGTTAGTTACATAATTATATGCTACATGAGCCTCGATTTATCATCGTATAGTAGCAATTAGTACACGGGTGAGAGTAAGCGTGGCCATTTGAGGAGAGTACAAGATGGTCTGGTGACCGTAAATTCTTCGGTCGCTGTAATGAGTTGAGGTAACGAAAGAATTAATCAAGGTGATAAATAGAATGCATAAAAGCCTGCGCACATTTTATGTGCTGAACATATTATGGATATCTCTCAGAATGCTGGGCCATGATATAATTCCACGCCAGTGATCTTCAGACTCTTGTCTTTTCCTATCTCACTGCACGCACGACCCCTTGATACCAGAATCCTAACCATTTCTGTCCTCCGTCCAGCCAAATCCAGGAAGGTCTTAGCCATATAGCAGAACTTATACTGTCGGTAGTAAGTGAATGCATGGCAAGATGCATCTTTATTGCATCTATGAGCGCAATCGTTGAGGTCTTACGCAACAATTCCCCCATTCACTCCTCCTCCGAGGAAGTCGCATTGAATGGCCATTTTCCCAAGATATTGGTTGACGTCTGAAGGATAGGTGACGTAGACAGGCCTCTCCAGGGAGAGCAATTAAATCACGCAACTGACTTGCCTTCAGATGTTCCAAGACGTTGCGTGTCTATCCCTACAGAAAGTATTCTGGCTATGACAGTATTTCTGAGAATACGCCCGAGAGTCTCAAAACGCAAGGCACCAAATACTCTGGTATAGGTGCAAGTATAGCACTTCAAGCCCTCAGAACATTGAGTTTAGTAGCAGTCTCATATCATTAAACCCTTGCATAGTGGAGTTATGACGACTAATGACTAACTGATAATATCCCGGAATTACTATCTAGAAGAAGCTATACAGAAATAACTTATTCAAAGTGTAGACTCTTAGTCGAAAACAAACTAATAAAACTCACTATACCACCTAACATAAGTCAAATCGCAATAGCATTGAGCTTCTAGATGCGTTTTCTAATATGCTGCTCCCAACCTTTGCCCTTCTGTGAATCTTGTCTTCTTATAGCATCTGCCAGCACTGCAAAGTCGCTTCCCCAGATGCTGCTAGCAACGGTCTCATCTAGAACGCAGACAAAATGATTTGCCTTAATGCGATTGTAATTCTTCCGGATCCAGCTTTGTACCCTTGCCTGCTTCACAGTGATTCCTGTGCAGACCAGAAGCAATACAAATGGAGTGTCTCCCCAGTGTTCGAGCTCCCCAGACTCAGCCTCCCGTGTGCTATTCTTCAGGTTTTTATGCCAGTTGGAATCTAACAATGTTTCCATCGCATCTTCAAAGCGTGCTCCTCGGCCGGTTTTGATCTAGTTATAGTGGGTGTGAGAACATGCTATCATTGTGAAAGCAACAGGTGGTCTCGAGAATACTTACCTGGGATATAATAAACATTTTATCGATATCAGCGAGACGTCTATGCCCCAATTCACGTGTCTTGTGCCCTTCGGAATCTGTCAAGTGCTTCTGCAATAGGAAGACCAGATCCGGACCAGCATTAATGTCGGGAAACATGAACGTGGGTGAAGAAGCTTGGTCTCCTGATCGATGTTGTTTCATCCAGTTCCAGATCGTACCTGGAGTCTCATGTTTGAAAATGGTCTGCGATTCAGGCAGGGAAAAGTCACTGATCCTAACCACAGTGCTCAGCTTTAACAACTTTTGGGTTTTTGAATCCAACATTACAGCTTCTGATAAGTATTTCAACAAGTTCTCACGAAGGGAAGATCTGTCCAAGAGACTAGGTTCACCAATCTGATGAAGTCTTTGATGTCGGAGTAAAAGATCGAACGACTGTAACGTGACGGTTTAGCATCTGGTATCGACCTGGATAGTGTGCTGGGAATGGCTTACCATTGCAATGAACCACTCCGTAGCCTTCCCAAACATTCCTCGAACCTCATAATCATCTTGTGTATGGACAAGCCAATGCAACATGAGTTCTTGATACTCATCTCCTCCTTCTGTGCGAAGATATTCCATGACTGCTCGAACAGCTATCGGTTCAGAAAACGTGTATCTTATGGTGTTCCCGTCATTCAGAACCAGGGCAAATCCGTAGGTGACCAACTGTGCATAGTTCGGTTTCAAAAAAATGGTAGGAGAGCTCATCATTTCTGCTCGGATTCCAGCGCGAAACAACTCTTGAACTAGCTCCTCCTTCCCGGCGGACTTCATCTTGCGAATTTGACTTTTGAGAGCATCGATAGCTGCAGCTGTCGTTTTGTTTTCTGCCTCTTCTACGATCATCCGTATCTTTGATAGAGACGACCCTGGCGTAGCCAAACGCTGAGAAAGCAGCATTATCTCCTCGATGTAGACCGTTGACCATCTATATCGTCCGCGCTGGCCAATACTATGCAACTTGATCATGGTTCGGATACACAGATTTCTCAAACTTGTGTGTAAAGTCTCTGCTATTTCACTGAACGGTCTGTCGGGAGTCGCCACTCGCGTATATATGTTCTGGATGATTGAAGCCATTTGGTCCATAGCGACATTGCCATGATCGGCTAGTAATTGCAGCAAGGATTGACCTAAGGTCTCTAATTCCGGTGCTGTATTGGTCTTGAACAATTGGATGAGGCCCAGAGTAACAACCGAAGCAACAGCTTCTGAATCTTGATGATCTAGAAGCTGTTCTAGGTGTATTTGTGAGGTATCAGTAGAATGGTTCCTTGTCGCCATTAGCTTGTAGGCTTGAATCATCAGTGCCAGAAGCTCTGGCATCGTGGGAACTTCCAATGGTTTCCATAGCCATGCCTGAAGTATATCGAGATTAATCTTAGATGACTCAAACGCCAAGGGCCGACCGCTGCGGCTTAAAAGAGGTAACATTGACCAACTACCAGTTTCTTTCAAACCTTGAGAGGTTCTCCATTCGCCGATGATGCCAGTCAAATGTTGTTCGTAGAGCCCCCAAAAGTCCGCATCAGATGCAATCAGGGGAAATGAATCGTGAATGCTGTAGCTGTCCCATTTTGTCACTGTTTGTTCACCTTCACCCCATGCATACGTAGAGTACGTGGCGAGTTTTTCTTCGAGCACTTGTAGGCGAAGGGATGTTCCCGAAATTATCAGGGTTGGGTTTATGTATGGTAACTCGTCACTGATCTGCCATGATCTTGCATCACTTTCTTGATCCTCCATGTGTTCATCACTCTGTTCTTCAATGCTACCACCACCTCTTCGAGCCCAGTCTCCGGTTTGAACATACATCAATGTGAGTGTTGCATAGAGGTGACTGAGCATCGAGGAAGCCTGAGGGTCATCGAGAGTAAGCTGTGCTTCATCAAAACAGTGGTATAGTGAGCCGTTAAAGAAGTGATCGGGATGTTCATTGAGAAAGCCGTAGCATCTGGGTATGATCAAGGCGGGTATTTCTGCCCAAACGTAGACACAATCATCGAACCATAGATATTCGGATGACGACAACCTAAACAGTCGATACAATGCATCGAATGGATCGTAAGCATCACAGGATATCTGTAGCCAGAGCCATTGGGTTGGTGTTGGAGAAGGAAATCGGCGTAAAAACTCGTAGAGAAGAGCAACACGTGCGACTATAAGAGGTTGGAAGACATTGGCATCTTTGGAAACCCACTCTGGAATCATTTGAGGATGATCCTCAAACATAGTATAGGTGTCTCTAGATGCCGAATATCTTTTCGTATCTATAATATCGATGCTTCCATAATTGTCAGCGTCACTTTCTGACGATTCCGGTACAGGGTCGAGATTCGGGGCTAGAAGATAGAACCCCCAATGCTTTTGCAATAGCTCAAATATCTGTCGTGTTTTCCCAGTGCCGGCGGATGAGAAAAGGACGTGAACAGAACGAGCCGTTTCTCTCTTCTCATCCGGGTCGAAGACCTTGTCCTTCATTATACGATCCATCAATGGTGATTTTGTGCCTCTTGAAGTATTAAAGTTGGGTATGGCTGGAAGTGCGCAATCTAGGAAGATCCATGCTATATTCTTCCATTGTTCTTCCATATAGACCATGAGACCAAATTCAAGGGGGTACATGTAGTTGTTCTGTTGGACTGGTCTCAAGGGCCAGAACTCTCCTAGAATTTGGCAGTTAGTATTATGCGATAGGAGAGTTATATTAAAGCTGTCAGCATAACTTACCATAAAATTGTCCCAGAAGAAAATGAGAGTAGGTCTGCAATGCAGCCACAATATTGCGATGTGCTATGTCTTGATCTCGCTTGGGCCAATTGTTAAGTGCACCAAATAGTTCAGCAAGACTCATTCCGTCGCGGAAGCGAGGGTGTGTTGTGTTCAAAAGCGCATCATCATGATACATTGCCCAGAATGTGCCTTTTGGGTTCGATACCATATCTAAGAGAACGGTATAGTCACCGGGGCTCATACCCATGGCTTCCCACAGTGCATCTGCTATTTTAAATCCCGTGGAGTTAGAGACATAGAGCCTCCCTTGGTAGAACAGCTTGTCGTTCAGTATATATGGCAAAAGGGGATCGATAGAACAGGTAGAACTGGAAGGTATATCATATGCAGTCAGACGATAATCCTGAACACGACGGCCATAGCGGCCTTTGAAAAATTCTAGGCATTTTATTCTGTACATTTGACGTGCGTCGTTCATTATCAAGATCTTAGCTGTGTATTGGCAGGATGGTATGGGGAAAGGTAAATGAGTAAATATCGCACTCGGATCAACATGCGGGGTTAGGGAAGTAGAATCTTTAAAACCTATTAATAGATTGTTATCTCTTACTGTCTTTGGACAAGACCAGGGTGTATTTGTGTGTTGGTTCTGTCTGTTCTTGAAATTGTTGTCTCATCACGTGTTTACTCACGTGCCCGATACCTAAAGATGGCAAGATAATTATAAATTAATATAAAAATAAATTAGAAGGGCTATGTCTTGATTGGAAGTTTATTTAGTGTCTCGGGATTATAAGGATATTGTCCATTATAGGTTATCTTTTAATGTGTTAGCAAAATCTATCTTGCAGAGAGACATCAATATGGTTTGGTACAAAATATTAATCCGCAGATTCATGAACAGTATCCAAGCACTATTTTAATATCATTTCTTCAGTATTTTACTCCTATAATACACCGATGAGGCGAAAAAGGAGTTACTGCTGTACACTATAGGCTCTTTTATTTCTATTAACCTCTATTATCTTTAAGCCTTTAATTTTAAACACACATTTTGTATAATTAGCTATTAGCTGATAATTAAAGACTTAAATGCCTTTTATTATAGAATATACTTGTTTTAGCATTAGGCCTATGTAAAGAGTGCCTAGCGATTGCTTAGGTTCCTTACGGTAGATGCACTCTCTGTATCCTGTGATTAATGCTCCCTGACTGTGGAAGTGGGCACGACTGTGGGTGGCAAAGATACATCACTTATCAGGCTGTGAGCTGAGTGAACTGCTCTCCCTGTCACTTGTGTACATAGTTACGGTGCACCTCCAGAGACGAATTGGCAAACCACTTTCCCAATTCGCCTGGTAGGCTTGGGTTCAACGCATGGCGTTCCAAGCCCTCATTCCAGCGACACGGGAATGTATGCGTGTAAGCCGCCACACAGAGCTCGTCAGACTCGTCTTATCAGAGGCCTTATGATTCTTACAGAGCCTGGCTTCCCGGCTATATCTCTAATCTTTAATTTCCTGTCAGTTTTATTCGTACTGATGCAGCCAAGACTTGCCATATGCTAGGTGTCCTTTCAACATTTGCTTCTCATGTTTAGCCTTACATCGTAAAGAGCCTTACGGGGTTCATTTCCTGGAGCAGATGCAGTTGCCAAGACCAAAAATCTTTAAACATGGCGTTGATATCGTTCAGCTCGTGACGCCAAACGAATCAAGCCTATCGGGGACGCCAATTCCTGGAAGCCACATCACAAGCGATCACGTAATATGGAACCTTACCCTCGTCGCGTCTTGTAGTGTCAGTTGTTGGTCGAGCCTGGTAGCCTGATCAGAGAACTTTCCTCTTAAAGTCTCCTCTCCGTAACGGGGTAACCTAACTCCTTCTCTGACAATTCGGCGTTTCTCTGCATGTTGTGATTCTCATAACGAAACTCCGTTCCATTCTGACCCTACCTGCCTCCCTGTCACCGCTGTTCAAACTAAGTATGTATTGGCCGGCTTGTTCCAGCTCCGTCTTCCTAGTCGGAACCGCTCTCCAGGTCATTCATGCGATAAACATTGCTCATGGCGCCGAAACAAGACATACTCCGGATGCACCGGCGACAGTAACGGAAATCCCATTGGGGCTAATTGACCCGTTGAACTTGCTCCTTGGATATGGCCCTGGATTGAAACCACGAGCGGAATCAGAGGACTCTGCATTCGCAATTACCATCGCACCCGATGAGACTTGCGGCTACGTGGATGGCGACAAAGATTCACCAGTAACCTGTCCTAGCAGTCTTTCATGCTCTTGGGCTGTGTCCAGTGGTATTGGATTAGTTGCTTGTGAATCACAGATTCATATCACATGCCTCGAGTCTTCGAAGGCAGTTAATTCGACTCGATGTAATGACGACTGTCAGAGCAATACATACAATCTTCTATGGTAAGATTCTCTATCTTGAAGCCTTCAGCGCTAATGTGGCCTCCTAGTACCAACTCGGACCGGCCCTTTTGCCGTACATATGTCTACCCCAGTGGCATCTTCGACTATCGTTGTGCATCAACCACTGTTGAGGACCTTGAGTTTGCTTACTTTACCTTTGAAGGACAGAAGAGTCCCAATCTTAGTACAGTAACTCTCACAGATGGTTCCTCGGAAGGCTCGGGAGAACCAGTCACTGTAACTGTCGAGGGAAAGGCTACTGGAACGCCAAGTGCTGTCACCGTCTACATGATACCTCAGCCGCCGAGTGCTTCAACGACCTCCTCTGTTTCCCCCAGCTCCAGTAGCAAGTCTACCCCTGTCGGGCCTATTGTTGGCGGCGTCGTTGGGGGTGTAGCGATTCTTGGGCTGATCTGCCTTGGCGCTTTCTGTTTACTTCGACGACGGAGAAAGAACAAGCGCCAGGAATGCATAGCACCTACCAGTCAACTCAACATGGCTCATCAGGCCCACCCAATGAACCAGAATCAATACCCATATCATGCCCATCAACACGGAGCTATGCCGCCTTGCACCATTCCCAGCATGGTATCCTCTACGCCACTGGATGCACGTATGTCAATGATGACAGGCTCGGTCTCTCCCAATGGACAGAATGCACCTGCAGGGGGGAGTCAATTACCTCCTTCAATGATTCAAAGCCCTGCCCCCGCGTACGAAATGGCTGGAACCGAGGCTCGTGAACGTGAAACAGTCTATGAGATGGGCGCTGATTCACCAGGGAGAAAGTAGTGGCGGGGGTAAGGCCACATACTGATTTATTTATACTTTTTGAAATTACATTAATTTCTTATAATAAATCTGGTCCCTAAACAGCCTGTTGTAGGTGCTGTGGCGGTGCTGTAGAACAAGGAGAGACACATACCGAGAGCACCTATTGTAACCGGTCAGCTCCTTAAAAAAATGATGCTTATACACGTAAATCACCAGGATTATCGCAGGATGAGGGTCCAGAAATACTTGCAGCTGAAGCTCGGGCGGCGATGCTTGCATAGGGACCGGATATTAGTAGCCAAGTGTGCTGGTTTGGCGAATATTCACGATGAAGGTGCGCGATACAAGCATGAGCTATCAGGTCAACTAACTCAAAATAACACTCTCAAAAACGACGAATGTTCACAACAAGACTGAAGGCATTAGAATTCTGCTGATAGTATTATAACAGGGACAAATAAGCTTAAATAAGGCAATACTGCCACTTGTCATTACTAGGTACACGATGTAGCAAGATAAAGGCGTGAGTTGAACAATTCTACCGCCTATTTTTCCAAAAGAGATATCTCAGTGGCTATTCGCTACCCAGAACCCAGAACTAATGTTGAGAAGCAAATGCATCAGCATACATATCCATATCAGTAACAAAGCCATTCAATTTCGTTGGTGTCCAGTCTAGCAAATGCTTGGCACGATCAGAAGACCCTCGTAGACTAGTCCCCATGGCTTCCGCAAATAAATGATCCCCAGGGCCCACCAACTCACATCGACCCTTGAAATCCCATTGTGAAGCCAGGGCTGCGAAGATTTCGGTCATGCTCTCTTGACTTGTAACGAGGTCAAAGACAGGATAGACCGAAGTGCCGTTGATAAGGGAAAGCTTCTCTACAGCTTTCTGGAACCCAGTGGCAACATCGCTAACGTGCACAAGTCCGGGTCGAGAGTCAGTACTCAATGGGATTTGAACAGTGTCTGAAGATCCGTTCCGGGAAGCCTGGAGAAGCGGGAGGGCAAATGGTGTCCAGATGGTACTTTCACCGCCGTAGATGAGCGCCGGACGTAGAACCGCCACGTCAAGAACGTCAGAAGCAGCAAGAACGGCGTTCTCATGAGCGACACGCCATGCGACAAGAGGTGCAGGTGGTGTCGCGGCATTCGGTCCCACAATATCAAGGTCATTCACCAGCTTGTCACTCGATCCGTGAACCCAAGTTCCCGAACAGTAAATAAACCCAAGCTTAGGAATATGTGTGAGACCTGCAAATTTTGCCCTATTCAAACGCTCCTGACCAGTGGACTTCACATCAGCAAGAAACTTTGCAGACTCCTGATTTGCGCCCGAAACGTCAATGACAATGTCAATGTTGAAGTCGCGGATGGCATCAAGATAGGAGGCCGGCTTATTGATGGGGTCGGGGCAGATGACGGGGGTGGCTTCGGCGACGGCTAGAGACTTGGCTTTGGCTTCATTGCGCGCGATGCCGTAGACTCTATGCTGACCGCTGTTGACGAGAACGTTGCAGATTCTGCTGCCGAGGTAGCCAGTGGCGCCGATGATAAGGACTTTAGGCATTCTGGATGATGAGGATGTCTTTGCTTTCTAAGAGGATGAATAACTTCAAGTGCAATATTTCAGGGAATGAAAGTGTAATATGGTGGTGGTGCTTGCTGTGCCGGTTCGGAATGCAGTGAATCTTTGACCGACTGTCCTTGTCTCTTATAATACAACATTCTCATGGTCAAACGGAATTTACAATCGGACGTATCAATTGAACGTTTCCCAAAGAGGTCTCTTTAAGCATAGTGCTGAGGTTCCAGCGCCTACGGCACCGGAGATAGGCGGGCGGCGGCACCAACGGGACTAAGGATTACCGCATCTGGAAGTGCGCCACGGAATTAAGCCATCTCAAACCTAGACATGAACTGTTCCTCAACGTCCCCAAAGAAAATATCCCAAAGCGAAGAAAATTGTGATTTAAGCCCATCGCGTTCTTCTTCAGTCCAAATACGGCCGCCTCGGGTCCAGCGCATAGTGTCTCTTGCGTAAGGCATGGGTTGGTCGTAGGTCAGAGTCATGAATGGCCCTGTCGCTCAGTCAGTACATCAACGGGCATGAATCGACTTGCACTTACAACGTCCAGCGGGCAAACCAAGACTTTCATAACATCGTGGCTCAGTCTCTGTCATTCGCTTCTCAATCCAACCATGAAATTGACGGAAACCTTCAACTGCAAGAGATGATATCCGAACGGAATAGAATCTGAGAATGAAGATGTCATGTTTCCATACCAGGTCTACGACTGGAACTCGGATGAGTCTCCCGTCAAGACTTGCTGTAGTGCCGACCTCGACGCATCCTTATGTGGTCAGATATTGAATTTTGAGGGAGAGAATGTCGCATGAATAACTCACTGTCAAAGTCGACGTCTGGTGGACCCAGGCCAAGTCTCTGAGTCGCCAATCTCAGGAAAAGGCCAAGCTTCTCAAAGTCTGGAGTGTACATGATCAACCGTGCCCTAGACCAGTTAGCGGTGTTTTCACTAACATTCCATTCAACTCACGCCACTAACGAACCCTCCAACTCCCAATTGTGCAGCGCTCCATTCTCTCGCAAGAACACATAACAAGCCAGCGCTGCTTTCCTTGTCGACCTTGTTGCCACTTTGTTGACTTCAGTGTCAAGTGCTGGAAGTGATTTCTCTTTTATACCAAGTAGTGCGTGATCCAGAACCGTGTTTCCGCTGGCTACTGTATTCCAAGGAATGTTTTTGCTGGGGAAATGCCGTTGAGCATAGTCCTTGATCATTTGTAAAGCGGTCTTGTTAGACCAGTACGCCGCTATATGAAGAGAGGATCGACCTTTCTCATCTGCAATGCGGAAAACATCATCAAAAGCTGGGTACTTCGCTAATAGCATTCGTGTGACCTGGTGACATGCAAGATCATACGAATCTCGAGCTTGAAACAGTCAGTAATGGTTGTGACCTTTGGGGAGACACTAACATCCTGAAAAGCCTTCGATAGCTGTGGCAAGCAGAGTTTTACCAGTCGGGGTAGTTGCATACTCTGGAAGTGGATCAAGATTCAGAAGGTACTGAATATGCTCAATCGGCACCAAGCCATCGGCGACAGCGAGTGAGACGAGATAGCCTCCGAACGTCACCCAGCTACCGCCTCGGTTCATCTTGTAGTCATGCTTCAGCGAGTACTTTGCACGTAGAGTTTCTGCCAGTTTGCGCTCATCATCATAACCTTCAACAAGAAGTTGAGCAAACACCGTGAGGCCGGAATTACACTGCCCCTCCAATACCTCTGTCATACTCTTCCCCTGTCGTCTCTCTGTGGAAAACTCTTCAAGTGTCTGTACAAGTTCTGGTAAGATCTTGGGAAAGTAGTGTGCTACAAAATGAAGTGCATTCCGCCCTCCTCTCTCCTTGGTGAGGATATCCGCACCTTGTCTAACGAAAGCACGTACGGCCTCAATATCTCTCCTTTCAATGGCGACATGCAGAAACAGTCTCGGTAAGTTCCACGACGGATCATCAATAACAGTATCTGGAAAAACTTTTAGAAAAGTATCCACAAAGAAACCAGATCCTCTGAAGGTGCACATCGTGAGGAAAGGATCTGTAGGTTGCTTCTTATCCACACGTCGGCGTTCGATCAGCACCGACCGGGCGTCTTCGTCCGCCAGGAGGGAGATGACAGTCTCTAGCTTCTCTTTATACCCTTTGCCTCCGACGCACATGCAGTAGAAGCGACTTCTACGGAATAAAGCACTTAGCGCCTGCGCTTTAGCATCGCTGAGTTGCCGTTGTGCTGATAACCCCGAAATCGTCACCAAAGCTTCAGAGACAGCTAAAAAAATTTCTGACAAGATCGACGTCAAGCTGCTGCGCTGCATGAGTAATTGATGTGTTGAAGTTCAAGAATCCATCCCATTCTTGGACCTGTCTAGTTGGATCTGCACCATACTCCAGCAGAAGCTCAGTCACCACTCCGTGGGAGTAATCCCACGCTGCGAATGTCGTATGGAGTGGAGTTGCACCGTTCTTCATGGCGACATTGATATGAAGACCAGCTGATAAGGCAATGTCGAAGATCTCTTCGCAGTGTTCGCGTTTGGAGAACTGGGTTAGTGAGTGGAGAATTGTAGCGCCGTGCAGAGTCTCGCGGATGGTCGGGTCAGCGCCGTTGGCGATGAGGAGTTTGGCCATGTCGAAGTGGCCGCAGTGGCAGCTTAGAAGTAATGGTGCCCAGCCGTGAGTGTTGCCGTGTGCGTTGACATCAACACCAAGCTCAACTAAAGCACGGGCCATTGCAAGATCGTTCTTAACAGCTGCGATCTGGAGCAGCGTGAAACCATCATTGTTGCACGAGTTGAGACACTTAAGCCGAGTGACTTCTTTTTTGAACTCATCTGTCCTGCCCAGATCAAGATTCTCCTTTCCTGCATCTTTCAGGCATGCCAGCCGATAAAAGTCAAATATCGGGGTGTCCATGTTGGGTTTCTGCTTCAAGAACAAAGGACTGTTGCAATGAAGGAGAAACATATTGGGAAATCTGCGCTCTGTCGCGAGGTACTCTTCGTACTTCTCTGGCCACTTGCGAGTCCAGGTCCTACCAAGAACTTGGTTCGTTGAGAGATGCTTGGGAACTAAATGGTCGAAAAGGGTTCCTTGAGCTAGGCCGAATGTCTTGGTTCCATATGACTCAACTTTGCTGAGTAGTTCAATTTCGCTTTCTTGCGGCAAAGGGGTATCGCACGCGTCGAAAATATTCAGCATGACGGACAATGCTTCTGGGTTCTCCATCACAGCGGCTGTAACAAGATGTTCTAGGCCTTTTGTTTCTGATGGCTCGACAAGTTGACCATTTAAATATGCCCCAGCGAGGTGCAGTGGAGCGGCAGAGTCTTGTACATCCCCTAGCTCAACACTCTCTTTCAAGTCTCGGAAGACTTCTTCTTGAGCTACTCTCGGAATGAGAGACACGTTCAAAGTGTGCTCAAATGCAAACTAACTGGTCAGTGGCGCCTATAGATCGGTCACATCACTTACATCAGGAACTTTAGCTATAGCCCCATCAAAGATCTCGTTCATTCGGGTGATGAAACCCTCGCTATCTTGAGTATCCTCATCTGGCTTCCAGTTCTTCTTGAACTTTCGAAGGCTAGCTGGTTTAAGACTGTGGTCCTCGAAACATGTTGCTAGCATCTTCTCGAACTCTGGGTTGTTGATCTTGATGGATATGACTTCATCATACATTTGCCGGAGTTGGATCAGCATTTCGTCATGGTCGATTTCATTTGTCTGAGGAACGATTAGCAAATGTCACTCGACTTCGTTGAACAAGAAAGCGCATTAAGAGCCGAACCTTCTTACCAATCCTGAATGTTTCTTCTCAAGAGCAGCCAGAGCGCCCCTAGGACGTAAGTTAGAGCTCCAAGTCACAAGGAGGCTACATACTTGTATCCGTCTGCAGCTGGTCGTAGATCCTTGAACCACTCAAGTGGAATAGTTGCCTTTCCAGTATGCAGTTGTTGCATGAGTCCTAGAAACAGGTAGCTCTGTATGGCTGATAACGACACCCTGTCTGAGGGCAAAGGTGCGCACGTTCCCTCGAGAAAAGCATGAACAAACTCTTCCTGATGTTCCGAGAGCGGTGTTTTCTCTTTTATGTCCTCTACAAGTGTTGCGACTGCGGATCCTGGCTGGTCTGGCGATCTCGTTTTGATGTCCAAGACTTCTCCCGGGCTCAGCGACTCAAAAGGTGTGCAGCCATTCATGAAGATACTGGCAGTGAGCAGTCCAAGGGAGTAGATGTCTGTCTTGTGAAGATCCTCCAATCTTATCGGCTCTTCCACATCCAGTTCGGGTGCCATCCATGGAAGACTGCCGATCCTCGCCTGGAATAGATTCTCGGACTTGTAATCATCAAGAATGACCGCATATCCGAAGTCACAGAGCTTAGCCCGGATAGGCGGAAGACCTGTTTTGTTGAGGAGGTCATGCTGGTGTTCATCTAACCCAGAAGTGAAGACGAGAACGTTTGTTGATTTTAGATCGGCATGAACTATACCATGAGCGTGGAGAAATTGGAGCGCGCGACCGATGTTCATGGATATTGCCAATTGAGACTTGAAGTCGGCTTTATTAGAAGAGAGATACTCCGCCAAAGTCCCCTCATCAGCAGCTTCCAGCAAGACCTGTGGCCAAAATCTCCCTACACTCGGTGACTCGCTCCACGAGATGGCGAGCATTGAGACAATAAAGTCACATTGCCGAATCGTCTCATTTGATAGAACCCTTATCTCGTTAATAGCAGCAGCAAACTGAGGCGAGTCACTCGCGACTCCTTGAGACGTAACAATCTTCTTGGTCACATATCTTCGAAACTTCTGGCTATCCTTCGCTTTCTGAATCCAATCACGCACTCCAGGTGTCGCATTGATAAAGTCTTCATCTGTATCAAGACTAAGCTCTTCGGCTGATGCGAATACAGCAAATGAGGCTCCTACGCCAGCTGAAAGGATATTCATGCTAGCGATGACATTGTTCTGGGCGCTGAGGATTGGGACATCGAGGGCTACAGCGACAGCCAAGAATTCAGCTTGTCCTTTGACTGCATATGTTTTATCAGGACGGTTGATGAGTTCTGTCGCCGAGAAGGCAGCGGAATAAGTCGAAAATGATTGAAAATCGCCCATTTTGACGATAGATAAGGCTTGGCGATCCTATTCAGATGTCTGCAGCGCGATGGCTTCTTATTTCACGCATGCTTCGGGAGGTGAGGCTGATTTCCTCACTAGACTGAAACGAGGTTGTGACATATCTCAGCCATGTCTCGGTCTAGACAATCTACAACCAATGAATTTCAGGATTTCCTCTCATGAGCTTACGAAATCGCTGTACGAATTTCAGCTTTGGCCGCGTAAATGAGGGGTTCGGCACTATTGATTACCTGCATTGGCTTGTCGGGGTCTAGATCGCCAGTCAAACCATCAAACCTGCTTCTTTGCGTAACCTCTTCCTTACAACCCATTTCTGCCAGCTCAGTATGTCTGGCCTTGAGATTCCAGCGTTTATTATCGGCCTCGGTGGTCTAATTTCTGTTTTTGAGAAGGGTTTTGAAGTATGGCGTGTCATTCGAAGAGCCGACGATTTTGGGGATGATGTTGCGGATTGGATGTGCAAGTTGGAGATGGAGTTTCGCTTCCAGACGTGGTGGACAGCTTTGGAGCATCTTGCGATCACGAAAAGGTCGTCGCATTCAGTTCTCAATGTCCCGCTTCAGTCGTCGCCTTTGCAGGTGACGTTGGATAAGCAGTTCGGCAACCCGATTATTGACGCTGCGGCAAGCGTCTTGAGATTGCTTGAGAGGATTGAGGGAATTCTCCAACGAAACGGCGTATTGGTTGTCATGCAAGTAGAACCAGCTGTGGTAGATCCAGGCGTAGACCTTGGGGAGGCCACTGCGAAATCGAGACAACGGCTCAAACGCTTCGCGAATGAACTTCTTAAACATACACCATGGACAACGCGGATCAAACACAGTACAAGTCCATGGAAAGAGGAAACTGACAAGGCTGCACTCGATGACTCCCTAGAGTCCATAATATACTGGAATAATACCCTCTACAGCATTCTCCCTCAGAACATTCGAGACAGTATCCTCGAGCTCGGAATCGCGGGCTATGCTCTGGACTCGCCAGAAAACATCAAAGACATTGTCAACTTATCTAACGATCGCAATGGAACATTGAGCCAAAGTGCCAGGCTCATGACGATACGACAGCGCTTCAAAGACGGCGCGGACTTGAGGGTGGACCTCGATGCTTTGGAATTGAAAGAGGCCGCATTCGAGGGTCTCGTCGCAGCGGACGTCTTTAAAGGGTGCCAGTACACAATCTCCCAGTATACATCTCAGGATGGCCGTATTTTTCGGGTCCTTATCGAATGGATACCAATTCCGAAAGACTTCGACGCTTACAAGTTGGCTCACTCTCGCATGGCACGGATCTCGTACACTTTACAACAGATCGGAACATTCTCAGCGATACAACCCCTTCCTGCCCTTGGGTTCGTTGAGTTTGGGAGTGCAAGGTCCTTTGGTCTGGTGTCGACTTTGCCGCAGAGCTTGACGTCTTCTACAAAGGTTTATACACTTTACGATATGCTGTCTGGAGGTCAAAAGTCAGCGGCGGGGAGCAAGCCAGGTCAGCGAGTACAGCATGCTCTTCCGAGTTTGAACCAGCGCCTCCAATTGGCGTCGAAACTGGTGATGGGATTCTATACTTTTCTTTTGACCCGTTGGCATCACGAGCGGTTCAATTCTCTGCACATCGCATTCCTCATAGATGAGGCGAACACAACCTCCAAATCACTTGACCTTAGCCAACCTATCATCGGAGGTTTCGCAATCTCACTGCCAGATTCACCAACCGAGCTATCCATCTCAGCGTCGGTAGAGGATGTCGAAGTCGTTTATCTGCACCCCGATATACGCAAGCGTCTCAAATCAGGTTCAAAAACAGGCAATGAACAGCGCTTCCAGCGGGTCCACGATATTTACGCTGTTGGACTCTTACTAGCTGAGATTGGCTACTGGAGACCAATCGCAAAGGTCGCTGAGTCCGGGTCGAAAGGTTCCAAAGCGGATTCGATATCGCCCGAACAGTTCAAAGACGCTGTTATTAAGAAGTGTAAATCAGATCTTGCCTTCTTCGCCGGGGAGACTTACAGGGATATCACGCTGAGATGCTTACTGGCTGGTGAGCCCGGTGTGGTTCAGGCGGAGAATGATGCTGCTGGATTGAACAACTTGTATTGGGACGTTGGAATAAATCTGATGACTAGTTAGACACTTTAGAGCAGGAGACTATCTCACACTGATTATGCGTTCGATACTGGTGATATTCAGGAGGTTGGGGAGGCAGCCGAGTGAAGTCCGACGGATCTGACAGCGAATGCATCCACTTACAGGGGCTGAGCTAGGCAGAACGCCCTCCGCCTGCACTAAAATAGGCACACGATGCATGTCTTGGCGGAAGGATTCACAGTGCTCTGATTATAAGAATCTGGATGAAGATACGTTAATTATCACGAAGAGAAAGAGTGTCACACTTATACATCATGGCTTCAATCAACGCGCCCCCGTCAATTGACTTTACCAATTTCTCATATACAAACCTTCCCTCACCATCCTCAATTCGCTTACTCTCATTTATCAAGAGACCTCGCCAGCTTTCACCTCCTTCAATTCTAGGTGAACCTCTGCTAGAATGCATCCTAGAAACAGTCGATATCAACGAGACCCAAGATTTCGATCTTATTTCTTCAACATGGGGAAACCCAGATAGTGCTGATCCGGGCGACATTGATGAATACGGGCCTATGCATCGCTATCCCATCGCCATCGATGGAAAGCTGATGTTTCTGCCGAAAAACATCTATGAAGCTTTAAAGATGGCCCACAAGGTCGACGATCCTGTTGATCAGCGCAATGAACTCTTCTTGGAGACAGAGTTAATGACCGCCGTGGAAAACAATCATCGGCCAAAAGTACAAAGGTTGTTGGAACAAGGTGCTCATATCCATGCGCAGGATTGTTTCGGCAAGACAGCGATTCATCACGCAGCACAACTTGGCCGCTTTGACATCATCAACATCCTTCTCGACTATGGAGCGAGTATGAAAGTGGTCGATTCTCATGGTAAAACGCCACTGGATTACATCTCATACACGAAACCAAAGGATTGGGAAAACGTTGAGGAAATTGCTTATAAGATGCAAAAGACGCCAGAGAAAAGAGAACTTGTTCCTGTTCCTGAGATTGTTCGAGTCGGGAGACCGATGTGGATTGATGCAATTTGTATCGATCAGAGCAATTTTGAGGAGCGATCTAACCATAGTTCTATGATTGCCCAGATTTACTGCCGTGCTCATTCTGTGATCGCCTGGGTTGGAGTTCAGAACGACGATACCAAGCTTGCGCCAGAAGCCATTTCATCGATACTTCGAGCTGATAGTAAAGACGTGGATGAAACCATGTCTGAGGAAGGTCCTTCTACCACACATACTGGATGTTCATACATCCCCTCTGATGAAGAAAGGTCGTCCATCATCAAACTTTTGAGACGATCTTGGTTCGAACGCGCAGATCTGATGCATGAGGTTGCTTTCGGACGAGCAATCACTGTTTACTGCGGTATGGATGCGCTTCCTTTTTCGTGTATCATGGAATTCCTCAGACGAGAAGCATATAGTGGTACTTTCCTGCCTTCTGACCTTCAAGTTTGGTCTTTGCTTGGAAGGACAGGTTCAAAGAAACGAAGTTCACTGGGCTCGAGAGGAAGTCAGAAGCGGATGCGACGAAATTCGATTTATGGATGATTTATTGGGTTCAGAGTCAATTAGCTTGCGATTTCCTATTGATATTCTTGCTATCATGTTCGAGACTTCTCTTGCTCCTATGAACTAACAAATTGAAATCCCATATGCGCCTCATATCCTTAAATCAGAACTCAACTAGAAAACTCGTAAGCAAATGCAGTAGCGTTCGTCGGCGGGTTAACAGAAATTGTCAACTGAAACCCAGGGTTAGCTCTGAACTTAATGGAGAGGTGCCTGGATACTTCGTATAAGACGGCTTTTAATGTGGGGGGTCCTTACCGTGTTGGATGAATAAGCATAACTCTGTATCCCCAGATCAACAGGCCCGTCAACCTTTCCATTCAGCCCGGCCCAGTCGAATCGATATGTGCGGACCTTGACTGTCCCCTTCTTAGGAAGCCCCACTGCCTTCAGACCACTGACCGTGATGTTGTACTTTGCTTTGACAGTCCTGGTGCCAGCTAGAATCTTGACTTTATGGCCCTCCTTGGTAGCGAATACATCAAACTTCAAGTCCGTCGAGGCCTTCGTCAAGACTCTCTGTCCCGTCATGGCGGCATAGTATTTGTATACCTGCCATTCGCCGTTGGGGTAGTAGGTCCCCTCTGAGGTCCCTGTAGTGCTGTAGACCAAATTACCCATCCAGTTGTGCAGGTTAGATCCGCCACCCCAGTTTGCGCGCAGACCTCGGATATTATGTCGCTCCAACTGAGAGAGATAGTAGACGGAGTTGGCTGGATTTTGCTCGTCGGCTGCTGCATACTCATTGACATCGACTGGCCTTGCAGGCACGCCGTATTGCGCCCGTAAGGTAGTAAAGTCGGGAATTGTTGTGTCTGGCTCACGCTCCCAGGAGCCAATCTGATGCCAAGAGAAATGATCGGGATCCGTTTTGTTGCCAGCTACTGATTGTAGCCAGGTATGCCATTTGTCATCGCTCAGAATGGGAGAATGTGCCATGGCTGGGCCACTGAGAAGGGTGCCGGGAAGTCTCTTTCTAATTTTTGTCTTTGTCAGTTCCCTGACAGGCGAGATGCATCAGTTGTTATGACTTACCGCAAGAGCTTTGTTGCGCGATTATAGTACTCGAGGAACTGGGGCCACGAGCGATCCCAAAAGATATCAATATCAGGCTCATTCCACACATCAATCACAAGGCCTTTCAGCATATCATGAGTCTTCAAATCAGACACCAGCTGGTTCCAGAATAACTCCATCTCCGTCCAGTTACCGTTGTCGCCAGGGAAAGGCGAGTTAGAACCCTGTCCGCCATCTGCACCCCAGAGGTCATGAGGTAGCAAGATGAACTCAGCGTTGTACTTGCGCGTGGTGCGATAATTGGATAGAGTAGAGTTGAAGCGGCCAAGGTAACCTTCGTAGCCGCCTCTGGCCCAGCCTAACGATGGAATCTGAGCACCGCCACCACGATTTGCGTTGAACTTTATGTCAGTTACCAAGTTATCTGGAATCGACGTGTCGACATGCGTCCCGTTATCAGGCCAGCCGTAGATGAAACCTGATCCGAGAGCCTGTGCTCGTCCATGGTCCTTGGTGAGGTCAACAGTTGCTGTGCCTCGTACCTGTGAGGCAACATTTCTGACCAGAGCCAGTACCACGGCGGCAGTGAGGGCGACTGGGTGCATCTTGGGCAAGTTGATTTGTTTAAACGTTGTCAGCTGGGGAGAAACAGCTCCAATCTATTTGGCCATTGTACTTGGTGTCAAACCTGGGGAACGGTACGAGGTACTTATCAATTTCTTGCAAACTTCGCAGTCCTGGCTCTAAGTATGGTCTCACAAGAGGCATGGAGTTGGCAAAATCTCCCCACCGGGTGCAGATCCCCCGCAGGAGTGTTCAAACAAGCAATATCTGGGTCTACAGCAGGAGAACAGACTTCCGAGAGAGTTTGCTCCGGTGGGACGGGCTAAACTCATCATGTAAGTCAAGAGTATGTTGAATTTTAAGAGCAGATTGCCTTGACCAACCGTAGAAAGTTTCACCGGGGGATGCTTGGGTGATTCAAGCTTTACTGGCTCAGACAGCTCATGTCGATTATGTTTGTGTACGCCAACTTGAGTTATCTTGCAATTGAACTTCCTACGTAAAACTCTTATGGTCTGGACGTCAATGAATCTCAATGGGTTCTGATTACTTGGACTACCGATCTCCTGTTCCCAAAGCCAAGCCAGTATCATACGACTGGGGGTTGTAAAGGTTTGCCAAAAGTCGTCCGGCTAAAGGAAATCAGGTTGCTTAGGAAAATTTCCTTGCTCTTAAGAAATATCGAGTCAGATGATTTCAGTATTTACTGGGGTTCCCCGCATGATCTACTTTACGCCATGTATGCGCACCTATCGTAAACCCTGCTCTAGAGACTTGGGATGAGCATTGAACCGGAATGATTGATAGGGATCATAATTGAACTTGAGATGCAATTTTTCGGTTGGACAAAGACAGTGAGTCTTTCTTGTTCGTTCATTAATATTAACAATATGAATTCCAGACTGTTGCTTCTTTTAATCGTAGGGTAGCGCATAGCTGCTTTTTTTTTTAACTTTTTAGGTAGACCTAGTCTCGCTATATAATTTATCAAGAGGAAGCAGCAGGCCCTTTGATTTACTTTCTTCTTATTTAAAGGAAATACAAAAATAGCAATAAACTTTCATAACTTATAGCTTAACTTAATTCTCCTTTTAATAATTAAATAATTATTTAAATTGTATATCTTGCGATTTGGGGGCAGTCTGCAGGGTAAGGAGCAAGGATACATGACAAACTAGGCAAGGCTCCTCATTTCTCTAAATCGAGTAGCTGTTTCATCCGCCTCACTTTGCAACCTTGCTTAGTTTTCACAACTGCAGTCAAGTAATGAACATCAACGCTCTGTTTACTCTCGCATAGTTGATTGCTGTCCTGACAATAAGGAGGACTGTATGGTACTGTCTGCCCAGCAGAATGGATCGGCATCACGTCTAGCTGTGCTGGACACAAATAGTTAAAATACTTGTACAAAATAAGTCATTATTGACCTCAGACGAATGCTATTCTACATGTTATGTTTGTTCAGTCGTCATCACAACCCGCGTCTGCTTCAAGATATACTTCTGACTATCCCCATCATCAATACTCTGCCTAACCTTATCATCATTGCCAAAACCCACTCGTGTTGTCATTCCCGATCGAAAGTCATTCAACTCCAAACTTGACTTTTGGTTCTCGGAAACTATTCGGGTATGTTTACTTCCTGGAATATGAGGTGGGTTCATTCGACTGGATATTCCGTTTGATCCAGTGTTGCTGGCGTAGGTACTGCGACGGAACATGGGAAGGTTGAGAAGTGGACGGAGGGCAGGCATGGATCCGGCGACAATTCCGATGCCTTCTTCGAGAACGGACCAGAGACCAATGGCGCCGGTGCTGTACATGAATTCTTCGGGGTTGTTGTATAGTGTGAGGTATCCGAGCCGGACGACGGTTGCGCAACTGGCACTACAAGGTGTTAGCTTTCTCCCATCAAGATCTCACGTGATACTTACAAAGCACCAAGTCCAAGCATAAGAATAACAGGAAGCTTGACTCTGTTCTTCATCTGGATATTCCACAGCAAAAGTCCAGGAAGAATAGCCAGCGTCCAATCCACTATGATCGAAACAGCAGAAAAGAAGAACCCAACACTACTGTTCAGCTTCGTGTTGCAGTAGCCATGTGTCGTTTCTCCCCAGAGTGTTGTAATCGGATGGCAAACGTTCGCTGTGGCGAGGATAAAGATTATGGCGGTGATGACAGTCATGGCGATGAGACCCCAGAGGGTCCAGACGAATCGACGGCGTGCATCGCAGATTCGGAGCATGGTTACGCAAATGCTGGCTTTGATCGGGACGGAGCAGGCGGAGTAGAAGAATTGGGCGATGAAGAAGAGCTGCAGTCGCCAACCGTTAGCTTCGGGATATTGTCTCCCAGCAAACCACATACCTTTGTACCCATCATTCTATCTTTTGGCTCAATATGATCACTATGTTGACCTGCACCATGAAAGCAGCATGTAATAACCAGTGCTGCTGTAACCGTATACAGAATCTGTCTCTTGTCAGTTCAAAACCTTGAGGTCCCTTGAATCACATACCAAACCCGCAAACATTAGCCAATCGTCCAAGCCAAGATTATTTTTCCATTTTCGAACTCCAAGACGCGCGCTGAGAAAGATCCACGATAGCGTGAGCATCACAATAGTGATCCATAGGAGGGGCACGCCCTCACCGGCTACAGGAGCCATGTTGGTGATTCAAGGCGAACGAAAGAAAAGACGATAAACAAAAGAACAAACAACCAGGATAGGGACGATTTCAAGATCTGTAGCTGCCAGATTTAATATCCAACAGCATAACCAACGTCCCGGAAATTCTCAGTCGGTCCCCATGCTACTAGCCCCCCTGGGTATCAGGAAAACCGGCACCTGCAAGCATGCAACTCGGGTATGACATAAATACAGAGACACATGTCTACAAAAGACCCCTCATTATGTGCTCGACCTATTTCAAGCATCCTTTTCCGAGCCTCGTTCATTTTCGTATACCCCAGCTAGCGTACCAGTTCAAACATAGGGGCCAATTAGCAAACGGGTCCCAAGAATAAACTAAATGATGACGAACTCGAATCAACGGCTGTCTCAATGTTTTTAGATCAATATTTGCGGAGCATTTTGCCCGTGAATGACTCCGAGACCATAATATTGGTTACTTTTGCTGGAGCGTCCACTTTATCCCGGGCGGCCCGAGGATACTAGCTCCTTGTGCCAGCCTCATATTAGATTATGTTTTGGTCTGGCGGATGATCTACTGGTGCCCGAGGCCAAGAGATAGTTATGTTCAGTGCGTAAAGGTGCGAAGAAAATATGCAGGTGAAAACATGTCTTGTTTGGATGCGAAGGATTGTTACATCATTGCCGATCAAGATCCTGCATTTTCCTACAGAGATCCAATTCCGACAGAAACAACCCCCGGGCGACTTTCTCCGGTTATTTGACTAAGAGAACCAGTGGCAAATGAGGATTACGAATCACGTGATGGATTACATGCCCAGCAAATATGGATACCAACATGGATGTAAGATCTAGTCCTCGACTAGTCTAGGGACTACAGAGCAGAAACAACAGTTTACCCACCAACAGTTAATGCAAGATCAGAAGTCGTACGACATTCGGGAGTTGCTGTGGGTTCCCCGTGTCCACCGAGGACCCTGAACTGGTGTGGATGGATATCGATGTAACTTTCGTATTTTAGTCAGGGCTACTGCTGTTACCATCGAGTCTTCTCACCGCGTCTTTCTGTTTCTTCACGTTTCAAGAAAAAAACATGGCTGAATTTATCATCGACGATCAGAAGCTGGAGGCCTTGAAGGGCAAGGTTGTCATCGTAACAGGTATGCAGCCATTACGGACCAGCGGAATACGAGCTAACCAATCCTTGATAGGAGGATCTTCCGGTATTGGTTTATCCACTGTTGACTTGCTTTTGTCGCTTGGCGCCTCGGTAGTCAGTGGCGATGTGCAGCCTCCCCCAGAGGAGCACAAGGGATCATTTACCTTTGTCAAGACCGATGTTTCAGTCTGGGGTGATTTGATTGCTCTTTTCAAGAAGGCCAAGGAGACGTACGGTCGTATCGACCACGTTTTCGCGAATGCTGGTATTGGACCGCGAACGGATTACTTGTCCACCGAGGTTGATGAGAATGGCGACTTGAAGGAGCCTTCACACCACCTTCTTGACATTAGCTTGAAGGGAGTCATCAACACTTCGACACTAGCTATCAACTATCTGAGACAACAACCTGAGGGAGGCAGCATTCTCATCAGTGGATCAACAACTGGTCTACAGCGAGTTCGAGCCGTCGACTACTGTAAGTTAGCACATCCCTACGTCATCGTGTTTTACTAATATCCCTAGCCACCGCCAAACATGGTGTTCTCGGTTTCGGACGTGGTCTCGTCCCCCTGCTCGGCGCCGCTCAACTTCCTATCCGCGTTAATACACTAGCGCCCAGTTGGACAGACAGCAGTGTCTTGCCATCGCTGAAGGCCCTTCTTGACGCCATCAACGTTGAGCTGCAGCCTGCTTCTGTTGTAGCTCGTTGCGCAGCTTTCCTTATGGCTGATTCATCGAAGAATGGACAGCTTGTGCATATTGAGCGTGGAAAGTATGCTGAGATTGATGAGGCAGTTTTGTTGCCGACTTTTGGGAAGATCAAGAGTGACGATTATCCTTGGGAGGATGATGTTTTGGACCGTCTCTCAAAACTTGGCTAGAGTATGTTGGGGTTGCTTTAGTTATTATAAAGCCAGTTAGCTTAATTTATCACATTGAAAGTGGCTATAATTGCCAATTATGGAGTGAATTAAGATTAAGAAATAATAACGATCTCAGATCTTGCTTTGTTTCCGATATTCATCCACCCGATTCAGGATTTCGTGGCAATCATCCCAGATCCTGCGCCGATTCTGTAGTCCAAGCAATGTTTTCCAGTTCCGGGCAACCTCCACTTGAAGACGGAGCCAGTCTGTTTCACCTTTGCTGAGTAGCTTGACCGGATGAGAGGTTGTACTAATGCTACCTCTGCGTTCAATTTCTTGTTCGATTTCCTCTTGAGTTGTTGTTGCCCAGAAAGAAATAGGTAATGATGACCATGCCTCATATAGCCAAGGGGTATCTCTTATGGTCAACTCGCACAACACGGGGTTTGGCAGATGTAGAAATACGCGAGAGGTGAGTCGGAGGTTGGCAAGGTCCTTGAACCTGAGATGAATGAGAATCTCACGTATCATTTCGCGAGGAAGCTTTGAGAATGGGTCGGTAGGGGCTGGTTTCGTTGATATCGTAGTTCCAGAAAGCCCAGAATCATCTTCAAGGGTACGTTCCACGCTCTGTGTTGACTGCAAGAGATCGTCTAATCCGGGAACAAAGCAAGGGTTGGCCGCTAGGAATTCGCCTCCACGATCATGACTCCACCACTGCTCCTGACCTTGTTTAACAGCAGGATGCCGAGGAAAACGATAGAAATCATCGTATCCCGGTTCAAGACGCCACCACTGCATCAGGCACTCAACATCCACAGTTCCATATCGATACAAAGAGGCTCTCTTGAATATCTCAAAGCAGGTCGGATGAAATGGCATACAATACTCGTCCGCTTCGTCAGGACTCCAAATAATGTTCTCAGCTCTTACATCACTCGTACCATGACGCGGGGGAGAAACAAATGGCCAGCCCATATCTCTACTGGGCATGTCGTCAGCCAAACCGCTGAGGAAGAACTTGCCCGAAACTTCAAAGTCTTGGTCGTCACTCTCGGGCTGCCAATTCTCGCTTTTTGGTACAAGACACTGGAATGTTTGGCAGCGCTTCACGGCCTCCGCAGAGATGTAGTTTCCATTATAGGCTCCGTTGTACTCGCATTCTGGTCCCGCGATGTGTTCCCATTCATCATCTGGTGTATCTGACGTCCATCCGTCATCGGATGAATCTTCGGAGTCGAGTTTTGGTGGGAAATATTTGACTGTCTCAGAGGACGCAGTTCCAGGTTCTTGACTCCCATTTCTCTGCACGTAGTAGCATCCCCATCGACCATGACTATTGTCGGGGTTAACCTCGAGGCTTTGGCCCCAAGCTGCGCTTTGAGGTTCTTTGTCCGATCGGGAGCGGCTGATGTTGAAGCTGACGCCACAAATATGGCAAAGAACTTCAGAGTAGCCCATAACGCTTTAACTCTATAGATGCAGTAGGTTCAAGATGTTGTAAGTAGCCAGATGACGGCAAAACGATGAATGACGTTTTAAGGTCAGCTAGTGCTGATTCTAGGCAGCAAGCCCCATATTTCGCTCAGTAGTCTTGGCGCATTTTGAGTGCACAAAGCTGTGTAAGGATAAAAAAGCCATCGTAATAAATGTATTATTGTTAGGATATAAGCTATTTATTCCTATATGTAGCTGCAGCCTCTCTCACAGCCCTGAGCTCCTCCATGATACCACCATAAGTCCAATTTATCTTCTCAAACATATATACCTCTTCGGCAGTCCTCTTGTTCTTGGCCTTTCTGGTATTGTTCTGGATCTGGCTCGCGCGTGGCCTGCGGACAGAATCAAAGTCTTGCAGCAGCTCAGGAACATGCTCGCTAGTAATGCCCTGTTGAAGGAACAGTCTGAAACCTTCTGCATCTTCCACAGCCTGTGTTCCACCCTGTCCTTGGTGAGGCGTCATAGCATGGGCCGCATCGCCAATCAAAACTGTTCGACCACGAATGTAGGTTGGCAACGGGTCCTGGTCTCGCAGTTGCCAGAGTTTAATATTCTTTGCGATTCTGTTGTTCAAGTCAGTCAAAACTGTTGCAGCTTGAGAGGGGATGTTGAACAATAGATCATACCGAAGATAATCGTGCACCCAAGACGGGAAGTCTGAAAATAGTGACAAAAGCTCTTCCTGGTCCCCAGAAGCCGTCCAAGACTCTGTCGTCTTCTCCTTCAGGCTGCTATCTGGAACGATGCAGACAAAGTTAAGAAGTTCAAAGTTCCGGCAGGGATACACAACAACAGATCGCATCGTGTCGTCGAAAGAATACACCATTGACAAGCATGTAGGCTGACCAGGTTGCAAGATCTGCGGTAGTTGCTTGAGAGCTGCTTTGATGTCGTGGAGTTCCAAAGTGAAACGAAAAGCTGATAACCCAGATGGCCTAGCTGTCTGGAACGCAGCATCGCCGACTACGTGTGGCCTCACCATAGACTTGATGCCATCCGCAGCTTCCTGTGTCATCAGTTGATCGGTTCGATTAGGCCATGTTTGAACAACTTACCAATTACGAGGTCTGCTTTGACTTGTTCACCTGATGCCAGTGTGATTCGGCCTTCTTCGGGTGAGATGTTGATAACCTTCTGATCCCAAAGCACCTCAGCCGGTCTCCCTGGTATACCCGAAATACCAGTATCCTCAGTCGCCAACCGAAGAAACTCGCCTCTCAGGTCTGCCCGATGTTGAAAGAGCCAGTCAGCGCCGTATTTATCTACATAGTTATTTCTCTCATCCAATTTGAGATGGCCCTCCTTTGTGAAGATCTTGGTAGCCGCAACAGGGAGCGATCCAGCCCTAGAACGGTCGAAATCAAGGGTGTCGAGGATCCGAACGCCATTTGGCCCGACATTGATAGCGGCACCAACCTCGATTGGTGATGATGACCGCTCGTACACTTTGACGTTGTGCTTTTCTCGTAGTACTCGGGCGGCTAGAAGTCCGGCGAGCCCGGCACCAATAATAACCACGTCAAGGGGATTATCTTGCTTAACCATGATCAAGGTTTGTTATGTTTTTGGGGAATTTAATTGATTGGATTTGCTAGTTTTGCCCAAGACTTTCAACTGCTACCATACCCCTCGTAATATGCCCATCCCCAAATTGTGGCTCCCCAGGTTCTTCTGTCTTTGAGCCCGCACTCCTCCTCCACATGCCGACGCCGAGACTTCCGTCCCATACTCTCCACATCCCTATACCTCTTGGGTTCCCTTTCTCCCTGTATTGCTGGCTTAGCGACCCGAGCGTCTATGTTTATCGGCAGTACGAACCCGAAACACATACAAGATGACCCGTCTCGATATATCACAGCATCCCCAGTCTCGATACTTGAAGAGATTCCTCCTACTCTATTTAGACCAAAGATTTGTTTTTCATCTACCGAAACATCCATCATGGCTAAGCGGCTTATTCTGCCGGCTCCCTTTGGACGCTTGCAACTACAGATGTATGATCCATCTCTTCCCGGACTTTCTCAGATCCAAGTCAAAGTATTGGCAACGTCACTGAAACACTTTGACTGGAAGGGAATTAACAAGGATTTATTCATCCCTTCTTTCCCTCATGATATGCTTAGCCTCAACCAAGCTTTCTCGAAATGCCTTTTCATCAGTCTCTCCTGCTTTGATCAGTCCTCAGCATGGATATAGTTCAGCATGGTGCCCGCCCTGGAGAGTCACAAAGGTTTCAAGAGGGTGACCTCACTTTGACCCTGGTACAGTTGGCTACAGAAACGGAGGTGCCACCAGGTAGGACCTGCAATAATTATCAGGTGCTTGGCCGAGAATTGTCGGCTCCACAGTCTCGTCTGATACCATTAGTGTCACACGTTCTCTGATTTACTAAACTAAATAGAACACCTATAGCTACACATGGGGACTGATTTCTAATGTTAGTCCGATCCTTTCCTTCACCAGGGTATATTTAGTTTGTCGGCTCCACATTGTAGATCCTGTGGTTCTCCAGTATGCTAGATATATCCGGCGAAGCCGAAGCAAGCTAATGCCTTGACTTTAAATAGTTACACAAACTCGGTAGCAAAAGTCGTTCTCCGAACTCTTCCTGTAGATGAGTTACATTATTTGCATTTATATATAACTTGGCAATCACACACCATCATACTCCTGTATTCTCGCCTTACCTACAACCCAAATACCAGTGCTCAGGACTATAATGCCTCATATTAAACAAATTGCTGCTGGCAGGCGTAAGCCGAATATGACACGCAAAGAGTACTTCGATCACCGATTCCGTATTCACGGAAGTATCTCTGATGCTACAGAGGATAAGGACGAGAAACCTTAGTACGTTGACTCGCCACTGCCCTCACGTCAGAGATTTATGGCACCAAGAGTTGAATAATGTTGCTAAGCTTATACGCAGTAAGTACATCCAGACCCAGGTCTTTGACTCAGCCTTTGGGTCGCGTCAGGGTGGTCCCTTGAACGCAAATCAAAACTGGGTTGGAAGAGACGATACCACGGAACTCTTCTTTCGAGATTGGGATCATGTCCAGCGATGCTTTTCTAGCAACTACGTGAAAACAACTATTGCACCAGATGGACCTTTCTTCGCAGACTTTGAAACAAGTGTTGTTCTCATGGCGTATGAGAAGACCATTCCACTGCAGACCTCGGCTGCTGTAAAGCGAGCTGAGGCCGGAGAGGAAGGTATGGATTCCGGCGACTCTACTGTTGCCATGTATTTCATATCCACGCCAGATGACATGAAGGACGGAGAGGTCCTGGAGCAGACAATAACTCCTCGTCTAGTCGACGCAATCAACGCTTGCTGCCAGGGCCAAGCTTGGGAACTGATTTGCAACGTCGGTGCTGTTTCTGATCAGTTCGACTTGAACTCTTATTTTGGCGGCGCAAATATGCCCCAATACGCACTCGTTTACAAAATCTTTCTTACTGGCCCTGAATCTGTTCCGCTGGTAAGGAAGGCTCAGGCACAGTTTGAGAAGCATGCTGTAGACCAGTCCATTATCGATCTGCATAAATCTTTCATTTTGTTTTCACAAGAGGCCCTTGTTATGGATGTGGAAAAGGAAGTAAGGGTACGTTGTGTCGCATGTAGCTATAAAAATCTTACTGACTTGATTACTTGCAGTTCAGCCGCAATCGTCAGCCAGCTTTTAGAGACCTTCCTGGCCCATCTCATCTTGACTAAGTAGGATATATTTATGAAATAAACATCATTTATTAGTTTTTAATCCTTAACTTAATATTATGAGTTGACCTTATAACACTTCTGCCTAGCGGCGAAACCATCAACGCCAGCTCGAAGCCCTAGCGTAGGTAGGCTGTCAGTGGCGTATCATCATTGGTCCAATCGACCGACCTTTCAGCACTGCATAACCTCAGGCGTCTCATTGGAGGGTTCGGGGTGGCTTGCGGCTGAAGATTGAAAGGCGAATGCATTTTCAATCCTTATTACGCGGGGTTCATTCTCGCGACGGACTGCCTGAATAACCATTAAAGTCAAGCGAAAACATATTTGTCTGCTTTTCGCGATCAAAATGACGCCCCCTCTTGACGATACCGCTGATACGCCCGTGACCCTATCGCAACCAGCACCCGCCGGACCCATTCCCACTACGGCCTGGCATGCTTACTTCTCATATGGCATTGGACACATAGACTATAGTGGTCTTATAGAACAGCGAAATCCCTGTATCCGATCACTTCGACAACAGCGGACTGTTAAGAACAAGTTCTGGTTACAGCCTCCAGCAGCCGAGGGCATGCCACAATTGAGCTCCAACTATGAAATCACAGAAAGCGCGACATTTCCGTATTCGAAAGCTTATCAAGAAGTGATGTTTCCACTGAACGTGACCCAGCGACGTGACGAAGAGCATGGAGCTGCGGATGGTGAAAATCCACCAGGGCAGCATGGTTCAAGACAGTCGCAGACGGAAAGGATCGAATGGAATACGAGTGTTGCAACGCCGATTTTCGGTGTCTCGCTTACCTCCGCTATTGAGTTTGAGTCACGGATCCAACCAACATACATCGTCTTGGGTTTATTCCTCCGCGGCTCCCCTAACCCGAAAGAAAGAGTTGTCTTTGTTGATAAGCCGGAACAACTCTTCTCCAAGCTCCGCTGGGCGACTTTCCGACTACGTGGAATGAGAGGGACTCTTCTGTCTCTGAAACATTTAAAAGGGTTTAGGCTATACAAGGTTTGTTCTCGTTACTAGGTAGCTTTCGACTCATGCTGATAAATCAGTGCGATGCAGACACTGGAACACATAAACGCATCACCCTCGATAGCAATGGAGTCGGTGACTTGCAGCTGTTGATGAATACCTACAGAAGCTGGCATGTTCCTCGTCATATCTCCTTGGCTTGGTCAGACTGGATCCATTGTACGTTGAACAACAAGAGACCTGATATACTGGAGGGGGAATACGCCCTTGAGCTGGTTCTGGACTGGTCAGTTACACGCATCTCGATCGTGGTACTCGTCCCAGTTCTCTTAAGCTTGGCCATTGGTATTTGGCTCAACTCAAAGGCGTGGACAGATTTGGCAACCATACAGACCGCGTGGGGGACAGCTTCATATATCGTGACAGCTGGCGCTTGTAAGTCTTGACTGATTAAAACCTGATCTTGCTGAAGCTATCAGCTAACATTCGAAAGTGCTTGCAGCAATGTTGGGCTTTTTGGATATCGCGGATAAATAGCCGAAAACCTGGTTTGTTCTATCACATGTCAGCTTTCAAGACAACCACTTTGCTTTCAGCTCATGCAGCCACTTTCACAACTGCGGGTTGAAAATCAGGCTCTGGAGAGCTTTCGCCACTTGCGACGATTTATCATGAGGGGTTAGACATAATTCTATGACTAGTGAGTTTAGTTAATGAGTTTAGGGTTTCTCATATTACATTTTTTCTAGTGTTTGCTGTAGTATCCAAGTATTCATATCTAAGAAAGAAACGAAAGGCATTGTGTTACTGAGAGCCTGGTTGAGATTTCCGGAATATGGTGTTCACATCCAAGTGTTGGGTTGACGCCCAGGTGATATCGTGTTGCACTCTGATTGGTAATTATGCCACCCAACTGTAAAGGATCACTGCAGAGGGTTACAGAAGCTACTATGATCTGACAAAGGTGCCAGAATATTGCCTCTTATTTCATTGGTCATGTCAACCCTCTGAGTTTGGGGCACAGTAGTATTTGCTTCGGAGATAGGCTACCAGAATTTTCAGCCGCATTATCAACCCAAGAGCTCGTTTCGGGTTATTTCCTTCTCTCTGCTCCAGTTCCAGTTCCGAACCATTTTATATAATTCTTAGTTCTATACGAGCTACCTATTCTACATCGAACCATAAAATCGACCTCATCTCCAGTGGATACCTTCCCTCACTTGCCCTCGCGCCATAAAGTCTGGCCGAGCGATGATGTATCCGCTTACGAGCCCTTCAACACCAGTCGAGAGCGCTCTGGCCTCGGCAAGCCTATCCAAAGACGAATTTGTGACCTCTCAGAAATCGCGGCACTGCTATTGAGCTTTTTCTGTAGCATCGCTGGTCTGATCTGCTGCTTTCATCCAGCCACTGCAGCAAACCTGGGACAAAAGTATCAACTTATCATTGTTGGCTTGATGCTGTCTCTCATGGACCTCTGCACCGGCAAACTGTCAACTATCGTCTTCTTGCAACTCGAGACACGATGGGCTAGTCTGTTGCAGAACTATGACTCTATCATCAAGAAGAGTGTTTTGGGTAGTCTTCTGAATTGGCGACCGGGGAGTCAGAGATGGACATTACTTCTGTCGGCGTCTCTCTTTTTTCCACTCCTTCTTAGCGTCGGTTATAAGACATTCGTTGGAGGAAAGATTACTACTGAAGTACATGTAAATGGCGGTGAATATGGACTCACTGGCCCTGTTGGGCTTGCCAGCTTTGCCTCTGGCTCTGCTCTTATGGTCAATGCTACCATCCCATTCATGTTCAGCAACGTAACGAAGTAACCCCCTCAACCCCAACCCTTTGGGTTCAACATGCTTCTCTTCAAGAACAAGATTATAACAGTTGCCATGTTGGACGGACCAAGTCCATCTTACGTCAAGCGTATAAGGGCCAGGCTTCAGAGCCAACAGTCATACACCGTGTCTACTGACGTCTTTGGCTTGGCTTGGCATCTTGATACCGAAGTTGAAAAACATCGCGATGATGCTCAATGGTGGAACACGCTTTACGACTCAAGTGATGACAAAGCGCCACAGAACATATCTCTTTACAAAGAAAAGAAGTGGCTATCGACTCTATGGCCTCAGGGTCAGGTGAAGCGCTTCTTCGTTCTTCTCACGCCGCATGAGTCGGACAGAAAGATATCTCCCTCAAGGAAAGGTTCCAGAAGCAAGCGCTCGAGTTTAAAAGGCAACGACTTAATTGTCACGGAAAGTGGAGAATCACACTCGGTTCAGTCAGCCTTATCGAGGGTAGCTGCGCTGGACGCTTTGAAATAGCATTCCCGGATGGGTGCAGAACTCTTCATCTTAATGATGCCAGATTCTTGCTCAGTGACTTTGTCAGTGACTTGCTGACGGATAAGCTGGATGAAGCAGCACAGATAAGGTTCACGGCTGTGGTGTCATCGCTTCTTTGGTCTCGATTGACAGCTTTCTGTGGGATAGGCTCCCCGGTCAACGATCTTTCATCAAAAGACCGTGAACAGTTCGAGTATCACCGGCAAGATCAAGCTTGGAAGACTGTCACAGTACTCAGACGAACTCCTCTGCTTACAATCGTTATCCTAGCCCAGCCCATTGTCGGCTTGATACTTCTTATCATCCGCATCGCGTTTTGCTCCTCACCTGTATTTGGGGGTTTTGGTCTCATCAGCGTTTTAGCAGGCCACAGGTCCAATGAAGGTGATATTCTGAGTGGTGCAGGCTTGTCTGGGGTTGCCAAGGAGCGCATTGAGCTGGCTTTCGACATGTTTGGCGAATCATGCGATGACGGAGGTGAGAGGCTGCGGTTTCAGCTGAGGAAAGCAAGGAATTCAATGCATCAAGATCGGAAGAAGCTGATATCTGGGGTCAAGTATCACTGACCAAACAGGAGAGATTTACGGTAGGGATTCCAGAAACAGATTGTTTTGCGAGGTGTCGAACTTTTGTATGGGATTTCCTTGGTTTTTTCCTCTCGATAAGAACACGCAGGTGATAAGCATCAGAACCATCGAATCATTATGACAGTTGATGTCATTCTCTAATTGGGGAGGCTTAATCCGCCACATAAGTCAAGCCACCTATATAATCTGATCGGATATAAGTTTCGGATATCTAATGTTAATCAAGTTTATGCTCATTTTACCAGGGCCGGAACCCGGCGCGTACCACGTAGTAGGTCCACTTTCTGCAGGAACAGTAAGAGAAACAATCTGCACATTCATGATTTGCCACGTCGTTACGCCAGCCCTAGCTAAACAAGCTGATAGGGCTAGTAGAAGGACGATCAGTAACGTCTGGGAGCTTCGCCATACACCAATGAGGCCTCAAAGGAACCAACCCGACCAATCACCTTTATCGGTGAATCTCCTGGCAGAGCATGACATCGGCCCAGCAGCTAATTTGTTTCCAAGCTCTCCTCTAATTAGCCCTCTAAAATTAACGGTCAACGGTTGGTGTGATCGTTTCGGCAGTCGGCTATTCCTTTGAGTGTTTCCTCCGACGATCCAGCGAATCAGCATGACCAATTGATCGAGCGATCGTCGCGACGCGTTTATGCCTTGGATCCCTGCAGAGCTGTAAACCGCCCAGCCGTTGTAACGCTACAACAGGTTTCAAGTCAATATATAGATGATATAGGCCAGGATATCGCCATCGGAAACGTCAACGGCTTTAAACGTGGTATTAATTGGAGATTTGTTGTAAGATAATGACGTTGAGATTATTTAGTTTACTGACGATGATCTTAATGATTTAAAGGATCTATAATTTGGATTTTGTATAAATATGGGGATTGTTGGAGGATCAATTGGAATCTGCATCCACATCCCCAACCTTCATATCATTCTATCATCTACTCATTCACTCAATTCACCATGCAGTTCTCACTCGCTATTGTCACCCTCCTGGCTGCTGCCATCTCTGCTCTCCCCACTGAGGAGAAGCGCCAGGCTTACATCCCTTGCTCAGGTCTCTACGGTACTTCTCAATGCTGTGCTACTGATGTCCTTGGAGTTGCCGACCTTGACTGCGGAAACCGTAAGTTTAGACATGTCCTCAGCAAAGTCCGTTCTAACATAAGTAGCTCCCGCCGCCCCTGCCAACGCCACTGACTTCAGTGCTGTTTGCTCCGCCATTGGCCAGCGAGCTCGATGCTGCGTTCTGCCCATCGTGAGTTCGGCATATAATCTGAAGTGAATGACTACTGATATACGCAGCTTGACCAAGGCATCCTCTGCAACACACCCACTGGTGTCCAGGACTAAGGGAAGACGACTTCTCCCTTCTGATTCTGATATGCGAATACGAGATAGATGGATTATGATATGACAAGTGTTGGGGAGTGACTGGATCGTTTCCTTTTCTGTTATGTTCATACATACTTAGTAAATCAACTTTGTAACACAAACAATAACTGTACTTGTCTCTTGCTTGCTGTGGACTCGATGATCGTAGAGGACCGAGAGGCTTATAAAGGTGATTTCTCATTGTTGATCTTGAACCCATGGGACGAGACGTGTTGATTACATCTTCGACTTATACTCTCTGTTCTCCACCTGAACAATCTCCGAATCAACTTTTGCATCACCTCCAGGCCAAGTCTTAATAAGTCCCTCCTCTGCCTCTCCAAACACGGGATCCCTCTTCGGCTTTGGAACCCTCCATGACTTGCCATAGTCTCCTCCACTCTTCACAAAATCCCATTCACCACCATTATAAGCTCCCATCATGGTATATCCATCCAGCTTAATCTCAGACAACGCTTTCTTCGGGTCATCGGCCTCAATGCCATGTCCAACACCTGGCGAAAGTAGCTTGAACTCAGCTGCAGGTTTGGTATTGTGTGTCTTGTGCGCGACACCAGCTGGAATGACAAAGACATCTCCGGCTTCGGCCTCCAGCAGAATTCCGCCCGTTTCCCAGGCTGATCCGTAAGTATTCTCTTGTAAATCCTCCGAGGTATCACCGACACCAAAGCGGATTGTTGCAGTGCCTGAGAGAACAGCCATGCATTCGTGAGCCTCCGAGTGAAAATGTGACAGTTGCGTGTTTGGGTATCGGAATATCCATTGGACGTCCCATCCGTTCTTGGTGAACATGTCCCAAACCTCGGCTGGATCGCATTGCGTGCTATTCGAGCGCTTGGCTAAGACATTCTTATAGTGGAGTAGAGGTCTTGGTGAATTTGGAATGAGATCCGTTGGGAGGAGATGATATTGCTTGACTTCAACCATGATGATTGAGATGGAGGTTAACATGAACAGGGCTACCCCGCGATCCTATCTTTAATATACTGTGTTATAAGGTTTAGTCGGTAGTCTATCCGAGTCGGAAGTGGATGCCGACCGAGATATCTCCGGGCGGGATTCCCGGGATGAATCCGTAACTAGATACTGTGTACTCTGAGATAAGGTATATGGTGAAATTGTAGACCAATAGGCTTTAAGGATAAGAAATAATCTTTTGCAGACACGATCTATTTAAAGCTTCCAAATTGACAATAACGAAACGTACTCAAATCTACCGACCCAAATAATAACTACACTAGTCAAAATGAATTCGCCACAACTCACGATCAACCCCCGCAGTGAAATCACTCCTAGTATGCATCATCAGAATGTTATCGCTAACCAGAATATCACCCTTATCCCAAGCATAGTACAGCGCAACCCGACGATCATACAGGACTGAGTCAATGGTATCACAAATAGCAGCGCTCTCCGTAGCCTCAAGTCCGTCAATCGTAACATCTGAAGCATCGAATCTGGTCTTGGACTGGGGCCAAGGTTCGTGGTATCGAAGGCATGGCTTGCCGGTCGTAGGATGTTCAATAGCAAGGGGCAGACCACGCAAGATGGTGTTGTCGAATGCTGATGTTGATACGCTCCAGGTGAGCTTGGAGATATCCTTCTTCAGCCATGATGGGAGGTATTTGAAGAATAGAGTTGATGAAGAGAAAAGAGTGAATCCGGTATCTCTTGGTGAGGAGGTGGCACCCTGGAAGAGTTGGAACCTATTTATGGGGTCAGTTGCTTAATCTTGTTCTTCGAAATAGAACTTACTGGGGCGGAGTCGAAACTGTCTTTTCATTTCCATCCTCGTCGGTCTGCTTGACAACCTTGAACAAACCATCATAGTGGAATGGCATAGGCTCTGCTGAAAGAACATTGTTCAGACCTCGGGTGTCTTGTCCTCGATCCTTGACTTCGAGCAGTAGGCCAAACTTCCATGGTAGCGGGGTTCCGAAACGGTGGCTGAAATCAATAAAGCGGTCGCGGTTGGGCTTTTTGACGAATCCCTTCAGAACAACAGGGGAGTTGATCTCGGAGAGAGCACGGACTTTCTTTGTGTCGATATCGTCAAGTGTCAGGGAGCCAGCTCCATTAGCAGGACGAATTATCAGACCAGCGGGGTACATAGGGTCAACGACAATGCCGCCCTTGTCCTCTGCCCATGATAGCAGAGGTGACTTCTCGCGATAATAAGAAGGTCGCCCATTGTCACAGACCAGTTCAAGACTTTCCTCGTTGTCAAACTCAGATCGCATACCTGTCCTGATGGTACCGTCCAGTCTGTACGCAACGCTGCAATGCCATGGGGTAGTGTAGAGTTGCTCAGTGGGCAAGAGGCTAATGGAAAGCTTGACAGCTCCAGTTGAGGGATGGATTGACAGGCGAACATGATCGGGATACTTTTGTCGAACAGCATTGGCAAAGGCCTGGCGAGTTAGTCTGAACAAAGTCTAGAAACATCTGTGAACTTACATCTCCGCGAGCCATCATCTGCTTTGCAATGTACTCAATACCCCTTTTATACTTGGACTTGCTACGGTTCTCATCAACAGGATAGACTGTTTCCAGATCTGTTTGAAGAAACTTGATATAGCCACGATAAGTCATGCACTGATCGTCTGACTGCCGGACTTCGTCCCAGCTCCATCCAGGCTTGCTGAATGTGTTGAGAAGCGCACGTCGAAAGTTGGAGGCATTGGCTACATATGTCATTTCCTCGAGGTCTTTCGGTAGATCAATCTCGACAAGATCACGAAGTCTCGCGAAGGAAATGTTGTGAAATTCCTTCTCTGCTGCCATGGAGCGAAGAGTCTCGCCGTATGCCCACACATCTCTGTCTGGAACACCCAGAAGGTCTATGAATGTCAGTTTAGTTCTTCTGTGAGTATCACAAAGTCTGACTTACCATTATATACCAGTCCATCAGAAATGATAGTTAGTTTGGCACCCGGCGCGTACACATCGCCAATCGCGCTGCAAAGTCCGTTCAGATGAGCAAGAGCAATTTCTTCACCCTTATCAGGAAGCTTCCCCAAAGTCTTTGATGTCGAATTTGGCGACTTGAACGGGAAAGCTGGTAGGCACATAGGAACTGGCTTGCCGGCTTTGACGTGCGTGTATATGAGAGCAATAAACTTAAGAGTTGACTCATCGGAATGTGAGTATAGGTTGTCATCTTGCTTCATGCGATATCTGCCGATGATATCAAGAATCTTGGTTGAGGCCTCAAGAGCCGCCCGATCAACGGCAGTAGTCAATGGTTCAGCTGAGACATTGTGAACAACAGTCCCAAATGGGAAAGGGATCACGGGATGAAGACTTGATACAGCCATGGTAGTATTGGTTGACAAGTAATGGTTTGTACGTTAATGAAAGTGAATGTTGAAGTTGATGAGATGAACGACATAGTCAGGGAGATAAGAGGATATAAATCTTGCAGTCTAGTATCTGCTATCAACATGTGAACTGCAAGTTACATACTCCAACTCATCCAACCCTCCATAGTCCCATTTTCGGTTTACTAGGACAATTTGCGAAAAACACCGAGTCGTCTCAACAGTGGGCCATCGTACAATCACCAATTGCGTGGCAAAACAATTACCCTCGTCACACATCGCCTAATCCGAGGAAAGGCATGACACAAAATCGCTTCATCAGGAAGCTCATAAAATTGTGACTGTCAATCTCTAACCCCCCTGTCACTGACGCGGATGTGAAATCCTAGAATAGAAGGTATCAATCTGGAAGCCAAGCCACACTTTTCGTCATAGTATTTCCGTCGTTTGTCGGATTGGGGCTAAAAACTTGGATTCTCGCAGGGGAGGGTCCGTGAAATGATTGGCATCCCGCGCGGTTATCCCGTTCGGTTGTATCCCACCCGGCCAAGTTAAAGTTCCCCGGCGTTGAAGATTCTCGGGCCTTTGTTATGGTGTAACAAGCTAGGATATGGTTATTCAGATGAGACATGCCAAAAGTCTTATCCTTGACTTGCTGGAATGGTTTGATCAAGCCGAGTTAGGTAGGTCGATGGAGAGCTTGGGTAAGAGTCGAGTTTGGTGATTTATCTTGGCCTCTCCCGCGAATTACATAGAACTGTAATACCAAGAATTTTAAAAATCATATTTTCAAACCTAAACCATTCGCAATCACTCAAGATCATGGAGCAAGTTGATGTTACTATTGTTGGTGGCGGTCCTACTGGACTCTTTGTTGCCCTTCTCCTTCAACCATTGGGAATCTCAGTCCGAGTCCTGGGTAAGTTGCACCGGAGTCTAAGTTGAGAAGCGTGTCTAACAGCTTTTCAGATGAGAAGCCTTGTAGTTTAGAGCTTGGTCGCGCTGATGCACTAAACGCTCGAACTCAGCAGTACTTCGAGGTTGCTGGTATCCTCGATGAGCTTCTGCCTGATGGTCTCAAATGCAACAGTATGGAAATCCAAATACTTCAAAGATATAGTCTAACAACAACAGCGAGTTCTACTTTCAAAGCTGGCGATTTCAAGTCTCGTCAGAATGCTTGGTGGGTTGGTATCGAGCATGCCTTTCACAAGAACTTTCTCATGATTGGACAACCTGTCGTTGAACAGGTGATGCGCACTCGTCTCGGCGACGCAGTAAGCTACAACGAGCACGTCATCAGCATCACTGAAGATGATGAGTCTGTTGCCGTCATGACAAGTTCAGGTCGAAAGGTCAGCAGCAAATATGTTGTTGGCGCCGACGGTGCACGATCCTTTGTCAGAAACACGCTGGGTATCAGTTTCACTGGCACGAAGCCAGAGATGACTTGGGCAGTTCTTGATACCTTTTTGGATACTGATTTTCCTGTTTGTCCTGAGATTATCACTTTCGAGCTTGATGGAGAGTCTCGAGTTGCGTGGATTCCAAGAGAGCGAGGAATGTCTCGATTCTACGTTTTGCTCAAAGGAGAGATCACGCAGCAACTGGCTGAAGACTCTATCAAGGAACATCTCGCACCATATCGAGTGGAGTTTACAAAGACTGAATGGTTCAGCACATTCCATGGTATGTCTCCCTAAAATATCGCTTCTCACATACTTATGAGCTCCCAGTTAAGGAACGACTTGCTGGTAATTTCATCTCCAAGGAAGGCCATGGAAGAATCATCCTGGCCGGAGATGCGGCTCATGTTCATTCCGTCAACGGTGGCCAGGGCCTAAACACTGGTGTTTCTGATGCCTTTGCACTAGCCTGGCGTTTATCAGCACTTGCCCGACCATCAAATCTAAGCCCTGAAGCCAGAGACGACATCCTGCGCAGTTACGATATCGAGCGGAGATCCACAGCCGCTCAAGTCATCGGAGTGGCTGCAGCACTAGTCAGGGACACAATACACACAGCCAAGAAATACGTATCCACAATCGAACGAAATGCCGGCTTCATCACAGGTACGTTCACCATCAGAGTTCATATCACCAACTAACACAGTAAGGCATGGGTGTCAACTATAGCGAATTTGCCACTCCACTTATCCAGGGTACAGAACTTGGCATCTGGAAACCTGGATATCGCTGTCCCGATGTGGTCATGACTGCGGCTTCCGGCGAAACCTCGCGACTCTACGAAAACGCCTCATATGGAGATTTTATCGTCTTGACTATCGGAAGACGTCTTCCGGCGATCTCCGTCTCGGCTCCCGTTTACACTATCCTGCCCAACGGGACGACTAATGGCCATATGGGATGTCACCAAAACAGGGATGCCGACAAGGATTTTACTGCTGATTGGGTCAAGAACGAGGACGCTGTTATTGTAATCGTTCGGCCGGATATGTATGTCGGATATGTTGGCACTGGCGAGGACAAGGCTTGGAAAGGATACTTGGATTCCTACTTTGTTAAGTCCCGATAAGGATGTAGGGTAGATTTTTGTTGTAAATTTTTTGTCTTTCCCGTGCCATAAACTAGATCTCTATAGCACTTAAAGCTTATCTTTCTTTCAACGACTTCTTATTGATGACACTAGTTTCATCCTTCACTCTCGTCAATATACAACAAGCTCGACTTGAACAATATCCTGAACCTAAGACCTTACTTGTTTTACTAAAAAGTCTCATCTCATGACCTTGTAGATACGTTTTTCAACCCCCAATGTACCTTTGTCAATCCGCCCCAACATCCTCATCACTGAAAACACTATCTCCGTCAAAGGTCTACAGTGATATCTTCCTGCAAGGTCCTATCGTAAGGAATTACCATTCTTGGCAATGCATGCATCATGCCATGCCGGTACTAATGCTACATGAACTCAATCTTGCCTGCTTCGCCGCATCATCACCTTAGTCGCGGTTTTCCCCGGGTTGCTTAATTGAGAGAGGAAAAATGCTACCACCTTCCTAGCTAGGCAGTCCTCGGATGTTTCACCAAGTTGGAAGAATGACATCTAAAAATTATGCAAAGGTTCCAGCAGAGAAAGTCCAGGATTGTGGCCAAGGAATTCGTGGTCAAAACGCGGTTTTGATAAGTGGGATAAATATTTTTCTCATGTGATTATTACAAATACGTGGATTGACTAATTTGAGTCGAGTCTTACGTGGTCAGGAGTGGCACAGACATTGCGCCTTGATCTGCTGATGTTGGGTTTTATCTTTTCCATCGAGATCCACTGTGGGGAGAAGTGCCGAGGCCTATAACCACAAAAGGAAAGAGGAAGAATTGTGGAATAGGTTATCCTAGCAAAAGCATTGTCAGAGAAATAGAGATTGATAAGCATGGCGGTTGTATTTCGGTCTATTTTTCCTTCATTATGCTATTCAATTGTAAGTCCAGGGCTCTCACGAAGCAAGATTCGATGAGCAATGGAGGCTACGAAAGATACACCCGACAATAACCCTCTTGTCGAAAGCAGCTTTTCGGTAGATGATGCATCCCCAAAGCCTGTCCCAAATAGCGGTTTGCTTGCTTGGCTGCAAGTAGCGGGCTCGTTTTGCCTTTACTTTTCTACATGGGGTAAGCAAATACCATCAACAAGTATCAGAGAAGAACTGACAAAGAATCGCGTTCAGGCCTGATAGCAAGCTTTGGAAGCTTTCAAACCATCTATGAGCGTGATCAACTTTCGAATCATACGCCATTTCAGATATCAGTCATTGGTTCTCTGCAGACCTTTTTGATGGTATTCTCAGGCTTCATTGTTGGTCCCATCTACGACTCCGGTTACTTTCGACACCTGCTTGCTGTCGGCTCTGGCTTCATCGTCATAGGTACCATCTTACAAAGCCTGAGCCATAAGTACTGGCAGTATCTTCTCACTCAAGGGCTTATGATTGGTATTGGTGCTGGTTGTCTATCTATCTTGAGTGTTGCTATTACTTCATTATGGTTCACTACGAAATTGCCTTTGGTCAATGGGCTTGCGGCTTGCGGTAGTGGACTCGGCGGGTAAGTGAAGAACAGTCATACCTGTTGGTCTTTCTCTGACTCAATCCTTAGTGTTCTCCTCCCCATTATGATTCGGGAGCTCAATGCTCAGACAAGCTTGCCATGGGCAACGCGAGCTATGGCTCTGTTACTGTTAGTTCTTCTCGTGTTCTCAAACCTTGTGCTTCGACCCGGGCCGAACTCGAGCGGACCATCTCAACGAAGGCAACTTCTCGACAAGACAGCTTTCACAGACTGGCCCTACGTTCTCTTCGTGGCTGGTTGTTTCTCTGTTTTCTTGGGAATGTACACACCATTCGTCTACGTACAAAGCTACGCTCTGGACAACAAAATTGCATCATCCGATCTTGCTGGGAATCTGTTGGCTATTCTCAACAGCAGTTCAATCTTTGGACGCATCCTACCCGCCTTTCTCGCTCAGAGTCTCGGACCTATGAACACTATTATCAGTGCAGCAGTCTTACTTGCCACTACAAGCTTGTGTCTCATCTCAGCAACCACGACTCCACGACTGCTCGTTGCAGTTATCAGCCAGGGCTTTTTCACGGGGTCCTTCTTCGCGCTGCAGCCCACCATCTTTGTCAGACTGACTAGTGATCCTCGAAGAATCGGGACAAGATTTGGCATGGCTTTCTCGGTTATGTCTGTTGCGCTGCTCTTTGGGCCGCCTGTTGGAGGGGCTTTACGGAGGAGTTTGGGGTATACGGCTGCTTGGGTCTGGGCTGGGCTGACTGTTTTCTTCGGAGGCATGTTGATCCTGTGCAGTAGATTGCTCAAGGATAAGAAGACTTTGATAGTTTGATCTATAAGCTGAGAACCGGTTGGGTAAGCTTCAAGTACGCAAATTGCTCAAGACAAGCTGATCAGATGCAAGAGCTTGGCCTGCCAATGCAGTCAACTTTATCAGATAAATTACAAGTATTGACATCTCTATGAATGTCACTGGTGAGTTTCGAATGCATACACCCTAGTAATAATTGTGTGAAATCATGGAGTCTAGTTAAAATACGTGGGATCCTCCAAACCAAGTCTCCTTCACCTCAGCTTTGAGTAATGTCTTAGGATCCCATTCCATATCAACGACAATAAAATCCGCTAATTTCCCAGGTGTCAAGCTTCCAACACGATCTTCAGCAAACACACTTCGAGCTGCACCTTCTGTACCCGCAACAAAAGTCTCACACAGGCCCAACCTAAAGTGTTCGTGTACTACCTTGGGGTTCTCCGGGTTCTTCGAGGACTGCCGGTTGATAGCTACATGGAAATTATGCATAGGCGACCATGGTGACGTAGGGCTATCAGTACCGATCGCCATTAATGCGCCTGCATCAGCGAACTCTCGGTATGCAAACGCCCGTTGATATCGCTCTTCTCCAAGGAGTTCAGGCCATGTTGTTAACGCTGTTGGGTCTGCGTGGATGGGCTGGATGGATGCTGTTAACCCAAGCTTTCCAAGTCTCTTGGCGTCTTCTGGGGAAACGAGCTCCAAGTGCTCAATTCTATGCCTTCGACCTGGTGTGGCGTGTTTCTCAATAGCGTCAATGGCCATTCTGACAGCACCGTCGCCAATGGCATGCAGAGCAACTTGCAAGCCACCAGCGTCTGCCTCTTTAACCACGGGCTCGAGGAATTCAGGCTCCCAGATTGGCGGTGGGCTTCCAGCAGTAGCATACGGCTCAGAGAGGTAGGCAGTGCATGCGTCAACAATTCCGTCTGTGATGACCTTGATTCCTACAAGTCGAAGATCAGGGCTTGTTGTCGAGTTGTACTGTTTGCTCAGCTCGATAGCTCGCTGCACTTGTTTTGAGTTTTGTTCAAGGTTGGCGGTCGGTTTGATGAGCCAGTGAGCTGCTATTCGTAGTGAGAGATTGGGTTCTGTTTCTTTGAGCGTTACGAGTGCATCCCATGCTTCTTCATCCATAGCCATTTCAACTGCGCCTGTGTAGCCGGCGGCGTTGTACTCCTTTACCGCGGCGCGGATCGCCTCTATTCGTTCGTGCTTCGGCGATGACTTTGCTTGGAAAGGCCAGACTGTTCGTTGCGATTAGTCTTTCGTGAGATAGACGCTTTCATATGATGGAACTTACTGATCGACATCATGGCGCCTTCGTCCAAAAGCCCAGACGGCTTTCCATCTGCATCACGATAAATCTTGCCGCCAGCTGGATCTGGCATATCATCAACCTCAAGTTCTTTTATCGCTGCAGTATTACACCAGCAGGAGTGTAAAGAACCAGCATCAATAAAGATAGGTCGTGGATCAAGATCATCCAGCATCGCAGCCGTAACGCCACCAGGTGTCATGTAATGCCTCCATCCTTTGCAAAGAATAGTTGGTGTGTCTGGGTTCTCAGCAGCGTATGTGCGGATACATGACCGGATATCTTCAAGTGAAGTACATCTTGAAAGGTCGAGCTTTCGAAGCGATTGGCCGAGCAAGAGGAGATGCATATGGCCATCGATGAAGCTAGGAAGAACGACACGCTGATTAAGATCGCGAATCTGGGCGTCTGAGCCTAGAGTCTGGGAGACCTCATGACGAGACCCGACCGCGACGATTTTGTCGTCTTGGATGAGCATGCAGTCCGAGAAATGGGCGTTGCCATTGAGACCAGTCTCTGTCTTGGACAGGATCCGGCCATTGACGAATAATGTTTTGCTCATTGTATCTTGGGAGTAACAGACTGGTGATTCAATCTCTCAAGAAAAAAAGACTTGTGAGATCCAAAGAAACAACAGAGATTGACAAAAGTTGCAATGTTCGGGGGTAGAGAGCCAGTATCTATCTCCAAGGTCAACTTTTATCAGAGTCGTCTGACCGTCTCTACCCCAGCTGAATTCCGAGCTTCCTTCCCAGTGTGCAATCCCCACGGCTCCATAATAAAGTCATCGGCTTAGCCGCTTGTCCAATTAGCGTTCTGACAGAGATACCGCACTGACTCGGCTGTTGGTTCCCCACTCAGGCCCCAAAACGAAACCCCAATGTTTCCCCATTTCCGAGCGTGTCTGATCTTGATGCGGAATTAAAGTCGCAGATTATTAGTAACAGATTCTTCAAAATGGAGGTAGTGGATATCGCTTCATTATCCAAGATATCAGGCGGTTGTTAGAAGATGAAGAAGATAAGGCATTCTTGTCAGTTGCACTGAATGCATTGAAGTCTTCTCTATACTGCTGAATTTGTGATGCATTGGGTTCATACAAGACAGAGTCAACAGCTGGGTTCGACTATCATGTCCCGATAATTCTTCAAACCGCGCCCTACAACAGCAAGCATCCACTAACTGTCCCGCCCTTCATATCATAACTCGCTAAACACTGGCTCGGAAACCAATGGCTTAAGGGGCCCAGACTCGGTTGTTCGATAACCCACTCAAACTGGGAATTGGTCAACCAGTCATTGCGCTTGGCAATTCTTAATAGTAACTAACGATATGATCGGAGAACTCTTATCGCGTGGAGCTCACGCACGTTCAAACTCTTCCCCACGGGGATATCGGTCCAAGGGATTGGATACCCAGTACGAGATTTCCTTCTCGAGGTATAATAGACATCATCCTCCCCAGGTCAAGTAACTACTCTTCAACCTTCTCTTCCCATCAAATCATTCCCCTTCTAAACTTTTGTGTTCGCTCACAATGAGTCATCCCAAAACCACAAACGACTCCGACATCATTGTCGCAGGCGAAAAGCAAGATGACATCCACCGTCAAGCTTCATTCAGCGAAGCAACAGCGCAAATGTTCCAAACAGACCTCGAAAAAGAAAAGACCATTCAAGGCACAGCTCATTTCCACCGCCTAGGTTGGAAGCGCCTTACCGTCGTCCTGATCGTCCAAGCCATTGCCCTCGGTAGTCTAAGTCTCCCTGGAGCTTTCGCTACCCTCGGAATGGTCGCTGGCGTTATATCCTGCATTGGAATCGGGCTCATCGCTATGTATGCTAGTTACATGGTCGGTCTTGTTAAACTGAAATATCCTGATATCGATCATTATGTCGATGCTGGTCGGCTTTTGATGGGAGGCTTTGGCGATAAGCTGTTCGCTGTTGTCTTCTTGGGCCTGTTGATCCTGGCTACTGGCTCTCACTGCTTAACCGGCACCATTGCTCTTGTCAAGATCACAGGTAGCAGCGTATGTACCCTCGCCTTTGGGGTCATCTCTGCTGTCATCCTGATGGTGCTTGCGATCCCACCTTCATTCACTGAGATTGCGATCCTCGGTTATATCGACTTTATCTCTATCATCCTTGCGATCGGCGTCACTATGATCGCGACCGGCATTCAGAGATCTGACGCCCCAGGTGGCTTTTCTTCGTCAACTTGGTCAGCGTGGCCGCAAGACGACCTTAGCTTCACGCAAGCCCTCACAGCTGTGTCTAACATCGTCTTCTCGTATGCATTTGCTGCAGCCCAATTTTCCTTCATGTCCGAAATGCATACGCCCGCCGATTTTACGAAATCCATCGTCACTTTAGGTCTTACCGAAATCGTTCTATATACGATCACAGGATCAGTCATCTATGCGTTCGTCGGTCAGGAGGTTCAGTCCCCGGCTTTATTATCCGCCAGCCCGTTGGTGTCGAAAGTCGCATTTGGCATTGCCCTGCCAGTCATCTATATCTCAGGATCGATCAATGCCACGGTTGCTTGCAGATTCATTCACGGTCGGCTTTACAAGAACACTATTACTCGGTTCATCAATACCCGCAAAGGCTGGATCACTTGGTTGGCTGTCGTTGCCTTTGTCATCTTCCTCTCATGGGTTATCGCAGAGGCTATCCCATTTTTCTCCGAGCTTCTGGGAATCTGTGCCGCCCTCTTTATTTCGGGATTTTCGTTCTGGATCCCTCCCATTATGTGGTTCTTCCTTCTTAAAGAGGGAAATTGGTACGACAAGCACAATGTCAAGCGTGCTGCCTGCAACTGTATTGTGTTTATCGTGGGTTTCTTCGTGTTTATTGCCGGCACATATGCCAGCATCGACCAGATCGTAAGTGCGCCGAACACTGTGTTTCATTTCAAACTAGCTAACATGACCACAGATTGCCAAATTCAACGGTGGCAGTGTTGGCAGGCCCTTCTCCTGCAATGTGGCTTAAGGCTTGGTCATTCGTTCTTGGGTACGGAGATTGGTACATGGGTCCATTCTATAACGCACAACCTACTATAGTCAGTGAATAAATCTTGTTGGTCCACTTGCATGAGATAGGAACCATGTGCATCATTCCACCGTCTTTCAGGCCTTGGTTTAGCACCTAGACCAACTGGAGTTGTTGCCCTCCGACAATCGGAACTCCATTGGCTTCTTACGCTGAGATACACTACTGCCATATATTTCCATCAGTATCTAAAGAACAGGGCTAGAGTAGATCTTGTAGCATCGACATTTGTTATGAAAGGTCCAACCCGTTATCTTTGGTGGCTGTCTGAATGAACAGCACTGGATTTAGCGCTTCAGTGCAACTAGGGCCCTGAAATGGTTTAGTCAGTCCAGTGAACAGACCATTAAAGCACCATGGATCCACTTCTTCGACCCTCGCTTGATTTCCCACCTTGCATGATCAATTCCGAGCTTGACAAAATCCACAACAGCAGATGATGCCCCGAGGACGCAGGGGCTGTTGGACATGTCGCATTCGTCACAGAAGATGCGACGAGTCATCCCCCGAATGCAAAGAGTGTAGTACTCGGAGTATTACCTGCCATGGATATGATCTTGATCCACCAGAATGGATGAGCAATGAACGCCTACTTCAAGAAGAGCTTCGGAGGATCAAAGGTGCAGTCAAGGAGAACTTCCGACGCGTCAAAACCATTCAGAATCGCCAACTTGCTCGGTCCACGGCTGAAGCAGCACAAGCCTCGCGTGCTAAAGAAAATCCTCGGTCACGATGTAACGAAACTACCAATCCAACTCCAGTCGGTTCTTCGGCTACGAATACCATATTTAGAGAGGCGCAGTACCTGGTACACTACCTCGACTACATCTTTCCGATCCAGTATGCCTTCTACGTCGACGCGCCAGATCAAGGCGGCAGAGGATGGCTCTTTTTCCTCTTGGAACGAAGTAAGGGAGCTTCACCTCGCGTAGCACTCCGCTCCTGACTTATAAACAGACGCACCACTTCGCAACGCAGCCCTGACTCTTTCCGCCTTTCATCAACATATCTTCTCACCGTATCATACTGAGAATCAAGAAGACGAGCTTCTCCAATACCATACCAAAGCACTTCAAGAACTCCGACATGTTGTCCGCCATCGAGACGGTGGCGCTTCTGCTGACAATATTGAGGAATGGCTCAAGTTTCTCGCAGGCGGTATGTTTTTGATCTCTTTCGAGGTAATGTTGCAAGATACACGTACTCAATTGCACGCTGATTCGGTATAGGTCTTTCAAGGCGGCACAAACAACTGGCAAGCCCACTTCAACGCTATCGTATCCGTTATCCAAAACCTGACGTCCTCTGACTTTGACTTCGATGCGTCCGATCCATCGAGCCCAGATTTCGACTTCCAACGAGGCATGAATACTGCACAAAAGTTCATTCTCTCGAATCTCGTCTGGATCGATATACTTGCGCCTTTGGCTACAAGGACGGCGCCAAAGCTACCATATCACGATTGGTTGAACGCTGGCAAGATTGACATGTCAAGAGTCATGGGCTGCTCCAATTGCATTATGATCGCGATTGGTGACATGATGGTTCTGAGTGCAGAAGCTAGCAAAATGGGCAGCGATGGTTTAGGAATCGCCATTAGGGAATTGGAAAAGCGCATCATGGATGGAATAGACGCGGCGTTAGATGATGGATCAACGGTCGGTGCACCTCTCTTGCGAATTAATGTTTGCTAAATAGTCCCAGCAGTTGACACCAACCAACCGCTCGGTAACCCACTTCTTCGCAACTGCAGCTCTCATCCAACTTTATACTCTTGCTTCAGAACACAACATCACGTCGCCAGATCCTCACAGCGCAGTATCACGAGTCATCGAAGTGTTAGACCACTTACCTCCGCATATTTCCCTACGCGCAACGCCATGGCCTCTATGCGTTGCCGGCTCTATGGCGCTTCCTCCACAAGAACAGTACTTCGACGGCTTGTTGAAGAAACTCATGGACCATGCTGAGGCGGGCTTTACTAATTGTGGTACGGTTTATAATGTCATGAAAAATGCTTGGAAGCAGCGACGTCGGGACCCAACGAGGCTTTGGAGTGCAAGACAATCTATGGAGGATATGGGTATTTGTGCTCTTCTAATATGAGCCTTCCATGACGTCGGGCGGTCGCGCAGCATCATCCAATACATTGAAGCTATTTATTATTAAATAATATTACCCTGATCAGATCAAGATGCTAAATTCGCATCGGTGATCAAGGTTTAAGAAGCTACGGAGTCCGCCATCTAATCTTGAATGCTATCCAGACAGCCGTCAAATTTCCATTGTCACTTCATGGTACAATCAGTAAGTCCGTCAAATATTATCAATTACTTCAACTACCCAACCCTGGATCTAGAATCTACTCCTTACCCTTCAGGCTGAAGCTATACTTGGCCTGCAGAACATAAGGGTTGCCACCAGGCTCAAAGAGCTGCTTCTCAAGCCTCTGCCACTCAGGGTTGTTGATGCCGTCAATGTAGTCCTGAACCTCAACAACCATGCATCCATACTTGGGGATAATTCGGGGGAAGTCCTTGTTATCCTTGAGACCTTGGGTCTTCTTGAGAGGCATGTCGCCCTTCTGCTGGGTGCAGCTGTAGAACTGGAAGGCATCTTGATCTGTGTAGATGTCGAGTTGAATGCCAGACCATCCGGAAGAGATAGTGGCCACGGGGCCCTCAGTTCGCCAGTCGAAGTTTCCGAGCTGGCCGCGGTTGACGCTGTAGCAGGTGTCTGAAATTTGTTAGCAAAGTCATTGATCGGTATGAACGAATACTGACCATATCCTGTGCAGTTGAAACCACAGTTGTTCTCCAAATCCTTGTTGTTTGCCTGGTCACCAATCATCTTGGGCTTGCTCCAGAAATCATTCACAGATCCCTTTTTGTTGGGAATAATATCACCAGTGGGAATCAGAATGTTATCAGTCGCAACACGCTGGCCACCGTAGGGCATGTGAAGAGTATGGTTGGAAATAGTGCTTGTCTCATTGTTAGAGAAGCCGTCGAGGTTCCAGTAAGTATGGCTGGTAAGCATGATGGGAGTCTTCTTGGTAGTCGCAAGAGCGATAATCTTGATATCCCAGTCCATGCCGGTCAGGGTGTAGGTGACGTATGAGACAACCTCCCCAGGAAAGCCCTCCTTGCCGTCAGGGTCAACGATGGAGAAGGTGATACTGGAGTCGGTGTACGACACAACAGTGAAGTTGCGGTAATCCCAACCATCAGGTCCTCCGTGGAGAGTATCAGCGCCCTTGGGTGACTCAGGCGTAGGGTTGTCGTTGGGCGTGACGTGATACTTCTTGCCGTCAATCTCGAACGTGCTGTTGCGAATACGGTTGGCGTATCTTCCAGGAACACCTCCAAGATGGGGGTGAGACTTGTCAATGCTATAGTGCGTAGCATTGTCGAAGCCAGCAACGATATCTCGAGAGATACCGTACTGATCGTCGATCAGAAGATTGGTGATGGAGGCGCCATAGGGAATGAAGGCGGCTTGGATACCGTCTCCCTTGATCCAGTATTTGCCATCCTTGTCGGGTCCCTTGCCTTTGGTCGCAAGGGCCAGTGGGATGAGAGCAGCAACGACAGCCTTGAAGAACATGATTGCGGTTGATCAAGGTGGAGACTGGCCCAGCAAGAAAGAGCGAAAACCCCAAGCTTTATAGAAAACCGACGACCTCTGTTTGTTCTCACGGGACAACCCACATAACTTCCCACCGACGAAACCCCTCTCCAATTGAAGGATCTCAGGGTCTTTTTGGTGATCGTCTGATGAGCTTTCAAGTTCAATGACTGGTGCGGCTGTCATCGTCATCCAGGAACTTGCCATTGAGCCGCGATCCTGGGGTAGTTTTGGAGCTAAGTGTTTCCCCAGGTTTTCCGACGCTGTGTAATTGGTGCGCCTGGGTCGGGTAATCTTAGCGAACTCTGTCTTGACATGGTTGTGCGAGTCTGGATTGGGATCGTCGTGCGGGGGAAATCAGGCTGTTTGCAGGTTTATGGGAGTTCTACAGGTTCAACAGCCGTATCCCGCCGAGGGATTGGCCGAGACAAGGCTGGTGGTAAGCGGTAGTTATGCGATGAGTGAAGCTTCACAGCCCCTCCAATCAGTTGACAAGCTAGTTGAAGCTCGAGAGATGTAATTTATGTGATAGAATAACCGATCTGGCTATAGTTCACAGGCTGAATAGTTTCAATTGAACTGTATTTGTAAAGATTATGAATCTGAAAAGTCGGAGAACCAGACGTGGTTGGGGAAATAATATTGCAAGGGTCTGGGAACTTATGAGAGTTCTGACGTCATTGTCTCTCACAATGATACCCTAGAGTCAACCGTGCAGAATTCGATGTTGCATTTCGTGATGCTACATATGAGCTTGTGATGATCATCCGTGAGACATGCAAAGCGAGATCGTCTGGATGGGCACGGCCGCCCAAGTTCAGGAACCAAGAGTCTAGCAGCTTCAAGTCGGCATGAAAACGTGGCTCTGGAACCCTCGGACGAAGATTGGTGTTGAATGATTGGGTTCCATCTTGTTGGGACGAACATCGATAGGAACGGGGACACTCAGCGGTCACCGTGTGTCTCACACCATCTGGAACGCCTCGACGGTTTTATACATACAGGGTAACTTTCATCACAATAAGTCTCAGCAACAGGCAATGAGATTCTTGCACTGGAGCTGAGCCATGAGCTTGACCTTTTCTGAATTTGATATAGCATCGCCGCAAGATCAAAACAAGATTTCCCTCGTGGGAAAATAACCTGGCATCTAAACGAAAAATCTTGCATTGACATGCTAGGCGTCAAAAACATTTGCGCCTTGGGATTTGAAGTCTTCGAACTGAATTTTCTCTTGGAATTCAGACAAGAAGGTGGGGACGGGATCTGTGACTCCACCACTCGGAACAACTTGATGCTCCGATCTCTCCTCTTCAGGAAGAAAGAAGATCCACATCTGCAAACGGATTTGAAGAGTAAAGCTCCTGTCGAAGCCCATTAACATAGGTTGTCTGTCATCATACTCCATGCAAATTCATAAATGGTATCACTATCTATCGTCTATCATGTACTCATGTAACTTCACCACAAATAAGCTAGCGAGATAAGAATCATGGCCAGCATGATACCTATCGAAGGTGCTTGTAAGCTTCCCGCCGACATTCCCTCCTCAAAACCCTTCTCTTCCCCACCCAAATACTCCGCACCCAGCTTAGTCAAACCTCCATCATCATCAAACAGCGACACATTGTCCCCAGTCCACTCGTTCGCATCATCCTTTCTGAAGGCGCCAAACCACGCATAAGCCTGAACATCCTCATTATCGTCAAGATACAGAAGACTCTCATTCATCATAGCCAACGTCGCATCGTCATCCTGTTGTGGGAGAGCCATTTCTGTGATCCAGAACCGTGCGTCAGGTGCCGTCTCATTGTAAAACTCGCGCAAACTTCCGAGCCAATTTTTAAGACCACCTGCGTCGCCGTACCAATGCACAGCGACGAAATCTGTCGGACAGCCATCGTCGTCAATGTCGTAGCAGGATTCGTTAAAGTCGCGTAGCCATTCCAGCCCGCGTGGTGAGCCAGTGACGCTGGGATGGCTAATTGACCACTTGCGCTTTGCTTTTCTTAGTGGAACGATGTGCTCCATGTAAGCGCGGGCTGCATCTTTGGCAGATATTGCGCTTCCGCCAGTGTCTGTTTCACCATCCGGCTCGTTGAACGTAAGAAGATGCGTCGATGATTCAGGGAGGCCATTTAGTCGCGACTCCAGCTCAGAATCTGATACATCATCGAGGCCGTGAATTAATGGCACGAAAGGTAAAGAACTTCCGATTTGGCCGTTTGGCCAGAGCGACCAAGTGTAGTACCATGCGATCTCAGAGTTATTCGAGATCAGCAGCTCATTATCTGATTTGTGGTCATCTCCATGATATGCAAGTCCACGTTTTGATGAGAGGTCAATGCTCTCAGCAAGCCCCCAGAGGCATAAAAATGGATAAAAAGTTGATTGGCGCATTTTGGGTATAATAAAGTCGGGTATGTCGTGAAACCCTCAACCAAATGAGGCCGTATTTAATACGCGACCACAAATGTAAAATCAGGTTTGAAACATATCTTTTAAGGTTCTAGGATGCGTTTGAGAATGTCAAGGGTTTCCTTGGAACAGCTACTTTTCTTTTGTACGTGTCACTCATCTTTTGGCTGAGTAGAGTGGCAATCGTCTGAGCCTGGTCAATGATGTCATAAGTCCGCCAAGTTAAACCCTGCCTCAACACCAAGATTTGGCAGCGTCAAAGACTCTCAGCATCTTGATATGGGCACAATTGACTCACCGCTTGATCTCTACGGGATACAGAAACTCAACCCTCGTGAACAACTTGCCTCTTTGGGATAATTTCCTGATTTGGCGACGACACGTGGGTTTCGCAGGAGCGCCTTCCGTTCTTTCGGGCACCCGAAATACTTAGTCGAAGTCTATTTGAACCACGACGGCCTAATAAACTATTAATCCGTTTGCAATCACCAGGCAAGATTATCTGGCAATTGGTGAATCGTTTGAGCATACAAAGTGACGCGGCGTCGTCAAGGGGCATCTGACGGACGACGATGCGCGACTTCTTAACTTCTTACGAGCTCATCTGTGAAAAGTAATAGTAAAAGTAAATGAATTCTGAGAACACAATGAGTGAAAGTACCATAACATACCGATAATCTAATTGTACAAGACAGTGATCATGGTATTTATTCTCCATGGCGTTGTAGGAGGCTACTCGAGTCCGTATGAGAGTACGGAGTCGGAGATATTCAGCAGACGAGATGAGTACAGAGCTTTGCAATTACCGAGTTAGAAAAGGAATGCTGATTGAATTCATGAGACTTTTACAGTTAAGGTAGTGTTGGTGAGGCATTGTAATACTCTGGAAGAAAGGCAATAAGCTGGGGAGTTGTGATTTATCCAAGACAGCAGAAAGGTGTACAGTAGGACGCTCGTGGAAATGGCTTAAGCGTGCATCTGCTGATAGTTTGAAAAGTTCTGAAGGAAAGAAAAGTCTTTGCATACCGCTACAATAATTTTTCGTATGATCTGACGAAAGTAGCCACTTCATGCATGGCTGCCGCAACGTCTTTGGATAGTAACCTTAAAACGAATAATCCGACATGGATGGTATTCCGTAGCCGTTTCAAACGAGCTACTATTCTCGGTAGATCAGAAAACTCTAGATGAACACATGAGGTTAGATCTCCGACTGAGGGCCGAATTTTGAAGAGTGACCGACATGTCGCCGCCCCATGGTAATCGACAAAGAACGCGGGGTATTCGGTAGGAGCCGTGGTGCATAGAGTCCTGGGCAATTTTTTAAATGCTCTAGTGTTTCTTAATCTTATAGTCAGTGTATGGCTCTTGGAAGATATGTCGTTGGCAACCTCATACGAGGTCATTTGAGCCAGTATAGGAGATGAAAGTCTGCATTTCGTATCAGCGACGTTCATAGCTAGTGCAACGGCTCGCCTTCATTAAATTTTCTTATTGGGTGTCCGGGTCTTCGCATTGAGCACTTGCGGAAGAGTCTGATCATGGGTTATGCAGATCATACTGGGGTAGCGGAAAGTCTCCGAAATCCCCAGGTTTAGGCGGAGTCTCCGCCTGATATTCAGGTCCGACGACCCCGAAACGGTCACAGCCGATGAGTTTATGCGAGTTAGTCTTGGCGTTTGTCCTTGTTATGCATACATTCGGCCCGTGGGCGATCGATGCAACCCTCTGTTAGTCACCAGAAAGAATTTTCTCCTCGTCTACACTAATAACTTGTGAGTTTTACGATCGCGATACCTGCATGTCTTATTTCAGGCCTGCAAGAAGCGCCGAGTTGTTCATAAATTGTTACTGAGTTGGCTATGTGACGTAAATAGTGAGGAATTCAGTACACCAATTAGCAAGGATTCAGGTGAGACTATAGGTGGAATAACCTTACTCTAAGATGTGAATGTTCCGTTTAATGGCCGAGGGCGATGACTATGATCCAGATAGCTTCAGAAACTTGAAATGAATCTTATGATCAGGCAAGAAGTTCGGAACGAGAGAAAATGGCAAAGATCTTCCTCAGAAGCGATGAGAGGTTTATGAGGGGACAGGGGCAAAACGTGTATAAGAAGCACCGATGACCTCGACAAATTCAACGGTTTCGACACCTCCAGACAAACCACTTCGCCCAAGATTACAAGATTTACAAGCTCTACAAGATATCAACATGTTCACCCTCCAAGCTCTTCAACTTGCCTCCATGTGCACCCTCGTGTACGGACATGGCTATCTCAGTAAGCCCATGAGTCGAACCGGTCTCAACGCTGAGGTAACTAGCCCCATCATTTCTTTATAACTCTAGCTAACAAGTGACAGGCCGGCCCAGATACATGCCCCGAGTGCACCATCTTGGAGCCCGTCACCGCCTGGCCGGACCTTGACGCCGCCAAAGTCGGGCGAACTGGCCCTTGCGGCTACAACGCTCGAGTCAGCGTTGACTACAATCAGCCCGGTGCCAACTGGGGCAAAGAACCCATCGCCACCTACAAGCCTGGTCAAGTTGTTGACGTACAGTGGTGCGTTGACAACAACGGCGACCATGGAGGCATGTACGCATACCGTATCTGTCAAGATCAGGATATTGTCGACAAGTTCCTCGATCCAAACTACATCCCCACCCAAGCTGAGAAGCAAGCTGCTGAAGATTGCTTCGAAGAAGGTCTTCTTCCATGCACCGACGTCAATGGTCAGGAGTGCGGTTACAGTCCTGATTGCTCTGCTGATCAGCCATGCCACCGCAACGATTGGTTCACGTGCAAGTCTTTCCAAGGAAACTCGGATGGCAAGGGATGTCGTGGCGTTGACAATGCACCAATCAACTCGTGTTACACGTCTATTGCTGGCGGTTACACCGTGTCTGGCAAGATCAAGATCCCAGACTATGTCTCGAACCATACCCTTTTGTCATTCAAGTGGAACGCGTTCCAGACTCCCCAGGTTTATTTGACCTGTGCTGACATCGCAATCTCATCTTGAGTGCGTTTGCATAGATCAGGCATGCGATCCACGCTGGGGGGTCTCAGTGACTGGAGATGCACAAAGGGCTTCATAATGCAACCGAAAAAGAGACTGATGAGAAAGTGAAGAGCCTTTATGAGTCGGTGTTATTCTTGGGCCTAGGAATTTTCTTTTACTTTTTAAAGACCAAAACCTCTAGTCTAGCATATGGAGACCAAATCATTACTCTTGTTCCCCAACGGACCCAAAACCCATTCACATGAAAGTGCAATCGGTACCAAGACTAGGATCCACATAAGATTCCCTCTCTCTCGGCTCCGTCTCCAAATCCTCCCAGTAAATGAAATCCATGAATCCAGTACGAGCTTGATCCAATGTATCAGCAACGATTCTCAAACACTCCTCAATATCCCCCTTGAGAGCGAGTAAAGCGAGGGCAACTCTCTCCTCTAGCTTCCAAGGCCCAGAACGCTCATATGCCTTAAAGTACACATGGTTTCCAGCTTCTTTCAGACGCTCCTCCACGCGCCCGAAAGTGATGAGGAGCCAACAGGTGACGCCTAGATAGTTAAGGCTTGAAATTGGCGCGATTCCGGCTACGTCGGAGAGAATGTCGAATTTCGCCAGGTCGAGAATATCGCGTCAGGGGAGGGCTTCTGAGCCAGTTGATGGGGGTAAGGTGAAGCCCTCTGGGGCGCATCTGTTCAAGACCTCATCTGGTACCTCGAGCCTATTGTTCGCAATAGAAGAGAGCTTGTTTGTTGCTTCAATGATCTCCTTATCGGTCATTCCAACTGCTCTCGCCTTCTTAACAAGTACGTTATCCTCGAGCTCTGTTTCGCTTACTTGCTTTACATGACTCAGTCTCTCGCTCAAACCCCATATCGACAAATGGATTGATTAGATTTTGGTTATACCCCCCATAACTAGTATCACTGGTGGTTAGAGGTGCTATTTGTCCATGTTGGGCTAAAATGAAGAGGAAAAGGATGAGACAAACCTCAGAGCTCCTGCGTACTTTATAGCCCACTCCTGGGCCATCTCCGCGAAGTCAGCTGGGACTTCCAAAAACTCGGTGTTTGCTTCTTCATTGAGAGGATGTTGTGTGTCTGGTTGTAGAAGTAGCTTGACTATCGAGTCCAAGATGGTTTTAATGGTATCAGTAGGATCCCAGGAGCCAAGAGCGCCGGGTGCAATTTCACCCTAGTATTGTCAGTTTCATCTGCAAGAAAATATTATATCGACCGCGTTGTGTGATATCATACCGTTTCCTGGTGGACGTTCGGATACCATATCTTTGCGTTGAACTTCATTGCTGGCTTCTCGAACGGATAGCTAGCAGGGATGCGTATATCGATGGTGTAAGTCCCTCCAGAGTATGGCGTTCCGGAGGGAATTGGCAGAGAAGCCTCGAGATGAGATAAATCTGCATTGTTATTATGATATGGCTGTACGTTATAACTGCTATGTTCAAGGTCGACAAGCTCTTTAACAACCCTCTTAAGCCACGAGCTTTCAAATCCAAACATATTGTTGGAGGAAAGGGCTTCCGTATATACAAGGACGACACAGAAAGGAGGTTGCCAGTACAAGATCTTAAATATGTAAAGGAAAGGCTAAAAGCTCGAGCTAAAAAGATCGATAATACCACGTTTTGTTAACGAGATCTCAGCGGGCTTATCGAGCTCTATTTATTCTCAATTGGCCCGCCGCAGCCACAAAACAGTGTACTTGAGCACTATAGCAGATGTGGAACATTGGAATAGTCTGGGCCTGTCGCATATCATTAGTCTGAGACTATTGGGACGACTCAGCCCATATTGGGGCCCTCGTCTTACTGCTTGAAAGCTGAAACGGCAAGTGGAGAATCTTGAATTCCATTGACATTTAAACGCTCCCGGGTAGGTCCGTAAGACCCGAAGCTAAATGACTAATCACTGATTCAACACTCAACACCGATCATTTGTGCACGGAATGGGCGCCAATAAGATGAGCCCACTACGCGCTTGAGGAAACATGGGACAATGCCGATCTTTGAATTGAGCCAGTGTAAACTTGTCGCCCAGGGGCTAGATTCGACTCTTGCAGAACGTGGCTGTTACAGACCCTGGAAATTCAATGAGAGCTGAAAATATCCCTGCTCCGCCCTAACCTATCTGGACGATGCACCAACTGCGCTTGGATATGCCATCGCAACGGCTGTCAGTTCGCCATGCCCCAGGCTCTGTGCAATTGACTGAAGCCTGTCAAGGCAGACGGGAGGTGGCCTGATTGGGATGAGCATGCGCCGAGGCTTGGACTACCTCAATCTTAGTTCCCGCAGCCTTGACTTTCTGCCAACATTTTATCTTCAGTAGAACTCGGAAAGCGCTCATTATTGCATGGAATTAAGCGAAAGACAATGAGCGTGTTTTTTGGGGCCCAGGCCCGTGATGAAGCGCAACAGCTTATCGAGAAGATAGCAGTCGGCCATGGCTACATTGAGATGGCAAAGTTGGATGCGATGCCACCCGATATACGACGAGTAGTAGAGGAAGCTCTGAGGAACAATTCCAAATCTCATACTGCCGCTGCAGAGTAAGTGGTCACGCCCAGACACTCCCCTTATCTAACCTCCCGCTAGCTTTGTACAAAGGTTAGCTGCAGGGAACATCAATGTCGTGTTCGAGTTGCTCCAGAATGCAGACGACAATCAATACACCCGCGCAAAGGCCGCATGCGCGAATCCAGGTGTCCAGTTTATCGTTACTCCAGATATGGTGATCATTGGCAGTAACGAGGATGGCTTCACAGAGAGCAACGTCAAAGCTCTTTGCGATTTTGGCAAGTCAACCAAGGCTGGCATGTCCGGCTACATTGGACAGCCAGACGTAGGTTTCAAGTCTGTTTTCACTATCGCATCCAAGGTCCAAATAGAATCCGGTCCTTTCTCATTCTATCTCCAGCATGAGGACGGAGATTCTGGCATTGGAATGGTGAGACCTCACTGGACCGAGCCACCTGTTCTTCCTGATTATGTGAGGGAACATGAAGCATATGGTGGCCTCTTCGGAAACCGGACAAGGATCATTTTGTTTCTTAGGGATCAGAACAGAGACAACCTGCGGATTAGTTTCATCAACCAGCTCTGGGAAACACCAGAAAGCGTGCTGCTATTCATGCGAAGCCTACGATCACTGAAGATTACGGTACTGGGTGAGGACAACAAAGTTCAGCGCTCGAAGGACGTACTTCTCGATAGAGACTTATTCGGTTCTGGGGCCCGAATTACAACGACGAAAAAGCTCGGTCCAAGTCAGTTCAAGACATGGAATCGCTATCTCGTCTACAAATCAACGGCAACAGGTTTGCCTGCCAACCCAAACCGAAGGTCTACTCCAGACTCCTCAGCCAACACTTCTACAGCAGAAGTTGTACTTGCGTTCCCCGTTGATGAGAGAGGCGAGCCAATTGTCGAGATTCAGAAAGCATTTGCCTTCATCCCAGTCTCAGAAAGTGGATTGAGTGTAAGTACATCCGCCCATAACGCTTGAATCCAGAACTAAGTAATGTATCTAGTTTCCTGTTCACTCTGACTTCGTTACCGATACGAAGAGACAGAAACTTGTTACTTTCTCAGACAGAAACATTCATCTCAAGAAGGCGGTTGCTGTCGTAGTTGTGACAGCAGTCCAAGACCTCTGCAAGAAGCCTGGCCTAGAACACAAATGGATGCGTTTCCTCCCACAAATCACTCGAAACAGTATAGATCCGTTTTGGCTCGGATTCGATAACGTTTTACGATCACAAATCTCCGAAGTACCAATTTTACGTCCAAGAAGCCAGAAGTTTGGTAGTGTCTCAAAAATAGCCTTGCTCAAGCGTCTTTCCGCGGACCAGGTGGACCAGCATGGTGCACCACTTTTGCCTGATCTGGAACACGAGATGTATCTGTCTTCGGGTTACGAATCCCAGGACCTTGACATTCTCAGTCAGTATGGATTAACTTACATGCCGAACTGGGCGATCATATCGCGGTTGGAAGCTTTCACAAAGAGTGATGATTGGAGAACAAGAACTTTCGAGAATCGAGATGAAGATTGGCATTCTAGACTGGCACGTCTCATTCTGAAGTTGTGGAATGACACACAAAACGATTGGAAGACTGCAATTCGCACTATGCATCTTGTTCCAATTGCCTCAAGAGACTTTAAACAGGTCACCATGAATGGAACAAATCGCGTCTTTTATGACCCCATGATCGAAGGCATCTCCGTCCCGGATGATCTGGATTTTCCGTTGATCCTGCCAGCTGCGGCAGCGAATCCAGATTGCCGGAAACTTTACGAAGCATTTGGTCCGCAGGTCCTCACCGTTCAACAAGTACGAGACAAGATCATAGCCATGTATCGAGATCCTGCCGAGGTGGCAAAGCTGGACGTGGCCAAGTCGAGAAACCATCTTGTGTTTCTCTACCGGATTGAGCCGAAGGACTTCATCAATAAAGACGAGCAAGAGATCATGGTTGTCTTTGACCAAAAGTTTCGAATCAAGCGCCCGAAGCAAGAGTATGTCTACCTACCTGGCGAAGGCCCATTGGCCCCAGGTAAACTTCTTAATCCTCCATTCCCCGACGGAGTTGAAGTCCCTGATGTATCTCTCCTCCACGCAGCCTACCTAGAGGATCAACCAACCCCATCAGCCGGTAACGAAAGATCATGGACCGAATGGCTCTTTCACATTATCTACTGCGAGGAGAAGATCCAACTGTTCTCCGTACGAAATCCGCCTCCAGAAGCCGACAAGACTTACTCACTAGAGTATCAATTTCTCGTCAAGGCTTGGCCGGGGCTTACACTTCAAAGACTCATGCTCAACTTTCAAAAACCAAATGTTAAGAAGGAGTGGATCGAAGATAAGAAAGGATCGGCTCTTATGCGAAGAATGGAGTTTCTCTGTACTGATGGTGTGAGACACCCCTTGGAGGAGACTCTACTTCCGTTGACGAAACTGTTGGAGAGCTGTGAGAAATGCTTTGCATCAGTGGATAGCATGCCATTCCTCAAGCTTGATGAGCCGATGAAGGAGGACGATATTCCTGCATGGCTCGCCTTTGCAGAGCATTCTGGGATTGGGACTGAAGACGATACTAAATTCACTCTCGCGATGCTGGGCTCTATTTCCAAGGCTGTTACGGAGATTACAGGCGATATTTCACAAGCTGTAGCTGGTTTGTATCTTAAGCTCGAATCGCAGGTTCCCGATGGCTCTTTGAGTGCTATCTTCGCGGTACAAACACAGATCAGGTAAGATACTGTTCCCTTTACCGGCTGGGTTGCGGGCTAACATGAAGAGAAATTTCTTCAACGCCAACAATTGCATTCTCTGTACACCACTAGGCTCTTCAGACGCAAAGAAACCTGCTCGCTGGGCCAGCAAGCCCTCATGCCTGTGGACTGCACCTAAGGATATTAATGTCTACAATCCTATGCGGTCTTTATGGTTCCCTGTAATGGAAAGAATGGAGCCTGGAGATCGCAAAAAACTGGAGGCCTTCTTTAGCAAAACCCTTGCGATTCGAGACATAACCCAACATGACGTACTCAGCGAGCTTGGTCACTTATCCCGTTCGTTGGATCAAAAGAAAGATTACTTGGTGGTGGTCAAAGAGCTTTACAAGGTTCTTCAGACACGGGCAGAGAATCTCAACGAGATCAACACGCTAATCATCAAGTAAGGACCAGGACTTCCAACCCGTTTCTTTTTTAAGCGCAGTAACTGAAGAAGCTATAGGCAAACCTTCCGGGAATCCTCCCTCATTTATTCACCTCGCCAAGTGACCAAGAAGTGGTACAAAGTCTCAGAATGTGTCTGGTCTAGCGAAGGTGCAAGCCAGGATGAGATCAGTCTGGAATCACTATACCCCGATCTTTCACCTCTTTTCGTCTCCTTTCTCGATCTTCCTAGGATGAGTGCTTCGCTTACCTATCAGCGTCTCTTGGATGTCGGAAACAGTGTCCAACCTATTTCAGACATCAAAAAGTTGCTTTGGTCACTACTCGATAGCTTGACTGCAAACCAAGGATCATCAAGTGTCTTCGCGGATAGAATAAGGGTTTGCCGAGTCTTTCCGGTAAAGGGACCGTCTGGAGAAGTTCAGCCCATGTCCGTATTGGGAGATTTCTGTATAAATGACCGACCTGTATACGCGGCCGCATTGAAGGACAAGGTCAATTTTCTGGACTTTTCTGTCGAGGAAGTGCATCGTCTTAAACCTGTCATCGAGTGGTTGCGCTTGACTGAACGCTACCTCTCAAAGTCTGTAACGGAAAAGACATCAGTTGATGAATCTCAACGCGTTGAAGATAGGGCTCTCACCGAGGATATTGCTAGTAAAGCTGCTGCATTTGCCATGTTCGTCAATACCACTGACCCGACCAACATTTTTTCACAAGCTAATGAGACTAAATAGGATTGCCGCGCACTTCACAGATGGTCTCCCTACGATACGCAGCTACACCCTACGAGACACGATCCGTAAGGTAGAAGTCTTCCGCCATCCAGACATCAAGTCCAGTCTCACTTGGTACCACGGCTTCAAAACTGTTACAGCACCGCTAGAACAGGGTGGGATGCACTTCCAATTGGCCCTGTTTGCCAGATGGCAATTCTACATTCCGCGAGACGACGAAGACCGCGATTTCTGTCTCACCACTCAGCTTCCTCGCCTGCTAGCCGCTCAACTCCTAGAATGCCCATTGCATGGTGTCAATCCCGAAGCGGTGATGGTTACTGCCAGTGTCCTTCGAGTTAAACTCTCCAATGTTGGACGTATACTTCAGCATCATGGGATATCCGAGTTGAGCGTGGTGCCAAATGATACACCACAGCCCCCAAGGACACCGGAGAGGCGACGTGACAACGCTGCTCCCTCTCCTTCTCCATCACCGGCCCGCGCGGTTATCAGATCTCCTGTCCCTGCTGTAAGCCCAGCTCAGGTAATTCGCGACGCCAGCAGTCCATATCAAGCCTTGCTTGTTCAAACTGTTAATGTCGCGCGAATTTCGACGTTCCCGGATAAGAACGCAGTTTTTGACATGACTGCAATTTCACAAAGTCTTGCAGAGAGCACAGCTCGGGCAGGACTCTTCAGATTTTATGCTGGAGACCAGACAGAGTGGCAACGAATGGTAGGTGCCGCTGGGGAGTTATATGTAAGTTTGCTGGTCTCTTAAAATCATATTTTGTTTCTAAGCATCAATCCCAGGTCTTCGAGTTGCTTTCCTCTATTCCACATGCCCTCCCCGAATGGTCTCGAGATAACTGGCAAAGTACTGTCAGACACCATGCCAGTATACACCCTGACTACAGCTCTCTTGGTAGTTGGTACGGAACAGAGCAAGGGGACTTGTTTTATGATGACTTGGCAGGAACATTCACCAGCTACTTGATCGAAAACGGTTATCTCGAGGAGAGCTGGAGAAAAGAGCGACCAGAGTACTACATCGAAGTCAAGACCACAACATCCGGCCGCCTCGACACGCCATTCTATATGAGTAAACACCAATACGCACGGGTAATATATTCAACCCCTTACATTGACTGAGATGCATACTGACAGGCTTCTAGATGCAGTCATTTGGTAATAGCGAGAATACTGCCACGCAACGTCGGAAGGTCTATATCCTATTTCGCGTCCACGGCTTAGAGTCGGGCCAAGTTGGTTTGAGGATATTCATAGATCTGGAAGCTTTGCGTAAGAGTGGAGATCTAGTGTTTGAGGCGCAGAGTTGGACAGTCACGCCAAGAGTGGGATGTTAGTATGTGCCGAGAGGGGGCCTATCAATAGCATTATTCCTAGCGTATTCGTATCTTCCCATCAATCTTCCTTTCCCCCCTTCAACCAGTTCATGGCCAAGACTGGTCGATATTGGCGCACAGACTCTTCATCAGTTCTTTCTGGTGTATTCTTCAGCCAAAGTACCCAGCAGATCATCAAAACAGCCGTTAGAGGGATCACAATCGCAAAGTAAATCCGCACTTGCTGGTCCTTTGATTTAAAGTCAAACATATTAGTAGAGAACATTGTGGCGATGAAAGCTCCAGGCAGGAAAAGAATCGTCAAGATAGAGAGCGTCTTCATCGCCTTTGAGTCTCGGAGCGATTCTCTCGCCAACCTAGCTTGCAGATAGCTATCATGCTGCGTGATCAAGTTGTATAGCTATTATTACTCTCATCAGTTACCGAACTGAGGTAAAGAACACGAATGCGATACTTACGACATTGCGTTGACTCTCAATCTTTCCAGGCAGACTCTCAATATCCGAGTCCCTGCTCTGAGACATTCTGGAGTATATCTCCACCACCACTCTCAGCTTGCTATCGTTCTGCAAATCCTGCTGCAGTCGGCTACCAAGCTCCTCCTCAAACTTTCGTCGTCGACCAAGTTCAGCAAGATTCATGCTGCACTTGTGTAACGTCATGCTCAACTTCCGATACAGCTTACTAGCGTCATCCAGCTTGCCCTCTTCTTCGAACTGTCGCAGAAGCTCTTCGTCTACCATGCCAACATCAGTTTGAATAGAGTTGAATGCCGACAGAGTAGCTTCATAGTGCGACTTGAATAGCTGTACAGGCAACAGGGTCTGATGATGGCCATGCCTGTCAACAAGGTCACGGACGTCACCGAAGATATTTCTCAGATCAACGCCTGCATCTGCATGAATGACACCAGATAATTTGCTAGACGCTCCTGCTACATTACTATCGACCATTGAGTAAAGAAGCAACGACCAGAAGCCTGTACTGTAGAATGGCGTCTGAATGATGTATACTGGACGGTAGGTTGGTGATAGTTCAAGATATGACGCTTAGAAAAGCTTACTCACATTTAAAAACCTTGTTTCCATCTTTATTGTTGAACACTTGATAGCCTCCACGGTCGTGCCGTCGAGAGATCTCAAAGTCATCCGGGAGGTCGAAATAGTCCGAAAGAAGCTCGACGGGAGGCTCGTTGAGAAGACTTTTTAACAACTTGCTGAAAGTCGTGAGGTCTTTATCACTTGACTGCCTTGCGCTAATGTGCCATGTTAATGGTGAGTGTCTAGCCGATTGTGTAGAGGACATACATCAAGTTACAGAAATGAGCAGGTCGTGACTGTTGCTGGACCTGTTGTGCCTCTCGACTCCCTTGAGTGTTTTGTGTTGGGTCATCGCCATTCTATCAGAATTAGTACTGAATATCAGATATACGAACGAGCCCATGTCATACATGTGTCTCCGAGATCCAAGAGAAGTACTTTGCCAGTTCATCTCGATCCAATGACTTGGGCAATACATTCCGTGCATCAGCAGCGGTATTGTTGTCCCAGAGATTAATAACCCACGATTCACTCTTGTCATCCACTGCTTTGTCCTTTGAGAAAAGTTCTCTAACAGTTTGATTTATAGTGCCGCGTCGCAGAATGTCGTCATTGTCGATGACATGACGTACTCTGAAGAACTCAGAGAGATCAACTGATCCAAGGTCATGTAGATCCAGGCTTGCTAGTTCATCAGGTATTAGAGGAGATGCACCAGGATCGAAGATCACAGGGTCATCTTCGCTCCCCATCAGACCATCCTGTAGATTTTGGAATGAGAATCCGGAAGCATCAGCTTTGACATTGATGTTGGCCTTGAAAATCTCATCTGTCCTTCTCTCAAGTAAGATGGCCGTTTGAAGATATGGTGGAACACCTGCTTTGAGGACCGGATCCTCCATGATAGTCCAGGTCACTGCATTGGGTCGGCCTACAACTTTTCCTATTAGGGATTTGTAGCCAGTGAGCACAACACTTGAGCTTCTCTGTACTGAGATTGTTCGCCCAAAGTCCAAGCCCAACCCATCACCAATGCCCACTCCGCCGCTGGCGCCTACTGTTTCTTCAATGATATTCTCGAGCTTCAAAAAGTAAGAACTTCAACATAGGATGCGGGGGCATGGAGGGGGCTAACTTACAGCAGCGACCTTGCCGTCAGGCGCCATTGCAGAAATAGTGGGATGGCTATCATCTCCGTAGAATTCAACAGCAATGTTTACTGATTTGATCCGAACATTTCTCCTGTAAGGTGTAAACTTGAATGACAAGACCAATAGCGTAGCTGGCTCCGCCGTCCTTGCACTTAAGCATCCATGGATGGCGCCAATAAGCTGCGATTGAATTGCATATGAAGACGAGGTTCTATCAACCAGGCTTTGACGTTGAAAGGGATCTAAGGGGTCGTTTCGAACCATAATGCCTGAGCTAGACTAGCTGAGCAGAATATTTGGTTGTTGGCAGATTCAACAGCTGTGAGATATTATGATTGAAGTGGAGGAAACACACTGAGGGGATTATGGTGCTGACAGGATGGCCTCAATTAATCCCTGCATTTACAGATGCTCTGAACCAATACTTGGCTATGAGTATGCAGCCACGAACAGGGGTCTTTTCAGCTGAAAACGCTTCCCAGGAAAGAATGCAACTTTCTTTTTTTCACGCTGCGAAGTAAATTCGTCAGTCGTTTTAAAAGATCCCTACATGTCCTGGGAAGTGTTTCATTAAAGCCTAGCTAACCACTCGTAGCGTAGATAAATTACCAGGATATACATCTAAGAGTTGGTAGGCATGCTCGTCAACTTCTCTCCCGTGCTCGCCTCATCCGCCCTCCAAAGCGAAGTCACAGTCTTCCACTGCGTATAAAACCTCAAACCATCCTTTCCATAAAAGTTGGCAAGACCAGTTCCAGCTACACTACGCTTGTTTCCTGTGAAAGAAAACATCGGCAGAGGAACGGGAATCGGTACGTTGATGCCAACTTGACCAGCGTCAATTTCTTGTTGGAAGAGAGAAGCCTTGGCTCCCGAGTTTGTGAAGATGACGGCTCCATTACCCCAGGCGTTGGAGTTGATGAGATCGATGCCGTCTTTGAGGGTTTCTTCTTCCATGCACAGGAGGACGGGGCCGAAGATTTCTTCCTTGTAGCATTCCATGTCGGGGCGGACGCCGGAGATGACTGTAGGACCGACCTGTATCATGTTAGCGACTCGATAGTATGTGTATTACGGTGAACTCACCCAGTTACCGTCAGGGAAACCCTCAGGCTTATATCCTCGACCATCAAGAAGAATCTTAGCACCCTCCTTCTCGGCGCTTGTGATGAGGGCATTGCAACGATCTCGACTCTGGGGAGTGATCAAAGGTCCAAAATCCGACTTTGAGTCAAAACCGCTTCCAGCAATATGATTCTTTGCCTTTGCAACAAGATCAGGCAACCATTGTTTCGCGTCTCCAAGAGTGACCAAAACACTCAACGCCATGCACCGTTGTCCAGCAGCACCAAAAGCGGCTCCAGCGATTGAATCAAGGGCGTGATCTTTATGGGCGTCAGGGCTTAGAAGTGCATGGTTCTTTGCTCCAAGGTTTGCTTGCACGCGTTTTCCGTTTGCTGATCCTCGTTGGTAGATATACTCTCCAGCCTTGTTAGAGCCAACAAACGAAATAGCTTGAATCTCGGGCTCGTCTAGCAGGAAGTTGACCGTATCTTTGGATCCATGGACGACATTGACGACACCTGGTGGAAAGCCGGCTTCTCTGCAGAGCTCAGCAATCATCATGGCCGCACCCGGATCACGTTCCGATGGCTTGACAATTATACAGTTTCCAGTGACAGTCGCTACAGGAAGAGACCACAATGGGATCATAGCTGGAAAGTTGAAGGGGCAGATGGCAGCAACTACACCCAATGGGTTTCGGTAGGAGCGTGTTTCCATGTCCTTAGCAACCTCAAGGACTTCTCCGGTGAGTTGAGTAGTGATTCCACACGCAGTCTCGCAAACTTGCAGTCCGCGGAGAACATCCCCTTTGGCATCAGCAAAAGTCTTTCCTTGCTCAGTGACAATGCTCGTAGCAAGGTTATCCATATGCTCCCGGATCAAATGAGTCAGCTTAAACATTATTTGCTGACGCTTGATAATGCTGGTCCTTTTCCACCCTGGGAAAGCAGCCTTGGCTGATCGCACTGCTTCTTGGAGTTCATCGTTGGTACTCTCAGGAACACGCGTGATGACATTGTTCGTCGCTGGGTCATGAACTTCGATCCATGAGGAGGTCTTTGAAGAGACAAGTTTGTTGTCGATGAAATTCTGTGTATCCGTCGGCTTGTCCAATTTTTCGTGGTTGCCGGGATAAATAACAGACTGGTAGATTGATGTGGAAGGCATTTTTAAGATAGATGTTGTTGATAGATGGAAGAAACAAAGAATGGATAGATGATATGGTGAGGCGGAAACCTTCCCGATATAGGAGCAAAGAGCGGTCGACTCCGTTCGGGACAGACCGACAGTTACCCCGCACTCTGCTAGGGACAGTGTTTTGTGACGGCTTATCTGTTTGGCGGGGCCGATAACCGCTATCGTTGAGGCCTATCGGATCCAGTTGTTCGAGACATTGATGACTGTGTAACCGCTAGTTTTCGTGTATCTCAGAGACGGCCATTATCTAATCCTCACTTGCATTGGAGTCTGCCGAATGTTTACAGTAAGCTCAAACTGCGATTAGGTTGAGATAGAAGCCTTCACTGTTGATTCCCTTGGCCCGGCATAGCTCCCCGCCAAACTCCACATACCCCAACTAAGCTTCCCGCTAACGTTATATCTCAGTTAGGTCACCTTGTCCAGCAGCCGAAGAGGGTCTCGAGGGCATTGGACTGTTGGTTGGTATTGTTATTGTGTTGTGTTGTATAACTGTTGATACAGGGCGAATATAAGCTTTCAGCCACAGGTTTCTGCTGCAAATGTCCTTGTCATAGACGAGACCAAGCCCATGATGCCTGATTGATTAGTACTTAGCTGCAGCCAGGACATAGTGTTAGCAGCATTTACCCCCAATATATTCCGCATTCTGGAAATATACCAATCTGGTCTTCGGGGGATCGACGACCGAGATTAAAGAAATGGCTTCCTATTTTAAACGCTGGAGGGCCCCGGGATCGTTTTACGTCCTTAGATTATTTGTGTACATTTTTCTTGGCCTTATTCGTGTTCAAAAGCTTCTCCCAGAATGAAGCTGCTCACTTTGATCTCCCTCTCCAGTACGCTGCATACTGTTGCAGCAGCACCATCACTGGACAAACACTCTTATAAAGGGTTCAACTTTGCGAAGATTAACAAAGTGGTGTCTTTGTAAGTTTCTTGACAGCCTAGTACTCGTAGCTATTATAAGTCTGACGCTGCAATTAGCGGCGACTCATGGACAGATACTCGTTTCAATACCTCTGGAACCCAGCCTTCCATCTCCAACCCCCTCGGAAACACAGGCAAGACAAGTTCTAATGGTAAAATGTGGCCAATTTATTTGACAACGCAATATAACCAGTCGTCCGTGTTGCTCTATAATATGGCGGTCGGTGGTGCTGTCACTGATGTCAATATTGTCAAGACTGGGCCCAGTGACGTGGTTACCCAGGTCAACAGGTTTAATGCCTACCTACAACAGCAAAAGCCAAACTTCTTTCCACCAAAGCATACGCTCTATACTATCTTTATTGGCATCAACGATATATACCGTACCATCAATGACACGGACCAGGATGACACTATTATCAAGATCATGGAGCGTCTCAGCGAGCTTACTGCCGAGTTGTACAACTATGGTGCTCGCCAGTTTCTATTCATCTCTACGCCGCCGCAGTCTCTTTTCCCAAACAACGTCCCAAAGCCAATCGCTCCAACTCTCAAGGCCGCATCTGAAAATTGGAATAAGCGGCTCCACAAACTCCTCAAGCAGCTGGACCGCAAACTCGCTCATAGCACATTTTTCTTATTCGACATTGCTCCCTTGATCACTGCTGTCACCGAAAGCCCTTCTCAATTCCCTGAGACCGCGGTGTACAAGAGTACTGGATTTTGCGCGGACTACAAGAGGTACGCAAACGCGCCTGGCATTTTGATATGTTTGAGACTAACACGCTGATAGCGGTACGGTCACGCCAGACTTTAAATCCGCTTCTTGTGAATATAACGCGTTGGAGTACATGTATATCGACGGTGCTCATCCGACACAAGGATTTCATCAAATCTTGGCGAAGAAGATTGCTGAGCAGTTGGCTGCGGGTCGAACCATAACCCGCCCTTAACTCTACAAGCTCTTTACGCATCATATTGTGGCAAAAGTTAGATCTTGACCATAGCATTGATCCAACTGTACATAATCAATATACTATGTCCGTACATTAGGCTAAAAGAACGACCAGCTTCCCCGCGTGCAACCCTTGCTTGTTGGGGGCAATTGAGAAGCATTCTGGAATTGTCGGCATATCAAGGGCCGAGTGGAACTACACCAAACCAAACTCAACAGATCAACATACCAAGGCTTGGAAAGGCTCATGAGGCCAGTTCCGATGCCCATCATTGCGAAAAGCGCTGGTCAGATCAGTTCCTACCTGTGACTGTATTTATTCGAAGCTCCGTTCTTGCTGCTGATTCCATAGCTGGTTCGAGGCCAGCATGTTTGACAAGTCAGTCAATCTCCTAACATCTAATATTACATTTAAAAGAGGCGTTTCTGCTTTGACGATACTCTCCGATTCTGGTGGCTTATTCCTAGTGTTCTAAAGCCATTAGACAAATGATAGCAAACCATCTTAGAGAATTGTGCGTGCCCCGTTCTGAAGGTGTCTAACTTCCGAGACCACCGACGCATTGACTTCATAAAAAGATCAGGGAGAATACGAGGCGATAGCAGAGAAAACACTATAGGTTAACTAGTCTGTTATCATCAACACTATGCTTTTTACGATCACGAGAACCGTCTAAAATTAGTTCGGCTCAAATACGAGGTTTTGAAACCAGGAACTGGGCCCGAACGTTCTAGCCGATTTCGTCAAACTACAAAATGCTTCCCCTTTACTTTCGTGATTTTAAAAGTGCCAAGACTCCTCGTCGACTTATAGATCTCTTGGCCTGGAATCTCGTTTTGGCAACGACGTCTTGCTGCAAGTTCACATCGCAATGCATTGCTACGCGACACTTGTCGCGCTTCTAAGCGCGCAAATCGTCAGTGCACTTCCTCAATCGCAATGGAAAGCCGTGTCTGAAGACGAAGTAGTTCGCGCTGCTGTCGCATTTCATCAGCCAAAGCTTGCTGAGGCTGAAGCTCTGTTGATGGATATTTCAGATCCTAGTTCAGACAAGTTCGGGCAGTACCTTGACCGCAAGGAAGTCGTACGTTTTTCTTCAGTCTGTTTCGGAGTTTCTCTAATCTAACAATCCTATAGCAAGACTTCTTTAAACCCAGCGAGATTTCACAGCGAAAAGTTCTACGTTGGCTCGAAGATGCAGGTATTGACATGTCTTCTGTGCATCTCAAGAAAGCAGCTGCTGTCCTGGAGTTCTCTGCTCCGGTGAAGCAACTTGGGAAGATGCTGGGAGCCGGAGTTCATGTTGTGCACAATGATGCCACTGGGGATCTTCGTCTTGAACCTACCGACCACGCAGTTCCGTCTGCAATTGAGGATGATGTTGAGTTCATTGCTTTGGCTCCATATTCCAAGGCTGGCAAAGCGAAGCGCAGTCTCGCGGTCAAGCCTGTCATCGATACCCTGCCACCGCCTTACAAGCTTCCAGTGGCAGATGACCTGCGTAACTGTAGCGAAAGCTGGACTCCAGCTTGCATACGAAGTAAGTGAAAAACAAAGTTCACCGCTCACTACTGACCGGCGACAATAGAGCTCTACAGCATTCCTCTTGGTACCAAAGCTGCAAAGAATAACTCAATGGGTCTATTTGGATACGGCGACCCTTATCAACCCTCCGATCTGAACCAATTCTGGGCAAAGCACGCTCCATTCATTCCCAAGGGGACAAAACCTAAAGTCAACAGTATCAACGGTGCCGTAGCAATCGGTGAAACGGTCGAAGGCGAAGAGTTACTCGACATCGAAATGTCGTATCCAATCGTTTACCCCCAGACCGTCACGATGTTTCAGACCCCCTACAGCAACAAGGGTGGTCTTGCGAATGACTTTCTCGACGCTGTTGACGCAAGCTATTGCAAGTATGATGGAGGCGATGATCCTGATCTTGATCCGTCATTCCCTGTCTTCGGTGGATTCCAAGGACCTGCTATGTGCGGCAAGTACCAGGTTACAAACGTCGTTTCAATCTCTTTCGCGATTGATGAGCAAACCCTACCTAGGCATTACATTCAGCGCCAATGTCATGAGTGGATGAAGTTGGCTCTCAGTGGTGTCAGCGTCCTTGTTGCCTCTGGAGATCGTGGTGTCCAGGGTGCTACACAATGTACTGTGAACCCCTACGATAAGAAGAAGGAAGCCTTCAACTCTCTTTTCCCAGGATCTTGTCCATATGTTACAGCAGTTGGAGCGACACAAGTCAACTTTACGGGCAGCAGAACCAATGAGGTTGCTGTTTTTGATCCCAAGCACAACTTTTACTCTGGAGGTGAGTATATACTCATAGCAGCGATGGCTTTTACTGACATCTTCTAGGCGGCTTCAGTAACATGAATGCACAGCCAGCCTACCAGCGCAAGGCTGTCGCGAGCTATCTCGCCGCTAACAACCCTCACTACCCCAAGGGAACATACAACATTTCTGGACGCGCTATTCCTGACGTTGCGCTTTTGGGGGCAAATGTCACTATCCTACAAGATGGCAAGACCACGATCAGCGGAGGAACCAGCGCTGCTACACCTATGTTTGCTGCTATGATTAACAGGATCAATGATGAGCGATTGCTAGCGGGGAAGAAACCGATTGGCTTCTTGAACCAGATTCTGTATCAGCATCCTGAGGTATTTACCGATGTAAGTCGAGAACATTCCGTGATATGTGAGAAGACAATTGACACTGGTAGATTACCGACGGTTCTAACCCTGGTTGCGGCACGCAAGGGTTCAAGGCGGCCAAGGGATGGGATCCGGTCTCGGGAATGGGTTCACCCAAGTTTCCAAAGCTTCGAGACTTACTAGTCAGCCTTCCTTGAACTGAGAACAATGTATAGCTTGCGATAGAAATAGATATTATAATTTGAGCTTGTAATTCCTTTCTCAGCAATCCATCACAATCTTGATTGACAGCTTGAGGGCAATGCAAGATGATGCATGTCACGTGCAAGTGTCTTACTTTGCTTGAGCCGCGATCAAGCGTGAACTTTTTATCCTTCTCAAATCGTTAAACCTCAATTTTGCAAACACAATGGACGCCAGTCTCCTCCCAATCAATGACCAAATCGCTCGATTTCGTCAAGCAATAGAATGCAACAAAACACTCATGACCGTTTTATCGCGTGCGGCTGAAATGAAACTACCCAATTGGTACCTCGCCGCTGGTGCACTCACGCAAACCGTCTGGAACGTCGTCACAGACCGTGACCCAGAACTTGGCATTGACGACTACGATTTGATCTATTTTGATGACTCAGATCTATCATGGGAGGCTGAAGACGCTGTTATCCAGGCTGGAAAGAAGATCTTTGCGGATATTCCTACTGAAGTTGAGATCCGCAATCAAGCACGCGTGCATCTTTGGTATGAGAAGAAGTTTGGCAAGCCGTGCCCCCAACATCATTCTAGTGAAGCATCTATGTCTACTTGGGGTACCAACACCGCGCTTATTGGCGTTCGACTAAAAGATGATGGAGAATGGGATATCTTTGCGCCATGGGGATTCTCGGATATGTTCAGACTCACGGTGCGCCCAAACCAATTGATCATGACTGAGGAGACATACCACAAGAAAGTTCAGCGTTGGATAAAGTTATGGCCCGAGTTGACTATCATGCCATGGAAATAATGTATGTTATAATCTCAGTCTAGACAAACTTTTGCTGTAGAGCTATTAGACAATGATGGAACTGGAGCAGTTATTATTAGGCCCCATGCGCACTAAATCTATTTAAATTTCCTTCTTGGGTCCAACGTAAACCTTGTTAGCACGAAGGAAGTAGTAAATGGTAGCGAGAACACCAATTCCGCCAGTCATAAGAGAAGCGTAATTCATGCTCTTAGCATCGACGGGAGTTTGAGGAGGCCACAAGCTGAAGAACCAGACGATGGTGATGAAGATGCAGGCGAAAGTGTTGTTGATGATGCCAAACATTCCCTTGAGGTGCCAAGGACCCCATTCGAGAATTTGTCCGTCGCCGTGGATGTTTCGGATTTGGTAGTTCTTATCGCAGCGACGGTACAGAAGGAGGATGGCGGGCATGAAGTACGATGCGTAGAGGCCTGAGATGGCGACTGAGATGATGGCGTTGTAGACAATTGATGAACCGAGGTTGATGAGACCAATGATGCAAGAGATGAGACAGGTGACGGTGATGGACCAGACAGGCATGTTGGTGCGGCTCTCGACCTGTGGTTTGTTAGTTGGTTCTTATACAGTTGAGACAGTTGAGTATACCCTTGAGAGGATAGGTGAGAAAGGCAGAGCATTATCACGAGCAAAAGCCCAAAGCATACGAGATGTTGAAGCAATGACACCAACAGTTGCAGAAAGGGTCATGACAATGATCAGGGAAACCATTCCGGCGGTTCCGCCCTTTGATCCAGTGGCTTGGTAGAAGATCTCCATGAAAGGATATCCAGTTGGTGTCTCGATGGCTGCGTCGATGTCGGTTGCGGAGTAGAGCATTGCGATGACCATACCGAAGCCGAGGAGGCCGTTGATGGTGATACTGCCCATGATGGAGCGGGGAACGATCAAAGAAGGGTTTCTGACTTCTTCACACATCTGCGACACGGTTAGTAACGTATACTTCGAGGTCAGTAGGACAAAGCCTTACGTGAAAGGAGCAATCGACACCTGCTGCGTGTTAGTTGAGTAGATAATTGATGTTGGTATCAAGACTTACCAGTGAATGAGAAGACACAACCCAACAGTCCAACGAACCATGAAAGACCTTGAGTAGGCCAATTGCCCGAGTTGCGCCATTCAGTAAACACCTCAGTGCCATTATCGTTTTCGCGAAAGACAAGAAGAGTGATGAGAACAGCAAAGAAGCCGATGAGATGCAAGATCAAGATCATTCCCTCCAAAATCGGAAGCAAAGCACTAACAACAGTGTTGATGATGATAGCGACCAGGACACACGCCCAGATCATCAAACTACCATGCCACGTATGCGCCTCATAAGAAGGAGTCGTAAAAATAACGAGACCCTGAATCATAGTAGCAGTAAGAAAACCCGCAGCAGCAGAAGTTCCCTGCCACCCAGCCAAGTTCATCCAACCCGTGATGTAACTAAGATATTTCGCGTATCGTGGAGGCGCAAGCATAGCAACCCAGTGGTACTGGCCCGCAGCCATCGGGGCGATCGAGACGAGTTCACATAGACAGGCGAAGGAGCTGAGAACACCTATCCATACAAAGATGTAGCCGTAGATAAGACCCGCGCTGCCTCCGTTGCTGAGACCGGGAGCGAAGTTCATGAGCGTTCCCTCCCAGGTGACGAGGACGGCGCAGCTGAAGCCTAGAATTGTCCAGCCTCCAAAGTTTCTCTATTATGTGTCAATTGGTGTTTCAACAGTATCAATGGCTGTCGCATACCTTGAGGACTGATTTCTTTCCAAGCTTCGCCAATTGCGCGTTATCCATGTGATCCTGATCACTAGACACCGAAGCATCTTCGACCGTCGATCGGGGATGTTTCGCAGCAGCCATATCGTTGAGTTCGTACTGAGTAGCCATATTGATCGCCCTCAAAATGGGACAGAATTGATAAAAAGGAAATATGCAGTGCCCTTCTGCGCTGACCCTCAAAATCGGGGGAGTTGGGGAAAGTTTAAAAAGAAACTCCGTCTGCAGCAAAAAGTTAAATACAACCCTCCCATGCCTGTCAGATATGACAAACAGTTCGGCGAACTTGCATATTATATCCCTGACGATACATCCCTTGCGGTAACGGTGCAGGTGGAACGGAAGACGAAATAGAACCACCGCCTGTTGGCGCTACAACCGAGTAGGGAGGTATACCAACTTGCATGAGACATGCATATCGCGTAGGATGAAACCACGAACGAGTGGACTGAGTCTTGCCTCTACCCTTGTTATCTTCACCAGGTACGCTAGGATATGCATTACGCCACACCATTAAACCATCCCACTTTATTACAAGGGTATCTACCCTTCGGCCCGCCCAACGGAACGGGTTCCATGAATTATCATTGCTAAAGGAATACCGCACGTCCTGCAAATAAGATCCGAGTGGTCACTGAACCCCAGCAGAAGGATCAACAAGGGCCTCCTGGCTATTCTGCCGCGCCGCATCCCACGAACCTCCCTTCCCATGATCCGTCACAACATGCGCAAACTTTTTCACATCCCCCTGCCTGCTCGTCAGCTCGAAAGCCTGCGACCCGGACGTCAACGTGTTGTTAGACCTAGACTTGTTCCCCGTTCCTCTTGTCGTCCCGCCACTTTTGCTATTGTTGCTTTTGCTGAGTGCGCCAAAGATGTCGCCTGCGCCCATCTGGCCTGATTCAAGGCTCTTGAGGAAGCGCCACCAGAAGGGTATGCAGGTGGTGGTGATACCGACGCACTGGATTACTTGCACGATGATGGTGGGCTTCCACATTGTGAAGATTGGTGTGGACGAATCGAGGGCTTGTTTGAAGAAGTAGATGTGAGACACGGCGGGAGGGATCATCCTGAGATTTGTTAGTCTGTGTGGATGCATGGCGTAGATGACTTACAGAATGCGTGAGCCGAAAACACCAACCACCATCGCTTTTGTGCCAAGTGGCATCTGCAGGTGCACGAGAATTTCGATGGTGACACCAGTGATGAGAAGATCGGTGACAAGGTTGACAACGTCGACGTATGCCCAGAATGCCACCAGATCGACGCAGGAGCCGTTGATGTAGTCCCAAGATGACGGTAAGGAGCATGCGAATGCTCGCACAAGTATCGCAGATAATGCCCAGCCTGCAATGATAATCTGAATCGGCAATATTCGTTTGTGAGACAGTGGTGACATATTTCCAACGGTCGTCGTAGCTGAAATCTTCGAAAATGCCAGTGCGAGATAAAATAGAATATCGGATACGAGTTGATCCTGAAATTGTGAGTCCAGTTCCATACATAATACATTTAATGTCCAACTCACCTTGAGAATCAACGATATTTGACCAGACGACACATCCAGCTTTCCCATCCCATTTGCGCCCTGTGAATAAACAACCGCTGATTGTGCAATCACAAAGATCTAAAATGTCAGTCCAAAGATCGTCAAAGCTATCAAAGCTTAATTAGGTACTCACCATCGACACAAAGATGAGAATATCATCCGACTTGAACAGGCTCGACCATCGTAATCTTCTCATCGTAGCAATCCGCGTAAGAACACGAATAAACACCGAGAACATGGTAACAATCATGAGAATCATCGACAGCGCCCGAATAACAGGCGCCTTGTTAAACGGTGTCTCATGCTCACGAGGTAAAAGCATCTCGACGATTGAGGAGTTGATGAGTTACAAGTCAGGCACATGAAAGCAAAGCCACAAGATTGAAAATTGGGGTGGATTAAGGTGATAAAGCTTCTCGATTTCAATTTCTAATTAACGCAATGATGCGACTGGGACCATGCCCTTTTGGCACCCTGCTTATAAGACATGTGTTTCGGGAGACAACTTATCTCAACCGGGAATATCTGCACTCGATAAGAACCACAAAGCCCCTCTGTCCATGCCATATTAACTTACAGGTCAAATTCAGGACACGCAACATTGTTGGTTGGCATGAACTCTGCCTCTCACAGGATCTCATCCTTTGGTAAAATACCCCTGCATCAAATCCCTTCAGTGTCTGAAGAACCCGGAGATTTACTTGCCTCTAAGCCGTTGAGGCTTTCGAGGTGCATATCTCATTTCAGGGCAGATCCTTGCGTTATCTCATGATTTTCGGACTTTGGGTGGGATCAAAAGCCAAGATGGGTAAATCCTTCGCTAGTGGGGCGGGATCAACAGCCGTGCGGCGGATTATGTCGATCTGGGGTCCGGAAACCAATCAAGGGCCTTTCAAAGGCCTCGACTTCAACTGCCGATCCTTTGCCCCTTTCGTTTCCGCGTAACAGGGAGGTGAGCCGCGTTTCGGCATCCTCCATTCATCTTACCATGTTAGTTACAGGGGTCATTACAACACTTTTTCTCTTCTCTCTTCATCTTGATCAGTTGTTGGCTATGAATATTTGTAATGCATTATACATATGCATTATTACGAGTGTCGGTTGTGTTTCACTTGTTTAACCGAGACGAGTTTCCCCAGGGAAATATATTAGGCACGAATTAATATGCTACCTCCTGTAATCAGAGTTTACACTGCTTAAACTTTATTATAACAGCCCTGTAGATTTCTGACCCTTGAATTTTTTCCGCGGCCGGCGCGGCTGCCTAGCAGGGAATAACAAACCTGTCAGTGCAAAGTTTACCCCACTGGATGACATTCCGTCCAAGCCTAATGATTCTATTGCTAATCTATGGGGTCGTCTAGTTCACTTCTAGAAGCTGTATATGAAAGGCCCGTCAAAGAAAATTAAGCCTCCAGCGCTGTGGATTCGTCAGTGACGGCAAATGTTAAACTGACTAAGAGAAACAAATTCCTCAGTCAAGAGTAATAATCGAGTTAGTACGCAAATCTCGATTCCTCGCTTCATCACCAATCGATCTCGTACACCCTAAGCGACATGCATCTCACGTATCATGGATGATCCGGAATACGGATTGCGATAAATGGAACGTCCCGGTAACCGCGGAGGAAGCTCTACCAACTGACCATTTAGATCGAGTACCACCCGGCAAAAGCAACTCAGGGGTTACAATTGCAAGGATGGGTGAGCCGTGTTAATGGGAGGGGCAGAGGGGGAGCCAACAAGGCTTTGACTTATGCACGGAACAGGCCTTTGAAGCCATCGGATCCACGGACATTAACTGCTCCGACTTGTGGTCTGTTTTAACAAACGTTTGGCCTTTTTGCTTTTTGATCACGCAACGCTAAAATTAAAGACTGTCTCATATCGTTGTTTTTTGTCTAGCAGTGATCGGCAGTTGGATACTGTTCTGGGATTGGATGAATCGACGTTCTAGAACTTGAGTCCCTTGCTTCCGACCACTGCATCCGCAGAGGAGAGTTTGTAGGCGAATACTAGGCGAGGAACAGTGTAACGTCGAGTGGTATTTTATAGATGCAGCTATTAGATCTCAGGTGCTCTATGCTGGAATGTCACCATTCAACGCAATCGTCAAACCATTGGCTGGAACATCAACGGTGTCTTCTCATTTATGCATCGGTGATAATGATATCAGCTCTATATCAATGGAACATGGACGATGTGGTTCCATTCGTTTATCCTGCTTCTCCTCGGTACTTTTGATCCGGTTTCTTTCTGTGAGTATAAGGTTCATCGACCCCACAGGTTGCAACGTCGCGAGGTTACGAAAACAACTCACTGTGATAACGACCATGGAGAACATGCCAGATTGGGACTACAAATCTTCATCCTCGTATCGAGCTCGCTTGTGAAGTCAATGTAATAATTAACCTTATAGCCCGATTGTCACTGTAAGCATGATTGCAAGGACAACTTTCTGTAAATCCGCGGCATAGGGTAGTTTGCAGAAAATTGGTGGGACTAGAAGATTGTTAGTGTCAGTTAGGACAGTACATTTGGGTCGCTGGACGTAAGGAGTGCCGCTAAGTCGTTACTAACAGGTTCCAAGCCACGGGCAATTTAAACGCAGATCTTCCCCACGATTGAGTTCTGTTCGAGCATGGCCCTGCAATACTTTTTGTCGCCTGCAGGCAAGCACGGCCATTTGTATCAATTTGAATGCATGTCAATTTGTGTCCCAAAGCTTCGGTTTTCTTGGCTAAAGCCAAGCTTCGAGACATTTGCAAATTCTCCGTCCTTTAACCCAATTTTTGTGTGTCGCTATTTATAGATAAGCTTGTACGGGTTCACCCGGCGCCGTTCTCGGCAGTTCTTGACACCTGGTGCGAGAAGAGCCGAGGCACGAGTTGATCTAGCTTCCATTAACCAGTCGGGAGTTGAGTTCAGATTTGAGATATAAGTTGAATGTTCTATTACTGCTTGCACTTTCTAAAGCTCGTACCTGTCCATAAAGCGCCTTGAATGATGCGTCTTCCAAAAGTTCTCCTGCACTCAGCCGTTGCTCCGGCAAGTAACAAAAACCCCTCCGCAATATAGAGAGCACCAGCTGTTGCTCAGCAGGCTCAACGGTATCCCTAGATCGCGTGACTCTCGATTCCAAAGACATTTCAGGCTCTGGCATTTTGCTCTGATCGTACCATCTCTCGTCAACTTCTCCACCGCCTTCATACGAGCCTTTCCACGATAGAGGCAGAGGACCCAGCACTCTGACCATGAGTTCAACCACGGAGCGAAATCCGCCACCGAAGAGCCCACCAGCGAAGAGAGGCCACTTCAGGTAAAGCTCAGCAAAGATACACATGTAGCTCCACATATCAGACGCAAAACTCGGGTTTATCTTGTGCATACGCTCGGGTGCGCAGTATCCGGCAGGTGCCTGAAGCTTAAAGTCTACTTCAGTGCCAGATGAAATGGCTAGACCAAAGTCACCGAAAGTGATGGTATGTTCAACAAGACTATCTTTCGGGGTCATTGGCATCACAAATTGGCCATCCCTGCACAAGACTTGATTTGTGGGTAATTCCATTTTCCGGGGGCGACCAAGAAATTGATACTTGGTGGCTACACCAGTAGCAGTCTCAAACGGGGAAAGACCGAACATCACGTTAGCGCTGTTAAGGTCTGTCGAGAATAGTCAGTTTGTGCGGAGGCCAAGGTTGAATAGCTATAATGCAGGACCAACCTCGATGTACAATCCAACCGTCGTGCAGTGCTTGGAGTGCTTGGAGCAACTGTTTGGCAGCTGACCTCCGAACAATTGTAGACGTCGGCTGGGCGTAATCTCTCAGGTTGGGGCCCTTGAGGGGGAAAACAAGGACTCGATGGGCAGCTCTGGTGGCGCCGGGAATCACGAACGTGTCCTGATATATCAGCAGACGTGAAGTGTCTGGCACACAACTGATGAGCTCATTCTGCGTACGGAACTCTCGTTCGCCCCCAGAGTCGGCTGTCATGATTTTGAGGGCGACGTCTTTTGCCTTGAACATGTCGTAGGCCATCCAGACAGTTGAGAATCCGCCATGACCTAGTTTGTGCTCAATTCGATATCTGCCCGCGAGAACCTCCCCGATGCAGATGGGCAGGTAGAGTCCCTCCTCATATCGGTTGATTGGTTCGCACGAATCTTCGACGTCACACTCATCTTCAGTCTGAACCTACGAAGTCGCCCCAGACTGAAGATGAGGTAGTAACATCATCCAGTGCAGAATCTTGCGTAGGCATGGCCGTGAATTTCAGAACAGTGACTTGGGAGAGACATGCTAGGAATTGAAAGATTGTGCAGAGACCTTGACCGTGATTGAAAGCGGAATCCGGAAAAACAATTATCGCTCACCTTTCATGCAGCCTTAGCATATCTTGAGTGCCTCACATATGAGGACCATCTGAACTATTGTGATTACCATCAGTCTGATCAGCTCCTCGTTACTTTTGGATATGAGTATGTTAGAATTAACCGCCATATGTGGACTTGCATGAGGCACATTATTGTCAATGGTTGGCGTGCACTTTTGACCACGTTACGCTTCCAGTGCCGTGCTTCATGAAAGAACGTGATATAATTATAACTCTTTTCTCAAATCTTATCGCGGTAGCCTCAACCCCCTAGTCCCTTGAAAATGCTACTATCAAATATCTGAGCCGGAACCTTTACCAAGAGCCGCCACAACCTCCTGACCTCCTCGAATACCCGATCTCACAGCTCCATCCATGTACCCCCTCCAAACCAAAGCCGTCTCTGTTCCAACAAAATGAACATTCCCAAACGGCTCATCGATAGCCTTTCCGGACTCACCCGCCAAGAACCCAGGTCTCCAAACAGGACCAGGTCCGCCTTGAGCCCAAGGATCCTGCGTCCAATCTTTCTCAATAACGTTGATAGGTTGCGGTATATGATCCACAACAGTACTAAATGCAGTAAGGAAGTCGTCCAATACAACTCGCTTTCTTTCTTCAGCCGGCAGTCTCGACCATTTCCTTCCTGGATCGCCAGCATGAAAGCAAGTTATGCTATATTGACTATCCTGAGGAATGCACGTATCGTGCGTGAAGACGATCGGCCCACCAGCAGAACTGTACACGCCTGAGAGACCTGCAGAATGCCACCATGGCTCAGCGAATAAAAGGATTGTCTTGGAATAATATCCCGACTTGGCAGATTCGCCGAGTGTTTTTTTGGCTGGTGGCAGACTTGGTTCGAAGTGGATGAGAGGGTACAATGGGGTCGGCACTGACACGATGACTTTGTCTACTCTGTAGACATCGCCATTGGTAGTCTCAACAAAGCAGCCCTCGCCTTCCTTCTGCGTGATGGCCTTCACTGCGCTTGAGATCTTCACGCTTTCTGCGTTGAGACCAGCAGCAAGACGATCGCAGAATGCTTGATTGCCTATCTACATCGTTAGTCAAATCCGCGACAAACCGTTGGCAAAGGCTTACCCTGTCGATTACGAAGGTACTGTGCTCCGTCCTTGAAGTCAGATACGACGTTCTTCAGACCTGTACCCCTCTTCAATATGTCGAGGAAGAACAGAGCGCTGGGCTCGTCGCTTTCCACACCGAGTAAACTGCGCGTGATGCTGTTGACGAGGGCTGATGCACTAGGATCGTTGAAGCTTGCGATGAATTCTGCGACTGTAATGGAATCAAGGTGCTTTGCATCTGGTCCGTGAGAAGGATTGTCGATGTCACATCTTTCAGCATAATCCGAGAGAATTTGCATGAATTGCTCGACTTCCTTGAGCTGTTCCGGCTCAAGCTAGGCATGGTCAGACTTGCTCATCACAGTGACATGGCAAACTCACTTTTGCTGGCATCTCGAAAGGGATGCAATGAACCTCTCCCATTTCATCCCTGTACAGACTACGCCCCTCTGTACGCTGCTCAACGAGATCAAAGCCAAACTCTCTAGCTAGTTTGTAGATCTCGGACTGGCTCGTATCATTGATCCAAGATGCTCCTAGATCAACGACTCCATTACCACCAGAAGACTGAACGGACAGGACTTTGCCACCTATGCGATCCATGGCTTCAAGGACGATATAAGACAGGCCAGCATTATGGACTTCCCTAGCAGCTCGGAGGCCGCTCAGTCCAGCGCCAACGATAAGGACTTGGAAAGATGGTACCATTTTGCAATGAGATAGATGTGAATGGAAAGTGATTGCGGCCTGACATTATTGAGATGGAAAGGATGGGAATCTTTATAGGTTTCATGGTCGTTGTTTTCATGAACTTCGGAGGTTCATGATGTTATCGTGCCGCTATCGTGTGAAGCTTGTTGGTCACTGACTAGCCCTGTATGATCTCCACCATCTAAGCCTTTCTTTTTTGTTTAGCGTTTGAGGACTGCCAATGAATACGAAGAATTGTTCCCCACAGCGCGGCTCGATAAGATAAGAACTCTCTAGTGCCATGTTCCATGCCGTTGATCGCCGAACTGATAACCTTTTCCATTTTGTTTTCAGACTCCCCTCTCACAAAGATACTTGCTTTCCATTTTGAAAAGGGCTTAAAAGACCAGACACCCACTTCTTGGAAGATGGACATGACCCAAGCGTCCTTAGACGTGCAATCCTCATCCCGAGAAACTCCCCGATATCCAACGACCTTCCGAGTCTGGCAGCGTCGCACCAAAACGGGATGCCTCACCTGCCGCTCAAGAAAGAAGAAATGCGACGAGACCAAGCCGCAGTGTAATGCATGTCGACGCAACGGGATAAGATGCGTCTGGTTCCAAGATAACCAATCCAATGCCCTTCAGAATCTACACAGAAATGAAGCTCTTACCCTCCCAAATTACAACTATAGGCTCTTTCATAACGAAGCATGTAACCTTACCAATGTATCCTCACTCCTGCTACAACATTACACTTCTGAAACAGCTGTGATACTACCAGCGGGAAAGCCCTCTCTGAACCCATTTATTTCTTTTGTTCTTCCTCCAGCTGAGACAGATGACGTGCTTATGCACGCGGTCCTAGCCGTGAGCGGTGCACATTTATCCTTTAGGTTACAAGATGCGGTTGATGTGGAGGTGGCTACACGGAAGCACTATCTACTTGCTATACATGGCGTTCAAGAAGTCATAACCGGTGGCCAAGTCAACGATAAGTCTGGTATTCTCCGCCTACTCTTGGTTGTCTCATTCTTGTCACAATACGAGGTCAGTTTAATGAGAAATTATTAGACTTTTGATAAGTAATAACACGATGCTAGATTCTGATGAACACACCAAAGCTTACCTTGTACCTTCATCTGAAGGCGATTCACCATCTCTTTCTGCACCTCCTGGGTCTGGGATATCGACCTCCGCTCGACTTACAAGAATTCGATATGATACTGAGCTTCATATATGAAGGCTTCATATTTCTTGCCTCCTGCAACACTACTCAATCGATTGAGAATAATGACTTGTTATCTGAATCGATCACTGACCACCTTCGTCCATTGATAAACTCACCTTGTTTCGGGTCCATGCTGGCGGATTCTCACTCTCTATTCGAAATGATCCCACTTATCCAAAAGCTACATCTCTCACGTTTGACGTTCGAGTCATTGGGTTTACCGACCTTGTCGCGTGAACTTTGGACAACTTACAAGACATTGCATGATTTAATCGAGTCTTGGACGTTACCAGAAGCAAGTACAGAGCGGATAATGGCCGGCGACGTCGTACGCAATGCGTTGACAATCTTTCTAGAGTGCGCTCTGACAGGCTATGAACAATTAGACCATGAGAGTATTGAGACAAAGGCCAAGATTGTGATCGACACAGCTGTGCAACTCGAGGACTCCTCTTATGCAACCCATATCGTTTGGGCCCTGGCTGTCGCTGGATCTTCCGTAACCGACGAGATCTATCGTAGAAAGCTTGTGGCATTTCTTAGCAGGTCGCGTTACAAGATGCGGCACCTGGTAGTTGTACAGAGGAGCCTCGACTTGTTTTGGGCTGAACTGAACCCAACGATGTTTGGACCATTTGAGTTTCAAGGACTGATGGAGAAATATGGAATATCGCTATCTATCATGTAGATGCAATTTCTAGTAACCACCATAGACAGGTTCTGTTTGGCCAAAGGGCGAGAGGCTTCTGAAAGCAATATTGCATAAGTAAACCAGGTGAATGGCTAAAGCATTTTTTAAGCTATAATTTAACAAACTCCTAAGAATTATTAAAAAGTCTAATAATGGATTCGATTCGTAGAGGCGGTATTCCAGTCCAAGGAAGCTAGCTGTTGCAAAAACTATAGTTCATCGCCGTCTCTTCTTCATGGCGAGAAAGAATGCCTTCTGATTTTGTCACATGATAGTGTGGGCCAGGGCAAGTGGGATACTGGAGCGTATGCCTGAGCACGCTAAATGCCTCGAGCCAGGGACCAATGTCACCACGAATCTTGTACATATTTAGCTTTTGCTTTCACACGAAGTCGCTCTCATATGAACATGTTTTCGTAATGGTCCGGCAGTATCCACAGGATTTACGAAATTGACAGCCAGTTCTAATTACCCATCCGCTAAGCTTAGGATGCCCAGTGGGGCTCGATCACGCAGTGGATGCGCCGCATGCAAGTCCCAACGGGTAAATAGAGTGATGATACCATTGACGACCATACACAGAGGCGCTGACAGACTCATCGTGATAGTTGAAGTGTGATGAGACTTGGCCGTCTTGCGGAAGATGTACTCGTCTTAGTATAAACTGCTCTGGCCCCATTATCCGTCTGAGATGGTCACAAAAGCACCAAGCACGTCCCGATAACAGTGGATTCCAGAAGCAAACAACACGTGCGAAACAGATTCTACAGCCATCGACGATGAGACACTCCAGCTTCACAAACCAGCCAGAAGCTGCCCTTCTAGATCCAAACTTCTCTTCTTTGCCATCGGTATTTGACCCTTCCGTCGACGGAAACTATGTCCCTTCTCCCTCCAGCAACAGCCACGGCGGTAATGGCTGGATCGACGAAGCGTTTGGAGACATGATGCCAGAACTCATGTCATTTGGTCTCATGCCGCATAGTACTACGACATCAACCCAAACGCCAGAACTGCTGCAAATGGCAGACGAATTCGGCCCAAGAACCGAGACGGCGGAGTTGAGCCCAAGGGAGCCACCACACGAGGAGGGAGAGAATTCAACAACACCCATGGCATCTTTACCGATTTCAGGGTCACTTGATACGAACCGACCGCAAGTTGCCTCATCTCACTCGATGCAGGTCGCTGGGACGCCGCCACTCCACGCCACGACAGTTGTCGATCGACCATTCAACGACTACAGTACCATACTTGTCGAATATTACTTCAAAGATACAGCCGCTATACTCGCCCTATACGATAGCGAGATGAACCCATTCCGGTCAACCGTGTCCCGTGTATGGGCATCCTCCGAGCTCATATACTATACACTGCAGAGCATGGCTGCGTCGTTTCTCTCCAATGTCTATCCACAGTTGTTACATACAGGACTGCACTTCCGACAAAAAGCCATCCACATTCTCAATGGCCTCGATGAACCCGCCATACATGAACAGACGCTGATAGCCTTGTTCATGATTGGTGGAACAGCTAGCTGGTTCGATGTCAACGACACTGGTTCCGAGTATTTTCCACGCCTCAAAAGACATGTACAGGGCCTCAAGACTACCGATCGCATGTCACCTACAGGGCAGAGTCAGGCCTTCTTCGAGAACACTTTGGCTTGCTGGGAAATGTTCCTAGCTTTTGTGGTAGATGGCGATGAGAACGACCATTCACCTTGGCAGTAAGTTCAGTTTGGCCAGTTACTTACGCATGCAAATCTCCGAATGCATACTAACTCTGAGCAGAGCGACAAGTACAGAACCAGAAATTGGATCGATATTCCCCGTCGTCCAGATACCACATCCGGTAACTGGAGTCGCCCATGAGATCCATACTCATCTCGCAAGGGTCGGTCGGTTGGTCAGAAGAAATCGCCGTCGTGCCATCTCGAAACACTTCTTCACACGGGACAGTATCTTGGAGGCACAGCGCGAGGTGGATGAAGCAACGGAATTAGAGATATCTCTCACCAACCTGCAGATTCCGTTAGAGTCCGCCATAGTGCAAACGGGTGACTCACAAACACCGACCTGGCATCTCACAGCCCTCGCGGAAGTGTATCGCCTTGTTGGCCTTATTCAGCTGTATCATGTCTTTCCTGACACCCTTATATCAAGGATGAACCTCCAGAACTCACATCCTGGGGGAGATATCTCTGGTGTATCTGCCCATGAAGCGGAGGAGAGGTTAAGACAATTCACGCTGCGGGCTGTTGAGATCCTCCGCTCAATACCTGCGGAATCTGGGACCAAGGATTTCCATCCATTCCTGATTGTTGCCGTGTGCAGTGGACTGACGATTCCAACAATGCAAGCGTCGGCTTCTGTCCAGACCATGGCGGGCTTGGAAAACTCGTTGCCTCTAGTAGCGGCTGATGTTCATCGGGCTCGGGGGTTTCTGAGGGGTCGACTACAGCTGCTTTTGCATTCTCTCCCCAAGAACCCAGTTCAGCGGTGTATTGACATAGTTGAGGCTACTTGGGCAGAGACAGACAATCGTCATGGCATTTCCCGTGGCCGGCCTGCGTACTGGATGGATGTGATGATGCAGAATCACTGGGAGACTTTTATGGCATGATAATTGCCATCGGCTCTGCAATGATATCTTTAGCAGCGATGAATCTTGGCGTGGGAGACGAGAGCTGCCTTGGTCTCATATTTCTTGACGAAAACAAGACAGATTGCCTCAATTGACACATGTCTCGATTGCCTAATCTAACTATAATCGGCACAAAATGTGAACAGCCATTAGATGTAGAACCGAAGCAAACAAAATGCTTACCATGTTACAGTGGATTGTTTCTGTAGCGTATGCTAGCCCAGGACAGAGGGCGACTAGCCTGAAATAACCTGTTTCAGTAGGTCGTTACGACTGTGCTCCGCTAACCGAGTCGCCCAGTCACAACTCACATGCTTATCAAGACCGACATTATCAGGATCGGGTGGTCATGTCGACCTTGGGTAAACAGCAAACTTGATTACAACCATAAATACGGCTCTTGTTAATTTGGGGAAAAGAGCAGACACGTAACTAAGCGAAATTAGTCAACGATAATGAGAATCAACCAACTGCTCCCAGTTCTCCCCCTCGCTGGGCTGACTCTTGGCTGCGGTCACCATCACGACGACAAGGAATGGACCGCGGAAGAGTTGGCCGAACTCGAGGCAAAATGGGGTTTCGATGTATGGTCTTTCTTTTCACATTTCCCCGAACACGTTGACTGACAATCTGATAGTGGGCATTTGGCGGCATTGGCACATTTGCGCACCTGAATCATGTTAAATGCCTTACAGAGCCAACCGAACCTTACGATATTGCTATTGTTGGCGCTCCATTTGATACCGCTGTAACATACCGGCCCGGTGCACGGTTTGGTCCAAGAAGTATTCGTCACGCGTCAGGTCGTCAGCACTCCCTCCGAGGCTACAATCCTCGAGCAGACATCAATCCATATCAAAACTGGGCCAAGATCGTGGATTGTGGGGATATCCCTATAACACCTATTGACAATGATATTGCTCAGAAGCAGATGGCGCAGGCTCTTGAGCAATTGGGGCAGCGCAAAACTGTGTCATCTATATCCTCGAAGCCCAAGCTGTTCACACTCGGTGGCGATCATAGCTTGACCTTGCCTGCCCTTCGAGCATTGAAGAAGGTCTACGGAGATCGCGAGATCCAAGTCCTTCATTTCGATGGTATGTAAGCCCGCCCAAATCTGCATTTCTCTTGCTGACACGTACCTGCAGCCCATCTTGACACGTGGAACCCTCACGCATATCCCTCTTACTGGGGAACGACACCTTTCAATCATGGATCCATGTTCTGGTTGGCCAACCAGGAAGGACTGCTCTCCAACTCGTCATCTCATCCTTCAGTCCATGCAGGCTTGAGAACACGACTCACAGGCATCCAAGACAACGAAGACGACACTGTGCAGAACTGGATTCGTTTCTCAGCTGACGATATCGACAAAATTGGCACACAAGGTATAATCGATGGTATAATGAAGATTCTCGGCACTGAAAACCTGGTGTACCTGTCGGTAGACATTGATGTCCTTGACCCAGCCTTTGCGCCAGGAACAGGCACGCCTGAGCCCGGGGGTTGGTCTACCAGAGAGTTTATAAACATTCTTAGAGGCATCGAGGGACTGAACCTGGTCGGCGCTGATGTGGTGGAGGTTTCGCCTATCTATCAAGGGGCAGGCGAAGAGACGACTTTTGCCGCTGCTCAGGTCGTTTATGAAATTCTGACGTCTATGGTCAAGAGAGGGTTACAGGATGTAGGAAGATCGGACAAGTCTAGTAAAGATGAGCTATAGTTGAGCCTATTTGACTCTCGTCGTCATTACGAAGAAGAGATTACACAAAGACCCATGGCCAGCTAGCAGGATGTTTGATACTCTAGCCATGGGCAGGACCCTACTTTGTTACGCAGCTAAGGGAAAGAAATTAAGCAAACCTTACTGATCCGAGCAAGTATTTGACCTGTTAAGTGTAAATGTTTAGAATCGCTGTGATATTCCCCATCCCTGAAATAATCGGCTCCATGAAATTACACAGAAATGGCTGGTTAGAAGGTATCGCAGGGTAGGCATGTTCTTCAGACGTGAATGGAGTTATTATTAGCTACAGGCATGATCTCCGAGGCCTCAACAAACAGCTGCGTTAAACGATAACAACATTAGAACAAACTTGCAGCCGCTTATCATGTTCACTCCAAGCACGCTCAGTGCAATGGGAAGCGATGGCTGAACTTCTCTGGTCGCCACCTCGTGAGCCAAAAACCTGGTAAGGCGTGATTGTCGCGAGAATTACCCTTTCAAGCTATCCTAGGCGGTCCCGCATTTACAGTAGCGCAAGCGGTAGAAAGCTCGCTTCCTTAACACCCCTGTAGAGCATGTTGAAAGTCTTACTCCATTTGGCAAGGCGAAGCTAGTCTACCATATAATACGCCGCAAGGTAACAAAAGCACTCCAGTGCTAGCCAGCTAGTAAAGGCATGAACGAGCCGCCGGCCAATGTTCCACTAGTACAGACTCGGTAATTTTAGAATGGTTCAGGCCCAAGTGATCCGAACGAATGCTAAGCTAATCGCTTCGGGCTCCCACTTTTAGCTCAAGAGATAGCAGACACAAATGAGAAGAAGTAAAGGACTGACCAGCCAAGCGCCCTTTCTACTTGGCGTGATAGATATACCTTGAATCAACACAAACGATCGTGTCTGTGGCAAAGAACTCGCATCGGCCGAACAACCGCTTATCACATTGGTAACCTCACACCTCCCCTCATCTTGCGCGGCTGAGACCTAGCACAGAATATCTATAATGGATCTTGGACTAGGGCTTCAAGGCGATGTGGTGGTGGTGACGGGCGCAGGTGGGCAGATAGGCGAGGTTATCGTCGAAGCATTCCTGAATGCTGGCTGCTTCGTTGGTGGCTTCGATATTGATAAGTCCAAGTTTGTCAAGCAACACCAAAATCTCCTCTGGGTTGCGGTCGATACCACCGACGAGGCGGGCATGATCGCCGCATGGAAGAGCGTCGAGGAACGGTTCACGACCCCTACACTCTGCGTCTGCGCAGCTGCAGTTGATCTCAGCTTCATCGAGCATCACTCGTCTATTACAAAAATGCCGACTAGCCAATTTCGCAGAACTCTCGACGTGGTACATTCAGTCTGTAACTTTCTCTAATTCGAGTGTTTCTAACCTTGAACAGAACACAACAGGGACTTTCATAACGGCAAAGTTATGGCTTCAGCACGTGGAGAAAATGGTCAAGAATAGCAGTACGAAAGCGAACGACGTAAATGGCTCGTATTCATCAGCAGCTCTACCACGAGACAAGAAAGAAAAGAACATCTCATTGATCATCATTGGTTCAGAGGCTGGAGATTTTGGAGTCGCCGGCAACCCAGACTATGCAGCAAGCAAATCAGCAGTTCAATTCGGTCTCGTCATATCCCTAGCCCCAGATGCTGCTCGCATCTGTCCCTCAGCTAGAGTCAACTCCATTTCCCCGGGAGCTGTCGATACTAAGAGATTCAGTACAGAATGCGCCGAGGACAAGTCTGGTACACTTAGATGGATCGAGTCCGAGTCGACGGTCGCTCAGAAGAAGGCGGTGGATATAGAGGGTATTGCGAGGATGTGCATGGTGCTGGCGAGTGAGAAGTGGTCTCCTTCGGTTACTGGTCAGACTGTGAGGCTCAATGGCGGGAAGAGTGGGAGGCTTTTTTGGAACCAGAACGGTGATGCTTTGTGGTAATGACTGATAGACAGACATGTATTCACATGAAGAAACCTGCATAAAGGCAGTTGGCGAGAACTGAAAGGAACGGGAAACTATTGTAGTCACTCTTTCAAACTCAACAGAGTAACTTGAAAACCTTGGCAAGTGTCTCCTGATGGGACTTCTATCTTGACAACTCCCCATTACTCAAACCAATAGGCCTTTGCAACGAGCACCAGCAGCTATATGAGTGGCAAGCATCAAATCTCGCCAGCCTGGGCCCTACTACCCCTTATCTACCCAAGTCTGGCAATGTGTGGCGACGCTATCAGAGTGTCGCGACTTGACGCCACCAAAGCAAGGCTACATGCGGGATGAACAGCTACGTAAAATCCTGATTGACAGATTGGACGCGAGCCAGGCGGGTCAAGAAAGTCGGGCACGGTCAGAGAGCAAACAAGATAGCATGTAAATTCCAAGGTCACGTTACTACCTATGGTGTAGCCGCCCTTGTCTTCCAAGCCTTTGCTACATCTGCCATACAGTCAAAGGTGATTTCCCCTTCACTGGCACTACCCGCCTTTGCTTTGAGCTTGGATATGAACCTTTCAATCATGCCAATAACATGAGTCCTCCCAGCGCACTCAGGATGCAGGATGAGTGGGAAGATAGATCCGTATCCAGCACCAGGACCTTCATGTAAAAAGCTTTCGTTCTCCCACAGCCATTCAAAACGGTCCAGCCACATCTTCTCTATGGCATCCGTACTCACATAGCCTTGGGTTGTTGCCGAGTGTGGGTAGTAGCATAGAGGGGTAGCATCTTCAGTGTACCAGCTACCGGGAATCTCGACTAAAGACGCTTCCGCTTCCTGCGATCCGGGCTCAGGTTGCTCTGTGAATGTTATTGGCTTCATCCATGTGCTAGCAGGTTGATTGTAGTCTGGAATTGCCGGCTTGCCTTCGGCAAATGTCTTGGGGAGAAAGTAAGGCAGGCTGTCGTGGGAATTGAGGCTGGCGTCGTAGAGAAACCCGTGTTCTTCCAGGAGGCGCACTGTTGACTCCCTGATCTCGTACAGGGGAGCTCGATACCCAACAGGCCTCTTACCCTGACAAAGCGGAGTGGCTAGTTCGATGCACTTCACAAGTATGTCTCTCTCTTGTTGCTCAGACAAGGAGTATGCGCTCTCGTGGCTGTACCCATGAAGGCCAATCTCTGCGCCGCTCGCAACGATGGCTTGGGTCTGTTGGGGGTAGCTTTCCATGGAATGGCCTGGAATGAACCAGGAAACATGTTGCGAGATTCCATGCTTCCTGAACACCCTCAATAACCTATCAACGCCGACGTTGCCACCGAAGTGGGCAGCTGAATAGTCAGCGAGTTTATTCTCTGGCACATGGCCCGTTCCTATCAGCCCCGAGACCGCGTCAAAGTCAACAGAGAGACAAATCCTCAACCTGCGGCGCTTTTCAGGAAGACTTGTAGCGCTTGTCAAGGTCACTCGACCCGCCAGGGAATCGTTGGTGGCCTTGGCGTGAAGCTCATCCTGTGTCTCTCTCCATAGTAAGCGACCCTCCTGGCCTCCATCTACAGATATGCACTGGCCTGTGATATGGCCTGCAGCTCTATGAGATGCCAAAAATGCCATACAACGAGCTGCATCACTGGGCTCTGCAATCTTGCGGAGAGAGACTGTCGCTTCTGCCTCTGCCCATCTCTCCTTTGGGTCATCTAGTCGGTCCCCTATCAATGGGGTGTTGATCCATCCAGGCGCAACAGCGTTGATACGACCTTTTGAATTGAGCTTCACGATCTCGTTCTTGACCGTTTTTACGAGTCCGTATTGAAGACCTGCTTTGCCCGATGCATATTCAGCATGACCAGCCTGACCAAAAACGCCTGTTTCGGAGCCAGTGAGTACAATAGCGACATTGTCTAGCTCCTGGCCCGATGCGTCTTGAGCTTGCTTAACCGAGCGAAGAAAGTGTTTGATGGTCAGGAAAGTTCCTCGGACATTGACAGAGTAGACTGCATCCCATCTCTCTGTGTCAATATCCCAGATCGCTGGATGACTACTCTCGTCTGTGATGCCAGCGTTCGCAATGAGGATCTGGACTGGGCCAAACTTGGTGCTGGCTTCTACAAAAGCCTGCGCAATGGACGATTCGTCTCTCAAATCGCCCAAAACGTGCTGAAGTCTCGTCTTCTGCTCCTCTGAAATTGATATCGCCTCGACGTTCAACGGGTTCCTATCAAAAGAGGTGACCCGGCACCCGTTGGCTGGTCGCATATTATTAGCCAGAGTGAATGAACCTGGGGCATACTGATTCACGACTAACCCAGAAATTCGTTGATGACAGCCCGACCGACTCCCCCAGAGGCGCCCGTCACAAACACATGGCAGCCTTCTAGGCCGAGAAACGTTGGGGATGAGACCTGGAGAGACATATCAGAGGGTGCGTGGTATTGCTCATGAGGGAACAGTCGGTTTGGCTTTCAAGTGACTGGCCAAGTTTCCTTAAATGAAGTACCTGAGACAACGTAGAAATGCCAGAGAGGGGAGCAAGCCTTTGCTTTGAAAGAGGGATAAACCTGATTAGCTACGTCAATGGTCCTCTCCATCCACTGCCCTTTCTCGCTGGGGCATGATTAAGTTTAGAAGCATGTTGCCTAATAAGGAAAGACGGGGCGGCTAAGATCTACCCTCGGGGTTGTTGTATCAATCAACAACTATCACTGAACTTCCCCGCGTCGGCCGCATATCAGGCGTCTTTTTTTCACTGGGAAGCCTGGTCCAATGCGTTGATAACAGATAAGGCCAATCCTATACAAGTAGTTCCTGGCTAGGTTTCGCTTCAGAATCTCGGCAATACAGAGATCAGGGACCTAGACCTGGTCTGTTCTGAGCTCGCTTATCTTTGTTATTGTATCCCTTGCTTGCTATTTCGGGAGCTGTACATGGGCTTGGTGATAATGTTATAGATAAGGCTGTTGTTTTTTTTTAAATAGACCTCTACCTTTCCTTAAGACGTCTGGGAACAAACTCTACCTATAGTATTTGCAGTAGTAACTTATTATTCCTCGTTGGGTCTTTCTCAATAAACATCATTACTACAATGAATGAAAACAAGTCTCCCGCAACGAAACACCAAGACAGCACGCCTGTTTCTGAGAGCAATGATTATTGCTCCGTCGCTGCAGAGCATTCTCAGGAGGTGCCTGTAAACTTTGGTCTACTCTCTCTCACAGGTCTAGGCATTGTCATTGGAGTTGTTTGGCCTGCTTCTGGTGGTTCAATCCAAGTTGCAATATTCAATGGTGGATCTCCAGGTACGTGGCATGTTACCTCGTGATAGACTCGGAGTATCTGATCTGGCTGTAGGTGTTCTATACGAGTTCATCGTCGTGTCCTTGTTCTACTTTTTCGTCGCTGCATCCCTCGCCGAGCTTGCCAGTGCCATGCCCTCCAGCGCAGGCGTATACTACTGGGCCTCTGTAACCCCCGGGAGACGAGCTGGTCGGGTCATTGGCTTTTTTGCCGGCTGGTGGAACTACCTAGCCTGGATCTGCGGTGCTGCAAGTATGGCCGCGATATGGAGCAACAGCATCCTCCAGATCTATGCGTTGAAACATCCCGACTACACTGTGAAGGAGGTTCACGTCTTTGTGGTATATGTGCTTACCACATGGCTCGCCTGCTTCTCAGTCTGTTTCGCTGGCCGGGCAATGCCTCTTCTCAACCAATTCGGCATCTATTGGCTCCTGATCGGCCTCGTAATCACCATCGCGGTTCTTGCAGCTGTACCTACCCGAAGCGGTGGAAGCGGTCATGCAACGTCGTCTTTTGTATGGCTTGAGTGGCAAGCAGACCTCGGATACCCTAATATCATCGTATTCCTCGGCGGCATGCTAAATGGTGCTTACAGTGTTGGTTGCCCAGCAGCTGTAAGTCATCTGGCTGAGGAAATACCGCGCCCGGAGAGAAATGTGCCTGTTGCCATAGGCCTTCAGGTTCTCACGGGCTTCATCACGGGCTTCTCGTATCTGATTGCTCTTATGTATTCCATTCACAGCTACGACAGGGTCTTCGCGAGCCAATTCCCGCTTGCCGAGGTTTACCTTCAAGCTACTGGATCAGCCGATGGGACGATCTGCCTTCTCATTCTTATGCAGATATGCATCGGGCTGAGCATCATCGGTCTTTACATCACGAGTGGACGAACCTTGTGGGCGTTGAGCCGGGACGGAGCAGTACCATGGCCATCGGTCTTTTCAAACTTCAGCTTCAAGTTCGACGCACCCATCAATGCAACTATGGCCTCGGCGCTACTCGCCACCTTGGTCGGATGCATTTATGTGGGAAGCAAAACTGCGTTTAACGCGATTATTGGTTCTTTTGTACTTATGTCTTCATCGGCATACATCGCAGCGATCCTACCTCACCTTCTTGCGGGGCGAAGAAATGTCGTATATGGACCGATACAACTGGGTAAGAAGCTGGGTTTCGTGGTTAATGCGATCGCAAGCACCTATATGGTAATCGCTTTTGTTATCTACTGCTTGCCATTTTCGTTGCCCGTAGATGCTCAGAATATGAACTATGCCTGTCTAGTTTGGGGTGGCTCGACCTTGCTGCTCGGAATCTACTGGTTGTGGAAGGGGAGACACGGGTATACAGGACCTATTAGGGAGATAAATAACTAATATTGAGGTGTGAGGGTACTGAAAGTAAAACACATAATAGCAAATTCTTGTTTAAAGTTAGATCTTGGATCACCCGATTGACAAAGGTGTACAATTTGAAGGCACTCTTATACAACCCATGTCGATTGGGTTTTGGTCATGACAGGATGAGATCTGTGACCCAAAAGGCCTGTGGAACTTCTCTGTGACTGGCGTTGCCGGATGTTGTACTTGTTGTCTATAGAAAGGCCTCAATATTATTTTGACTGAGCTGAATCCCCCAGGTTCGGACCTTGAAGTTTCAAGGGTCAAGAACTTTCGCTATCCATCATAACTGTAACAATTGGCAATGAGATGAGCATCTCTGCTTCCATTGCCTTGTCTATGAGCGAGCTGCCGAGCAATGGCTCACTTCCTCTTTATCAAAATCAGGGCAACAGCCATCTTGGCTGCCAAAGCTGTCAAATCGATTGGCTCTCCGCTCTCCTCTATGACCTTGCGAACTTTATACATCAAGATCCGGACGTGATCTTCCTCAGTCCCCACGAGCATTGGATTCTCTTTCTGCCAGCGATTCACTGAACCGAATGTCCCCACCAATCTCTCTATCCTCTGGAGTTGTTTGTCCAAGGGCTCACCAGCTCTTCCCAAGATGTTTTCCTTTCTGCCTGGATCAGGAATGAAGCCATCTTCAGCCGTGAGCACGTGGCGGGCAGACGATTCATGATGGTAAAGCGCAGAAGTACCAGGATCATCCCAAGGCATGGGCAGATCGACATAACCACTTTGAGTGAGATGGGTACCTGCGGCTGAATAAGGAGCTAGGGAGCCCAGAAATTCATCAAAGATGGATTGAAGTTTGGTGTTGTTGTTGAATGAGCCTAGGCGATGTCGATTAGCATGCTACAGGCGCCAGAGAGGAATGTCTACATACCTGATTGTCTGAAAACTGTCCATATCGCGATAGTTCCTCCTGGCTTCAACACTTTGGCTGCTGCCGCCCAGAATCTCGGCATATCGAACCAGTGGGCCTGGAGACTGTCAGTAAGAGACTCTTTGATCCAGGAAATGTATACATACAGCAGTCGCAGCTGTTATCATATCGACAGAAGAATGAGGAACACTATCGATCTTGTCGATGTCTTCTGCGGTGCTCAGCTTATAAAGAATTGGAGCGCCAGTGCGAGTCTTGCCACCAAGAGCAGTAGCTGTTCTGATCATACTCTCTCCCGGATCAACGCCATAAGCAACATCAAAGTGCGGCGCAAGCTTTTGAGTAGCAGTCCCCGGTCCACAACCGACATCCAATACACATCCAGTTTCTCCATTGGTAGATCTGTGATAGTTGAGAATGAAGTCGATAAGAGCGTCGGTGTATCCGAGTCGTCCCGCAACGTAGTCGGAAGCTTGGTCGGTAGTGTAGTTTCGAAAGGTGACATCTCGCGGTTCTAACATCTTCGACGCCATGGTTGATAGTGTTGTCAGATATGTCTGCTCTCGTGTGAAGACGTATAGTCAATTTCCAGCAAGGCGGGGAATGGTTTTATAAACCTTTCGGGCCCGGACATCGGGGCACATAGTAAGCACCGGTTCCGAGGAGATGACGTACCCAAAAAGGCGACACCGCTTCCAACGACATACCATTGACTCATTCTAGACGTCTCAGTTATGCATGTCAATAATTGAAGCCTGGATGAGCAGTTGCGCAGGTCAGATCATTATGCTAGCTACTAACTCGCTAGTTGTAGTTGTGATTGGGGCTTGTCACGCTTCATTACAACGTCGCATAGAGCTTTCGATGAGTTGATTCTACGCCATGTCAGGAGCATAGCAATTATCATGGGCATGGTATACGAAAATAGTACCTAGTATAAAAATAATGGGCAAGATTGGTATTGCTGCTGCCGCTAATAATTAAGCTACTGTGCCGCTAGTTAACGCTATTCAATTCTGTAACCAAATGTCGCTACAATCATCAATAGTCTCAAGCCATTTTCAGCTTTAGAACCAAAAAGAAATTAATTTCCCTCAGGAGACTGCACCGCCAAGAATAACAAGCATCTCATAAGAAGGCCATTTCCCAGTTCCGCTTCTGTCACAGGTTTTCTTCAGCTTCCTCCCTACCGTTGTCAACTTTTTGACGTCCGATCTTTACTTCACATTCGCCTTGTTTTCCGACCTTCATCATGGTCGCCATTCGCTCGTTTTTTATCCTTTCCGCAGCCGCTGGCATTGCGTCTGCTGGACCATGCAAACCTGAAAGCCATTCGAGCTCAATTGTGTCGGTGGCCAGCAGCACTGATTCCGCCAGCCACACTGCTTCGGCATCGGCTACCGTGATCGAGTCTACTACCACTCTGGCTGATACGACCGTGGAAACGAGCCTCACCGAGTCTGCTACAGAGACTGCTTCCAGCGCCACCTCTTTCATCACATCCACCGCCGAAACAACAACAACCGAGGCGGCCGCGAGCACGTCCTCAGCGGCACCGGTCAACAACTGTCTTTCCGAAACCGGCGAGTGTATCAACACAGCCCGTATCCAATGCGATGTTGTTCTGGATGGAATTACCCTTGCTGGGTTCTCTGATTCTATCCTCCAGTGCTCTCAGTTCTGTGCGGATGATGATGACTGCCGTGGTTTCTCACGCAGACGAGACAATGGTGCGTGCTTCAAGGCTCTCGTTGATCCCGACGACGTCACCCAATCTGAGCGAGAGGGATGGGACAGCGGTCAAATGAATACCTGCTTCAATTAGATGCTGCAGGAGCTGGAGTTATGGAACTTGCCTTGGGCATATCAAGTGTACAGCTTGTTGCTGCGAGTTCTTATGGCATTGCTGGAACCCTCGAGGGTTGAATGCAATCTAGTACATAATTGTAATCTTCTTGAACATTATTATTCTTATATGACTGTCGGGCTAAAATCTAAACACCTTGACATATTATTAACTCTCTCACCCTTTCTTATCAATGTCAGTGGAGAACTGGGTTTTTGGAACTATTATCTGGAAACCTCCTTCTACTAGGCTCAGATGACGTGAGAACAGCTATAGGCCTTGAGTCGGGTGTGCCCCGAAAGTCTTTATTTCTACCGTGCTGGATCGGAAAATACACTAGCGACCTGTCTCAAAAGATGGCAGATTGCTTAGTCCGACGGAGCACCAGACGCAATCGAGTTTCCCTAATCCGTCGTGACGTTGCACTCCTGAGTTTCACGCCCAAACGGTTCAATTTATAATAATAGGTGCCTATGTTTGTAAGGTGAACCTAACTCTTCAATTCTGCCACCAATTCTCAGACCTCCCGAATGCTCATGGTCATACGTTCATAATTAGCAGGTGTATCGCTGCTTCCAATCTGCCAAGTATGACCAAATGATCGAACAAGAAAGCCGTCTGCGAGGGGGTCTCGCTATGACATGTCACAACCGTCGCGGGTTTATTGACCTCCTCGTTTGTCACACTATAGTATCCACAAAGGAACCAGCCGAGGTCATTGACGAGTCTGCCTTGAGAATCGATGGAGTATTGTCGAACGGAGGGGTTGTCTTCGTCAGTGGCGGGGTCGAATACGACGACGGCGTTGTCGCGGCCGTAACTTTGGAGACTTCTGCCTGCCACGGCGTTTGAGCCTGAAGCAAACATCGTGAATGTGGGAATAGGTGCGGTTGAGGTTGTCTCGGCGGCTGAGGTTGCAGAAGTCTCAATGGTGATGGACGAATCGGCTGCTTCGGTGGAAGAAGCAGTTGTCTCGGCAGAAGACACAGAAGTCTCTACTGAGGACTCAACTACCGCGGAGGAAGTGGCTGATACATCTTCAGTGGTCGATGCAACAGAAGTGACCAATGAAGTCTCGGTGGCAGCACCTGGGGTTGCAGCAGAAGTTGTTGTGGCTGAAACCAATCTTATTTCAGCACTCAATCAAATTGATACCGTCATCAATAATACTCACGAGGCTTGCATGGGCTTGCAACAGCAGACCCAATAGCCAACAGGCCGTACGCCAGTCGCAAATGAATGGCAGATCGCATTGCCGCGGTGAAAGAGTGACTCAGGTGAATACAAGCGAATGAATGGGGAATGTAAAACTCACGGGTCTACTACATCCTTTTATTATCGCACACTCGGCAATTGGAAAGGGATATACAAAAATATCATCAGGCTGACAGACGCCACATCGATAGTGATGTTTCTAGTGCACGGTTAGCCCAAAGTTGACAGTTCAGCCAGACGGATTCAGCATACATATCCCCTGGGCGTTGAGAATACGGGTATTTGATTGGCTTCAATAGTAGCGTCTGTTGCTGTAATTTCTCGGCTTTAACAGAAGAAAGCTAGTGATGTGAACTTCCCTACATGTTTCTACACTGGCGGGTGCCATTCAATGTTTGCCAGTCGATGATGCCTTCGTTGACGTCTTCTCTCAGTCATGAGGCCAGAGCCCTCGGTAGTACTCAATGGGGCCGAAACACTAACCATATCGCCGTCCTAGAAGCTCACTCATTGACACGGGTATATAATGCCCGGCACTGGTCCAATGCCAATCCAGGTAGCTCAATTAACTCTGCTCCGGAATCTAACTCAGATTACTCATCGTCAATCACGATGCATATCCCAACCCTACTCTTTTACATCCTGGAATTAGCTTCCATTGCATCAGCGTTTCCCAGCCGAATCTCAAATGCAAACAAGCTATTTCCTCGCAATTTGATACAAAAACTAGATGGAAATGCCGATAAAGACAGTCTGCGGTACCAGCCAGCCCTCGACTTTGACAAGGACAGTTGCTACCACACTGCAGCTATCGATATCGATGGAAGAGTAAACGAGGGTCTCCCCAGATTTGGAAGTGTAAAACGCGACTGCCGTGACAAACTTCGTCTCGACAACGCAAACGTCTACACAAGGAAACGCTGCAACAACGGCTGGTGCGCATACATGTAAGTCACAGCCTTTCACCTCCGCGAGCTTATACTGATCGGATCAAGGTACGAGTACTACTTCGAGACGGATAGAACGGGTATGCCATGGAGCGGCCACGTACACGATTGGGAAAACGCAGTGGTCTTTGTCAAAAACAACACCATCCGACGCGTCGCAGTCTCAGCAAACGGAAGATACCATTCCACGAGCAAGCCCCTACTACAAGATGGCCATCCTTTGATCGTGTACCACAAGCTTTTTTTACGAACTCATTCTCTTCGATTAGCGAAGGATAAGGACCTTAAAAAGGTTAAGAATCATTACGGGGAGTGGGTTATTGCTGATCTGGTCGGCTGGGATGGGTATCCTAGTAAGGAGTTCAAGGAGAGCTTGTTGAATCATAAGTTTGGGAAGGCGAATTTTCATTTGAGGGATGGGCAGTTTGAGTGGAGTTTGGAGAAGGCAGCGAAGGATGGTGTTCCTGGGTTCGATTGCCTGAAGGATGGAGGGGATGAGTATAAAGACAAGGACAAAGATGAAGAAAAGAATAAACATGAAGAGAATGAGAAGGATGAAGGGAAAGACAAGGGCAAGGATGAAAAGAAGGGGAACGATGAAAACAAGGAGAAGGATAAAGACAAATAGTTTAGTTGCTGAGATGTTTATGTGCATATATTTGTGATAGCTTCTGACCCTACATCCCCGGTTGATGAATAGAGTTGATATTATCACACGAAATGATACCAATCCTGAGCGATTAATAAGTGTGTAATTATGTTGTAATTGGGAAAATTCCGACCTATGTTCAATGATGATGGCTCTAAGCATTTTGCGCAATCACCTGGTAAATATAGGCTTCATCTTTGTCAACGTGCTATTCAAGGATGATTGTATGTCAAGAGACATCAATGGAATAAGATACCAGGCTCGTTCCAATCATCTCTTGCATTTGCCACTTCCATCGATTTGATGATTTATGGCGAGACTCAATTAAACATACCACTTCAAGTCTTGGCTTGATCACGATTTCATCTTCATCGGTTCTCGCCGAGTCTCCCCCGCATCCCCACGCCACTTATCATTCGTGGAAACATAACCTTGCCCAATCTTAACACTAACCTAATCCCCATCTGGTAATCCGACCATCCCATCACGTTAGGCTTATAAGTGACTTTGTGACTTCGCATTACTATCTCTGGAAACACGTACAGTGACGGTAATGAGGGGAAGGTAGTCTTTTGCGTCACGTTCTGTATCAGCTGAGGATGTTATAAAAGAACGTTCCTCCTCAATACGCAACCCCTCTCTTCTGCTGATCACAACTCATGATATTGTTGGGTACTTGATTATAAACTTCCGCCATGTCAATGAAAGCAGTACGTTTCCACGGACAACAGGATGTCCGACTAGAAGACATACCCCTCCCTTCCATTGACTCAAACTCCGTCCGTATTGCTCCTAAATTCTGCGGTATCTGCGGTACAGATGTCCACGAGTATCTCGGTGGCAATAATCTCATACCCAAGCCTGGCACCCCGCACGGCATTACGGGGGAAACGTCACCCCTCACTCTTGGTCATGAGTTCAGTGGCATAGTCGAAGAAGTCGGGAGTAAAGTTACTCGCCTACAAAAAGGTGACCGTGTTTGCGTTCAGCCGATTATCTACGATAATGAATGCCGTTCATGCAAGCGCGGTCTTGTCAATTGTTGTGATAAGAATGGGTTTATTGGGTTGAGTGGTTGGGGAGGGGGTCTTTGTGAAACTACGGTTGTTCCGCAGGATGCTGTGAAGAAGTTGCCTGATAATGTTTCTCTTGAGGTTGGAGCGCTTGTTGAGCCGCTTGCTGTTGGATGGCATGCCATCAAGATATCGCCGTATCAAGAGGGTGATTCTGCGTTTGTTGTTGGCGGTGGACCAATTGGGCTTGCTGTTGTGCAAGCACTGATCGGCAGAGGGTGCAAAAACATTATTCTGAGTGAGGTCAGCTCCAAGCGACGAGAGTTTGCAAAGAAGTTTGGCGCTCATCATGTCTTTGACCCCACCAAAGACGACATCGTGGCCGAAGTCAAGAAATTGACCGGCGGTTTGGGCGCAGACGTCGGTTTTGACGCAGCTGGATCTCAGCATGCGATTGATGCAGCTTTCGATTGCCTCAAGGCTAGAGCTGTGCTCGTAAACATCGCTGTTTGGGAGAAGAGGGCCCAATTGAACATGAATCAGATCGTGTTCCGTGAGCGATCATACGTCGGATGGTACGTTCTTTCTCTGATCATTGAAGCAATTCTAACTGAGCTCAGCGCCACGTACGCTCTCGGTGACTTTGAAGAGGTCATCGAGGCGCTTTCGAATGGCAAGATTACGCCTCAAGGGATGATTACAAAGGTTATTAAGATGGATAAGGTTGTTGAGGAGGGGTTCCAAACGCTTATCAACGATAAGGATAACCATGTTAAAATTTTGGTTGATGTCAGTGCTGGTGTATGAAGAACGGAGATAGATGATTGTTTAAGTATGTAGATTAGTTGGTGAGGAGTTGAGTCTGAATTCTGGTACACGTTCTGTCTTAGCCCCAGCTGGGCCTGTCTATCATTCCACCATACAGGTCTATTCCGAGATCTCCAAGCATCCAGTCTATGTACTCATTTGGACTTGCAACACCAGGCATGTATACATTCGGGATAGCCTGATTGATTCCTGCAGCTGGCGTTAAAGTAGTATCTGTTAATACCGGTCCAGACCTTCCAGCAAGACAAAAGCCCGGATCCAGCTGTTGCATCTCCCGTACATAACGAGCCTTGACCATAAGTCTTTGAATCGGCCTCCACAGATTGCCCCTCTTACCACTCTCGTTCATATTCCAGCGATTACGAACCGTGTTGATAAACTCCCATGCTCGATCGCATTCCGTCGAAGCTGGACGAGAGCAGATCTCAGAGAGAACGAAGATGACCGCGTGCCACTGAATGTGAGTTTTAGAGTGCCACGTCCACTTTGAGATACTACTGTTTGTCAAGATAACGGTAGAGAGCCCAAGAATCTCCATCGAAGTTGCAAACAAGCGATCCCGAGCTGGCTCGCTCATTGCTGAACCGCAATCTTCCTTCTGCTTGCCGGGATAGTGCACAACAAGCCAGGTCCGTGCAATGATTAGACGCGCGACCGTGGATGTGAACAACATGAAGGGTGCAGAGTCATCGCAATAGCGTAGATACCGCTCTTCCAATCGATCCTTAAGATCTTGAACCACTGCTTCACGAACCTCTAGCGTTGCACCTGTTGTAGAGTTCGGCGTTGGAGACGCATATCCCACTCTCCAACCAGCTCTCATCACCTCGCAACGGATGAGACAGAAGGTCATTTCGGTATGTCCTGCATGTTCTATAGGGGCTTCCATCATATGGGGAGTGATATCGTTATCATTGATGTTGAGAGGAAGCTTTGTGTCAAACATGTCCCCGCAAACTATAGGTTCATAGCCGTGAAACTCAGAGGAGCGCATGTCTAGTAGACATATATGCCACCATAGCCGTCGCCGTAGTTCGGTATCGAATGGCTTGAGACCAAAGGTTGTTCCGTCGCGGTGTAGACCCATAGATTGGGCGATGTGAAAGATGAGTGAAGTCAAGGACCATGTCGTTCTGGAATCATCTTCGTTTCGTAACCCTGATAGGAATAGAACAGCAGCTTGTAGGAGAATGAGACTTTGCGTGTTCAACAAGTTCGCGCGGGCCATAGCTTGCTCAACTGCAAAGCGGAACTTGTCAAGCGAGCCAGAACGTGGCTCCCCAAGGACACCCAAGCACTGATCCTCATTCATGCTGATAACTGCCGAGTAGTAGATAGCAAACAGCAAAGCCTCCGTATTTCTATCGAGTGTGTCGAGTGAGACGATGGAATCCCAAAACCACTGCTCCGTGGTAGGCATATGAAAGATGTGTACCAGTGGGAGAACATTCTCGATGAAGAGATTCAGGAGAGTCACAGATAGGTGCGTAGGTGGGTGATAGGGAAGAAGAGAATGGCAGAGAGATCGAAACCCCAGAACTGAAGCGCTTGTTCCAAGAGGTGAGGCCACTTCAGGCAGGGGCTTAGATACATCAATAGGGTTGCTGACGTCGTCTTCAGACAGAGGGTCGTGTAGCATGTCGCGTAGTTCTTCGATCTGAAGGACAAGCAAAGTTAGCAACTGGAGTAGATGAATCGCGTCACTGGGGTACTAACTTCATTCCCAAGATTGGCCCACAAGATGTTACTGACGTAGTAGCTCTTGCTATCATCTATCATCAGGCGACCCAGTTGCTGGTCGATAGAAGCATCTGGACTTGAACGATCCGACTTGTGAGAGTGTTCGGTAGCAGCCCCTTGGGAAGGTCCATTGTCGACTTTGCGTATATTATCAATGGACCTTGAAGTATTGGTTGTGCCATCGACTTGACTGGTAAGCTGCTTGATGATGTTTTCCAGTTTTTGAAGCCGATCGACAAGACGCGTATCTAGCGTTCGAGCAGACCGTTTAGCAGCTCTACCACGACCAGCGGGATATGAGCATCCGATATTCGCGCGGAGGCAGTTGGAGCAAGGCTTCTGACGATCGCATTTGACTTTTCGCTGGCGGCAAAAGTCGCAGCTGCGTAAAGGAAGTGGATCAGAGGGAGTAGATGGAGTGATAACGGGGGAATCTGAGGTAGAACTCATTTTCACAGTTTCAGCCGATGATGAAGCTTCCGGAACCCTCGGAGGGGTCTAGATGATATTGAAGAGTCGATAAAATTGACCATGGATTGTTGAGGGAATGAGGATGTCAAGGCTGAGGCGATGAACCAACACGCCAGTCCTGGAATCAGTGACCCTTGCCCATCTTATCTTAGTGGCACACCAACGGAGATAGCGCGGACCAGGACGGAGACGGGTAAGCTTATGCGTCTCCGACTCACACTCACATGTCAAATTTGGTCCAATCAGCTAGTAGGTGTACCTTCTCACAGCTTTCGGGCTTCAGAAATTATATCGCGGTCCGAAGTCATCGGGCTCGGCTTGGAAATACCGATCAACACGATCGATGAAGGGACTGTTGGTTGGATCATGTTCAGTATAGGCATGCACTCGGCGATCCGGGCGACGGATAAGCATAAGGCGGCGACAGATTGCCAAATCATTGCCTGGCCAAGTAAGAGGGTGATCAAATAAAATGCAGGAGTAGCGCAGCTAATTCTGAATGCTTTCACAATAACGGCGCATATACTGCAAGATCAATTCTAATCATGAGCGATCAAGTTACCATAACACCCGAAATGGCCTCCGACAGGGAAGACCAGAAGCCTGGGATAAATGATCAATACCAAGACCATCTGGTAACCTTCGACGGTCCAGATGATCCCTATAACCCCATTAACTGGCCATTCCGCAAGAAGTTCATCACCACCATCTCCTACGGTCTCACAACTTGCTGGATCACATTAGCCTCTGCAATCTTCGCCGCTGCTATTGAACCGGTTTCTACCGAGTTCAAGGTCAACACTGAGACATCCGCTGCAGCAACGAGTTTGCTTGTGTTCGGATTCGGTCTTGGGCCTTTGGTCTGGGGACCGCTCAGTGAGCTCTATGGTCGGAAATGGCTTATCCTCATCGTGGGTTTGTGCTCCAATGCTCAGAAGCAATGACTAACTGAAACAGCCGTATTTTATCGCCGCCGTCTTCTCATTCGGCACAGCCACCGCAAAGGATATCCAAACCGTCCTCATCACGCGCTTCTTCTCGGGTCTCTTTGGCAGCGCGCCCGTTACGATTACTGGAGGTGTTATGGCAGATATCTGGGCTCCTCATCAACTTGGTAATGCCATCGTGGCTTATGGAGTCACTATTGTTGGAGGTCCGACATTGGGTCCTATAATAGGCGGAGCACTGTGTTCGAGTCACCTGGGCTGGCGCTGGACTGAGTACCTGACTGGCATTGTGATGATGGCTCAGCTTGCAGTTGATCTTTTGGTGATTGATGAAAGCTATGCACCTATTTTGTTGGCGAGGAAAGCTCATAAGCTGAGACTTCATACGCAAGACTGGGCATTACATGCTAAGGCAGGTCGGGCATTGCCGTGAATCTGTCAGAGCTAACTGTACAACAGCACGAAGAATGGGACGTGTCATTCAAAGAGCTATATCAGAAATACTTCATCCGACCATTTCAGATGATGGCAACACCCATCTGTTTTCTTATGTCGCTATACGCCTCATTTGTCTATGGTAAGCTCCCTGACATAGTGCTTGATCACATCTAATTGGATGCAGGCATCCTATACGCAAACCTCGAAAGTTTCTCCATAGAGTATCAAGAAGTGCGTCATTGGGGACCAGTGGTTGGTACACTACCCTTCATCGCACTTCTAATCGGTATCCTATTTGCAGCAGCGGTCAATATCTACAACAACAAATACTACCGTAGGAAGCTTATGGAGAATGGATACAGGGCCGTCCCAGAAGCTAGGTTGCCTCCGATGATGCTTGGGGGTATCGTCTTTACAGCTGGACAGTTCTTGTTTGCATGTAGGCTACCTTAGCCGCTCCCAAATCCCGAGACTGACCATTCCAGGGACCTCATCCCCAGACATGAACTACTGGCCATCTATCATCGGCATTGCGTTGACTGGTCTTGGCTTCACAACCATCTTCCAAGCTGCACTAGGCTATCTCATCGATACATTCACTCGCTACAGCGCAAGTGCAGTTGCAGCCAATACCTTTATGCGGTCCATGTTCTCTGGTGCATTTCCTTTGTTCATCATTCCCATGTATCACAAGCTTGGAGTGGACTGGGGAACAACCGTTTTTGGTTGCATTGCTGCTGTGTTGGTCCCTGTTCCCTATCTGTTCTTTGTTTGGGGCAAAAGGATCCGAGGTAAGGGCAAGTGGAGCAAGGACAGCGTTTAGCTGCACCATGGGTTTGTCTTGTCTTACGAGTCTGATCTTGTATATGAGTTTGTAAAACTCAATCACTGTGTATATCATAGCCGTGAAAGGTTGATGTCCGCTGGCGTGTCAACTGGGAAATTAGAATGTGTAATCGGGAGAACTTTAATGCACTGTATGAAAAGGATTAATAACATGCACTGCACTTCATTTGAAGCCTTTTAATAATTCCTTTGTTTATCATCTCTTTGGGCATCAGTCTAATCCAGTGTTCACATATAGTTGTTATTCCTTCAAGCTTTGTTCACCACTCTGTCCGTGCTGTTCACGATTTTCCGCTGAAGGTTCTGCTCCTGATGTTGAACACGGCATGAACTCAAGATATCTTGAGCAGACCTTTAATGAGCGATATAGGTTACAATTGCATAAGAATCTGGACTTGGCCGCCAAGCGGAGCTTAGCAGAAGTACCACCAGCCAGCTCCAATACCGAGGGTTCCATCACTAACATTACCAGCTCGAACTTCGAATAGTTTCAACATAGCATCTTTATCGCCATAAAACTTAACGATGAACGGCCATACCAAGGCACTTCACTAGGCAGAAATTCGAGATCGACTCCAAGCTCTAGACTATGAAGTTCATGCTCTCAAGTTGAACAGCGGACATTTAGCCCGCAAGTTTGGCTTAACCGACACCTGTGAATGTGATGCAAAGTCTTTCTTATCAGTCTCAGAGTCGTTAGAGGAGGGGTAAATCCTAGAGTTTCCTTATATCGAGTATCATCCTTTGTCCCGCAAACAGGCAGAGATACAACGACGAACCAAAGCTTTAGAGAATGGAATTCGTATCACGAAGTGGAATCTTGGGCTCCCGGACAACAGGTCCATCTCTGCTGACGATGCTGACCCAGGTTCTTCAATGTTTATCGATACAGTTGAGCGCTCTGTCTCAAGTCGCGCGCCTGACCTCGATGTGATGATCAGTCCTGCTCCGACTGCAGATACTTACTGTTTGGCCCCTGAGTTTGAAGCATTGCTAGATGAGCTTCAAAATTCTGGAAGGATCATAAAGCGTACGAAATTTTATCATATCAGTACGGCTGCAGACCCGAAGCAGCAAAGAGATAACGAAATCATCATGGCGCGCCATTTCAAACAGTACGAGGATCCCGATTTATCTGGCACTATCCGAGAACTCGACCCCAAGTTGCATGCTTGCAGAATCAGGGCCAATCCGCACCCCTATCTGTCAATCAAACATTCCATTCTCACCGATCTTATTCTTGATGCTAACTGTAACATAAGGAACAACGTCTGCAGTTTCTTTCTTCGCCGCGAGTACAAGGAAAGATACAAATACAACTTCAACGAGCTCGAAGCTGATAACTTCCACGACTGGCACTGGCTGCCTCTCCTTAGGCAAGGGGACACTCTAGCCGGTGCCATAGAGGTCCTTTGCATAAGTGACCAAAAGGTGCGCGGTATGATTCACAACGTCAAAGATCCCATCTTTGAAGATCGCGCTGCACTGTGGCCCTCCATCGTCTTTGAGCGTCTGAAGCCTGAATTTCGTGAGATTGAAAGCGCTGGTTTCCGCATCTTGGCATGGCGATCATGCAATGTGGATGGGGTTGTGCCCTTACGGTTGGATCGACATGGCTTCTGGATTTCTGGCGTACCCGTCCATAAACAACGCTAGAGATGCCTCCCTTCCTTTCAACTTTTAACTGCAAGGATGCACTGCTCTATGTGTTCTGTTCCTCGACTTGGCTTGGACTTTAGACAAGTAACAATTTCAAATTCTATCGGATTTTCCTTGTATGCTCCTTCTTCACCATGATTTCCATATCGTTCTTGAGCAAATAGATATTAGTCAGAAAGTTCTAGAGATCAATCATTTGATATGTAATGGCCTTATATTATGATTCCCTATAAAATTTGAGTTTATCCTTGATACCTTTCCTAGCGAATGGTCTGACCAAGTGAGACAGTAATGCCGATGCCATGTCTGAAGGATATTCATATAAACATACGTACGTAGTACAGGCATAGGTATTAACAATATTGATGATACAAAAAGCAAAAAAAGACTTGTTGATATTAGTGCAAGTGTACTCTTTAAGTTAACACTGATGCACTAACTGTAAATTGTAACTAGCTCACTGAAGCAATAACTCCATAGGTCTGGTGGAATCCAACTAACGAGCAGCCCGGACTTCGGACATCATCAAAGTCCGGATAAAAACTTCATCCAAGAAAAAGTCTTCTTTTGTCGCGCGGTGTAGAACAGTAGCTAAGATGCAGCTCTACAGTAGAAGATTAGCTAACAGCTTAAGTAGTTATCTAAATCACAGTGTACAGAAAGTGCTTTCATAAGAAATCCCATCTTGCTCACGACCTATAAAGGTAAAGAGCTGAAATATCTGCTTCAGAACTCGCCAGTCACCTCTCTACTCTTAAACTCTCTCTCGGTATTCATTTCAACTCTAAGTACCTATATCATGACTTCCCCAAATACTTCAACTCAACCCTCAGTCGTTGGCGACATAATTCACTGCGACAATCTGAAATGGCTCCCTCTCGCCCCCAAGATCTGGATCAGACTCATCAAACTTACACCCGAAACCGGCTCTTACACAGTCATGATCAGAGCTGAGCCAGGAGGTGTTCTTCCTCGGCATCGGCATGTCAAGAGCGCTGAGATTTACATCTTGAAGGGAAACGGGGATCATCCGCAGGCTGGACACTTTGAGAAGGGAGATTATGTCACGGAGCATGAGGGCGCACGACATGATCCGCTTGTATTTGAGGTTGAGACGGAAATGTTGATGATTAGTGAGGGAGCTTCGGTGTTTGTGGATGATGATGGGAATGATCTCTATGCGATGGATATTCCGATGCTCCAGAATCTTGCAGCTTCTATGGCCTGATCGTTTACAGACTTTGATCCAGACTTCTGCTCTCACTGAACCAGAATCTGACATTGGCCTTTATGGTTGTCGTTCATTGTTGTCCATGGTTATTGTCATTAGCATATTTAGGATCAGTAGGAAAATGTTAATAATACTCTATACGCAGTCACGATCGGGGTGACAGTATCTAACTTTGTGATAGTCTTGGTAGCCTTGGCGGCTTTCGGGTGAAGTAATGCATTGTCGTCTTGACACCATTAGGTGCCAATACATGGAGCGATCTACGTTTGTGTGATACAACTCTTCATATTGGAAGTTGCAAGAATCTCACGGCCAAAATCTTCAAATATGGGCCAATGAAGATAATTAGCTGATCTGTTACAAACGAAACGTTGACACAATTTTGCGGGAAAAGATCAGGACACTGATTTATCAGGTTGGCAAGTTAGATTAACTTTCTCTCAGCAAGAGCTATAGGAAGGCAACAACAATGAACATACCCAGATATTCCTACAGGGCACTTCAAAACTTTTGCCTATTGTTTACAAAAGCATTACATATTCTTGATAAGCCTTGAGGAGCGGCTAAGACACAACGGATATACGGATATAGATGAATTTGCTGTTAGTGTCGGATACGCCCTCCGCTCGGTCTTTCACAAATATCCGACGACGTCCGGTCTCCAGTTTAAATACGAATAATGACTCGTATTATTGGTTTCCCTAGAGATTCAAAATCCGCAGCGACGTCTGTATCCTTGTGCATAGGCGTAGCCAAACTTCAGTCGGACAAAGCAGCTCCAAATGGCACGCCAAGCACTAACTCCGCAGCCTATAACAGGAAAGGTCAGATCATGAACGGAATTTCCTATGGATGAAACAAATGTATAAAATTAAGCTTAGCTCTTTCTCGTTGAATCTATCCTAGTATATATAAGTTCTCTTATCTCGAAACATGGTGCACGTCGTTGCTGTGGCCGGCGGTCAAGGGGATGTCGGCAGAACGATTGTCGAGGTTCTCAGCCAGAATCCGCATAACCAGGTTTTAGTGCTGTCTCGCAAGGTAAAAGAGAAATTGTTATCGAAAGGCCTTCACTAACATCATCAAGAAGCTCGATGACGGGTCTACGGTTTATGTAGATTACACCGACGTGTCTCACATTCGTGATTCGCTTGACAAAAACAACGTTGAAGTTGTTATCTCATGTCTGAACGTCATCAGTCCGGAAGCTAGTCAAGCAGAAGTCAACTTGGCTCGAGCCTGTGACTCTTGCAGTACCACTCGCAGGTTTATCGCTAGCCAATGGTCCATAAAAACACCTCAGGGATGAGATAAGCTATCGTCGTCACTTAGTTCATCTTGGCTAAATATCTTTACTAGATCACCCCTACCCGACTTCTCAGCTGCTACTCTCGCCGTGCTTTCGGAAACAAAGCTTGAGTACACCGTCGTCTCCAACAGGCATTTCTCAGATTACTATGGATATCCGAAAGTCAAGACTTATCTTAGACATGCTGATTTTCTCGTCGACATAGCCAACAAAACGGCGGCTATTCCAGGTTCTGGCAAAGACAAGGTTGCTTTCACGTACAGCTTCGACGTTGCACGTTTTGTGGACGCTTTGATAAGCACGGAGGAGAAATGGCCAACGCAAAGTGCCATTATCGGTGAGAAGATCACGGTTAACGAGATTGTTGCCATTGTTGAAGAGGCGAGGTGAATCAAGAATTTCAACTGTTATTTCTCAGCTAACCTATGCAGGTGAACGATTCTTTGTGGTCTATGACAATGTCGACAAGTTGAAATCTCTGCAGGTGACGGAACTTCCGTCACATATGGAGGCATACAAATTGTTTCCCAAGCCGATGTTGCAGACTTTGTTCTCTGTTATAGGCTTGTGGATTACTGAAGGCCGATTTGATTTGGCTTATGAAGGATCACTCAATCAGATGTTTCCCCATATTGAGTTGACATCTGTGAAGGAACTAATTGATCGGGCATGGAAGGCTTAGCAGGCTTACTGTGTAGACCCTAATGTGCCATTTAAATGCTTCGAAATACTCTTAAGAATCCGACGAAATCTAACAGTGTCTCACCTTGATGGGTGTAGTTTCGTTACGTGTTTGTATTATTGTGACTATTGCATTACTATAAGCATCTCCCCCAAGTCTTCCTCGAATCGGGAGACTCTAGAGGATGACGAAAACATGTTTCCAACCGTTAGAAGCTTTTAGACAGCTGAAGCTCAATGAGCACCGGTGGGTTTAACTCGTCAATGATCAATCTGTGAGTTTCACCCTATATACATATGGGTATTGCTAGGATCATCAATCTCGAAGGTATATGGGAAACCTAAACGGCCGAAGGTGTAAGAGGTCGGATGAATTGGGTTATGATCATTTGTCTAAATAGTTGTCAAAAGGTATGATTGCCATGAGTGGTCCGCTTAGCTACTAGTCAGCCAAGCTACCTTAAAATATAAGGCGACTGGCACCTCCTCCTTTTACCATAGAAATCAAAGCTCTTTAAACCCTCTCTTATGTGCCCCTCTGCTGCGCGTGCCACAATAGTGAGCTGGATGTGTTATTTGCAGTTGAGACCTGTGGCTAAGAGCTTATAATCGCCACACAGAACTTAATGTGGGGCGGAGGCCCCCAAATAGCGCAGGTAGCTAATAATAACTTCATACAAACATACGGGAAACTGCCACGAACGCCTCATCTAGTTAAGCTGTCAATATAGTGACTTTCTGTCACAGTTGAGTGTTTAGATAGATGCATTGGCTACGGAAGCTGGATATGGCCCACTTAGCTACTTGGAGCAATTGATTACATGTAGACGAGAAGCTTATATGGCGAGAAGAGGGCAGACTTTACTCTTCTGCGGATGTCCCGATTGCTGTGATCCCAAACGCCACTAGTCCGAAAGTCTTCAAAGGCCAGGTCACGAATCGTCTAGGCTTTCACTAACATATACAAAGGGCTGGTATTGAAAATAACAGCGAAGTCAAAACACCTTTCCGTTGTTAGTGCCGCCTCAAAACACCTTTCAGGATAATAAACTCTCCTGTATGAAATAATCATGTAACACCTCGCCTTCCTCCTTTGTCCTTCATAAACTGGACGACTTGCTCGCTACCTCCCTCCACTGCGTCATCAAGCGGAGTTCTTCCTTCGTTATCCTGACAATTGATATCCGCTCCTTTCTCAATCAGTATGGCGGCTTTCTCGCGAGACTCAGTTCCCAAAACTGCAAGATGCAATGGCGTCTTGCCCAAGTGATCGCAGGCGTTGATGTTCAAACGTGGCTGGTTGGTAAATATTGATAGTTTGTCCGGGTTACAAAATCTTAGCATTAGATGCAAAGGTGTGTGACCATAAATGTCACTGCTATCAAAGTCAGCCCCATAGCTGGCAAGTAGCTGAAGCATATCGCCGGTAGAAGGGGTGAATATTGCATAATTTGCAAAGTAGTGGAGGCACGTTCGGCCTTCTGTAGTACGAGCATCAACCCTTGCTCCATTGCCCAGAAGGACTCGAACAACCTCATATGGTGTCTTTCTACCCGTGATTGCTTTATGGAGGCAGGTCTCGTCAGCTTTATTTCGAGCATTCACGTCAGCCCCGCTTCTAATAAGAAACTCGATCTCATCGACGGACGCCCATCTCACAGCCCTGAAGAGAGCTGTTTCGCCTATAGGATCTCTGCCGTTGATATCTGCTCCATGGGCAAGTAGTATTTCCATTGTCGTCTTGGACCCTTTTTTTCCTGCGGCAAGGTCAAGTGGTGTTCTCTTGTAACCGCCTGTTTTCGTTTCGACACTTGCTCCTCTCTCCAGCAAGACTTTCACCACTGCCTCATGACAGTTGCGAGCAGCTAGGCATAGTATGTGCTGATCTCTTACGCCATAGGTGTTAGGATCAGCCCCGGCGTTGAGCAGAAACTCAACTGTTTCCGCGTGGCCGTTACTTGACGCTAGCGTGATGGGGCTTTCGTTCTTGTATCTTGCATGAATATCCACTCCGTGATCTATCAACCATCTTGCTATCGCAGTATGCCCATTCTTTGATGCAAGTATCAGTGGATCGCATCCTCCTCTATTTTCATCTATTCGTTGAGCCCCTCTTGCAGCGAGAAGCTCTACAATCTCCAACTGCCCATGTTCACAGGCCCAAGAAAAGGGGCTGCGAGCCGATCCTCCAGCGTCTACATTGGGTAGCAAACTTTTCGTAATTGCGATTCCATCGTGATCTTGTGAAGAGAATCCCAAGAGGGCAGCTACGCTGTCCTTGTGCCCTTTAGCCATGGCTGCTATGAGCGGGTAGACATATCTATCTTTGTCTGACGGGATGTCGATGTTGGCATCGTTCTTCAGCCTGGTTCGAATGAGTGACGAATACCCTCTGTCCGCAAGTATATATAGCAACGCGGCGGTTGGACTATACTTCCGGACCTTGTGCTTTTCAAACTTGTTGACTACACGTTTCCAGGCAGAAGTTCGAAAGTTCTCCAGAAATGATTGCTGTTCAGCAATATTTGCCGCAGAGTTAGCGTGATGTAGAACGGATTGACTAGCATATTTGAGAAAGGGGTATATCTCAATTCCCAACAGAAGCTCCTCGTTGTCAAGATAAGAGTCATCAATCTGTTGCTTTCTGGTGACAAGATCAAAGTAGGAATAGCAGCATAGCTTCAGCCTTTCATGGCCGACACTCTCCCAATCAGGTCCAAGTTCTGGCCATAGCTCGTGGAGTCCCTTATCCTTAATAAGAAAGTCACGAACAGACTCATGTATGAACTGAACTCTTGGTTGCTTGACTTTTGTGATCTCGGCCAAACCCTTAGATGAACTGATTACACAGCGGGCAAAGCAATCCTCAGAGTCCTCGGTGTCGACTTCTGGTATGTCAAAGTCTGCTAGTCCCTCCAAATATAGCCCTGACCATATTGCATGATAGTATTCCTCAGGTTTCAACGGTCGTTCGCTGAGTAGAATCCAAAGAAGAGATAGTTGGAGTTCTTCCATATTAGCGGTGTCTCTTTTCAGCAGGTCTTTAAACAGATCACTCAAGCCACTTGGAACCTGTTCAAGTCTTCTCTTCATAGCCAGGCGCCCACGGCAATTCTCTTTATTCAATATATCGACCACAAGGACAACCCAGAGGAATACTCCCGCTGCTTTTTCAAGCATTTTCACCTGGAGCTCTGTGAGGAGTGGCCTGTCTTTGATTCGAAGATGAGTCTTGATGTAACTCTCGAGGTCGCTGGCATGTCCTATTTGCTCCTCGAGGACAATACGAATGCCGAATTTTATGTCTATGTAGGGATAATGACGACTGGAGAAACAGATGTGAAGATTCACGTTGTTCTCTGTGCATTGCTCGGCCAAATCTTCGAAGTATTCGACTAGGTCCATAACTTGCTGCTCGTCGCATTCGTCAAGGGCATCGATGAAGCATCTAAAAGATCTTTGGCCAAGCTTGGCAACTGCGGCGCGGAGGAGGTCTTTCAGGACGTTGAAAGGAGGACAACCACTTTGGTTCCGAGGCAAAAGATCTGGATCATCCAAGACGCATTCTAGGTCTGGGAATCCCTGGAACAGTTGTAAAAGCAAGGATCTGTACATCCCTGAGACAGTCCTCTCTAATAGCTCACCCCGAGCATTAAAGAAGAACGAGGCTGTGAGGCTCTGATTTTTTCGGTCTTTCTTCTTCGACTCCGAATAGATGAACTTCATAATCGTAGACTTCCCAGCTCCAGGCTTTCCTCTGATCCACAGGAAACCATGATGCTGTGATACCTGTTGCGGGTCGATCCACAAAAGGTAATCAGGATGCTTGAGAAACCAGCGGCAGGTCTTTGAATGTGCGGCTTTGATGATCAACTTTCGAGCATCGATTTGTTCAAAGTTCAACGAATTCAGTATCTCCTCGTGGCGCCCTGGTACCACACAGTGGTCATCTGCGTGTTATTAGCAACGTAGATTGAGAAGATGGAAACCAGAAAGCACTTACTCTGCAGTTGAGTGTCACCAACACATGATGCTTGAGAGTCTCCTCTCCAGACCTCCAAGAATTCATAAGCATAGGCTGCTGCAGTCGCTGCAGCATATCGCTGCCACTCCTTTGCTTTGTGGGAGTCCGAATAGTCGCAGATACCACGAATAGGGAGACAAGGCATGATATCCATTAGCCCTGCGGCCTCCATCTCAAAGCAAAGCACGTCCAGCTGTCGGGCGATCTCATCACGAATAGTCGAGTCTTTCATCACTGTATTGGCCGAGCCAATACCGCCATAGTGAATGACCGGATCAGTGGATGATCGCATCTTTCTTGTCTCTAGCTTGGACGAGTCACATTTGTCACAAGATGAGACAGAATCCTCATGATGATATGATGATAGAAAGAGGCGATCTGGTTCGGTCGGAAGAGAATAAGCGGAATAATCGCTCATTTTATCTCTCAATATTGAGGGAACTCGGCTGCCTTTCAACTCGTGTAGAGATCGTAGATTTGAAATGACTGTGCGGATAGACGAGTCGGGTATCTTTGGAACTGCTGTCCGCTGGAAGCCCTCCTTACGTGTTTTCCCCATGTCATACTGCATGACTCGTACTCCAACAACAATGTCCCCAAGTCGTATATCAGCCTTGAGCGGCACTCCACCGCCAATGCCTACCATGAGGCCGATCTGAATATAAGGGAATGTTCTTTTGAGATTACTCAGGACACTCGCGGCATTGACCGTTCCGTATTGATCTGTCGGCAAGCAAGCTATCACCACATTGTGATTTTGGATGCTGCCCAACACGTAAGAATTCATATCATTGGCTTGTCCTGGACAGTCAACATGTTCCTCGTCGAGCATCGCGCGTGCTGCTGCCATCTCAATAGGCAGTGCGCAAATCCAGGCGACTGTATAAGGACCACGTATGGAGTCATTCTCAATGCGCTGGTAATCAGTTTTGCGTCGTTTCGCGTGGTAAGGCAGCGCCCCATCATCAGTATGAGACAGTCGGCGCCGCTCCATTTGGACGTGATTCACTCAGGCTAGAGTTGGTTATGTATCTTCTCGTAGCTGATAACTTGATTTACCGGGGGTATCAAGTGCTTTCTGAGGGAAAGATGCTTGCTTCTCATCGATGCAAGATGATGTTGAGGGGAAAATTCAAAATCAGGCTGTGCAAACCAACATGCATGAACTGTATGCCTGCGAGTCAGCCTCACCAAGGGCTTGATACAATCCCTGTTCATGTCACGTGCTCTCTCCAGTAAGAAATAAGAAATACTTAACAAAAATGGCAGACAGCTTAGAGATAGGACTCATCACTATGCAAGTTTAAAGCTATAAACTTGGCTCCTGTTTTCTATAGCTGCGGAGGATGCTGCTGAAGGCTTGTTCATTCGACCTAACATGTTGTTTTAAAATTAAGGTCAATATCTCTACTAAATTCTAGAATCGTAAGCCAATTTTGGTTAGTGTTAGATGTGTCATTGCAAGTCCGGGTAAATATTGCTTGGAATGCGAGGAAATGAAGGGCCCCAGTAAGCATCCCACTAGCAATTACGGATTTCTATTATCATACCATACTTTCTCTTACACGGCTTAGAGTTTGATTATATGTCTCATTTCTACATGTAAGCAAGCTTGGGACTTGAGTCTAGACTTTACATAATTACTGGAGCTCTGTCACTTTCCAATTAGCACCCTATCTCAGCCCTCATTCCTTGCTAAACCTCATCCTTCATAAATAGTCTTATATAGAGCAATACCCAGCGGACGAGACAGCGTAATTTAAGAAACAGCATCCCGCCCAATTTCATTGAAACTACAATACTATCAGGTCCTCCTTTCAGTAATTGATACTTCTTGCTTTATCACTATGCATCTATCCTCCCTTCTAGTCACAGCTCTTCTTGCTGCTGTGCCAAGCTTATGTGCGCCTACTCACAAGTGGGGCTGCAAGAGTCCTGTCGTTCGTAAAGAATGGTAAGTCGCAGCGTCGCCGCATAAAGCACTGATGAATTCGATATCTCTTGATGCCTTCGAGTTGCTGACAATATTGGCTTTGCTTTTAGGAGAACACTAAGCACCAAAGAGAGGCATGAGTATATCGATGCGGTCAAGTGTCTTGCATTGAAGCCTTCTCAGACTGGAAACATATACGCTGGTGCCAAGTCCCGCTTTGACGACTTTCAAGTCAGTCATATCGTGAATACTGACTTTATTCACTATGTCGTAAGTCTCTGAACTTCTTCATCTCCCTTCTTTCGAGCTAATTGGACATGCAGGGATTCTTTCAAGCGTCAGTACTACCAGCACTCACATCACTGCATCAGTAACTAATGAGAGAAATAGCTGGCACCGAATGTTCATCGCCCAATATGAGAAGGATCTTCGAAATCTGTGTTGCTACAGTGGAGCTCAACCATACTGGGGTATGTATAAGTCCCTGAATACTTATTAATACTAACCACCTGGGTTCAGACTGGACACTAGACTCAAAGTCTGTAGAGGATTTCGAAAACTCTCCCATTTTCGATGCAGGCACCGGCTTCGGAGATAACGGGGTTTTCATTGACACCAGTAGCTGGACAAACGTGACTAGACAGGTCTCTGGCAGGACAGGAGGAGGTATGTCATACCACCGTTCCAGGACTAAGAAGCGCTAACGTGAACGATAGGCTGCGTTACCGACGGCCCTTTTGCCAAGGGAGAATTCGAGGTTCATGCAGGACCAGGTATGTCAATATGAGTGAGAGCCTCTCAAACAATTGACTAATTGGATAAGATAACTCCACTGCTTACAACCCACGTTGTCTGGCCCGCGACATCGCTCCAGAGTATGGTGTCTCCAAGCTCAACCAAACCGTGGTTGACTGGACTTTTGAAGCTAAAGACTTCTTTGAGTTTGATCAGCGTGTCCAAGGTGGCGTTAGTGCCGAATCCCAAGGATACCACGGCGGCGGCCATCTCGCAATTGGAGGTAGTCTCGGTGAGATGGGTGACATGTACTCTTCGCCTGGCGATCCTATCTTTTGGTTACATCACACCAACGTTGATCGACTCTGGGATAAATGGCAGCGACTGGACTGGCCTGCTCGAAAGAGCGACATCAGCGGGCCTGATACTCAGTATGCGTATCCTTATGACTTCTTTGGGGACAAGGAGTATAAGAACATTACACTTGCTTATGTGATGGATTTTGGGAATTTGCTTCCTGGTAGGCGCTATGTCACTGTTGAGGAAGCTATGGATACGCAGGGAGAGCGACTGTGTTATACGTATCAGTCGTAGCGCAGTGTGGCTTCAGGACATGGTGGAATCCTTGTCGATTATATTGAAAACATTAACTATTACAGAATAAAATTAAAAGTACTGGTGAAGTGAACTCATGTAGACATCAAAACTTGTGTCATGGAGTCCCGTAGCATTAGATCGTGAAATAATAATCCCCGCCGACTTAGTTCTTCACTCCGCAAGCAACAGGGAAAGCCTGGCCCGAAAAGTCATGAGTCTTATCACCACTAGGAGTCTTAACAGAAAACTCAAACGCGGAAACAGCATTCTTGTTACCCATGACATTGCGAACAGGGTAGTGACGTCCAGCGATAAGATCAACATGACCGCACTGAGTAGGGTTGTTGAAGTGATATCCAGTAGCAGTGAGGACAAGAGCAGGAGCGTTAGGATCAGTCTCGCCAGTTCCGCACTCAAAGGCGTTCCCCTGGCCGAAGTAAAGAGTGTTGGCGTTATCAGCAGTAACGCAGAGCTCGTAGGTTCCAGTCTCAGGAGCCTTGTAGTAACCGGTGTAAACCAGTGTGAAGTTGTTGGCGTCAACCTTGATACCACCGGCGAGAGTGCGATGGTAGCCGACGTACCAAGCCTTTCCGGCGTAAGCGGAATCAGGGAAGATCTGAGGGTATCCAGCAAGATCCTGCATGTAATCTTGGGCGAAGTATGTCTCGCTTGTGACGGAGGAGTCGAGGGGGGTGAGGTCATCGGTGATGTAATATGAGGGAGGAACGGACATCTCGTCGTTTCCGTAGCCGCGCTCGAAGACGTTCTTGTAGTAGTCGACGTTGAAACCGGCGGCCTGGCATCCGGGCTCGATGGCGCAAGGAGTAGGAACGGGGACATCAGTGGTGGCGGATGTAGCGCTGGTCTCAATGGCGGCGGTAGTGGTGGGGACTTCGGTCTCGGTAGAAGTGATCTCGTTGGTGCTGAGCTGAACAGAGGTAGTCTCAACAGTGCTGGTTTCGCCGGCAGTGGTGGTGGGCTGAGGGACAGATCCAGTGCTTAAAAATTGTCAGTGGAGCTCTATCGATAGTGTCCAAGAATGTCATACCTGGTAGCACTCTTGATGACAACAGTGCTGGAGACGATGGAAGATGGAGGTTGAGGCTTGCAAGGGCCTGCTTGAGCGAGGCCGAGAACGCCACTAAGGGCAATGAGGGTCTGAGTAGCTCGCATTTTCAATGTTGATTGATTAAATAACTTTTGAATGAGTGTTGACGTGAGATAAACGAATGACGGTCACTGAAGAGTAAGTTAAAGAGCGAATGGTGCAAAAGAGTGCGATAAAATGAGAGAATGAGCGATACTAGAACCGATGACCAAACAAACAACAACGCTGGCACCCTACTACATTTATACGATCTCAATTCATCCTCTCTCTCTCACGCTTTGACTCCTATCATCTCATATAGCCTCTCTTATTCCGTTTCATTTCACCAACCCCTGCAACGGAGACCCATAGTCAGGTCAGATCCACCGATATCCCGCTGTTGTTCTAGCGCAGCCACCGTTTTCTCCGCCGCCACCACGAACGAATCTCCTCATTTGACCGTGATTCCTCGTATTATTTTTAAATTGAGAGGAACTTCTCTCCCACCGTTTCCGCGTGGAAGGGCTGAAACACCGGACTGATGGCGGCGGGAGGTGACATTTTGAACTCCACTGGGTTAGGTGTTTGCTCGATAAGCGGAACTGGCCCAGGAGGTCCTCGGGTTTAGCGAGCCGGATAGCGAGTTGGGAGCTGAGCGTTGCTGGGGGTATTAGTGGATTGGTTTTATAGGGTAGGGAAGTTCTCAAAATGGGCGCGTTGTTCCGTTCGCGTGCGATTGACTTACCTGTTGCGTACGTACGAGCTATATCCTTGCATAATTATAGCTCAGTTGATAACTGTTTATAAGGACAATGTCAACTTAGCAAACACAGAGGATCTCCACATACATTTCTTGAGCGATCCGATAACGATGTCTTGCTGTTGATGCCCCGCATCGCTCAGGTCATTCATCTCTCGGCGCGTCGGCGTAGTTACATTTTCCGGGCCGACAACGGTTGAATAGCAGAAACCCTCCTCGCTTGGGATGAAAGCTGGACCTTTAGACTGCGGTGGGAGATAATTGCCAAGATCTCTCTTCTTAGCACTTTGCCCACATCCCGTTCTCCCAATGGCAACAAAGGTCCCCTGTTTCGGATGAAGCGTGCCGACCCATGACGATTGAAGGGCTTGATCCACGACCAGGATGGGCGAAAAAGAACGAATGGTCAGGGACCGAAGGGCGAGTTTTCAACTGGCATATTCGCTTCCAGGGAGAGTAGCTGTCACGTCATTCAACATATAAATAGGTCTGTAGACTTATTTATTCAAGTGATCCCTGTCTCAACTCACGAAATATTATTATGTTTAGAAATATGCTGCAGCTATTATAATAAGTCGCAACTCGGCACTTGTTCGCCTTTGATTCCTTTGGCGGATGAAGGGTTCAATTGACCAAATTGACGCCTTTGATTCAGGGTAGCTCGCGACATCTGCGCACAGAACCAGGCCCATACTTTAAGCGAGCAGAGTCGAGCAATGGCGATGAAATCATAGCCAGAGACCCATTTATATTGTGGATTGTTGCTACTGATAAGATCGATAAGCAGTGTGGAAACGCGTCTTTCATCTGGCGAATCTTCACAACGCGCCTTGCAAAAAGGCGGCATGCGTAACAGCGGTGGTCTCGGAACGAATTAGTTCGTGATTGAGAACAAAAGCATGGAACGAGGGAGTATGATATAGTATTTTATCTCATTATTATAAACGCTAAGAAAACACTTTTGTGCCATTGCTTGGCTTGTACATGGACCTCAGGTCCTTTTTAATACCGCGATGGCTTACTGAGGGCGAAGCGCAGTTCTTTCAGAGTCACTCCATCGTCCTTGGATATACTGCCTCACAGTCTTGCCCCAAAACGCCGCCGGGACCGCCATAGCACCCATAACAAGCATCAGGACTAAGATGAGGATAGTTGGCTGTAGAATATGGTCATCTTCAACCCAAGGCGCTATGGCCGTGCCGATCCCGAAACCAAACATGTTTCCTGTGAAAAGCTGAACAGCGAGTGCTGCTGCCGCCCATCGTGGGAAAGCCTCGGTAATCCAAAGGGTGAAGGCGACATTGCCGGTGAGATAACTCATGATGCTGATGGCTGAGGTGATGTAGATCCAGGCTGAAGGCCACTTGTTGACAAGGGCGAGACCATTGAGAAGGACGCTTGTCAGGCCGGTAATGACAGGGATAGCAAATAATGCCAGATAGACTTCGGCGTGACGAATGCCACCTTTACGAAAGGTGTAGCATCGCGTAAACCAGGAAGCGAATGGTCCCGTTAGAGGGAACGCCAGAAGTGAGCCAGTGACGCCGGCGACTCCAAGCAAGCCATTGATACACCTTGTGTCTTTGACTCCGTACATTTCGATGAGGGCGGATGGTTGAGTAAGGTTTAGGAAGATAACACCACTGAGGATGATACCCGTGAGTAGAGAGACCCAAAAGGTTAGAGGGTTGAGAATACATAGGAACATTTGTCCATATGTCGCAAGCATCGACTCCCACTTTGTACCAGGTGCTCGCGACACCTTGAAGTGAGACCAGATTGACCACGAAGACGGTAAATCAGGTAGAGGCTTGCCATTCCTGATCAGCTCAATTTCATCCCAACCTCCATAGATCTGAACCTTTTCAGAGCTGCTCTGAACAAGAACTCGACCGTCCAGTGCGACGGGAGGTCGGAGGAAGTATGTCTCGGGGACACAGAAGAGAACCAAGAGAAAGGCGAGTATGCAAGGCGCAAGCCAAACCTTGTATACGCATCGCCAGCTTGATGTGAGGTCAGTTGTCAATGGAAGTATCAAGAGAGCGAGTTTGATGAGTGCTGAGCCTGTGCACCAGAATAGTGAGAGTGCACTGGGACGCTCATGAATGAATGTCGCGTCGATAAGAATGAGTATGAACTGTGATTGTTAGTACTCGTTAGCGATGGGGAGCTGCAGTCTTACCATTCCGGTCGCTGATCCGGCTGCGAGGGCTTGGAAGCTGAGAGCGACAATCAACTGAAGAAATGATCCAGCATAGCCAGCCCATAGAGTTGAAAGAGTCGTAACTACAGCTGCAGCAACAACAATAGGTCGTCGTCCAACTGCTGTTGATAGAGGAATGCCGATTAAGTATCCAACTCCAGTAAAGAGAGTCATCGCCGAGGATAAGGACTGTACTCCAAAAGGACCCATTGGCTGCACTCCAATTAGCATCTCACTCTTGAGAGCAAATCTTTTTGATTATTTACCTTGTCTTTGAACTCCTCCCCAATTGCCTGAAGCAACAACCCAGGTAAATTGAGTTCAAACGACGCAGCCATCGAAAAGCACTGCAGCGCCAAAAACGCCAAAAGCCTCTTCGACCAAGACCACGTAAGCGGATCACGATATGATTTACTCGGGATCGGCAGCTTCAGCACGCGCCCATTAGAAGAGACGAAGAAAACACTGCCAGCAGTGGGAAGAGATTCGCGCTTCGCAACGATAGAACTCGCACTCGACTCCATGACGAAAACCAAAACGCAAGTCGAACACAAAACAATGTATGCCAAGGCAAGTCAGCAAGAAAATGAGATCATGATCCCAGATGCAGATTGGGGAAAACTGGATCTTTATTAATGTGCTCAAACCCTGGAAAACTCTGTGATAAACAAACTTTCGGGTCGACGGAGGCTCTGTTTTATCTAGGCTTAAAGTGATTAGGTTCTATTGTAGATTGGGCTCATCGCAATTACTCTGCGGGCGTGTTTGAGCGTTAGACGCTAAGGCGCGGAGGGTATTTATTGGTGGTGTTTTTTATTTAAGTTTGGTGGAAACAAGGGGGGTTCCTGATTCCAAACCAGGGGACGAATGGGAAAGGTTCCTGGGTCAATTGCCGAAGAGTCTGAGTCGACACGAGCATGTCATGAATTAATAATTATTGGCTTAGAAAGGAAGGACGTTGGTTTCACAGCCGTTGGAGCTTGGGAGTGCCGAAGCCACAAAGTTAGTTATCTGGCTGAGTTCAACGGGCACTAAAGGGAAGGGAAGTCTATTAATATTCCGGTTGATACTTGTTAAGTTTGTATTTGACTTTGTAATTTCCATTAGTATGCGTCGTCATCATTTTCGCATCTCGATGAACCAATTCAATGGGTAGCAAAAAATGAAGCTGTTAGAAATTTGAGTTCTGCTGCAACGTGAGCATGTTTCCCCAGTGCCGATCATAGCCAAGATTTACATCAAGGTACGCTCAACAGCCGAGAGCGACGGATGAAACGGAGATTATCCGCTATATGTTTCGTATTGCGAACCAATCGGCAGTGGAAATGTGATTTATAATGTGGCTGCATTTCTCAAACTTCGGCATTGGGGGCTCACGAGACAGCGCGCTAGTGACATACAATATCATTTACGGCGACCCGAATACTCCGTAGTCCGACGGCTTTAAAAGTTATTCCATTGATTACTGACTTTACTGAACTACCGGTTGACGCGTCAACGTTGTGATAACCTCCTGCATATGCACGCTTCAAGCAGCCCTGGCCAAGTCCTCGCTATTGAGCCTGACACTCTCCTCTAAAGAAGTAAAACCAGTTTCACCCAGCGCTTGCAAAAGCTGAATGCACCGTAATCTCGGCTTTTCGATATCCGCCAAATATCGCATAGCCTGGAAGTCCTTGACAAAAGTTCTGTCGGGATTCTGCGCCCGTAGAATAGCTAGAATTTGGTCCAAGTTCCACGTTTCTGCCCAAGGGAAGATCCTTTCCCCTCGGACACCATCTAGCAAGGTCGCCGCAACGTGAAGCTTCGCATCATCCTGTACATCGATAAAATATTCTACGCGATAATGTCAGTCAGACTAGTTGAAGTCGGGGGATATTCGTGTTGACATACGAGGTGAGGCATTGGTTAGTAAATCTAGAGCAGTACCGCTCCACAAGGTCTTGATGAATGACGACGTCGATGGGTATCCCTGATGCTTCCAATCGAGGCTTTTACCAAAGTTTGTACTCGGAAGTACTACTACTCGTCAGTAAGGCCTTCCACCAAGTCTTCACGTGAAAATACCAACCCGTGTTCACGATCAAGTCAGAGCGACGCGTCACATAATTATGATAAAAGTTCCATACGGCTCGCTCCGCCTCAACCTTGCTAGCGGCATACGCAACATACCATTCAGGTGTTGAGGCTGAGTTCTGTAGGATTGAAAGAGCCTTGTCGTTCCAGGTATCCGTACCCACCATAACCGGTACCTCTGCCTCGGGGAAAACTGCTGCGGTTGAAGAGCTAGTGTATACAAAACGCTTTACACTTGGCTCATTGTTGGCTGCTTCCAAAGCATTTAGGGCGCTAGCGACTGCATCGGGTATCATGGTCTCAATGCCGGAGTCAAGGCCCAGTGGCGAAGCAACATGCACGACTGCAGCGACGCCTTGAAATATTTAGTAATGAGTCAAAGGATGAGTGAGCTGGTCTTGTTACCTTTTATCACCTCGTCAAAAGCATGAGGAGAAGTCAAATCAGCAACAGGACAGAGCGAGAAGTTCTCTTTGCCGTATTGTTGATAGAACAAGTCTTTAATCCATGCGGCTCTGGATGTATCGCGAGTAGTTCCTCGGACGTTATATCCACGCTGTAGGAATTCGTTTGCGACATGGGAACCGATAAAACCATTGACGCCAGTGACAAGAATAGTTGATCCCTTTGGGATGGCGAATGAAGAGCTAAGAATTGGGGACATTTTGGATATAATCGTCCTTCCTTTGTGATAAGTGAGGTGACTGGTCTGCAAGATATAATTCAATGTTTATTGATCGTGAATGAGAATCTTTTATAAACATCTTGCGCACAATTGAAGGTTTTCCGAATAATGAAATGCGTCAGATTCGGGATTCAGTGAATTACCGAGACAACTTTGGCGTTGGAATAGCGTGCTTACACCTCATCCACAGGGACTTGACCCAATCACGCCCAACGACTATTTCCTATTTAAGCTTGGTGTAAGCCAGCTCCAGATCTCGGATGTCCGATGCTTCTCCGCATTGTACAGATTGAGAACCATGATTCCATTTTAACTAAAACAGCATTGAACTGGACATATTACCTCTCTTGACAAGTTCTCAATAATTGTAAAGTGACCTAGCGTTTTATGAGCTTCTTTGGCGGAGGCGGACTCCTCTATCTTGTTTGCCGATATGTGCAGAATCAATTCATAATCTATTTACACGAAGCTGAACCACTGTTGTTTCAACTGGCCTCCCAAGTCCTCGAATCGTCATCAATTGATACGTTTCCGCTTACAGGTTAGTAGCAAAACCCAACTCATAAGCAAATCCAAGGCAGATCTTGGAGAACTCAAGAACATGGCCAAAGTTGACGGTGTCGATAGTATCAGTGGTGCCGTGGATATAAGGGCTGCTGTCATCAAAGGTAGACTCGAAAGCCATAGCCGAGGGGAAGCCTTGGCGGGTAGCGGAGGCATGGTCAGAGCAACCATAACCGCACTTGGAGTCAACAGTGGGGAGCTTGGAGTACTTTTCACAGTTAGCTCAGGCTTTGCAAATTGGAGACAAAGACTTACAGCAGCGACAACCTTCTTGAGGAAAGCAGTCAGTCCAGCATCGACGTTATCGGTCAGGATTCCAACAACTTCCGTGGTGCCTGGCTTGACATAGCCAGTCATATCTTGGTTGAGCATAGCCTTGACTTGTCGGCCGTCTTGCTTGTACTTCTGGAAGACAGCACCACTTCCGAGAAGACCACCTTCTTCACCGGCGTACCAGTGGAACTCAATGGTGTTGGGGGCTTGACCGGTTGAAACGCGGGAGTCAGTCAGGAGGACACGGAAAGCCTCTAGGATGGTGACGGTTCCAGAGCCATCGTCGTCTACATCAATTAGTAATGGCCGTTCAAAAGAAAGAACTATACTAACCAGCACCGGGAGCCCTGCCAGTGTCAGGGCTTCGAAGGTTGATAGAGTCCTGGTGAGCACCAACAACAATAGTAGCAGCACTCTTTCCAGTGATGGTAGCAATAATGCTAGGCTGTCTGAAAGAGTGAGTAAACTTCTCAACCTTGACGTTCTTAGCTCCACTGGCAGTAATGATAGACTGGATCTGCCCAAAAAGCCACTCAGCAGATTGTTGACCATAAGTAGACTTATAGTATCTGTTCTGGAACTTGGAGAACTCCGTCAAAGTGCTGCGCAGGTTTGTCTGGCTCAGCTTAGGAATGAGAGCGTTGACGGCAGATGTCTGTGCAACTGCGCCAGGGAAACTGGCGAGGAATTGAAGGCTGAAGCCGGGCTCATCAAGGTCGGTGACATCGATGAAGGTTTTGTGTTCCTGTGACGGTCAGACTCGGTGAAAAATTGTGCGAGGACATCAAACTTACAGCTCTCAATGCCCACTTTTCCTTTTCGGTGACGGTGCGGACATCGCCAGGTGCAAGCTCAATCTTGTAGAGAGGCTCAGCCTTGCGAGGGTCGATGGCAGCAGCATTCGACAACCCGATGAGGGTTGCAAGAGCAAGAGTAGCACGCATGATGGCAGGTAATCAAAGTCTGGACTGAAGCTGGAGTGACACAAAGAGCTTGGCTAAAACTTCAACCGTCGATCATGGAAATCACGACTTATATAGAAAATGGCGATGTTCCTCCGAAGGCTGTGTTAGGAAGGAGCTGCATCCCATCAGTCGTCATAACACTATTGCTCCGTGACCTTCGTGGCAGGAGATATATTACACCATACCGCCTATCACTCTCCATAAGTTCCTAGTGACGCGATCCCTCAGATTAAGCATAATAGCTTGTTGACCTTCCAGAATCAAACCTTATGCCGTGCGGACGAATTGACGCAAGGTTGCATTTGGACGGGCCGCTTGTGCATCGGCATTGCTCTTTGTGGCAGGTCGCTAACGTTGGAGGGGACTTTGTGAATTCTTGGCGTTGGAGCGGGGTTGAAACATAGCCTTGTAGAGTATCTGAGCGGTAAGTGAGGGATCTGGTTGGAGGATAGGTTTAGACTTATTCGATATGGGAATACGAAAGAGGAAGCTTAAAACATATTATTCTCATGCTGATTGTAGCTCAGATAGCACTCGCCTCAGGGACTCTATCGAGGTCTGCTTCATGTGTCTTTTCTCTGATTCCCTCTGTCTTTGCTTTTCAGACTGGGATGCAACCAGGTGGCATGATATCCATAAAGAAGGATGGACAAATGATCGAAAGGATTACGTGACTCACCGGCTCGAAACAATTCTCTACGGAGCCCCATTTACACGAGGCCTACGAAAGCGGTGCCCGAGTCAATTTGCTTCCACTCTTCAGTCGGTGTGAATGCAATGACTCGGCTTGCTTGGGTTTATGCTGAATTTGCAAGAGCCTAAAATAACTATAACGCTCGTATTTTCACATAAATATCCTTCCCTACAATTGTCAAAGACATCATGAGACCCAGGAAGCAATTAAATGCTACGCATCAAGAATGCCCGGGTTACGTTTAATGGAGACTTCCGATTTTCGCCTTGTAATTCAACAGCATTACCAACATACCAACTTACTCAGAGAAGAAACTCAAGCAAACCAAAATCCTTTTACATTCCCAGAGCTGAGTTCTTACTGTTTTAGGCTGAGCTGCCGCTGGGCGAGGGCTGAGGATCCGGTTCTGGGACTAAGCCCATTTTTATGCCCCACACCCCTATCCCCTATGTAAACAGACCCGACTCTACTGTCGATAGCATAGCTGGCTATACTACTCTTCCTCCTGAGGAGCAACATAACTGCAAGTATTAATTCGTTTTGTGGAGGGCTTATATTCCACTATTAAAATACCGCTAGCAGGCTTGTGCTGCAACTCTCTTCTACTTTGCCTAGGTTGCGGTCTAGAAACTCAAGAAGACAGTCCCTATTCGGCCAGCCGCATATATGAATTACAATCGCAAAGCAAAAAAATTCAATATCACTGCCTTCTTCGCACCTGTCTATGCTCTGTATTCTCTTGATTAACTGCACAGGTAGTTTTTTCGTTTGTTAGACTTAAGGAGGGACTTATGTTTGTTAAAAGACATATTAACTTTAGCTTAAGTCCCTTTTCATTGGCCATGTTCCGCAGTAAGATCAAGGCGAGGTGCATAAAGAGGCAATAAGGCGGACACAACACGAGACTTGCAGAGCCCAGTCATATTGATCCACGTGGAGTCCGTATTTCTAAGATCAGACAACAAACCTTACCGGGTGTATTTTTCAACTCTTTCCCCACAATCTCTCACTCCAACAAAAAGTGACGTGGTAGATATAAGGACTCCGAGCTACATCTTCTTCTCACCCTCTGGGCTGCGAATCTGGCGAAATGGCAACTGCGCACCGCCCTCAGCAGCTATGCGCGCCACGCAGCACCCTGACGTTTGTCATGCTTCGAGACGGCTATACTCACCCATTGGCATATCGCGACACGATTATATCTGGGAAAACATGCGCATTATGTCGGTTGATGATTTGCTCAACTGGCAAGCTTTTAGTCAACCTTGACTCCTACAAGATGCACAATCAATATGACTCTTTGACTCCCAGATTACCCGAGCTGTCAGCAGTTTCCAGGGAAGAAAGTACAATCTCAGGGCAATCGCCACTCATTGAAAAGTTGAAACAACTGGCCGAGTTGAACTGGAGCACGAGCCAATATATCAGTGACCTCAAGAACAGCTGGGAGGTAAGAAAGGGAAACTTCAACGATCGTGAGACAATTCAGATTACAGCTCCAGCAGGTATGTAGTTTTTCCTATTATAATTTAACAGGTTCATCATTCTCACGTATAGGTAGACTCGTTATATGGAGCCCACGGCTTTGTGCCGCTCACCGATATAGAACCGGCATCATCTAAAAGAAACTACAGAGTGCTTCGAAAATGGCTCTCTACCTGCATGGCCAGCCATGAAGGGTGTCACTTATCACACTCCATGACAGATGAATCAGCCGAAGAGACCACGGTGCTACCGACCAGAGTTATCGATGTGGGCGATGTAAAAGAGCATCGGGCTAAGCCACGTCTCTTCGTGTCGAACAAGGCATCAGGACAGTACATTGCCCTGAGCCATCGTTGGAGCAAAGAAGTCGCAACAAAACTGAAGAGTGACAACCTCAGCCGATACCAGAAAGAGCTCCCGGTGAATGATATGCCGCCCACATTTCAGGACGCTATTGAAGTAACACGCCAACTTGGTTTCCGTTATCTTTGGATCGACTCGCTCTGTATCATCCAAGACGACGAGTCTGATTGGTCGCACGAGTCCCATAGGATGGGAACCATCTTTGAAGAGGCCGTTTGCACAATCGCTGCTGTCGATTCCGTGGACGACAACGGGATCGACCACGGTTTGTTTCTACCACGAGACACCGATCCGCTTTCAGTCAAACTCACGATTCCCTACAAGAAAGTACCTCTCAGCAAGCTATCCCAGCGAGCATTTAAAACCCATACTTCGGTCTATGTTTGGAAGAAGCAATGGCTAAGGGAAATACCAACCATAAAAACTTGCGACAAAAACACCATCACGATTCGTCCACGCATTGTGTCGTCTTATGTTCCACGCTCCAACTGGTATAAGAGGGGCTGAGTTTTGCAGGAGAGACTCCTCTCTCGACGACTGATATATTACACCAAGAACAAGCTCTCCTGGTCTTGCTTCACGGAAAGTGGTGAGGAGGAGGGCGGTGATCCCAAACAGGCTGCCAGGACTCCTCTGCTTCCGCTGTGGAGAAGAAGTTACTATCCAATTTTCCGGACTTGGGAGCCCATCATTTCAGATTACCAACGCTGCCAGTTGACGTTTAGCAAAGATAGGTTGGCCGCTGTTGGTGGTATTTCTGCTCGGCTAGAAGCCCACTTCTCGTGCAAGATCTACGCCGGAATCGTGTTCCAATCGCCGTGCGACGCGGCGGAGAATTTGCTCTGGTATGCCAGTAAGGCGCCTTTGCGGACGTTTAACGAGTTCCACGCGCCTTCCTGGACCTGGGTCGCTTTTAATGGCGAGACATCATTCTTCATGCCGACACCACCTGGAACTAGCGACCTTTTGATAAGTAGGCTAGACTTCAAGACTCGTAATCAGTCCGAGTCGACGGATCCATCGAAGGACTGCAAAGGAACTTGTGTGTCTGGGAGTGTTTCCTTTGAAGGTCCGGCCGAAAAACTTACTCGGCAATGCAAGCTGAAGGATTTGAAAATTGCAGGAGGTCCGATCGACCCAATTAGCGAAAGAGAGATCCTGGCTGGAATTCTAGGCCGTGCTCTTGTGCCGAATATCGTCATACCGCGGTTTGGCGAATTGGGAAAGGAAGTTCGAATGCCATATAACCCACCAGTGCCAGATCACACAGAGATACTGGAAGACAAATGCGGCTGCATCGTCGGGTTTTTTATACCGGATCTTGAGGAAGAGCTTGAGCAGGCTACAGGTGAGCAACAGATCATATGTGTGGGCGTAAAGCGCTATCAGGACCAGTATGGGCAACAAAACGACACTATCGAGATCATCGGACTCCGTGGGACATGTCATTCTCCAATGACTTTTCAGAGGTTGGGAAGAGGCAGAGTCATATGCAGCGGGTGGTTGCAAAAGTGCAGACGATATTTATTCGAGGTATCCTGATATCGATCCAAATTTGCTTTGCTGTCTACCACCAAGGTACCGGGAATTCAACTCAAGAGATCGTGGCTGTATGTTTCAACCGCGTTCCAAGGATTTCAAATCAGAATTTATGGGCAGGGGAGCATGAGACAGGACGGACAGCTTGAATTTGGAATGAATCTACAAGGAGAAGATAGCAACTGAGCAAATAAGGGGGGGGGGGGGGGAGTGTAACCAAAGGCGCTGACATGATAAGTAACCCACGATGTATCTTTTACTTGATGATACTGGTAGGACTCTTGCCATGTTGAACCTTTCACGGCTGCTTCTGGTCGATTTAGGCAGTCTACAATAGATTCAAGCTTTCCCACGACTCCCCATCATTTACAAACTACCGGAGACGCTAGGGAGGAACTCCATTCGACTCAGCGCATCGTATAACGTGCTATCGCCGCCCTTCTACCATTTATGAACTAGATGGATTCGCATAGCGCCGAGGAAGCCATCTCCGACGATGATGACATGAGGGCGGACTAGGGTCTTCATATTAGTGTGGTTGTGCTTGATCGAAAAAGCAGATAATGAAGGAAATAAAGTACGAAAGATGTACGGGGAGCGGGTGAGCGCTGCAAGATATGCTGTCAGCTATTATTCCGATCCGTCGGGGTTGTCAGGCTGCGTTGACCGTGCCTTTTTTAATGCCAGTAATTAGACTAGGATTATGTGTCTGAAATTGGCAGTATGTTGCAGAATATCTGCTGTATATCAGGCATATGTAGCCTGTAGAGGTCTAATATTAAGCAAGCACTAACTTAGACATACTAATACTAATACTTCTCTTCCCTTAACTAAAGATTATAAGTAACAGCTTAAAGCTTGCCACTGATCATTCCCTCTATTACTAACATTTAGTTCAATCATCTTAAAAAGCAAAGAGCTCTCAACTCATCGGGTTATTCTACCTTAGTAGTAGCGAAAGATTCCTACCTTTTAATATCATAGATCCTTATAACCTATAACATTACCATAGCCACATGTAGGAGCTGACAGAGGCTGAGGGGGGCTAGCAAATAGCTAAGCCAGCAAGCAAGAAGACCTTAAAAGGCGGCAATCTATGGTAGATCACGTGTCTCTTGAGTTTTGCCTCATAATACCAGGGCGATTCTTGTGGAGTATCTTGATTGGGTGAATCCCGTTGTATATCAGGTCCTTGTCTCATATGTCACTCCCGTGGCCGCCGCTGTATCAATTATCAGTTTTGGATTCCAAGCTGTTCTGTCCGTGGATTCATGTCGCATTAAGAACAAGGTTCAACTGTGGACACAATGTATCCTCAACATTTGCTTCTCTATTGCGTCACAGGTATGGAATACTACCAAGTAAAAGGCGCCACTGAGAGAGTCAGTCGGGGTTACGACATGTACAAAAAGCCTTTTGCAGACAATAATATGCCGCATTGGGAAATGGCTCGCCCAATGTCAATTACCTGTGTGGCTATAGCATCGGCATGCAGTCTTTGTATGTGTACATTGGCTTATTACCTTCACATGGAGTTCTCCTGGTCTTTGTACGAGCACATCAGCCCAGATCTGAGGATGACAGCAAGATATGTCAAGTACCTGGTATGTGATAAAGGGTGCTAGCAGTACAAAAACTAACCTTACAGGCATATCTTGTGCTTCTCAAAGTCTCCCTTTGACCTTGTGGATGTTCACTACCGAGAGCCAGAGTTTGGACTGACTATGACAATAATTCCCGTTTCAATCATTCACGCCATCCTTGCCGCTACATGCGTCAAAAAGGAGTACATGCCAGGCATGGTATTGGTGATCGTATATAACCCTCGAAAATTAATATAGCTAGAACTAACACCTGTGAAGATGTTTCATATCGCAGCGATAGTATATCTGACCACGCGACTTATAGTGCTGACTGGCGATGGCCTGCTGGCAAGTATATTGATAAAGGAAGATATGTTTCTTTTTGCCATTTTTGCGCTTATCTTTACTATTATATCTATTGCTTTTGCTATCCTATGCGTTTTTAATTTCGGAAAGGAACTTAAGCCGCTACTGCAAGGCTAAGGCACAAATGACTTACCTGCTTTAATAAGCGCATTAGAGCTTAACCCGCGGCACCTCAGCATCTAGACTATGGACTCTGAACGGATATCTAAGCGGTTTGACATTGATTGGATCTCTATTGTATATTATTGCCTGGGCTACATATTTCATAATACCTAGACTCCTTTCAAAATCACCACTGCTTATCTGAAAACTACCCTCAATTCATGAAGGAAAGATAAAGCGGTATTACTAGACCTTTCGTGACCATGGTCCATATGCGCGAGTAGAGCCGAGGTAGCGGGTAACGTTCCCGCTAGCCGCTAAGAAAACCCCGGTGCGGTGTTTACTCTTAGCTTGCTGCCCGCACCAATATTGCGCAAGGTTAATTACAAGCTTAGTTTTAATCTCAGCCACCCTTTGGTCATTTATCGAAGGAAACGTGAACGCAGTATGCCTCAGGATTGTTCAATGGTGAAAGAAAACTTGATCTTGGTCGTGCCACTCTTGTTCCATGCTTCTAAAGCACTTCGGCCTTCAGCTCACTGCCTTGACTCATAAGATACCAGCTTACTTCAATCTCCAGCACAAGTTCCCCGAGTTAAGATACGAATTCCTAAGTATGTAAAGAAAGTTTACTGCTATAATCAGACTGCTAAGTGATATTAGTAGATTATAGAGCTTAATAATATACTAAATTATAGGGTTATAAATTAATTTTTATCTTATTTAATAATAATAATTACTTACTAGTATTAAGAGGGAAGCTTATTATAATACAAGGACTTAGCTTAGAGGTATTTAAATATATATAAAAGAAGGTAAGTTATAATTTAAGAGACCTTATTTAATAAGTAATAATATATTCACTTATATTTTTAATACTCCTTTCTAGAGCTATAGCACTCTCTTATACTAGGAATATAATGCCTTTTAAATCTTCCCTCTGCTCTATAATCATGTTCCTATTCACAGGCTTGGTATCTCCTGATTTGAGAAATATGATTTCTCAAATGGGAAGGACTCCTGGATCCATGACTTGAGAGCTCGGTACATCAGCATGTAGTAGCCCATTGAGTAGAAATCCCCTGTGACCCACCAGCTCACATCCACATCGTATCCTATCAGCTCAGGACTGAGACAGGTTCGCGTGCCAAGCGGGTAAAGATAGAAGCAGCCGACATACCTATCGTCGTTGTCATGAATAACATATGCAAATGACTTGCGACTTTTGAATTCTCGCTCGTGCCAAGCTAAATCTAGAAAGTTATCCTCCTGGCTTATTCCCTTCGGTGGCCAAGAGCCACCTCTGGTTCTGATAATAAGGTCGCTGTTTGAGTTGACGGCTACCAAATCTTCCATGAGATGCTTCCGGGACAGTGGAACGGCAATAAGCCTTTCGTAGACTAGTCGGATAGGTATTGTAGTATCTTTAGGTAGGCGGAAACGTCTGATGAAGCCAAGCTCAAGGCCGAAGGCATCAAAATTGGTGCTCCCGAGCTGGACCCGTCGAGATTCCATCTATACCCCCTCGGCACTATTAAGATCGAGCTCGAGATCTATCCCTATCCCGGAATACAGGCTGTTAAGTTAACCCTCTCTGGCACTATTAGTGGTTATCTAGACGCCGCAGTCCTCCGGCTATGCATCCTTATCAGGCATCGAAAACGCTTGACCTGAGCATGCACTTCTCCTATCCTTGATATACAAGCTCTACACCGCCAATCGTCTAGCTCTCTTGCATCATATGGAAACTGGCTTAAATGACTCCCCGCAGCTGACCCTCTTCTCCTCTTATATAATATCTAAGGTCGTTATTGGAGCCGTGCTGGAAGCGCTGTATTTTATGGATGAACACCTCACCTTCTTTGCTCTTTACCTAAGCCAGGGATCTCCCTGCTAATGGGAACTTTAATAAGAAGCTGCAGCTATATAGATCCGGGCCCTATTATCCTTTAATAAGACTAAGTAGGAGATCTTAGATAATAGCTGCATTCCCTTATTCCTTTTCTTATTGTTCCCAAGGCTTTATGTCCTCTGTGATACTATCTAGAACTATTAGGATTGCTTCAGCTCGTTCCTCGACTGGATTATTATATATATCGGCATTTATCGAGAAGTCAAGGCCGTGGCAAGCCAGTCATTGGCCACCATTAAGACATCCAAGCTCGAGCCTCTAGCCAAGCGCATCGCAGACGCTGTCTAGTGCTTTGACAAGTCCAGTAGCAATGGCGAGATAAAGATCCTCTACTGGAGGGTCAATGATACGTACCTGTCCCCCTTCTCTGCACAGGCCTAGCAGAGGGCCTTTTTTATGTGGCAAGGGTGCTTGGCTCTATATAATCGCTTAGAGGAGGAGGGTCGCTGCCTGTATAAAGCCCTAATCGCGTTCTGCGTTGCTGTTAATAATAAGGACGTCGTGTTCTTAAATCAGCAGCAGCCAGAAGCACTAGTTATCTTAGTATATTATTCTGTTATGCTATACAGGAGCCGAGACTTACCGGGGTCCGGATCAGGGAGAAGAAGAAGGTAGCTCACGCTCTATATCCAAAGGTATTGTAAACTATGTTAATGTTGTACTTTGCGAGCAATGAATTTAAAACGCCATTTTTAATCTAGAGATTAGATTTAGTAATAACCACCATTGCATTACTTATTCGTCCCTGTTTGCATGGTTTCTAATTTAGATATTATACTGCTCAACTTATAAAATTAGAATGAATAAGACGCCATTAGAGATAGCTCAGGTCCTGACTCTAGAGTTTTAATAAAACCAATATACGTCAAGACTAAATAGTTAAATCTATGTGATATAGAAATATATACTAAGATGTTACATAATTCTGTAGAATTCTACCCCAGCGCATGCTCTATCACAGCTACTGGAACCATCTAAAATACCTTCCTTCTGGGCATTCCTCCGTAAAAGCACAGACGCAATGCCGCCTAACTCGGAAATCTTGTCTTATCGGCCCTCACTCTTCAACTTTCTCTCCGTTCATTTGAAGTTTCCTTGTCCGTTGCAGCGAGACAGCGGAGGGTTGCTACCAGGCTTAGCACAAGCAGAGATAGCACCTTCAATCCATGTGATGCCGTTGTAGCTTCCCTCGCCACGGCTATCGGCATACCAAGTACCAACCTCAGTGGCAGATCCAATGCAGCCTCGGAATTGACGACCAGAACGACGAGTGGTGAGAGGCTTGGTGATCATGACACCACACTGACCGTCCTTGATAGTAGCTTTGGTGATGACTGAGGTCTGCGTGGTCCAGGTGCGGCTGTAGTCGATACCGAGAGACCCACCCAGCTTGTCCTTGACGAACGTGAGATCGACTCCAGCACTGCCTCCAACGGTGTTGGCAACACTGTAGCCTGAAGACACACTAATGTCCATGTCCCCAACGGCGCAGACAACAGGCGACATCTGCACGTCCCAATCGACAAAGGTCTCAGTCTTGTCGGTGGTGATGTAGAAGGTACCGTCACAGTCGTCTCGCTTTCCGAGCTGGCCCTTTGAGGTTTTGGGGTATTTGGGCTTGGGCAGATCGGTACTGTTGTAAGAGATCCAAGACGGGTCCAGCTCGGGAGCACCAATTTTGATGCCTTCGGCCTTGAGCTTGGCAAGATAGGCCTCCTCCTTGATGACGTAGGCTATCAGGTTCTCAGCATATGTTCTCGAAACAACCTTCGGAATGACAACTTACAAACACCGTTTACGGGGACAATGACATCGCCGGCCTGGATTTGGTGGTTTGGAGTCCACTTGCTGGCTCCGGGGAAGGGGGAATCTTCTAGCGGAATTGCACCAGTGGCAGAAACGAGCAAGGCATAGACGAGGCTGAGATGATGCATCTTGTAAAGATTATCAGACTTGAGTTTGATATGAGAGATGAGAGATCAGAGGTGAGGGAGAATGCGATTGTATGAGTTGGGGTGGTTGATTTGCTTTCGTTAAGTAGGAGCCAACCAAGTATTTATATTTGAGCGTGATACTCAAACGCGATGATCAAATGTTGGGTCTTGTTCCATTGAAAGTATCAACTTCTGACTTTCATGTCGCCCAACAGCACTAAGCCGAACAGCCTTCCTCGTATCGTCCAGAAAACGGATCACACGTGCTACGTCACTCCATACATTTGACAGCTTCTAGGCGCGATGCCAATCCTTATTTTAATAAACTTTATCTGGGGTGAGTAAATAACGCACTTTCCTTTTCTGACGCGAGTTCTGGAGATCTGAAGTGGAGATTCGTCTCAGGTTTCTCAGGGTTGTTGATGATCAAGTCACTATTGTAGTTAGTTCATTTGTGGGGCAACCAAACTAGTAGGAACAGCAGCTCGTATAGTGAAAGACGCTGGATCCTTTGACACTGGGTTTTTGAATCATGGCACGAAACTATCAAATTCGTGTTACCTGATAGGCGGGAATATTAGACCAAACTCAACTGCCGATGTACGGCTTCACCGATGATCGGTTTACGAATATCCTGTTTGGATCAAAGAGTTATTATATAGGCCCTTGTATCTTTAGCTATCACAGGAACTCTTCTCGGACCGGCAAGAAATATGTTGAATGAAGAGTAGAGGCAAGATGTATAAAGATCTTAGCTCATCTACCTTAGAAGGTCAAGTAGCCAACTCAACTTCCTCAAACTATTATCTCTTCTTGTGTCCTATTCATCATGCAAATTTCTCTCTTCTCAGTGGCCCTCATGGCCGTCAGCGGGTTCGTCGTGTCTACACAGCCCCCCCGACATCTTCTTCCAAAGAAGCTAACGACTTCGATAGTGCTCACGCTGCTCTTCACAAGGCTGCTGCCTGTGTATCCAACAGGGTGTCGTCCCCCGTAGGCGGAACCCCATTCAGCCCAAGCAACAATTGGCAGACCACCTATGAAGTTCTTGCCGATGCTACCAAGTGCGCTTGCGATATGTATAAGCAGCGAAACACTGGTGGTGAGATGTGGGACACATGCCCTGATTGTACTTTTGTAAGCTTATGCTGCTCTAAGTTTGATAGTTCTTTTGGCTAATTCTCACTAGGATGGAACAATATGCAACTCGGCAGAGGGCCACATTGGCGGCGATGAGGTAAGATTAGAAAGATTGATGTGGAATTCGAGATACTAATCAGTTCACAGTTTACTTATTACTGCGAAGAGAAGTGTGGCGCTCAGGGTGCTGAGGCTGACTGAAGGTTTAGGACATTTGTAGTATCAGAGTTATACTAGAGTAGCAGTTTTATCTACGAAGTTGTTTCAAGTCATCTACGTATCCAGCTGTCATTGGTATATGTATTAGAAAATTTAAAAAAAAGTACCACCAATAGTGTGATTGTCTCAATAATGATGAGAGTCGATACGGGAGCATTATACAAGAACTAAGGCATACTTGTCAAGAGGTGTCGAAGTTCATTAACTGACTCTCGGAAATTCTCGAGAAAATAAGCAATCGTCTTGACCAACAACGCGCTGACAACATCAAACGGTTTATCTATGTCACAGTTGTCTTCTTGCCGCTGAGATTTGTAGCAGTTGCTGCACTGCTCAATTTTGCTTAATTCAGAAGGAATTGAGTCGCCTTGGCAACGGCAATCTCGGTCCAGTTTCTCTCGTTTCCTTCATCAACCGCGTGTACTTCCCTCCAACCATGGAACAGAAACACCGAGACCGCAGATAACGCAGAGAGACCCAGACAATTGGAGTTGGTTTAATTTGTCATTTCGTAGAAACAAAAGAGAGAGAGAAGGTAAACAGACGTTGACGGGCACTGATTACTCGGGCGCTCGAGATGGCCTGGAAAGTAGTGTGTAGGAAGTTGGAGAGTCTTACCTTGACTAAACATTCCGAGAGGCCTTACGCGCTCTATTCTGACTGTTGGAAATTTGGAGCCAAGTGACCTATGTGCCCTAGAACATGCTATTAGATAGCTGTGAAAGTATAAGCAAGGTACCCCAAAAACGTAACTTGACCTCGTGTTTAGTTTATCCTACATTACCAGTTCTACTTATTAAAATAGCCTCTTAGTATTAATATATTTAAATACTAATATTTATTTAAGTAATAAGAACTTCTTATATAGTTAAAGTTTAAAAATAAATAAAAGCTAAATACTACCTTTAAGTCCTTAATTATTTCCTTAATTTTAAAAAACTAAGTTTAATACTATTATTTTATAGCTTAAAATAGCTTATTTAAGAAAAATAATATTATCTTTTTTATTTTAAGTCTTTTTAATCTTTATTATTATAATATAAAGCTTATTTTTATATTTATAGTCTTTAAGAGCTATTATAAAATAAGAGATTAAGTTAGGTATTTTAATATAAAAGGCCTTATTAAGTAGCTATAAGCTTTTTTAGATAGGTATTATAATAATATAGCTATAATACTATTAGCAGTTATAGTTAGAAGTTATTTAGGTTAAATAACTTATTATATAATAGATAATTAAAGTATAGTATTTTTTTAGGTAGGTTATAGGAAGAAGGTTAGGGCTAGCTAATAAGTAAGTAAGGCTTTTTAGCTAGTATATATATAGCTAGGTTTAGGCTATAATTAAGGTAGCTAATTATAATAATTTAACTTAATAAAGCTTTACTAGTTATAGGGATAATAAATATTTAAATTATATTAGACTTTAAAAATACTTAAATATATCTTTTAAAGCTAACTTATAAACTTAAAAAGAATAATAATAATAATATTAATTATATAAAATAAGTATATTATTAAGCTATTATAAATATATTTTAGTATTTTTATATAATTTCCTAGCTAGAGATATTAAGTTCTTTATTTTTAATATCCTCTTTTTTAATATTATAAGTTACTTTTCTATATAAAGTCTTTTAAAAACTCTAAGTTATAATAATTATATAAGCCATTAAGCCATAAGGCAAAAGATCAGGCTATAATTGCTATGCAAGTAATTATAAGTATATTATAGCTATATTTTAAAAGCCTTATAGCACTATTATAGATATAAATTATAATATAATACTCCCTCTTTAAGGGCTTTTATCCTTAAAGCCTACTAAAGCCAGCTATTATAAGGGGAACTAAGCCATATAAGTAATATATAGCTACTAACCTCCTAAGGCATACCTTATAGTTACCTTATTATATTATATAAGTATCCTTATAAGTAACTATATTAAAGGCTATAAGGGGGAATTAAACCCTTAACCTTTAGGCTATTTACTAATAGTAATTATTATATAATAGTTATATAAGCTATTAAGCTATAAGGTAAAAAATTAGGCTATAGTTATTATATAAGTAATTATAAGTATATTATAGCTACCTTATAAAAGCCTTATAATACTATTATAGGTATAAATTATAATATAAGTTATATATTAAAGTTTTAATTTTTATTTTTTAATATATATTTATATAATTTAAGAAATAACTTAAATATAAATTAATATAATACTTCTTTAACTTAAAATTCTATTATCTTCTTATAATTTTATAATAAGCTAAAATATCTTATAAATTAATATTTTATTTATAATATTACTCTCTTTTATTATATTTCTTTTAAATCTAAGATAAAAAGTATTAATTATACTTTTAGTTTTTTTTATTAAATAGAAATACGCTAATAAGAAGATAAAAATAATAATTTATAGGTATTAAATAGTATATAAAAGTTTAATAAGAGAATTTAAAAATAAATACTATAATAAAAAATATTATATATAAATAAGTAAAATTAAGTTTAAATATTAGATAGAAGTTTAAATATAAATTAAAAAAAAGATAGCTTAATTTATTAAAGTATAAGACTACTTATTATAATAATATAATTAATTCTTAAAAGTAAAAAGTCTTATACTAAAGCTTATTACTCTAGGTATAAAAGGATTTAATTATAGCTAAGCTCTAGGATTTTATTAAGAGATTAAAAAGTAATATCCTAGCATATAAATAAGATTAAAAGCTACCCCTAGTTGCCATTAAGGCTATAGAGTCTAGACCATAGTAACACTCAAGGTCCTAGTCCTATTTCTGGGACTAGGAGCTTAGGGTAAGTAGCTGCAGTATAGGCTGATAGGGGGCTAATAGGGGGCTGAGGGGTGCCATAAAAGCGGCACCTATTAGCAGATCACGTATCGCTTGAGTTTCGTCTTATAATACCAGAGTATACACTTCTACCCAGAGAGTAAATAAGCTAAAGGTCAAGGAGTCGCACAAGACGAGCACTGTCTCCCCAGTAGACCTCCTAATAGGTACTAGCTCCATAACCTGTCCTAGATATAATTAGTCATAGCCTTCCTGGAGTTACATTAGTAGTCTGGAAAGATACAGCTCAAGTTCAGCACAATTAAAGAGCAGAAATATTTTAAAAAGGGAGGACATTGCTCTCAATTAACACGGTAAGATAATACCCGTTCATGGACCATGAGGAGTCATTCAAGTAGTAGGAAGAGTAATAAATACTAGATAAATTTTGCGAGACTTCTTTATATGCCTCAACAAGCTGGTTAAGACTTACGTTAGCAAAATTAATGAATAAACGTTGAAACGGGCGATTCCTCGTGAGGCTGTGATATACTACACTTGGTAACGAAGGGGAAATCGAGAAACCAAGAGTTTTACCAAGCACTCAGTTGGAAGCTGGCCAGTTTCCGTACGACAAATGATCAAGATGGGCTGAAAACGACGTATTGTTCCACTGTTTCGTCGCCTGTGAAAAACTACATGCATTAGAGGGAACGATTGACATCCAATTGCTCTCGCTTGATGAATCGAATAAAGTCCCATAATAGTTTAGGGTATGCGCTATCTCTGAAGCTATCGAAATGCCGCTCAAATAGGCTAGGTGAGCGCCACACATTCAGCTTAGCTTTATGATCACATGCAATCTGAAAGCTGAGAGAAATATGCATAATATTTAATGAAAGTGATATATAATTTCTGCGTCAGATAACTGGTGGCCAGCGTCGGAAAATGGTGTGATTGTTACTGAGAATGGGTGAAAGAATATGCATTTGGGTGGTCTAGAACACTGTTCAGCCAGCCACAAACCACCGACCGTCAACACAGTTTATCACTTTTATGGTCTCAATTATGGATACCCTTTCCCTTGATGGTCTAATGCCTGAATATGTACATATATATAGGCTCTGTGCTGCCTCTTCATCCTGCGTTACATTCTGTTCTGTACGCATCATACGAAAGCTCACTCGATCACATCAAGACTGAAAATGGATCTAGGATCAATGTGAGGGCCATTGACATTTCTCACCTGGGACTTACTAATTGAATGCCAGTTGGCAGCACCTCAAGGAAGCCACCGGCGCTACCGCATCCCCAGCTCAGTCCTTGACGGACCCCTCTACTGGGGGAATCTTTCCTCTAACCATCATCAAGGATGTTCTTCGACATCCTTTGCAGAAACTCGGAGTTGCTGGAAAGCAAGAGAATGTGATCCCCCCAGCGACACCAAGCAAGAGCGACGCGCCCCGTGAGGTCCTCCTGGGATCTCATGCAGTGGGAGGCATGATCGCCAAGCTCATCGGTGCCGTGACCAGCCCCCATGTGGCAGTGCAGCCTATTTTCGTTTCATCAAACCCAGCTCCTGATCCTACCCACCACTGGGCTATCCTCGTTGGGGATTATTATCACGAGCTAGGCGGCGATGTTGACTTCAAGATCCTGTACAACAATGACAAGACGTCAGCGCAGACCTTTTTCGGTGCATGGCAGAAGCCGATGGTGATTGGGAAGACTACGTTTAACGACGAAGCTATTCGACAGGCCGGTGAGTAACACTTTGAGACCTGGAGTGCCAAAGGTTAACGTGCATGTACAGCCGAAGAGGTCATCAAGGCAATGGTGCCGGAGTACAATGTCTACAACAACAATTGTCAACTTTTCTGCATGAACCTGGCGGACGTGATTTGTGAGGGTGGCCATGCTACACCAACCACTAGCTGGCAGATGATACCTGCTTTACAGTCGGAGCCAGCGAAACGTGTACGAGAGATAGCACTTGAGCATACCCCGTTTATTCCTCCGGTCCAACTAGCATAATGACGGCTCTTGAATAGGAGATAGTCTTATATATAGTTTTTACTTGAATTTGAACGCGCTGCCATTGGTCGACTCAGATCTGGTATACACTCCGATAACTGGCAAACTTCCATCCACCCAAAGCACTCCTTTCTACACCTACGCGCGGCCCGTCACCTCCATTTCTCTCCTGGAACATATGATCTACCTTTTCCACCGCAGTCTCACCTTTATCTGCCTCAAAATGCGCTGCAACAAGTGCAGTAATGCCGAGTCTTGCTTGCACGTCCCCAACATCGCCACTCAATGCGAAGAATGCTCGAATGGTAAGGAACAGTCCAAGTATAACAAGAAGCAAGTTCGCAACGAGGAGACATGCCAGAGGACCTTTGGGAACCTTTGCTACGAGCTTCGAGGACCGCGACTGGGCCTCTTCAGCTGGTGCGGAGAGTAAAGCTCCTCCAATTGCACCCAGGACGGTTCGACTATATGTTTCGGCGAACTTTTCAGCTACCTCTTTGGCTGTGTCGCTTTGCCATACATCCAGACTAGTTTGTTGGAGGATATATGAATCGCCGACATGCGTATATCCTTGAGTCCCCATCACAATGTTGGTAGTGGACGAGTTGCTCGGAGAGTATGAGAAGGATTTAACGGAGCCATTTATCGAAGTATACTTCCAATCAAGGACCTTGGTACTGCAAAGCAATGCGAAAAGAGTCGACCCATGGAGGCCGCTGGCTATATCAGGATCATCAATCAGGCCCCTTTTAGGGTTGCGGCCCAAGTTCTGGTTGACGCTGACCACAGCAGTAAAGTAATATGGGTTCGGCAACGATACGAGGGAAGAAGAGTTCTTCTTCATTGATGAGTCGGTGAAATAAGTGAGGACCATTGCATCCACCTGAGTGGTTGGTATAACTCCCTGTACCGGGCCAAAGTCGCATTTATAGCTTGCCTGCGGACCGCTAATGCCGTCTTCACTTATGCAATGATTTGTGACAACCTGACACTGAGACGATGCTCCGAAAGATGTAGCTGTATAGTCCAAATTGGCATTTTGATTAGTTGGTCGCAGGCCGATAAAGGCGTAGCTTTTGCCAGTGGAGTCGGCGACTTGCTGCACCATATTTGTACTAGAGACGTTGGCGAGAAGTTCCAGTGAAGGTTCGCTATTGATCAAAAAGGTATTTGCTGCCGCACTATTGAGCGTACAGCCGCCTTCGAAGGTAGTGTTGATGTTTGTGCAGTTTTCGTTGAACATGAAGCTGGCGCTATCGAAGGTTGTTGGTGAGAATTGGGTGAGAAGAACTGTCTTGGTCACGAAATGCAACCATGTATCCGTGGCAAAGACCAACATGCTTGATCGGGTCAGCCAAAATCACCATAGCTTATATCTTCTTACCTCAGAAGCGAAGCTAAGGCTAGCATCCATGTCATGAATGTCAAGGGCTGCGTCATTGGTGCCCTCTTCCTTTTCGAGGTAAACACATAGGTAACACAACTCCATAGAGCGCTTAGCGAAGCGTTGCTCATGGTGCGAAGAATAAGAGCATATTGTCGCGGAGTTGGCTGTCTGGTTCGATCGCCGTTCTGACTCGCTTGAATCAATGTTCTAGACACGGGAAATGAGACCAGGGTCAGGAGAAAAGGCAGGATGAGCGGCGCCATAGTGCTAGACCACGATGCGACAATGATTAGAGTGGTAGCAGGGAAGTCGACATAAATGACGCTGGAATCTGCTGACGCTGCAGATTGGAAGCTCGAAGAGATAGGGCTCTTGGGAATGACTTGGTAGTGAAAGACGAGACCGAGAAGTAGAGCAGAGAAGGCAATGAGAGGGATAGACGATATCATACACGCCAACCAAATGTCTCTAGCGACCCCACGGATTCGGGTGGTAGGGGTCGGCACCGTTGGCTGGTATGTATGATGAGGTTCTGGCCTGTGGCCATGATGGTTGGAGGACTTCATGATGCTTCAGGTGGACTGTCGCTGACGGACGGAGTGCGGAGAACCCCAAATTCACCGCGCTGCAGATGCAAGCCCTCTTATAGATACATAGTTTCAATTAAATTAGCATGGAGAACCCCGGTTATGTCCTTGCATTTCTTTTTCCTTCTTCCCGACCGAGTCTGGATTGAAAATGGCTTCAGGTGGCTGCCAATAGTTTCGCGGCCTGCTTCCAGCCTTGCGGGGGTTGAAAATCGAGATTTTGTCACTCAGACAATAAATTGACATGGCTTGATACTGCGATCCAATGAAAAGCTGCAGAAATGCCCGACTGTATGTCATTTGGTGGACCCTCAATACCAGACACTGCGCACAGGACCCTCATGATCATGTGCTAGTAGGTGACATTCTCATCCCTGCTTCCATGTCAGACGACTCAGCTGAGCGGTGTTACCAATCAATAATATCGTACAAAAGCGCATATATTTGAAGTACTTATCAACTGTCTGCTTAAATGGCAGAACTACCATAATCTCTTGCAGTAACTATATGGGTGGGATTCGCAAGCTGGCTCGGTTATGTTCTTGAGATACTTCATTTGGAATATGAAGAAACAATTAACTTAGCGGACGTGAGTTTCCCAGCCGGTAGTAGCTGAATGCAAGGGTTCACTGAACTGGATTAGGGGTTGAGCAGTGGACAAATCATAAGCCTTCTTTTGTGAGAAGACTAACCATTAACAGCAACGCCGTCAGTTCCCGTCCGCCACCAGAGCCTCAGGAGAGTGAAGTCCGTCGCTCGAGTGCCAGCTAGAAGAACAAGTGCAAGGGCCGATGTGGCGTCCTGTCTCTTTAGTGCCGCGTCGGAAGATCGTTCCCAGCTGCATCATTACCACGCCATTTAAGTTACTGATAGCCGAGTGTGCTGATATCTCACGCCAAAGTTGACACTGTTATTGTCAGTAGTAGCACTTTCCCTATACCTTGAAGATACTATATGAAGTGCATGATTTCAGCGGTATGTGGCAATGGTTTAGGCAAGCTAGCCCGGACAAAATAATCAATCGATAATACCTTGGAATATGTTAAGCCTCAATATACTAGTAGTTGCAAATATCTACTGATCTATAGCTCTACCATTGATGCAAACCTCAGAGTTATTCAACAGCTGCATACCTTTAACAAACGTCAACCCAGCAGCCTTCGCCCACCTAGGGTCAATGGCCCCGAGGTTAATATGCGGCGAGTCATCCATTTCCGGGTCGAATGTCTCCTTAACAAGGCCATCGCCAAGATATAAAAACCGATTTGCGCCCTTCTTGCCGGTAGCCGCGTACTTGATATCATAGTCCTCCCAGCGGACCTTTCTCAAAGCTCTCACAAACTGTAGTGTAATTCCAGGCCAAATGACGTTCACCCGACCTTTCAATGGTCCAGACCGTGCTTTGTACCAAGCCGGACAGTCCCACGACCATGCTGAGCCCTTCATCCACGTCTGAGCATGCTCGACGAAATCGTCCATGGCTTCTTGCTTTGGAACTACGCTGATAATGTTGTGCTCCATCTGCAGCTTCTGAATGACTTGGACTACATAGTTCGCAACAGCATCCATTGGTCCGATGAGAGATCCGTTGGCAGAGGGCCAGTAGGCACCAGTGCTGCCGTGAAAGTAATTCGGGAACTGTGCCAAAGCAACCGACATGTAACTGTCCGGGCTTTGTTCAAGAACCTTAGATATACAGAGGCCGTTTGGACCAATGACTTCAAATCGCGGAATGAGGTTGACATTGAAGCCTGGCCTTTGTTAGAACTTCGGTTGTAAATCGATCGATTTGCAAGGAACTTACCAGTTGCACAGACTACAGCGTCACACTTTCGTTCGTTACCATCTGTATCTACAACACCGTCTTCTGTAAGTTTTGCCACGCCTTTGAAGACGACCTCGACGTTTGGCTCTTGGATCGCATTGATGAAAGGGTCGCCTGGAGTGACACGGCGACATCCGGGAACAAACTCGGGAGTGAAACCTGGTAGTGGGTTAGAATATAGGTGAATTATCATGTGCTGTCGAACTTTGCACTCACCCTGGAGAAGCTTTGGATCCTTGATCTTGATCTTCATTTGATCGTAAAAGAACTTGATTGCGTTTCTCTGGTGATCAGTACCGCTGTAAAAGGTGGGGAAGAGATTATTAAGACGCCTCTCGATGCTCTTGCCATGGGCCTGAAGCTTGGAAGGATCCTTCTTGAATTCCTCTCGGTCTTCTGGTGAATCTTTGAGCATACTTAGTGTCCGGTGTCTCCCTATTCGAGGGCAACTTGCACTTACATTCAGGGCTGAATTCATCGCCAGCGAGTCCAGGTGCAAACCAGATTGGAGTGCGAGAGAACACAGTCATCTTGGAAACCTTTGGCTGACAAATGTTAGAAGCGCCTCAGTGCTAACACGAGTAGTAGGGCCTTACCTGCATCCGAGGCACTACCTGTACTGCCGAAGCACCACTGCCAATTACACAAACATCCTTGCCCTTCCACGCCTCTTCGTCAAAGCGCTCGTCCCATGCAGCAGTGTGAAGCAACTGAGAAATGCATCAGCGAGGTTACACGACATACTGGAAGCAGAAAGCTTACCGTTCCCTTGAACTTATCGAGACCCTCAACATTGGGCCACTGGTAGTTGTGTTGGCTTCCAGAGTTGTTCACCAAGATCTCAGCGTCTTGATGATACTCCCGAGACTCGCCATTTGGAAGCTCCTCACGCACGAATACGCGCCAGAATCCTTCTTCATGCCATTCAGCCTTCAGAACCTTGGTATGAAACTTGATGTATTTGTCGAGATCAAATGTGGTGGCGCATTTCTGAAGGTATTTCTGAATGTCTTTACCTCTTTGCTCAGTTAGGTTTAGTGAAAGTCCCAAACAGCCTTGGCGAGTGCATTTGACTTACGGGCTAAGGAATCGTGGCCAATCCGGGTTGGGTGCAAAGCTGTACTGATACACGTGGGATGGAACGTCGCAGGCAACTCCTGGATATCTGTTATGGTTCCAGACACCTCCGAGCTCACTACTCTTCTCGAAAGTAGTGAGCTCAAAGTTCTGACACTTGACGGAGATCCAGTATGCAAGATTGATGCCGAAAAGACCAGCGCCTATGTTGATGACCCTGATCTTACGGTTGGCTTTGAATATTAGTTAACATGCATATTCGGAAGTGAAGAGTATGAGAAAAGCCAAGACTAACAAGGGTCACCAAAGGTCTTGTCAGAGACTTTGTAGTCTGGATTATAATTCTGATAGAATTGACTCCAGACTTTGGCTTCAGTCAGCCTGTTGGCCAAGTCTTGGGAGTCGGGGATCTCAGGGCTCATGGTCAGAGAAGATCTTAATAAGTATTGGTTAACGGAGGTTCTGGTATTGCTTTGGATGCTGCTCTTTTACTTCGGCTGAATTGACTTGAAAGCTATGTTATATACATCGATAAGCTATTGCTACTATTTTTGTACTAGTTGTGAGCATTACGCTTGTTGCTATCCTTCAAGCAATCTGTTCCATTGTTTCCATTTTACTCGGCAGTAACGAGCTCGGAAGTTCCATCGTCGCACGAGATCAAGAGCGGGTTATCCGAGCAATGAAACTCTGACCTGACAGCTACTCTTTTGAGACTTTGTTACAATGCCGCTGTGAGTTGTTCGGAAATATTAATGAGACTTTCCGAAACTAGAGTCTCAGGCAAATGAAGAGACCAGAGCCGAGCAGAGAGAGAAGATAAACTTGGTTAAAACAAAACGCGTAAGCGTAGGATTGACGATCTCGGCGGCTAGCCCAATTCAGGCTAATAAAGCTCGGAACTACCGAACCCCATACCCCACATTGCCTACCCCAGACTTTGACCTCCGAGCTTTGTTTTTCGGATCATGATAATGATACGACCATAAAATGTAGAGCTATTGAACAGGACTTTGATTATAAATCTCTGCTAAGGTGAGAGCATATTGCACATTTTCTCCCGTGACAAACGCAACGTTCTAAACCCGATTCCATCAAAATGTGTGCAGCCTATCAACCCCAGTCATTCTTACGAGGGTTTCAAACTAACTCCTTCTTCAGGGCGCGCAAATTTGTACTGTATGGAGATTATGTCTCCCCATATACAATTACCGCCGCGCATGCATTGCTCGAGAAAGGTCTCAGCTGGGAATACAGACATATTGACATTCTCAAATTCGAGACCCGGGTGCGTGGATCGATTGATTGGACTGTCGCATTTATACTGATTCTCTGCAGACTCCTCAACATCGTAAACTGCACCCTTTTGGCAAAGTTCCAATTCTAGATGTGCTGGATAGCCGAGGAGAAACACTTCTTCGAATCTGTGGTATGAACCTGACTCTCTGCTTGCCAAAAGTAGTATCATGTTACTGAGTTTCTGAAGAGAGCCGCGCCATTGCCCGTTATGTTGCTATCGCATATTCCAACCAAGCGAATTCCTTGATGCCAGATATCGGCGATGTAGATGCCATGGCTTCATTTGAAGAGGCCGCGTCAATGGAAGTATGCTATTTCTCCACTACGGCGTGGAAATATTGCGGCGATATCATCATCAAACCGTACGAGGCCCTTATCCTTGAATTATAAATGAGCTTATTGAATATGACGATGCTAACAAGTTCTGATAGAATATTGGGCATACCTAGAGCAGACGAAAAGACACTGCAAGATATTTGGAGTGAGTTACATGGCGCGCTCAAGGCTATGGACGGGATTTTGTCTGGTGTCAAGTATCTTGCTGGCGCAGACTTCACGCTCGTCGACATCTGGTCGATGCCTTGGGTGTCACAGCTCATTGATTTGAAGGGAGCTGACGTACTCTTTTCTGAGTTGCCATATCTACGAGACTGGTGGGAGAGAGTGAGCTTGAGGCCGGCATGGAAGGAAGCCTGTGGGTTGATGAATGACGCGATGGAAGTGATGCGCCAGAATGTAGCAAAGCGGGAGTGAATCCCAAAACATTAGGTTGTATACATGGGAGCTACACATATAATGAATGGGGCATGGCAAGCTTCCTAGAAATGAAGGGGCCGTTCACCGAGATAAAATGTGTAGACATTTTTTCAACTGTTCAAGATAAGACAGAAGTTCTGAATTACTTAAACCATCGCATGTTTCTGTATACTAAAGTCAAGACTAATAGAACTGGCTTAGTTACTTGTTTGCCAAACGACTGTGGAACCCGTTAGTTACTATGGGGTCCCGAGGTTATAGTGCGCGGGGTCACCCACGTGATCCAAGACATGTCCTACTAAGTCGCTTCTTAACTTGGATGCATTTCTCCAAACTGACTCTGTTCAATATCGATACCATAGATTGAGAGTACCATGTCGCTGCCGATCGTTTCCAGCAAAGATGCGCCAGATACCCAACGTATCACTCGAAGCGTGCGCCGAAAGCGCAACGAGTACACTCTCATCGCATGGTCCGTAACCTCCACCCATACCTACAGTACGCTAATACACTGAGTATAGTATGCTGTGCAAGTCTCGAAAGGTCAAGTGTGACGGCCAGTGGCCCTGTCAGAGATGTACTAAGCGTGGCGTGGAGTGTTCCTACCCGCGTCGTACCAACATACCCAGTATGAGCCCAATTGCTGCAGAAATGAGCTTGTAAGATCCCGAATTACGTGCCTACAAAAGACCCTGTTCTAATCGATATACTTTTCAAGACGAACGGAATACTCTCCGTCGACTGAAGATGGAGCCACGCCCCGCATATCGGCGACTTCCGGCAACATTACGTTGAGTGAAGCAGGCCGCCACTCCCCTCACACCAGTAATAGTCTAGACAACTCTCTTCAAAATCCTCGATGTACCGACAGATCGCCCGCAGCTCGCCGTTCAAGCTTTGTTGATACTTTCAACTTGGCGAAATCCTGTCTCGAAGCCAATGGCATAGTAGGACCTACAGAGAAGGATAACCGAAGCACGGAGAGCGTCTTGTCCTCAGCCTTGCACCGAACTCTTGTCCCAAATTTTGAAGACTGCGTGGAATCGGTTATCGAACTCGGTTATGAGAAGGCTAGAAAGCTATTCTCTACTTTTGCAGAAACCATCTACCCGATTTACCCTTGTCTTGATCTTCATTCAACGGACTGGATCTTGGATACAGTCTTTGGACGTTCCACCAACCACAAGTCACAGCCTCCGTCCATTAGCCTGACCAAGATCGATATTCTCAAAGCTCTATTAGGCCTTACTCTCCTTGTAGAGGATAATAGCACAAGCCCTCTAGCACGTCACCTCCAGCGATACGTCGATTGGTCAGTGGAGAAGGTCATTATCGGGAACAGCCCAGATACTGACGATGTTGTCATGGCTACTTTAATGGTGCGACCCCCACCGTGATTGCACACCTCTCCAACTAACAGATACTCACCTTTAGGGCTTGTATTTCTTCCACAAATCGGAACATATGAAGGCGTGGCGGCTCATCAGCTTGGCCTCGAGGACATGCTTTGAACTTGGCCTTCACCAAGCATCAAACGGGATTGAGAACAATACAGGAGTCCCTGACTCGCTTTCTGCCAAAGAGCTATTCTGCTGTGTATACGTACTAGACCGGACGTTTTCTTTTGCAACGGACCTTCCTCATACCACGAAGGACGAAGACATAGATGAGAAGTGCTTTGATCTTGTAAGTTCACCTTGGTGCTTTCCGGTTAGCTACTGATGATCTAACTAATTGTGAGGGAATATCGGCGCCGTTTTTAATCGTAACCATGGAATATACTCGCCTCAATTCAGAGATATTGGGCTTGCTCAAGCCTTCGACCAAGAGCGCTGCCGAAAGTCGACAGCATAAAGAGTATCTCGATTACAAAGTGCAACGCCTCCGAGATCAATTACGAGACCTCACAGCAGCTGCCCGGTCTTCAATTTCACTTAACAACCATTGGAATCCTCTCCAAAACGACGTGCTTATGAATGACCTAGAAATCTTCTTGGAGGTACGGATCAACCATGCTCGAATACTACTACGAAAGCCCCTCCTTCACTCATACAAAGGCGATCGAGAGAAATTGGCAGCAGCCGCGGTCTGCATCCAGTGCGCCAAAGATACCATCTTTCTCTGTTCTAGTGTCATTAACAAGGCGGTCCCGTTAAAATGCCTTCGAAGCTCGTACGAGTACTTCACCGTCTCATCACTAGCTATAATCCTGCTTGTTGTTTCTCAAGACCCAGAAACCTATGGGCCGGAATGCAGAGATGCCTTCCAAGAGGCCATTAGAATACTCCAGGTTTCCAAGTGTCGACACTTCGCAGCTCAGAATTTGTGCTTTACATTTGAGCAACTCATCCGAATAGGAGAGCGCCTCAACATGCCCAAAGATGACAACATGCCGTTGCTACAAGAACTGGGTGATATGGATATGGGACAGCTCCTAGCAGATCCCCAATTTGCAGGAGCAGGTAAGTGAATTATATTGCAACCTTGAGGAAGAATCAACCACTAAACTTATGGTAGACGACGTGCAAACTCTGGATGACAGTATATTCGGTCTATTCGGGATGAACAGAAACTGGCCAGCCAATAACAGCTATATCTGAGATATCAATGACATGAATCCTATGTTCCAGAAGCAAGTAAATGACCAATATGTCACTCTAAAGAGGGTGCTTGATGACAATCTTGGTCAAGCTGACCTTGCCATCGTTCACATCCTTGATAGCCTGAATCCCCTTCTCTGCCCCCTCCACAATCTGAACATTTGGAATTCGGAACTGCTCCCCATAGTTTGTCGCAGCCCAAATAACCGCCCTCTCTAGTCGTGCTTCCCATATCATGTTTGCTTTATTCCCACCAGGAAACTCGAACGGGATAGGATTGTCAATTTCCCTTGAAGCAAAAACCATTCTCCAGCGTGGTGGGTTACTGATCTGGGGCAGGCAGCTGACGAGTGTGACGTCTGGTGCTGTAGCGATCGACTCGCACTGTTCAATGGTTCCAGGACTGCCTTTCTTGCAGACAGTGTCTAGGACATATTTGATGGTGACTCCCTCCTTCTCAGTTTCAGCTCGAACAGCATCAACGACATTGGGGTCTCGATAGTCGAAGCATTTTGTGGCGCCGAGCTCAAGGAGTGCCTCATGGTTGGCAGGCGAAGCAGTAGTGAATATCCATTTCACTCTCATAGCCTTTGCGAGTTGTATCGCTGCACTACCGACGCTACTCGCGCCGCCCCAAACGAGAAGTGCACCCTCTGGAGGTGGCCCCAAGACGCCTATGGCAGGAAACGGGATCTCGAAATGATTAAGCAATGCATCGGCAGCTGAACGGACCATTATACTGAGAGCGGCGGCGTCTGCACGAGGGACCTGGGCGGGTAACATGGCTGACATCAGGTTTGACTCCAAAATAGCGAAATCTTGATGTCCCCCATGATATCCTGGTTTCGAGCGTCCGGGATGGTTAGATCCAAAGACGACGTCTCCTACTGTGTAGCGACTATGCCTTCCTGCTTCTATGACGGTGCCGCAGATTTCATAGCCGCAAACGTTGTTCTTCATACCAAGATCCTTTGGATGGTTCAGATCAGCTGGGTTGATACCAGAGTATTCAACCTTAACCAGGGCTTGGCCGTCCTTGGGATGGTACGTTTCTGGTATGTCGCGGATAGACAGATTGCAAGAATCGTCGACGAAGATACATTTGTTCATATTGACTTGTGGATGCGTGAGTTTTGTGATTGTTCTGTAGTTTGTCCTCTTTCCAGGGCTGAAACAACGACGTCGAGATGCAAGGTTGTCAAATTTATCCGTAGGTTTAATTGGTAACCATGCATTTGGGTCGTGTGACGGCTAGGAACCCCAACCCCCTATTTGCAAACTTCGGAACTTCCGACCCGTCCTCTTTTTCATCTCGGCCAAACCGAATCTAAGCCAACCTACTGACCTTGACCTCGGAGCCTTACCTTCCACACGTCAATTACCACGAGTCTTCCTTCTGTTGCGGCTTGTCCGACATAATACAGGAAGATCCGTTGATGGAGGAATGCGAGACGCCACGTAATACTCAACGATGCTTCTTAGCCTCTACCCATACAGTCGGAACTTTTTCCGGATGAGATCCAAGGTACGATTTGCAGAAACCTCCGATGCAACTACGTTCTGTAACAGTCAGTTCGGGTATTCCGCCAGGTTACTTACGGGAGGGCGCTCTTGTCGTCGTGCAGGAAACATAAACAGCCGACCAACTGACTACCTCTGATAGAATGACACATTGCATTCTCTTGGCATTGCAGATCCACCTAGACCTTTCCTGCCTCTATTAACAAAATCGTACTGTACTCGAGGAGATATTCAAAGATGGCGCCTTATTTAGCTCCTGAATGGTTAGAGGTAAAGACTCAAGCCCTTGAAGAATCTTTGACGAAGCTCACCCGTCGCAGATCGAGAAGGAGCTTGGCGGTAGACTAGTCCTCGGCGGGACAATGGAGAATTATCGCGCTGGAGGGGAGGCTATTGGGAAGTACATCAGAGCTCATTTGCCCCCTCCTCGGGATGACGGACTTGACGTCGGTTAGTATGCAACCCTCTGTAGACTCTTCTTTAACCGATGTGGCTTAGCGGACGAGAAGATAAACGAAAACGTGTCTGTCCGTATCTACAAACCGAAAGAGTCCAAAGAAGTCTTTCCCATCGGAGTTTTCTGTCACGGTGGCGGCTTCTCTGATGGATCGATTGATATGGAAGATGGCCTTTGCAGACTGATAGCATCGATGTATCCTTGCATCATTGTTTCCGTCGAATATCGTCTTACACCCTCAGTCGATATCAAGGTCGTTTTTCAGGATGCCTTTGACGGATTCTCATGGGTAAGCGAACTTTGCTTTGCAGCTTCCAAATATTCCCAGAGCACTAAATGATGACTTGCAGACCTACGATAACGCGTCTAAACTAGGTGGAGACCAGAAACGTGTGTTCATGCTTGGCAGCTCATGTGGTGGTACACTCTCCCTTGCCACGGCTCACAGGCTCATTGAACTTGGGCGAGAGGGACAGCTCAAAGGAGTTATCAATATGGCTGGAGGTACAGTTCATGAAGCCAATGTGCCAAAGCATCTCCAACACCTCATGAAATCGATGGAAGAGAACGCTACAGATGTCCCAATCATCGACGGACAGACGGCTAAGATGATCAACGGTATGTAACGACCTGGCTTACCATTAGTGAGCAGATACTGACTTCTGGTGCAGCATCGACTGGTCTCGACAAGCATGCCGATGATGAGTGGCTATTTCCTTTGCTCTCATCGCGCCTCGCTCAGTTCCCGCCCGTCTACCTTGTTGCCTGCGGAGCGGATCCTTTACGAGATGATAATGTCGCCATGGAGCATGAACTTCGCAGTAATGGGGTCAAGGTCAAGCTTGACGTGTATGAAGGGCTGCCCCATGTCTTTTGGATGTTTCCAACATTGAGTGCTACGAAGACGTTTGTCAAGAATCTACTGGCCGGGATCAAGTTTATCCTTGAGTAAACTTGCAGTTTCTTCTGCTACGATAGGTATCAATATTCAGAATTGGTAGATAGTGAATAATGAGCGGCTTGAACTTATAAAAGAGTGCACGCCCGGGGATTAGGTAACATAGCTAACCCAGTGACGGAATTACAATAGAGAGCATGTTCCAGTGATCTATAGTCACAATACTACTACAGATTCTGCTTACCCTGCACCGCTCACATCTCGTGAAGATAGGCTGGAAGATATCGACACAGGGTACTGGGAGTGGTAGCATATCTTGCAACTAATTCCTCTCTGAAAACCTTCACCACCCAATTTTCCTCATTCGGAATCAACCAGACTATTTCCGCATACCCCGCGTTCAAGATAAGCACTGCGGTACGTACTATGCCATCGGAGTACCAGACGCCGGCGGAAGCATGTGCCCTCCCATGAATTAGTCTAGGCTGCACAGCATGGTGAGAAATGTAGCTCGGGAAATCCGGGGTATAGGAGGAATACTAAGATATATGTTGTTACTGCCTAGTAAGGGGTTGATTATGCATGTGTGTGCTTATTATTGTTATTAATCTACAACATATTGACGTTGGTAGTATGTCTCGGATCACCCGACTTAAGCTAGCAAGTCACGAACAAACTCATTCTGAGCATTCAAGCACTCACTCCTTAAGACAAAATACTTAGTGAGCTTAGTAGCCAGGGAAAGAGTTCCAAGCGGATAACCCGGTGGCCGGTTACACTGAGCATCTGTTACTACTAGCTCCAGTGGCATACCCCTACCTGAGCCTTGTTCCCGGGGTCGGAATACGAATAGCAATTCCGCGACAAGGATGGGAATTCATGGCTTAAACGCTAGTCTCGTCACTTCCCCGGATTTTCCTAGATCACTAGCTCCCGAGAACCAGCCAGGCTGTTAATAAAAAGACGTTACGACGTCTGAACCTTGATTTCACCAGCTGCTATCTCCTTTCCGTGACCTGCTCTTTATTTCGCAGCTATTGTAACAGCGAATCTATACACAGGCTCTACAATTATTACCTAGCGTTACTCGACAGGTTCTGAGTATATTTCTCTCATTGTTTCTTCTGCACCCCGTCCAACGTCACAAAGGCAAAGCTGGAAGTAGCCTCCAAGCACGGCATGACGCAATTCTCCGGAAGCACTCTTCACAGAAAGGAGAGCCCTATGGTGAGTTCCTCTCTGCCCTGGCACAATCACCCAAACTCTCTGCACTTCTCATAACGCAGCGCTGACATAAATCCTTTTCTAGTCATGGCCATTGTGGTGGCGATTGATCATGATGGGGAACTTATCATTCTTTGTTATGATGGGTCAAGTTCTGGGTGCTTCTATTCCACCTATGCTTCTTCCTCTTGTGAAGGATATGCATGTGAGCAGCACAAAGATCTCTCAGCTCGCGAGCTGGGGAACCCTTTGTATTGGCCTTGGGGTGAGTCTGATGCGCCAATGACCCCATCCTGTTACTCCTTGACTTGAATCAGCGCTGACCATGGGGCTCTTGTTAGAATATCTGGGCACTACCTACCGTCGCCTACATCGGCAGTCGTTATACCATCCTCATCGGTCTAGCCATCTTCACCGCAGGCTTTTTCTGGCAAGCCAGGGCGCAATCATACGAATCTCTACTCGCAGCTCGTGTCATCGGCGGGTTAGGCGGTGGTGTTGTAGAAGCACTAGGTCCAGTTGTGGTGGTGCTGCTATTTCCTCGCGAGTACGTCGCCCGAGCTATGAGCGTATACACCTGGGCTTTGGGTGCGGGCGCCGTCTTTGGTCCATTGATTACCGGCTACGCGGTCGATAACCTGGGGAGCTGGAGATATCCGAATTATATATTCGGTGGCATCTCTGCTCTCAACCTCCTTGTCATGGTCCTGATGTTCCCAGAGCCTCTCACCAATATTCGAGTTCCTGGCGACCCAGAGCATTCCGACTTTCCTATCGAGTCCCATGATGAAGGGCAAGTCAGTGAGCCAAAGGAGCCTCTGGAGGATGTTGGTGATGCGCAGCAATACGAGACACGCCCAGCTTCAGTTGCCATGATTGAGTCAGACAAGCCTGGTGCACTCTGGTTGAGACGTTCTTTCTTCTTAACTCTTAGACACAACCATCCCCCACCAAATTTCTTCTATCTTGTTGTGGAACCATTCAGAATCCTTGTGTCTCCTGCTGTCATCATCACAGTCCTTTTGTTCGGCTTCTCAATCGCCGGTACCATTGCCACCTCAATCCTGGTCTCCATTACATTCTCTCAGCCGCCGTGGCTGTGGACATCCGGCCAGGTTGGCCTTTACAACATCGCCCCTCTCTTGGGTTTGTTAGCTGGCATGCCTTTCGGTGGTGCTGGGGCAGACTGGCTTGCCGAAAGACATTTGCGACGCCATGGCGAGTTCAAGCCTGAGTCAGCGTTACCTATTCTTTTACCATTCGCTATTGCGACTCCAATAGCTACAACGTTTATAGGTGTTGGATTTCAGCGAGGCTGGCACTGGGCTGTTGTCGGACTGTGCTGGGCCATCCTCAATGCCAATTTGACTGGAGGATGCAATGTTATGATCTCTTACTGCACTGAGAGCTATCCCAAGAAGGCCATTCAGATTGGTGTCGTGGTTAATGTCATTAAGAATGTTATTGGCTTTGGGGTATCTTACAGCACTCTGGACTGGTGGATGAAGGATAAGTACTTGATGTTCTTGACTGTTGCTCTGGTCATTTTTGTGCTCTTCATTGCTGCGGTCCCCTTGTGGATCAGCGGGCCGAGCATTACTCGCAAGACTAAAGGCTGGGTAGGTTATGAGGAGGAGTAGTGTGATATCTGGACAGCAGACTACTGTGAGCTTGGAAACGCTCCGTCGTAATGCATGTCGGTACCGAAGACCATTTAACAACATGAAATAGTTTCATTAACAGCTCTCTTTGCTTCAAATTCTTGCTGAACTCAGTGGCGCTCAAAGGTGGTACTCCCAGAAAGGTCTTAGTATGTCCAACACTTCCTCACGCCAACTGTTCCAAGCCTCCTCACTTCTCAATGCCTCAGGCCATTTCTCAGTTCCTTCACATCTCAGAAACTCATCCCCATACCAATCCCATCCAAGAAACCCATCCATAGACTTCCAAGCCTGAGCGGACGACTTATCTCACAGGATCCCATCATAGTAGTATTGATAATAATCACCAGATCCGCGATTCGTTAACTCCTGAAATCGTGGATTTGTACCCACCTTCGCTAACGTGTTACAAAGCTCTTTGAGATTGATAAAGTCCTGTCTGGCTTCATCTAGTGCTGACTTTCGCTGCAGCTTCATTATAACTGCCGGCTGTCGTTGCTCACCTCTGGTATAAGTAGAGTCGATATCGATCCTGGCGCCTGCGCGGCAAAGAAATGCGATGGACTTGGGATCAAACGTGAATGTGATAGCACAATATAGTGGCCAGTCGGGCATTCCTTCGGGAGGAACCCTTTCATGCCGAACGGTGAACTTCTCTTCTCCTTCTGATTCGACCTGCCAGATGGAGCGAATGGTGAAAGGCCTCATTCGAGTAGTCACACTGTTTCTCTCAATAAGAATCTCCATAAATCGCTGAACCTGTGATATCGCGGCAGGTAATATCGCAGACTGGGTAGGAAGAGCGTCAAGCTTATGTCTCCGCGTAAGTGAGACTCCAAGGTGAGAAACGTAATCCAGGAAAAGTGATAGATCGCTTGGTGTTTGCGTTTCTATCAATTGGGAGCAACCGCTGACTACCTCCTCCGCAACTGTAGTCGCGTCCTTAGAGCAAACTTGTTCACGCTTGGAGATATGGATGAGCCTCCTAGCCTCATGTTTGTCCTTAGACATCAATACATGTGCCAGCGTATTAATGATATCCTCCATGGACGGCGGAACCATATGGATGAATTCATCAAGACGGTCCCAATTCTTTTCGTCGAATGCGAGCTTATAGAGTTTTCGTCGTGCCCGAAACGGGACGGAAGGATCTGCTGCCGAAAGGATAGTTCTCAATGCCGTTGTCTCACTAATGTTTAGAAAGACCCCGATGAGAGACAATGTCTCCTCTTCTTCTGATTTCCGCTCTCCATCTTGCCCTTGTTCCTCAGCTGTCTTCTGCTCTGTAACCCCTTCGTGCTCTTTATGCTCCATGTTATCTATTCTGGCTGAATGGCGAGTCTTCATGAACGACACGAGTTTTAACCGAGCTTCGTCTGTCACGCTGTCCAGATCCACTTGAATGCCCTGATGAGCCAGTAGTAACTTTACCAAAGTTTTGTTCCTGCAACTGTTGCTCGCCGCCGACTTGAGAACGTCTTGTGTGATGTGTGCATCCTTTCCTTCTCGGCGCAGCAGGATTTACGTCAGCTCCTGGCCGCATGAATAATTCTCTGCAGCTGCAATAAAAACACTCGCGCTTATCTGAAGGTCCTCTCCCAGCCGATTAAGAATGACCTTCATTACCTCCACTCCGTATTCCGTATTCCGCGCGGCCGCAGTCAATATGCACTCGCTTATACGTCCAGGACCTTCTTGGTCGATCAGGATATTGACCGCTTCCGCGTCAAGCGACTCCACCGCTTAAAGCCACAGCTCATCCTTGATCGGCACCGCGATTTGTTTCTTCTGTAAGATATCCTGGAGTGTTCGCCACTTCAACTCATCATGCTTGTAACCACCTAGTTTTAGAACAAAACGTAACTCGTTCAAGAGATCAATTAACCACTGTAGGTAGTAACCTTCCGCGTAGCCTGTACGGACGGCGTATTCCAAGAAGTCTTTTGCCTTCTTCCACTCGTCCAAGGAGGTATAAGCTGCAGCCAGCTCTATGGAACATTCGACCCTCGTCCTATTCTCTTGTGTCAGGGTTAAGCTGTAGGAATCAAGGGCTTTCTGGAAGATCTCTACTGCTGCCTCGGAGTCTCTCGCGTCTTTCAATATTTGGCCGGTTGCTCTGAGTAGTTGGCCCCTTCTAACAGGCTCTGGATGATGTGGTTCGGTATATTTAAGGATGCCCCTTTCCCCCCAGCTGTTGATCTCTTCATCTTGCGGTTGACGTCCTCCACTCTCTACGTCTCAAGTAAGAACAAAATTCCGTGGATTCGAGTTTTGAGGCATATCGATTGGCGGTTGGACTGAATTGATGGTTATCATAATAACTGCGAAGTGTCTGCCATTCTGTCGAATAAGCATTGGACTTGTAGCTCCATCGAGCATACAGAATATATCATCTGGTTGTACGCCTTTTACTCCAGCGTGTATGTTCCAAGTACGTGGAGGCCATGCTGATTCGAAGGAACCTGTAAATGCCATGGTCACCCGGAAGTCTCGATCTTTGTTGCTTCTTGGAGCCACTGAAGCCACTTTCCCAATCACGAACCCTTTCCCGCTGATCACAGCTACCTTGTGACTGTTGGATGTTTTGACTGTGACCTTGGGCCCCAGTAGGAAAGTGATCAGTCGCCTGAAGAGAACGCCCCAGGGTATGCTATAATCTGGTGTGAGTTCTGTGGCTGAAGAGCCATCGGTACTCATTCCAAGCATCGCAAAAGTCTTGTCGAGTGGATCTGTGGCATCGTGTGCATGATACATATCCATAAGCTCTCCCAGTGGCCTGATACTGAGAGTGACTGATCCCGAAGTTGTGCGAGTGTATTTCGGGCGAAAGATGGAACCTCTCATCAGATACTCAACAGAAGAGATGACACTAAAGGACTCTTCAGTGTCTATGTATGTAGGAACCCCTAAGCAGAATGCATAGCCATCGATCTCGGATGATCCGCAAACAACGATAACATGTTGAGCTGCTGCAACTTCTTGCAGAATCTATGTGAGATTAGTTAAAGTAATGCATATATGGACTCCAACCTACCCAAACTCTCCGGAACCAAGGTCTCTCGAGTAATGATATAATCGATTGTGGTGTAGGAGCATCCTTTCCAGTTGCCGTATCCTCCCTCTGCGCCGCCGCTCGAATACATTCAATGGCCTCGTCGGTCTCAGGCGTCGCCTCACCAAGCCATACTATGACTTGTCGAGCTTTGTAATAGACCTCGGCCATAAGTTGCACCTGCTTAGCGCGCTCTCCGAGGCTGCCCTGGTCGATACATATCGCATCTACCCATAGGATGCGCTCAATGAAGCAATCACGTAATTTCTGAAGTGCTGCGTGACAATTGGCAGTCACAGTTAGTTCTTTATCATCAATCCAAATGGAATGCTGCTTTTCGGGCGGTCCCCAAGTGTAAGAAAGGGCTTCATAGAGCTGTGTTTGTGCTCCAATATCAGATAATGGGTATTCGAAGAGGCTGCCTTCAAGTCGGTCTAACGGGTTCGAGCTCGGCGACAGGCGAAGCAACCAGATGTGTTTGTCATCTTGTAAGGCAGAGTAAACATACTGATTACTACCCATCTTCAGAGTGCATCACGATATTTCTGCCGCCATTTGTGGTTTCTGTCTTTGAATGAGTAACTTGAAAACATAATATCGACAAATTACAAACGCCATTGCTCGAGGCCTCATGAGGCAGTGCAAAGTTGCATTCTCTGAAAGGGACTTCAGTATCCCTGCTAATTCCTGTCTGCCTAGCTAGTTCTTCGCTTCGACGGCGATCGGTTTATAAGTATCATTAAAAATTACCTTGATGCTCTCAGCGAGAGGCCAACGAAAGAAGATTCTCTTTCTTCCTGACTTGATCCAATATGTTTTACAGTACGGTGCATGAATGTTACAGACTCTGCGGATCTGTTAGTGACAAACCAGCCTTAAAATGAGTACAGGGATGTTCAATTCCCCATGGTTTTCTGGATACAAGAATAATAATATTGAGATAAAGGAAAGTGGAGCCAATCCGAGCCGCCAATCTAACTAACCTTTCCGCTTCCATACATAACAGTAATGATTCAAGACCCGCCGTTCCCTGTGAGAACCCCGACCCCACGTTATATTGGACATACAGGGCTTTACATTTAGCTATCAACTCTCTCTCCTTTTATCCCCTACGCTGGTACAAAGGAAAAGCTGCGCAGATTGACACCTCCGCTCAGCAAGCGGCATGATTCGTTTACGTGGCGGATGCAACAACTGTCGGCGTCACCGGAAAAAGTGTGACCAGCAGCGACCCTGCTGCACGCGCTGCAAGAGCCGGGGCTATGAATGCTCCGGCTACTCGAATCCACCGCGGTGGGTAAATTACGCTGCAGATCCGACTGTGTCTTCGAATCCAGCCCCTCAGGATGTCACGTCGAGCCTGGCGCTTCCTGCACCGCCACCCAAGTATGAGACACACATGACACAGCCTCTCTTTCAACAATGTAAACTGAGCAAGTCTGTTGATACGATATAGCCATGGTAAACTAACCATTACGGCAGATGTAAACTACGGACTGAGAATGTTTTGCAAAGGGTATTCCAAGAGCTGGATCCAGCCTTACTTCGTCGACATGTCGACACAAAGCCCCTCTGTCCTGATTCTTTCTGCTGCTATACAGTTATACATAAACCAAGGCTCTTCTGTGCCAGCTCTGGAATGCGTCGATCTTGCCTTGAGGACATTTCGCTACGAAGTTGTCTCATACCGGGACACAGTGAGCGCTGGTACTCTCTCAGCCGGTGTCTTGTTATGTAAATTGAATGTAAGTCCTGAAAAGCTTCGGCCAAACTTATGCCCCATCAAATGATCATAAGACGACTAATCTGAAACTACTGTATAAGTAGTTTCTGCAAGCTCAGCCTTGTACGCCATACATCTGTATGATGTCGGAAGTCTATCACTTGAATACTCAAATGAACTTTCTGGTCTTGCAACAAAACGTTGTTGTCCGACACGCCCTTGAGCTTCTGGCTGTCATGGACATTCCACAATTTGTCCTTGGAAGAGTTTGCCCTTCTCTTGGTCTCTGGAAACGCTTCCGTGAAGCCCAAGATACTTGGGAAGGCGGCAGACTGAGGGGAATAGAGGTGGTTTCGGGAATGCCCATGGACCTTCTAGATATATTCGCCGATGCGGCGCATGACGATACAGAGAATCTAATCCTCCGCTTATCGGAGTGGGAATGGCAAGGTGATACCGCCGAGTATCTCCAGTATAATCTGTGGGATGCCTGGCGGCTGGCTGGTATCGTAGATCTTAGGAGACGAGAGCGGTGCAGGAGAAGACTGCAGAATACACAAGCTGATTATGACGCAGACGAATCTTGTGCAGATACTTCTGTCCTCGACCGCTTGATGGCAGTTATTTCCATCATCTTCGACGACTCACGTCTCCCAAAGTACAGGCACGTACTCATCGGTCTTATATTCCCCCTCGTTGTGGCTAGCCTGGAGGTGCCTTATCTAAAGCGACATACCAGGGCGAAGCAAATAGTGGACGATGTACAGAACGCAATCAAAGCCGAACGCACGTATAATCTAACCAAAGTTGTGTTCCGAATACTTGACGATGCTTGGAATGATGGGTCATCTTGCTACGATATAGACGCAAGGGCGCGATTTCAGGGTGTAGAAGTAGCTCTGATGTAGCCAGAACAGAAATATAGTTCATGTCACCACTCAAAGCCACCAGACAGTAAGAAATACATTGAATCAGTCGTTAAAGTAGAGATTTCCGAGCCGCTTACGTTCCTGTGCCCTGTTACATTATTCCACCACGCCAGGAAATACACCACGTAGGAAAAAGTCAAAGAAAACGCCCATGAAACCAAAAATACAGATTGTGGCTTACGAAAGTCCGAGACCCTTGATATTCTTAGCCCAGCCTTGCCAGTTAAAGTCATCGCCAAACATATCAACATCGGCGAACTCGAACTCTTGAGCACTTATATTCGCAGTAGTGGGAAGGCTTAACCAGGGAGGGGGGTGAGGATGGTGGATATCAGGGCTATCGTGCATCTCGTTATTAATTAGCCCAGTATATCCACCACTTAGCTCGAATATTGACATATCAGTGTGCTTTTCTGGAGGCTGCCACGTGGATGTATCCGAATGAGTCTTGGCATTTCTGCAGAACTCAAGGCCTATGGGCTCTTGGTGTTTCCAAGTCTCCTGGGACCGAGTTGGTGAGCTGGATGGAACTGATGATGATGGGCAGGGCCGATGTGCACCTTGAAACGGCGTATCACCGTTTCCTACCATGATAAGAGCTTTCCACTTGGCTCTGAAGAGATCCATCATCTGGTCGTCACCTCCAAACTGGTCGCCAAAAGGTAAGATGATGGCAGTCATGCGTTCAGCGTGCTCGAGGCGATTAGCTTCCTCTAGATCCTCGCTGAGGCGTGCGATCTCCCGATTTCGGTGTTTGTTGGCTCTCAGCCATAGCTTTTTCACTGGCAAAACAACTGAATGGTATGCCCGGGTTTCTAGGTAGCGAGGATCGCGCCATCGGTAGGCCTGGACAGCCTGCCATCCTCGCTCCACAAGGGGTGTCCACGGGCGCCGACAGCTCTCGATGAGGAAGTAGGCTATGGCATGCCAATTGGTAAAGGTCCGGAAAAGCCATCTGTATTGCTGGACCTGTGGGTCTACATTGAGCCTATGGTCGTATTCGAGGATGTTGACGGCGGCCCGGTAGACACATTGCCTGGCCTCATCAGAAAGTTGGCTCTGCACATCAGCGGCTGGGAAGAGAGCGGGATGGTAGATAACAAAATAGATCTTGGCCCTAAGAGAACGGGCAAGCATCGCCGCCATGTCGTACAGGTTATCGGTCTTGTCTATCCACTTAAAGAACTTTTCGTCCACACGTTTGTAGACTTCAAGCAGCATCGTCTTTTGCTCTTCTACCGTCGCCACTGTAGATACGGCTTCGATGACCTGTCGGGAAAGGTTGCAAATCTCGCACCTGACCAGGACCAAGGTGGTATCTGTGCGTCCTTCTCGCGGTGCAGGTGAGTCCTGTAGGTCTGGGCTGATGTCCGTATCGTTCAAATTAGAGGGCATCTGCGTATCAAACGTCGATTTCCCCACAATCAGGTCAGTGCCAAGTTCTTCTGCAGATCGAATGTCCAATTGCAGGAGTGCCCACCATAAACGCCTTCGCAACTCTTTCTCGAAGGGTCGGAGGGCCAGCTGAGACCCGTCGCGATGGAGACCCATACCGCGAGCGAGATGGATAGCAAGCCCCGTCAAGGACCAGCAAAGACGGGACTCACCTTCATGCCGCAAAACAGCCAGGAATATAGACAGTGCTTGGAGGACGGTAAGGTCTGAGGTAATGACGAAATCTGCTTGCGACAGGGCTCGCTGGGTAGCAAATCGATATCTAGCCAGGGCTTCATCCTTGCTCTGACCAAGGTTGGAGAGTACATCTTCAGGATCGAGTGATACGACGGCGGCGTAATAGATGGCCCATATCAAGGCTTGGTGTCCGGCGGATAGCTGGTCAAACCTTGTTCTTGCATCACGGAATACCTTTTCCATCGTGGGAACATGAACAGCTTTGAGCAGCGGCTCGACGTTCTCCTGGTAGATAGACCATAGATATAGAACCTGAGTTGGCTCAGGGAGATGCATGACCAGAACAGAGTCGATGGGGCGGTATCCGAAGATGAACGGGTTATGATGTGAGGACGAGGCACGTAGTGTGACATTGTCGTCTCCATGATTCGAGCAGGCATCGTCCAGGTTGTTGCCTTGTAAACATGGCGACTCTTCGCGAATAGAAGTCCACTACTGACTTTAGATGAATGAAGGCGAAAGAGGAAATACATGCAGGAAAGATTACCTCCTCATCCAGTTTTGCCCAGATGCCATCGCAGACATATCTCTTACTACCACTCTCTTCATGCAACACCAATCGGCCAAGCTTGAGTTGTAGTTCGTGAGATCGAACCGAATGGCCTGGATCGGTGGTAAGTTCGTCTCTTTCAAGTTCTTGACAATGTGTTTCTGGACTCAAAGAGTGACTCGGCGAGTCTTTGGGAGTGCAGGTTTGAGTCTGTGATGCCACACGGCTTGGAATAGATGGCACAGCAGACTCAAGTCCAGGCTCGCCATTGATTCGATCGCCAAGTTTCTCAATCATAAGCTCCAGCATGCTGACTTTCTCGGCGAGATCGCTCTCTGCCATCGATTGAGTGCCATGACGCCTGATTCGAGTCTGTCGCGGTGCCCGTCCTACGGGGTAGATACAGGGGACTTGAGCCCGTCGACAAGTTGAACACGGTGATTCTTTATTGCAACGGACTTTGCGACGTCTACATAGAAAGCACGATTGAGGCCGCAACGAAGATACTGGAGAGTAGTGGCCAGCAGTACAAGACACTTTGTTGTTGAGATGAAGGGACGGAGAAATCGGGGCAAAAGGCGTGTTGTTGGCAGTTGCAGCAGCAACAGAGAAGGGGGGAGACTGGACCTCAGGATCGTTCATGCTTGTGTGGTGAGGGGTAACAGATTGGAGAGCTGAGGAGATACCAAATGAAACTGGCAGTCAAAGGAGCATGGGCGGGAGGGCCAAGGAGGTGGTCAACTCATGTCATGACACACTGGTCCATCCGTGCTTAGAGGATGATGCATAAAAAGCCTTGGCGTGGGCCAGATGGAGTTTACTAGGGTGTCGCTTATGCTAACTATATTCGGGCACGATTGACATATCTCTTCAAGGGCTGGTATCCAACCACGTCCTTCAGGTGTCCGCGGAGCACGAGCGAAGACTCCACTTGACTCCGAGACCGAAGACGCGAGTAGATTTCGGAACCAGAAACGGCTCTCATTGGTTGCGAATCATAGTGCTAGACCTGGCTGTAGCTCAGGTAGCAAAATAGATCACTTATCAGAATCTGCCGAGATTCCAAGGACTACCGGGCTACCCTACGCCCCTAACTGGCGCAAGCCATGTGCGTCTTGCAGCCAGGGATCCGGTCAATCTAGGTAGTAAATCACGAATCTAAGAATTTCGAGCAAATTTGAAGCCGGCTCCAGAATACTCCGTCTAATAACCAATAGACCGAACCCGACTCCGAGGCCGACGCACCGAAAAACAGCTTCCACCGTCTGAGACTGGATTGTCAACAGCAGTTCTCAGGGGAACCAATATAGAATGCCTTTTAATATAATTCAAGATCGCCAGCCAGAAAGTGGCGCAGAAGTCCACCTAGATCTCAAAGATTCTGTTGCAACAATCCCAAGATGAACTCAACAGCTTCACCCACCTCCTCGGAGATAACATCCGCCGACAATCTAGACGACACAATTGGGAATATCGCTCGGCAGGTCACACAAACATCAAATCGTCAGCCTGAACATGGCACAAATAATGCCATCAATCCACAAAAGGGAAGTAACCTCGACCCTTTCTCGCCAGCATTCGACGTCAAGGCCTGGACCAGGGCATTCATCGACCTCTTCGATGCCGACCCTGACGCCGCGCCTCACCGGACAGTTGGTGTTGCCTACGGAGGCTTGAGTGTCTGTGGATCCAGCACGGGCAGTCAATACCAGAAGACGGTTGGAAACATCTTGCTGAGCACGGTGACATCCCTCGTTGGGCAATTGACGGGCAGAGCCAAGAATCAAGTCAAGATTCTCGACGGGTGCGAGGGAAAAGTCGAGCCAGGCGAAATGCTCCTCGTGCTCGGCCCCCCTGGTTCAGGGTGCTCGACTCTGCTCAAGACGCTTGCAGGACGAACAGAGGGTCTGGAAGTCTCTGAGGAGTCTCACATCAATTATCGAGGTTGGTGACATGCTTGCCCATAGTAAAGCCAACGCTCCAGGCTTGACTCTAACTCTGGACGCAGGAATTGACCCGGCCGATATGCACACTCGTTTCAGAGGCGACATTATGTACAACGCTGAGCTCGACGTCCATTTACCCGCACTGACGGTTGGCGACACCCTCGAGTTCGCCGCACGAGCAAGAGTACCCTCGGTCATCCCTGGTGGCTTCTCCTCAAAGCAGTTTGCGCGCATCCTGCGAGACGTGACCATGGCCATGTTCCGTATTACCCATACCAGCAACAGCAAAGTGGGCAACGACTATATACGCGGTGTGTCTGGGGGTGAAAGAAAACGCGTCAGCATTGCAGAAGCCGCTCTGGTGCGGGCCAAGTTGCAATGCTGGGACAATAGTACCCGTGGCCTTGATAGCGACAATGCGATATCCTTTTGCGAGACCCTTCGAGTGCAAGCCGATATCATGGATATTGCGGCGGTAGTGGCGATTTATCAGGCTCCGCAGTCAGCCTATGATGTGAGTGGGGTGTTTGCTCTCTTGCAGCCTTTTGCCAACAACTGACATGTCGCAGGTCTTTGACAAGGTCACCGTCTTGTATGAAGGTCGGCAGATCTTTTTCGGACCCACGCAGGATGCAAGGCGATACTTTGAAAGCTTAGGATTTGAATGTGAGCACAAGTCTTAAACTCCGGTGTTTGGCACGGAAAAGCCCCTGACTTCTTGCAGCCCCGGAGCGACAAACAACGGCAGACTTCCTGACCTCCATGACATCTCCCCACGAACGTCGAATCCGACCTGGTCACGAGTCTCAGGTCCCCAGGACAGCAGCCGAATTTGCCGTTCGGTGGCAGGAGTCTAAAGAACGCAAGGCCTTGCTGGCTCAGCTCTCCGCCTACGACCGCGACCATCCACGAGAGGAGCGGCTGCAGCATTTTTCCACCAGCCACAAAGCCGAACGCAGCTCAGCTCAGCGCCTCAAGTCTCCCTACACCATTCCTTATCTCCGTCAAGTCCAGCTATGTCTGTGGCGAAGCTGGAAGCGCTTGGTGGCGGACCCTGGGTTCACCGTGGCCCAGCTACTCTTCAATCTTGTCATGGGCTTCGTGCTGGGCAGCATGTTTTATAACCTCCGTGACGATACGAGCAGTCTCTATTACCGTGGTGGTTTGATCTTCTTCGCCATGTTGTTCAATGCGTTTGCAAGCGAACTGGAAGTCAGTTAGAACTAACTCCAGAAAGCAGCCCATATTGTCTCACTGAGCTAACATTACCGCTATTAGGTTCTCACGCTCTATGCTCAGCGCCCCGTGGTGGAAAAACACAACCAGTATGCTCTCTATCACCAATCCGCCGAAGCTATTGCGAGCTATGTGATGGAGCTCCCGTACAAGACGACCAATACCATCATCTTCAATCTTATTCTTTACTTTCTGGCGCAGCTGCGGCAAGATGCCGGGGCGTTCTTCTTCTTTGTCCTCACTGCCTATCTGATTCTGCTGACCATGTCGGGAGTATACCGTACGGTGGCATGTATAACCAGGACCTCTCACCAGGCAATGGTACCATCTGCTATCCTAACCCTCGGCCTGATGCTTTACAGTGGGTTCACTATTCCTGTTGGCTCTATGAGGGGCTGGGCACGATGGATCAACTATATCAACCCCCTCGCGTATGGGTTTGAAGCGCTGATGGTGAACGAAATGCACGGTCGACAGTTTCCTTGTGCCAGTATCGTTCCATCTGGACCTGGTTATAGCCATTTGACCAGTTCACAGAGCACTTGCGCCGTCGTTGGGGCTGTTCCGGGTGCTACGACTGTCAATGGAGACGCATATCTGGCGGATACTTACCAGTACTACTATGCTCATAAGTGGAGGCAAGTAATCTCGCGCGAGATTCAGCCTTCTCATGCTGATGAACAGACAGGAACATCGGAATACTCTTTGGATACACGATTTTCTTCTTCTTCACCTACGTATTAAGTGCAGAGTACGCTCGTCCTGCGCCCAGTCGGGGTGAGATACTGGTCTTCCGTCGCGGGACATCGTCTCCAACCGCCAAGCAACACCCGAACGACGAGGAGCTCCAGTCCACTGGCCATCAACTTATTGAAAAGCCTTCCACGTCGTCGATGCCACAAAACCCACCCTCCTCCAAACATCCAGCACCCAGCGTATGTGGAAAATCAGTCTTCCACTGGGAAGATATTTGCTACGATATAAGCATCAAGGGGAAGGATCGACGAATCCTGGATCACGTTGACGGGTGGGTACAGCCCGGAGTGACGACTGTTCTCATGGTAAGCCACCAAGTATTTCACACTCCCAGTAATGAGGAATAACAAAGTTTTCAGGGCGCCTCGGGAGCTGGCAAGACGACACTCCTCGACACACTGGCAGGTCGAATCTCGGTCGGGGTGCTCAGCGGCGATACCTTGGTCGACGGTAAACCGACTGGTCGCTCATTTCCCCATCAGATCGGCTATGTTCAGCAGCAGGACCTTCATCTCAATACCATGACGGTCCGTGAAGCCCTGGAGTTCAGCGCCCTGCTTCGCCAAAGCGATAGCATCCCCCGAGAGGAAAAGCTGGCCTATATCGACGAAGTTGTCTCAGTCTTGGAGATGTCCGAGTATGTCGATGCTATCGTTGGAGTACCTGGCGAAGGCTTGAATGTGGAGCAACGTAAGCGCCTAACAATCGGTATCGAATTAGCTGCCCGGCCCCAGCTTCTAATTTTCTTTGACGAGCCAACGTCTGGACTGGACTCACAGACGTCCTGGGCTATTTGTGATTTGATTGAAAAGCTGGCCAGGAGTGGTCAAGCTGTTCTATGCACTATTCACCAACCTTCGGCGATGCTCTTTGCTCGGTTTGACAGGTTACTTTTACTGCAGCCGGGCGGCAAAACGGTGTATTTTGGTGGTAAGTCCTACTCCTACCCTTCCTTGAGCCTCCTCTCACACATGCCTCAGAGATCGGCGACAACAGTCGGACTATGATCGACTATCTGGAGAGGAACGGTGCATCGCCTTGTCCGCCAGAAGCGAATCCCGCCGAATGGATGCTCAAGACAACCCTCCCATCTGCTGATGGCCCGCCATGGTTTGACGTCTGGCAGGCCTCTCCAGAGTATTCGGCCATGAAGCAAGAGCTCACTCAGTTGCGTTTAATGGAGCCTGTGACTAATTCCGCTGCCTCATCCTCCGGGAACAATGCTCACGACGGCGAATTTATCGTCTCATTTTCGACGCAGCTTCGCGAGGCATTTTTACGTCTGGCCAAGCACTTTTGGCGATCTCCCGTCTATATCTGGTCAAAGCTCTCAGTTACCATTCTTTTTGTGAGTTTACTTACCCAGAAGCCGAAAGTCTGGGTGTCTCACAGTATTGACCATGGCATAGTCTCTTTTTATTGGCTTCAGCTTCCACGCCAAAAACAGCCTTCAAGGCCTGCAGAATCAGCTTTACTCGGTCTTCATGTGTGTCCTTATCTTCAACCCATTTAACAAGCAGATCATGCCCATGTTCGTTCCGCTACGTGCTCTCTACGAGGTTAGAGAAAGGCCCTCCAGAATCTATCGCTGGACAAGTAAGTGCATCTGCTCTTTGACCTCTCTTGCCCTATACCTGTCGGCTCACATGTCTCAAATGCAGCATTCATCCTCTCCAATGTCTTAATTGAGCTCATCTGGAACACCCTCGCCGCCGCCATATTCTTCTTTTGCTGGTATTATCCCGCTGGCTTCGTTCGTAACACTACTTCAGATGACATCCACATTCGTGGCTTCACCGTATTTCTCTTCCTCTGGCAACTCATCCTCTGGATATCAACTTTCTCTCAACTGGCTATCTGTGCGATTGAAACGGCCGACCTGGCAGGTGTCCCGGCCTCACTGGTCTCTGTTCTCTGTATGGCCTTCTGCGGCGTTGGGGTCGCTCAGACCGATCTCCCCTCCATCTGGCGTGACTTCATGTATCATGTGTCTCCAATGACATATCTCGTCAGCGGTGCCTTAACGACGAGCCTGCATGGGTCAAATGTGACGTGTATCTCTACCGAGATCGTGCGCGTTCCTGGTCGAGAGGGTACCAACTGTGGCTCGTTCTTGGCCGCCTTTGTGGAACAGGCGGGAGGTTACCTAATTAATCCTGAATCAAGAGGCGAGTGTCAGTATTGTTCGATGGCAACGACGGATCAGTACCTGTTGCAGTTCAGTATGAAATATGATGAGAGATGGAGGAACTTTGGCATCGGTTGGGCCTATATCATCTTCAACATTGCCGCGACGTGTGGCTTATATTGGCTGGCTCGAGTACCTCGGCGCTAAATTACTGCCTTCGGGGTCATTGTATTGGGTAGAGGGGATTTAGTTCAAGGTTCAGCTCGAAGACCGGAGCAGAGTCAATCTCTTGTCGGCTAGCATACCACAGTTCATGGTGTGTGTAGCGACGGTGGCTATTGTACCAACAATTTTACCATAGAATTTCATTCATATGTCGTTTTAACGGACTTTGCTAGATTTAATATATCATTTCTTTTCATTGCGCACAGCTTAGCACTCTTCCAGGTCCGAGACTTGAAAGTGGCTACAACAGAATGGACAGGGACGGAATTAGCAATAAACCTAATATTCATGAATTCCGCGCATTCCGCTAACAGTTCAGTCAGTATTCCAGCCATTAGCACCTATTAATAAGGTAATATAAATAGATAAGCATCTGTTTACCTTAAAATAGGCTAGCTGAAACGTAGATCAAGCCACAGTGCTTCGGCTTTATTTTCGAGATGTATGATTAGACACTCGACAATGATATGCCGAGACCCTTGCACAGAAGAACAATGTCCGTTTCAGCGTCTTTATAACCTTTTGGCATTCGCCAACCCAAGTTCACCCGTTCTTCTTCCCGGGTATTACGAAGATCCTTTAATATTGCGAAAAGGCAAATTAGTCCTATACAGCTTCATCCACTAGAAAGTCTTGTGTCTCGTTGCAAGTCGCACGTTCATACACACAGTATCCATGCACCTGATATCACTCCTTTCTCATTCTATCACTGCCGCGGCGGCGACAGATATCATCTCAGTATGTTCAATAAAAGTGAATTACCCGAACCTGAAGTTCTGATTTGTTTAGGCAAGAGTCTACAGTAAGACCAACTTAAAAGGATCATATAAGGACGTCCATGGCTTTGGTTGCGTCAACATTACACCCAGGTACTTACAGTCTTCAACAGCAGACTTCAATAAAGCTAATTCTTGAGCAGCACCTTCAAAGTCGAGAGTATTCATCTTCGCCACCAAACATTCTGCTACCTATATCCGTGAGAGAGCCATGATTTGTTGATAAATTTCACCCACTGATACTCAGCAGTGCTAAAAATTGTAAAGGCTCGAGCATCTATACAGCGAGGGATGTTGATGATCCGAGACTGGACCCGACTCATTCAGTTCATTGCTTCGATAATACAAACTAGGAAATTTGTTCTACTGCATGTGGTCCCAACATTGATGCAGATTTAATCGTTGGTGTTGAATTCACGGGCTGCTTCTAAGGCGCATCTCTATCGTATAATCGCTCGCATCGCTGTTGACACAGCTGGAATCGAAACGCAGTGGGAGATGTTAGTGCTTCCCTATCAGAAATATGTCATTGCTCTTTAACCCCTTTACTCACCGCAAGGCTGCTTTGTCACTAATAAAGTCGTCCAATCGGTAATATTGTCATGATACCATGAAACGCATTAGACTAAGTCAGAAAAAGGGCTTTGTCTTTTACTAGATAGGAACTAATATTAATATGCGATTGAGCTTTTGACTTCATGGTTATTGAAGTAGAGAAGTAGTTAGTTAGGCATACAGCAATTATTAGGGATACTGAAGTCACTGTAAGAGAAAACAATCTTGCACTGCCCCAAGACTTACTTAGATATATCCGTATAGCGGCCTTCAGAAAGGCATATAGATATATTAATATTTAGGCTAAGTAGTGCATATATTGGGCAAAGTAAAAGTCAGGTGTAAGCATAAGGTATCAGTATAGACTTTATGCATGCTAGCCTTTCTATTCAATATCCCCATTCAGCACTAAAGACTTTTATGAAGTAAACAAGAGTGCCATCTATCATCAGCGATACACAATTCCATCTTGTGGCTTCTCAACCGGATAATGAGAAAATCCACAATGGTCCGTAAGCTCCCAACCAGATCCTTCTCTCTGTCGCCACATAACACCCCATTGGAGAGGAAACATGGATGCGTCCGGCTGCGGTATGTTATCTGGGTGATGGCAAGCAGCTGCAATTGCCAAGCTGCAGCTCGCAGCCACCGGCATGGCAGTCGGTAAGCGCCGCAGTGCTGTGACAATAACCGCAGCAGCCATGAGTACAGCAGTGATAATGACGAAGATGATGGCTATGGGCGAGTATCCACAAGCGAGCACTTTCCAATCCCACACTTCTCCAACAGCGACAATGAAGATACTCTGCGACAACATCCAGTGCATCAAGATCGAAGCTACTAAGAGGGGGATACTATAGCGGTATGGGAGCTGGAGGAAATATCGCGATCGTTGCTCACCTCTTGGGTTAGAGGAAACGCGTAGGGACCTTCTTTTGTGGCCATAGTTGCTCCATTCCTTTGCTGCAGCCATACAGGTAAAAAGGCTGTTGTATTGAAAATAGAGAACTGAGAAAATCAGCTGAGGAAGGTTAGGCAAGAGGACATTCCAGATGAGGCTTTTCTCGCCCTTGGCATCCCAACCCAATCCTATTAATGTTAGCTCATTGGTACTGCCGAATCCAAGACCCCAAAGACTCTTGAGGTCTCTGGGACCTGGAAGTACTAGAACACCCCATATCAGGAGAGAACAAGTACCACAAAGTGCAGTTCCGTACCTAGAAAGCATCAGCACTGACTAAGCTTTAGGGTCCGAGGATCTTACATAACAAGAATGATAATCCATCTTCTTCTGGTGACTGCAACACCTCGGCGTCTAGGGTTTGCATCCATGATGCAAGGTCGATTGAATTGACCTGCCCTCACCATGCCCGCAGATGCTAAGCAGTCTCCACCGGACGTCTCACCCGGGGATATCAAGAATGATTGAATAGCATCTCCAAGAACGAACAACGGCTCCTTCGGTGGCCGTAACGCTATGAATACTAGTGTAACTGCTTTGATGAAATTGACGACAAGCATAACCACGGCAATTTGGAAGTCAAAGTTCAGCCGGCACATTTCTTTCGCTGGCTGGCTGAGGCAATATTTCACGCGGTTGCCCCACGGTCTCCAAACATCGGATTGACTCCTGACTTCAGGTAACTCGCTCCGGCACGGGGAGCAGCCTCTGTCTCTGTGTCCGCAAATCCAGTCATAATCTGAATGAGCAGGGTGTTCACATGAGGCGCTGCGATATAAAAGCGGGTGGGGATTCTCGCTCCCCGTTGCCACAGATCCAGTCGAGTCGACGATGAGTAATACGTCACGTCTCTTTGTTTGGAAGGCCACGGCATACTCGTTGATACACTGCAAGGCAGTAAGATTATCAAGCTGTCCAAGGACTCCGGCTATCATCTGCTCGACTCTTTGCTCATCCGTCGGGGAATCCTTGAGGTTATATCCAGAATCTTTCCAAAGGAGTCGGAATTCTTCATCAACGGTAAAAGTATCATAACCCCATGTTGTCAAGGAGGAGTAGACCACTGAATTGAACCTATGCTATTAGCTCCAGGCACGTCTCCAGACGTAGGAAGCTTACAAAAGATGTAGGGGCACTGAGGATAAGACCAATAACAGCCAAAGAACAACTCTCATTCGAGATACCATTCTCAAGTTACGAAAGCTGAGGATCCCGATATCCATCCACTGTTTGCGTGCATGCGCTTTATCTACATCTGCCCTAGTTGGTGCAGAAAGACATTGCATGCCATAGTTGCTCGCAGCAAGGAGGATTGAGCCGAAGATGTTGATAATGAGGTGGATCACGACACTGAGGGTACGTGAAATCGAGCAAGATCCTTCGTAGATAATCCTCCGGCTTGACTTTTCGCCGTGTTCGTAGCTTTCGCTGTTTTCGTTACCTTTGAGGCTCACGCTTGACCAGATGGTAACGCCAAGATTAATAACAAGGACGACGATGCAGGCACATGAACCACCGATGAGGCTGACTTTCCAATTGGCTCTCTTAGAGGTGTCTGAAGTATTATCAAAGTTCTGTCCTTCCAAACTGTTGTTCGAGTCAGCGACTCTCTCGCTTTCGATTGGATTTGGTCCTCCCATTGTAGTTTTGGTCGCGAGGGATAAAAGGCAGGTTGGTTATTATTTATTTCCATGTGGGAGAAGCCTCCTCTTGTGAGGGATGCTATCAGACATATATCCCTATTTACTAATCGCTGATGGTTGGTTTGCCAAGAGTATTGGTTAGTTGTGGCTGGCCGAGAATGCCTCATGGCGTTCAGCTGAAAAGAATGGGTTGGCAGAGCCAATAAGAGATCATGAGGTTCTGCTAATTGGAATGCTGGAGTTTACGCCTTGGCCTTGGCAATGTCGTTGCTACGCCTGGTTAAGCAGAAAGGCAATGTCTAAGGCTTTTAAATCGTGGATTATCCAGAAAACCTTGCATTAAACTGTTGCTAAGCAACTAAGTACCATCATTAAGGCCTAAAATAAGCATAAATTGCTGAAGCAACCGCATAGATACCGCAGAGGGGTGGTTGGTGGTAGAGCCTGTGGCGAAAACCGTTATTCTATGCTCCTGAAGTCTAACCCAAATTCTGTTCCAATACATCGCTTTTTAACAGGCAATTCAAATCAATGCAGGAAATATGCCATTACTCAAGCCATTCATAGCCAACTGGGCGAGATACTAAAAGTGGCGCAAAATCTGCTCTCAGTGGCATATACCCGCTTATGGAGCTCAGCGTGTTGATTGATGATATTGCCCTCACCGAGGCCGCGCATGCGTGTCATGTAGCAATAGAAAGCGATAAGAGAGTGCTAGTGCCTCAAGGCCACGAGGAGCTCCTCTTAGAGAGGACGGCAATAGAACATTCTGTCTGCAATTGACAGCTGCCGCAGATACAGACTGGACTGAGCCAGTCGGAGGGCACTATATCTTCTAGTCAAAAACCTCCTGTAGAGCAACAACTGCCGCAAGAAATCCCTAACATCACACCAGGAAACAGGGAAATAACAGCACGAGCAGGAAAGTAGTGATAGCTGGATCACTTAGCGGAACGCGCGGGATTATGAATATCGGGTTTATTGCTGAAATTGACATTAAGTCCTGGTTCACATCTGGCATGCAAGGGCTTGATAGGTCAGACATTTGGTAATTTGTATGAATTGAAGTACCCTGAAAACATCTCTTATCACTACTCCCACTACAGCTTATATTGGTACAGCGGGCTCTTCTCACCCATAGCCTCAAGCTCATCATCTGTGTACTTGCTTCGAATCTCAGTTTCGCTCAACTTGGACCGCTTCTTGTTAATCATGATCAAAGCAGTCTCAAGAGTAACTGCAGCCAGAATTCCTGCAACAGCGAATCCGAGAGAAGCACCGTATCCAGTTGTGTACTTGGGCTTCTCCTTGTCGATATAGATGTAGCTGCCATAGATACCACCAATTGTACCTGCACATGTAACGTATCCAATGCTGATGGCTCGCTTCGTAGGGTTGAGATTGTTGTCGATGTTCCAGGCACTGGTACCAGGCAAGATGGGATACATGCCAGCGCAAGCGAGACAGACTGCAAAGTAGCACACTCCGAGGTTCTGAACAATGAACTCGGCTTTTGTCATGAGGATGGAGAAAGCAATGATGATGCAGAGCTGAGGTCCAACAATAAAAGGCATTCTCCATTTATGTTTATCAGCGAAGCGAGCGAGGAGGTACGATGAGATGGCTCCGCAGAGATAAGGAGGAATGGTCATGAGCTGGGCGTTGCTGGATGTGAAGCCCATTCCCTTGACGATAGAGGGCATGGAGAACTTGAGACCGTAGTTGGGCGCAGCGTTGGACCAGGACATGATGATGAGGAGATATGCCTTCCAGTCCTTGATAACAGAGAACAAAGCCCCCTTATCAAAAGTCTTCTCGCGGTACTCTCCAGAGTTGGTGACTCTTCGGGAAGCTTGGCGCAGAATGAGATATCGCTTCTCTTCGTCGGTGAGCCAGTATGAGAGGGTTGGCGAGTCGATGAGCAAGAACCATGTGACGAAAGACATGACAATTGTGAAAATTCCTTCGATAAAGAAGATCCATCTCCAACCGCCCTGACCGCCAATGCCGTCCATTTTGGCGATGGCGTATGCGAAGAGGCCGGAGAAGGCGCCTCCTGTAGCGGCGGATGTATACAGAATCGCGACTCGGGTTTGCGTCTCGTGGGGGAGGTACCATTTCGAAATGATGAGGATAGCGCCGGGGAAGAAGCCAGCCCTGATGATGTCAGCATGTCATGAGATATAGTGGTGAGTGACTACATACTCAAAAAGACCAAGGAGGATCCGAATTGCGCAGAGTTGACCAAAATTGTGAATCAGACCAGTGCAGACCACGACGATACCCCAGATGAACATGATAGTAGCCATGTACTGAGAAGGCTTCTGGAACTTGTTGAGAATCATGTTGCTAGGAACCTCGGCGAGAATATCTGCTCATATTAGGACTGCTCATAATTATTAGACGGTTAAACATACAAGGAATGAAGTAGATTGAGAGAGCAATGTTGTACTGCTCTCCATTCATTCCAAGGTCTGGAAGCATTCCCTCGATCTTGGCGTTTCCGATATTGGCCTTATCGATGTAGGTGACAAGGTAGAGAATGGCTAGCATGGGCATGAGTCGCCACTGAAGATGTCAGATCTTGTCTGCGCAGACGGAGACCAGTCAACTTACATCAATCTTTGCCAAGACCTTCTTCTTCTTCTCCTCGGGAAAATTGGCTACAAACTCCATATCCTCAGGTGATAAACCACCATTGGTAGCCGCAGTGTTGGCATGATCAAGATGCGAAGCAATAGCCTCGACATCCTTCTCATCCGAGATGGAGTTCCTCAGAGCCATGGTCACCATTGAAAACTTGACTGTGAAAGTTGAAGATGCTGTTGATCCTGGTGATTTGGAGTATCACTGGATTGACAAGACCTTGATATCGGGGATATCAACTCCTTTTTATGGGATCAAAACTTGGCAAGCAAATTATGGGGATTGGATGCGGGGTATGGGGTATCGAATCTGGGGAAGATTGGCCGAGAGATTAGCGCTAGGCAGTCGTTAGACTTCTGAATGAATCGTGCTTGGAGACGCACTGATAGTTTCGGATTGGAGGGCAGAGTTGGTTGACCAGTAGGAGGGATGACCGAGAAGCCTGCCGCCCGCTTCGTGATATCTGTGCCACCCAAGACATCATCGAAAGATGATTGCAGCATCAGTGCAGGAAATGTAATCATTTGATGTCGGTTAAATGACCGAGTATCGCAATATTTACCATGAAATTGTTTTGTGATGATTGTGATCCTAGTACATACAAGCAGGGAACAAATGCGAAAGACAGAGACCGAGTCCACGATGAGATGGCGACGAGCTAATGCATCCCGATAGTCAAGCCCGACAGGGTGTAATGGCCAATACGTTTGAGTATTAAAATTGAACACGATAGAATCTGTTGTGAAAATGTCTATAGGGGAAACAATTACACGCATGCCTGTTCACACAGAATCTTGTTGTCTCGCCACTGAGCTTGGATCCAAGCAAGGTCTAGGCCCAGGAATTGTTGTCAACGGGCGTCATGCATTGATATGAAGCACTCACACCGAATAACAAGCAATGAGAAAACGGGCATTTTATTTTAACTGTCAAATTAATAACAGAAACTATTTACAGACTATTGCTTCCTCAATTGCTTCTCAGTATCAGCAAGGACACCCAGCGTCTTAACAGTCCACTCCTTCGCCTTATCATCAAGCGGCTGATAAGGCTTCCTCATGTGCCACGAACTCTCATTATCCAGCCCAATCTCCCTTCCAAGGAAATGCCACGCTCCATACTTGGTGTTGCTAATGCCCTTCTTACAAGCCCACTCAGCATGAGCTACAAGGCCTTGAAGCTTATTGGCCTCATCGATCTTTCCGGCCTTCCATAAGTCGTAAACACCTGCTGTACTGGAGGGGAAAATGTTACCCATCCCTGTAACACAACCGCTTCCGCCGCTGTGGAGGGTGGGGAGGAGATAATCACTGCTTCCGCCGTAAACACCGAATTGCTCGTGGGAGAAGAGCGCTGTTAATCTAGCGAGCTTTCCCACGTTTCCGCAGGTCAGCTTCACCGCTACAATGTTCGGTTCAGAAGCCAAAGTAGCTAGTTGATCAGAATCAAGATCAATGCCGGATGTAACAGCGGGAAAGTTGTAAATGACAATAGGTATCGGTGATGCCGCCGCCACTTCTCTGAAGTAAGACACGATAGCTTGGCTGGGTAGTGCTTTGGGCCAGTAATTCGGCGGCAGAAGCAACCCAAAGCCAGCACCAGCCTCAGCTGCATCTTTGGCGTTCTGGATCGACTCTTGCGTGGACTGTGCTGAGATGCCTGCCACAATGGGGTAGTCAGGTCCACCAGCTGCAGAAGCGGCCTGCACGGCTGTCTTGATGATGGCTTTACGCTCTTCTCGTGAAAGAAGAACTAGTTCGCCATTAGTGCCGAGGTAGACGAGACCATGCATACCGGCCTTGATTAATGCTTTACATTGGGTGTGCATGGCCTCATGGTCTACTTGTTGGGTTGGGTCGTCTGCTTTGTAGAGTGTGACGACGGGGGTGTAGACTCCTGGAGGGAGGGGCTTTGCCTTGGCTTGAATTGTGCTTCGCTCCATTTTGAAGACTGACTGATAGTGTGACTAGTGAGTTGTAGAGTGATTTACACGAAGTAACAGTTGTGTAATGAAGATATTGCTTGATGCAGTAACAATCCATGCTATCTCCGAGGTCTTAAGTGCACCAAAACTCCAAAGCCCAATGCGGGGTTCAACGCCCGGAGACATTCCCGGATGACCAATCCAGCCAATGGGAGGGTTCTCCGTAACCCCAGGCCGATACTCGGCATACCCGGGCTCTAAACAGCTTGTGGAGATAGTAAATTGTAGCCTCGGTGATTAGCTTATTTTCGAGGTCTACAACTTGTTTTGTTCTTGGAAACTCAGTCAATACTATCAGTAATCATGGAGACATCAATTGAGACGAGAAGAGTGTCTTTGGACGACTTGAAGCAGCACAACACGGCGAATGACTGCTGGATAGCTGTTCATTCCAAGGTTTGGGATATTACACATTTTATTAATGAGCATCCTGGTGGTCCAGAAGGTAAGTCGAGCAAATTGGGTGGTTGTGGCGAGACTAATCATGATGGCCAGTTCTGTTGAACCTCGCTGGTTCTGATGCCACTGAACTCTACAACGATGTCCACGCACCAGATATTATCGAAGACCTTCCAAGCGACAAACTAATTGGCCTTCTGGAAGAATCCTCAATCAGTCATCCAGCACCCAAAACCACAGAGCTCGATCCCGTACCGCCCCCAACATCACCAACACAAGCGAACGAAGTCCCCTCGACATCAAAGACCAAAACAATACCACCATTAGATGCGATCCTTAGTGCTCCCGACTTTGAAAAAGCAGCGCAAGAGTCACTCTCCGCGAAAACATGGGCCTTTTACTCCTCTGCTGCGACAGATCTCGTCACCCATGGGAAGAATAAGGAGTTAGTGCGGAGAGTCATGATCAGACCCAGGATCTTGAGGAATGTTTCGCAAGTGAACTACAAGACCAGTATTCTTGGGTTCGACAGTAATACACCGTTCTTTATTTCTCCTGCTGCGATGGCGAGACTTGCGCATCCTGAGGGGGAGTTGGCGCTTAGTCGGGCTGCGGCTAACGAAGGGATCATTCAATGTGTAAGTAAACCCATTGGTCAATTTTGAGCCTTCAACACTGACAATGACTAGATCTCGAGCAACGCCTCCTTTTCGTTAAAGTCAATCGTCAAAGCGGCTCCATCATCACAACCATTCTTCTTCCAGCTATACGTCAACTCCAACCACGAAAAGACCGTCGAGCTACTCAAGACAGTACGTGGTCTCGGTGTCAAAGCGATCTTTGTCACAGTTGATGCGCCTGTTCCTGGGAAGCGTGAGGCAGACGAGAGAGCTGCGCAGGAACAAACTGTCAAGTCGGCGATCAGTGGTGGTGAGAGCAGTAAGGATAAGAAGGGAAGTGGCTTTGGACGTCTCATGGCGCAGTACATCGATAAGTCCTTGTGTTGGGATGACTTGGCTTGGATCAGAGAGGCCAGTGGAGGATTACCTATTGTGTTGAAAGGTGTTCAAACTGCTGAAGACGTTATTAAGGCAGCGGAGTATGGAGTTGAGGGTGTGCTGTTGAGTAACCACGGTGGACGGTCGTTGGACGGGTAAGTCATTTCTTTAGCTTACCACATATCACAGCTAACCTTTTTCAGGGCCCAAGCAAGTATCTTGGTGTTGTTAGAATTGCGAAAGAATTGTCCAGAGGTCTTTGATAAGTTGGAAGTCTATATCGACGGCGGCTTTGAACGTGGCTCAGATATCCTGAAGGCCATCGCCCTTGGAGCTACTGCAGTTGGCATTGGCCGGCCATTCCTATACTCTCTTATTCACGGCCAAGATGGTGCCGAGCATCTTTGCCATAGTGAGTTTTCTGTGTCGCGGAAAGACGATCAAGCTAATGAAATGCAGTTCTTAAGGATGAGCTTGAGACTTCGATGCGACTTTGCGGCATCACGTCACTGAGTGAAGCAAGACCTAGCTTGGTGAATACGCTGGATGTTGATCATATGGTGGTTGGTAATGGCTTCGGGCGTCTGTTGTCGAGGCTGTAGATTAGGCTCTTCTAGAGGCACGTGTCAGGGTTGTCCATAGATCTACTCGCCCATTGGCATACATGTATACGATATTATTCTCTATACCACCTCTTACTTTCTTACTCGGTGTCCGTCATGTTTTCACCCATCGTATCTACGTCCTCAAAATAGCTTTGGCCTCATACCGCCATTGCATGTTGCAAATCATAGGCCATTTCTCAAGCCTATAAGATTTCTTTCAGCTGCCTGATGGCTTGAGCACGAATCCTAGTCGTATATCAAGAAGGTAAGAGGCGTCTTCATCCAGCCTCCCAACAGCATGCAAAATATCGCACATCATTACAAATCGTTGGCCAGAGCGAGACGTCGGGGATACGTTCACGAATTGTTTGCCCGTCAATCCCAGTATCACATAATCTCTCACTCAGCAGTGCTATTCCGATATGAATGTATTGGCAAACTAAGCCCTGGCAATCTTTGCCTGGAACGCCTTAACAGCATCCAAGACCTTTCCATCAGCCTCAAGTCCAAGACCATAACCCCTGGATACGTCAAATCTCGCCGGCCAACTATTTACAATTGCCTCAATCGCCGGATCCCTCTTCTCCTCAATTTGTGCAAGCGCCTTCTCACCACCAACCTCTTTCAGAGCATCGAGTATTTCCTGCACCGTGACTGTAATACCTGGCAAGTTGACCACTCTCGAATCGCCAAACTTCTCTTTTGGAACGTCTTTGATCTTGATGAGATTCTTGATAACTGTTGCCGGACTGCAGACCCAAAGCTCGAGGTCTCTACTAACGGGTAGAATATTGGGTACACCTTGTAGAGACTCTCGGACAATTCCTGACGCAAAGCTGGATGCCGCTGCTGAGGGTGTACCTGGACGGACGATGACAGTGGGTAATCTGACAATACGTCCGTCTAGGAAACCACGACGGGAGTAATCGTTGATCAAAAGCTCCACAAGTAGCTTTTGAATGCCGTAGGAGCTTTTAGGCTGAGGGAGTGTGCCAAACTCCGTCACAAGATCAGTCTGACCGTAGATAGCGCAAGAGCTAGCAAATATAACTTTCGTGCCGGGGTACTGCACCCTCAACACGTCAAGGATACTTCGCACTGAGTCAACGTTTATCTTAAGTCCTAGGTCGAGATTGGCTTCTGCGCCTCCAGACATGAGACCATGAAGAATGTAGACATGGCTGAAGCGGTTGGACAGCAGGGATGACACAGCTGAGGGGTTTGTTAGGTCTGCTTTGAGGGATGTGACCTGGTTTTCAGCTCCTGAGGGAATGTGGGGTGTGATGATATCGGTGAGGGTGAAGTGAGCATTGGGCATGTCGTTGAGGAGAGATGTGATGAGTTCTTGGCCGATGAAGCCGCCGGCTCCGGTTATGAGAACGTTGTCTTTTGTTTGAGTCATGATGGGGATTATTGGAAAGAAAATATGAGCGTTGTCTATTTGCAGGAGCGTTTGCAGGTACTGGATAGTGGAAATAGAGATACTGTCTTCATCTCAGAAACAACCTCTTTTTTAACATCAATTTACTTGAAATTGTGATCTATACGCATCGTCAATCTTCGGCTGTGGCTTACAGAGGCCCTGTTGCGTTGGTGGGTATAGTGAGTGTTCGGGTCTGCTTGATACTCTTGGCCGATTATGGGATCGCGGTGAGAAATCCTATTGGTCGAGTGCACACTCACGGATCTTGCACCATGTCTGGGCCGGGAACCAGACCGAGCCTTGACTGCGACAGAATTGAATGCAAGCGCAAGCTTCTCGCCACGCAAGGTAAGCTATCGCTGTGTATGGCTATCCCAGGGCGGAAAATCATGGGTTCATGTGGACACGGGGAAAGAATAAGTCGTCTAGATAGAGTTTCCATTACGCCCATTCAAATATAAGCAGGAATTATTGAAGAAAATACCAAAATTAAAAGAATTCTTCATGTTTAAAATATAACGGTGTACAGCCGTAGGGCAGATTCGGTTCATATGGCTGGTTTAAAGATAACTAACACCATTCGATCTTTACGGGTCTTGTGAAAGATGTGAAAAAAGATAGCCTCAAAACTCCTCAAGCCGTCAAACTGGTCTGAGAACTAGCAAGTTTACGGTTTTTGCACAAATCATCGACCAGCCTGCTTAGAAAGCATTATAAAAATTGAGATCTATTCCTAAGCGGACTCGACCCATGCCTCAACATCATCGATCCTAACATACTTGATATGCTGCCGATGCCAAGTATACGCAACATGCGCTACATCCCTACCCCCATCCTTCTCAATATAGATACTTGGATAACTCAACTCTCTATTCTCCTGCCCCGAAGAACTATTCGTCCCACAGAACCCATCTCCATCCTCAAGCACACGCTCTCTCCAAGTCAGCCCCTCATCCTCCGAAACTCCAAGGGTCAACGTCTTTCTCGGCGTTCCCCAGATTGCATCCTTTCCTGTCTTTGTGACTTGATTCGGTCGCTTATCGTCCTCAGGAGTGATGTCATCGTACAAGCCTTGCCGTTTGAGGGTATCAGCTGAGGCGTTTGATCTGTTGAAGACAATGGCGATATGGCCTGATGATAAACGGGCTGCGCAGATACCGCTGTTGGGGTTTGGAAGCATTGTTGGCTTTGGTGTTTCCCAGTCGATGCCGTTCTTGGACGTTGAGCGGTAGACGTTGTCTGCCCAGCGGCTGCGATAGAATGCTACCCAAGATGAAGAGCCAGCCGCTGGAGGGATGATGTTCATGTGGACAGATCCGATACTGTCTGGTGCTTGCTTCTCTTTCCAAGTGGCACCATTATCTTCTGAGTAGAGAACACCAGAGATATCATCACTTCCAATCCATCTGTGGCCAGGTTCTGTGCGGCAGTAGAAAACTGGCAGGATCCAGGTACCATCGCCGTTGATAACAATAGGCTGTCTGATAAAGATGCCAGTTACATCAGGGAGTAGACGAATGCCCTCAGACCAAGTACGACCCTGGTCAGAAGATGTACGTTTCAGGATATAAGCACCATCCTGATTACCCGCGTCTTGGGATGTATGAAGTAACCAGATCTCCCCATTGTGCGGGGCTCGGAATAAGACGGGGTTTTGACAACTCCTGTTCTCATCAAATGATATCTTTTTCGGGGTAGTCCAAGATGATGATCCTGGTTCTAATCGAGAAAGCCAGACACTGATATCCGGAAGACCTTCTTGAGAGCCGCCGAACCAAGTACATAACACAGTTTTGTCTGGAAGTTGCAACAAATTCGAAGCGTGCGACTGAACCGTCGCTGAAGGAACAGGAACAGTTTGAAGATTTGGTGCCATGTCGAATCTGTGCTGGAATTGTCAGACTGCTTGCTGCTGTTGCGATGAGTCTTGCCTTGGTGGTTTAAAACATCACCTCTTCTACGTAGATTTCCCTACTTCCCCACGATCTCAGCGGATATTAGCCCGAAACTAATTCCACTATAAATGACTCGTTGACCAATTGGAAAGATGGCCGATTGATTATGTGTTGGAGGTGAGGGGTTGATGATCCTTGGAATAATGCGGGGAAGGAAATGTTCGGCGATATCAGCGTTGGTCAGATCGGCGTGAAGATGAGTGGCATAAAAAGCGGCATTTAAATATCTGATAAAATTAACAAGACCTGTTGAGTAGTCACACCATCATAATTCACCATTCTTACCAGTGACTTCAAGATGGAATACGTCAGGTAAGCAAGTCCATCATCGCTTAGACCCCAGACACTAACAGCCCAGACTCGGCAACACAGGTCTCAAGATCTCAAAGGTCATCCTCGGATGCATGACCTTCGGCTCAAGCTCATGGCAGGGCTCACCTTGGGTTCTTGACGAAGAAGATGGCCTGAAGCTTCTCAAGGCCGCTTACGACCAAGGTATCAACACTTGGGATACAGCCGATACGTACTCCAATGGCGAGTCAGAAGTCATCATTGGCAAAGCCTTGAAGAAGTTCAACATTCCTCGTCAAAAGGTCGTTATCTTGTCAAAGATCTTTAACCCTGTTATGGATGATGGTACAAGGCCTGCGAGTATCAACGATGGGCCGCTTGTGAACCAGATGGGGTTGAGTAGGAAGCATATTTTTCATGCTGTTGATAAGTGTCTTGAACGACTTGGAACCGACTACATTGGTAAATTTCTCATCTACCTTGGTGATTGAATACTGACTTGTAAAGATGTCCTTCAAATTCACCGACTGGATCGTGAAACACCACCCGAAGAGATCATGCGCGCTCTCCACGACGTCGTTCAATCCGGCAAAGTCCGTTACATCGGCGCCTCATCAATGTACACATGGGAATTCGCACGCCTCCAGTACATCGCCCAATCCAAGGGCTGGACACCATTCATCTCCATGCAACCATTCTACAACCTCCTCTACCGCGAAGAAGAACGCGAGATGCTCCCCTTTTGCGAAGCCACAGGCGTCGGTGTCATTCCCTGGAGTCCCATCGCCCGAGGTCTCCTCGCCAAACCTCTGTCCAGCAAGAACGATGAGGCGAATCAGTCGATTAGGAGTCAGAGTGATAAGAAGACGGAAACGTGGTTTGCAGATGCGAATTTGGAAATTGTGAATAGGGTTGAGAAGGTTGCTGCTGATAAGGGGATTAGTATGGCGCTTGTAGCTACGGCGTGGGTTCTTCAGAAGGGGTGTTATCCGATTTTGGGATTGAACTCTGAGAAGAGAATTAAGGAGTCGGTGGAGGCGTTGAATGTCAAGTTTACGAAGGAGGAGTTGGATTATTTGGAGAGCGAGTACCGTCCAAGGAATATTCAAGGAATGTAGGCTTATAGTTAGGGAAAGCATTGTATAGAGATTTGGGAACAAATACATAGATGAATACCACCATGTTCAATTTAGATACTCCCTCATGTTCCTTCGGTATTTGGAAAGATAGCCATTGACTGCATATACCCATCCACATCAAGGAATGATGGATCAAAGCCAAAGATGGGTGACAGCCCAAAAGTTGTGTCCCACGTAGGTATTGTAGTTCCATCCATACCGGTAAACATATCAGGGTTAGTGTTATAAACATCTTCAAGACCTTGATTGGTTTCATTTCCGGGCATCATCGATGAAATGGCGTTCTGGACTTTGTCTTGAACTCCCTGCGAGGTGAGAAGACTTGTCACAGTCTCCAAACCTCTGATCATAAGATTAGCCAAATGCCACTTGCCCATAGACAAAGATCGGAAATGGCTGATTAGTCGTGTGATCTGATCTAGAGCTTGATCACGTCTGAAGAGATTATCCCCATATTTATGTGATACTTTGGCGAGGAACATGGCTGCGAAAGCTGTCATGGAAAGGAGATAAGATGGTATCCCGACAATGCTTGTGGAGAGATCAGGATCAGTGAGGAGGATGTCGATGATAGCCGATGCGGAAGTTACTGCCATGGATGCCGTGTCGAGAAAATGGCTGGGTATTTGGTTGGACTGTCCACGAAAGACGTGTGAGTAGAGATATAGTTGGGCGAGATGGAAGTGAAAGAGAGCTCCTTTTCGTGGAAATGCTCCGATGTTGGGATGTCCCTCTGCATCTCGTTAGTCTTGTGCAATAGTGAAGCTCAAGATACATACCTGGGAGCCGGTCAGTCCATTTGGTAATCCACTGATCAAGCTGCCGATGATAGTGTCCTATCTGACTGAGATACAATCTGGGAATCTCTTCTCCTTTATCGGGACCGAATAACCGCCGGATATTCCGCAAGATACCCATCAGCTCAACCTGACTCATGAGTCTTTCATCTTGGTCCGTAGCCAAAGGACAGTTCAGGATACCCTCCCAGTCTTGCGTAAGCCAGTCGTCCTGAATGATTGCCGGTCTATCATATAGAATAGCGAGATGTTGATCGCAGATATAGAGTATCGACCATATTCGCGCAGAGTCCATGGCTTCTTCGGATTGGTCTTTGATGGCTAGGCTATAGCTGTTGTGGATGTTGCATTCTGCAGCTCGTCGGATTGCATGGCCTGATAATGTCCAGGACAGATCGCTCAGCCAGTATGAGGCGATACTGAGAGCTCGGAAGTAATCTCTGTCACCTTGTCGTTGCAGCATCGACTTTTCGGTCAATCGACGAAGTTCAGAGTTGCAAATGCCATACACTTTATCTGCTGCTGGATCGTGAAGGGCTGCGATGGTAAGAGTGGCCGCGCAGAGGATAGAAGATTTGCGACGAAGCTGATCGAGGGTTTTGTAGGGGCATCCAATGGAGTAGATAAACCCGTCCAAACGATCTCGATAGACACAAAACAGCCGCTCAGCGTCGGCCAGAGAGATTTGTCCTTGAGAGATGAAATCATTAATGGCTTGACTCGGATTCTCATTCCCACTTCCAGGCGATCGAAGTGCTCTCATCCTGGTGAGAGTGTAGAGAGAATGAATAGGCGCATGGGGCAGTCTATCGTCTTCTGGCGTGAGTTTCGGTGAGTTATCGCACGATGGGCCATAGTTGTCTTCCAATAGTTGCTGGGTGGTTGGCTCTTGTGGTGGCGGTACTGACGAATCTTTTCGCTTGTTCATACGTGATGTTTGTAACGGTGGTAATTCTGGTAAGCCCATTATGTTTCTCATCTCCTTGACTGCTGCGTATACCTGATCAAGATCTGATAGCATGGCCTCAGATAACCTGATATATGTCAGCAGAATCTCAGTATAGTTGAGTTCTAGCATACTCTGTCTTTTCATCGATGATGGTTTGCAAGTTCTTGCTAACGGCGCAATTGCTCAGCTTCTTCTCTTTGCATCTTCGGCATGGAGGTCCAGCATCGTCCATAAAGCATTTAATCTGATCAAGTCAGTAACTTTATTTTATCTGTTTGTGGCGGCAATGGTACCTTGTGCTTCCGACATGTCGTGCATGCCCTGATATGTCTCGAGATATGAGCAACGGGATGCTCCGAATTCGAAGTTATCGCCACTCGTTTCGGCGGAGGCTATCACTGATCAGCGCCCATGCATCCTGCAGATCAATTGCATTGTTAACATACCACACTCCCCTCATACTCTTGCGTCGCTGTACTACCGTTTCGCTTCGACATGATGATTTGTTATCTCGTTTTCGCGATCGTTCATGGCCAGAAACACATCAAAGTTGCTCAGATTGAAAACGCGGGGGAGTTAGTCAGCCAAGAACACTCGTTTAACTAGAGCAGATGTGGTAGGGATCTGTCGCTGGGGAAATGCGGAGGCATTTAGTCCGAGTGCCTCCGCATGCTCAATGCAGATAATTTTATTCATTGTGGATCAAAACATTATGCAGTTTTATGAAGTGGTTGTTCTCGAGTTATGCTATTGTGCATGTGCACATGATATTATAGGATTGTGCGCCAGGTGCATAACGTGCTTTTGGTCCCACCTAAATGAATGGAGACAGCACGCACCCATTCATCTCACTGTGAGTGCAATGCACAAATTGTATCCAACTCGTGAACTGCAAAGCCCTCATTGACTGAAGGAGTGACTATACTCACATCTTCAGGCTTGGTCGCTTGTTATTCTGTCTCTGGTGAACTTTCAAAGCTCAGCCCGATCTAAAAGGCTGGCTTCTGGTTTCTCAAGGAGCCAATAGGGATGAAGACCGACAGACACGGACCAGCTCGCGGATGTCGGATATGAACCTGGCGATCTGTCGGCTACCCTAAACTCGTTCGGAAGACAGCGATTATTTATCTCAATTGACATCTACACCAATATCGCTGCTTTTCAAGATCAATAAGCAACACACAACCATCAGTACACTCACTCACCATGGCAGAAACTAGTACACTTCTATTATCTGAGGCCCTCTCATCGTTGCCTCCCGTTCCGTCTTCGCATCAGAAACTCCGCTCTCAGACACGCTACACTATCCTTGATACCTCCTCACGAGCTCCATTACTAGTCATCCTCGATGATGACCCAACAGGAACACAAACATGCCACGACATCACCATCTTAACAGTCTGGGATGTTCAAAACCTCGTATCGACATTCAAGCAAGTTGGAACAGGCAATGGCTTCTTCATCCTCACCAATTCACGCGCCCTTCATCCCCAACAGGCGAGGGAGCTCATGATTGAGATCTGCACCAATTTGAGGACAGCTTCCCAAGAAACGAATCTGCCTTATGAGATTGTGCTACGTGGTGACTCTATCTTGAGAGGCCATTTCCCTCTTGAGCCTGAAGCGGTTGAGCATGTGAACGGAGCGTTCGATGCGTGGATTTTGTGCCCGTTCTTCCTTCAGGGCGGGCGATACACTATTAACGATATTCACTACGTGCATGAGGGCGATAAACTCATTCCTGCCGCGGAAACACCTTTCGCGAAAGATGCTACGTTTGGATACAAGAGTTCTAACCTTCGAGATTACGTCGTGGAGAAGTCGAAGGGAAAGATTCCGCACGACAATATCGACTCCATTGACCTGGACACTATCCGTGTGGGTGGTCCCGATGCTGTCCTGGAAAAGATCATGCAGCTCCCAAAGCGAAGCGAAACTCCGGTTGTGCTCGTCATCAACGCGGCTGCAGATGAAGATATCGACGTTGTAGTCACCGCTCTTCTACAGGCGTCGCAGCAAGGAAGGCGGTTCTTGTATCGAACAGGTGCTGCCTTTGTCTCAGCACGTCTGGGAATTTCGTCTATTCCGCCTCTGTCCGCCGGACAACTCGGCTTATCCAAGAGTGTCGGCGGTCTCATCATCGCAGGCTCATATGTACCCAAAACCACCGCACAGCTGGACTCTCTGGTTCAAAAATCGGGAAATAATCTGACAACTATTACTTTGAACGTCAAAGCACTACTCAAGTCTGATGAAGCAGCGAAAGAGGATGTTGCAAAGGCAATCGAGCTTGCTTCACAGCATATCAAGAACGGGCAGGATGTTCTGGTTATGACCAGCCGAGAGCTCATCGTCGGGAAAGATGAGGTTGAGAGTCTGGATATTGGCTCAAAAATTGCACTGGCACTGGTGTCATTCCTACAGGGACTAGAGCAGAAGCCTCGATATATCATCGCGAAAGGAGGAATAACTTCTTCGGATATGGCGACAAAGGGATTGAGGATGAAGCGTGCGCTTATCGTTGGCCAAGCTGCACCTGGAGTTCCTATGTGGAGATGCGATGAGCCGGATTCCAAGTGGCCGGGTTTGAACTATGTTGTTTTCCCTGGAAATGTTGGTCATAACGATAGTTTGTACGAAGTCGTGAGGCAGTGGAGGGAGTTTGTGTAGTGTAGCTATCACAAATAGAACGCGGAATATGGTTGGTTTGCATTGAAGAGATGTAGGTGATGTTTGCATTGCGCGAGATTCTTCTATGGCTTTTCTTTATTTTGCTGTCGCTCTCACTATAGCTGTCTCATCTCCCTCACCCTGTGAAGAATTATCATCCCTCTCTGTAGCAGTCGTGAATGTCTTATGCACGTAGATGCCCCCGCCAACCTGCCCACTATGATGGAGGCCATCTAGAGGGATGCAGTCAGAAACGACAATGGCCCGAGGGGTGATTACTGATCCATGACCTCGACGGCGCTGTGAGCTCCGGCTGTCGTAATCAGCCGGATCTGTCCTTCCACTCCTCGATGTCGCGTACTTCTTGATGCCTCGTGTCAGTAAGCCTTTGAGTGCTGGTAGTGAGCCAACGACTAGAGCCGTTGCCGTTTCCACTGCGCCCCAAATAGCCAATCCCACAAGGTCGACTTTCTTGCCGACGATGACTTGTGACATGCGGACAATGGCGACGCAGATGATGATTATACCCAGGGAGAACGCAATGCCAAGTCCAATCTTTTTCTTCTTGTCCAGTTGTAAAGAGGGAAGGACTGCGATCGGGAGCGCCATGATCATAAGGTCGGTTATGATGTCGACGGTCGTGGAGAAGATGACGTTGAAGGACTGTCTCCATTGTTCTTGGGGAGAGTCACAGCTGCCTGTAGAGCAGTCAGTAAAAGATTGGATATCTAGAGAGGGAGCTGGTTGACTCACCATGGAAGTAGTTGGAAGGGGGATTGCACGTAAGAGCACTGCAGATGATGCAAACAGTGAGAGCCAAAGCTGCAAAGATCGAAACACCGTACCAACACCGGCGAATGACAGGGAACGGCTGCACCAGTCTATAAAACAGCGCTAGAAAGCTCGCTTTGACAGACCACAAGATGACCCAAAACAGCTTGATGATGGGGAACTGCCATCGAGTGATTTGACTGCGTTGGAACTCAAGCTCTTTCGGATCGTAGGCGATGCGACCGGCCTGGAGGTAGGTCATATACCACAGAGGATCCATCTGCTCGGTCTGCAGTATAGCCATGGTGAGGGTACATAGCCATGCCCAGGTGATCCAGTAGTCGTCGGCAAGAAAGCGTCGGTTCTGATGCCATCGAACGAAGAGCCGTAGTGATACAAAGAGTGTAGCGATTGTGAAGCATATCCAGACAATGATAATGAGGCCTTGGCGGTTGACCGAGCGAGCAGCGCCAGTGAGGGGAGCATCAGGATTTGGTGGTGGAGGCGTCGACATTTTGGTGTTGTGCAATGCCTTACATTCTGGACCATACTCGATCTCATAAGGCTTTCGATATAAGAGACGAGCGAGTTTGTCACATGGCGGCGACAAACATGTTGGTTCAAAACCAATCGGATGAAATGCGACAAACTCAAGGACAACGCAACAGAAGCAAGGGTTGGGGCAATTGGACGTAACGCCACAGCCGCATCACATTACAGGCGAAACACAAAAAGAAATTTGATCAAAGGGATATCTTGACTGGCTATCAACACCGATGCCTGTTCACAAATGAGATTATACAGCTCACGCAATGCAGTATGATAGCAACGTGCTTGAGGACCAAACTGGAAACATCTTTTGTCAATCACAGAACTGATAGTGGACCCTCATTTGCTTTTCATGAACAACTGCCTCTTGCTGGGTCAGATTAAGCACGCGACTCGTTCGTAGGCATGAGAGGCCGAGGGGCATTTGCAAAGCTGGGTGCATGGGACTGGATGAGAGAAAAGGGACAACAACTAGTTTGCCCTCTAGAATTGCTTTTTAATCGACCCATTTTCTGTTTGCGTAGCATTGAGGGATTCTCAGCCGCAGCAGTTGTTGGTTCCAAGTACGACAAACAGTGTAGATCTTACCGCTTGTAGTGAGCCTCACCAACGGTCGGAGTGGCAAACAATTACATGTAAGAAATTCAGGACCATCTGCGCCTCTTCAATGAGTGATTGCATTAATTGAAACCGGAGTGGAGATAAGATGACGGTTAGTTCCGCTCTTGGTTTCCTTAATGGATCATGCCCCTGGTCGGGATGAATCTTGGCATCGAGACAGCCACGCCATGTCTCATGCTTAAATGGCGGAGTGAACTCAATGGCCATACGAGAGTCTGCTGTTGAAGTCGAAGATACTAGATATAAATATTTCCATGGATATCAAGTAAACTGTGCCCAGGGTATATGGTGACTCTTGTATAAGCTTGATCCTTTAATTAAAGTCAAGGATGGCTTGGCATGCTCTCTTGAACCGTTGGCCTCACAATACTCCAATAAAATGCAACTTGGCATGGATGAAGTTTGGTATGTGATAACTCACAATTCATCCGAGATTCGCAAGTTCTGATTTGCAGAAAAAATGCCGTTACATCTAATCTGGAGTCTTGCGCCGTTGCCGCATGGCTGCATATCCGGGGTTCCCGGTGCCTGCATGATGTTTGTGTCCTTCGCTTCCCACCAGCAGTAAATCTAGACTCTGAATACCTGCCTCATATTCACTAGTACCATTGAAAAGAGAGCAAACAGAGCCGCCACCAACAAAAGGAGATTGCCTGATGAGCTTCTCACTTCCGCAAGCTCAACAGGGTTGCACAAGCCGTAGACCTCGGACTCCGCTGCGGTGAAATGACGCATTACAGAATAATGTTCCGCATAGATTAAAACTTGATGAGTGCCACTTAGCTGCATCCCCCTCTTTATCAACTTTCTTTTTCCTGAGGCCCATCTATCAGCATGTATCTCGGGTCTCTTTTTCCCTTGCTCGCAGTTCTTGCCCTTGGCACCTTGGGAGAAGAAGCGATTGGCGCATCTTCGAGATGCAAATGTGTATGTATACGATAAACCTGCAATTCTATCATATTTGACTTCAGCTGACGGCTAAAGGTTCCCGGCCAAAGTTGCTGGCCTTCTGCTGCAGAATGGAAAGCTTTCAACAAGAAGATCGGGGCCAGTCTTATCAAGACTGAGCCAATCGCGCAGTCATGCTACCCCGGTCCAGAGAAGGATCTGAAGCAATGCGCGTATGTGAACAAAATGTGGTCGGATCAGGATTTCCAGTCCTCAAATCCTATCGGAAGACCTTATCCGTATAACATCACCTGTGCACCGGTGGATTACGCTGCTGGCCAAGAGCCTACTACCTGTAGTCTCGGTTCTTTACCTGTTTACGCTGTTAATGCTACTACACTATCACAAATCCGAGATACAATTGCGTATGCGCGTGAGCGGAACATTAGACTTGTCGTTACTGGAACAGGTCATGATCTTCTCGGTCGCTCCGATGGGTTCGGTGGTCTTGAGCTTTGGCTTCATCAATTCAAGAACGGGATTAATTTCCAAAAGACTTACAAATCTGAGAATCAGTGCAAGAAGTCTGGCTGGAAGGGTAGTGCTATCAAGATTGACGGCAACTACCAGTGGCGCGATGTTTACAAGGTTGCTGAGGCCAACAATGTCATTGCAGTTGGTGGGGGTTCTATCACGCCTGGAGCGATCGGCGGGTGGGCTTCTGGTGGTGGCCATGGACCTGCGACGAGGAACTACGGCCTTGGTGCTGATCAGATTCTGGAAGCAGAAGTGATGCTAGCTGATGGAAGAGTCGTAATCGCCAATCACTGTGAGAATACTGGACTGTTCCGCTCCATGCGAGGCGGTGGGCCTGGCTATGGTGTTACCTTGAGCAGTACCATCAAGGCTCATCCCAATGTCGAAGTTGTTACAGCTCATCACTTACAAATCGCGCCGCTGGAAAAATCCGAGAAGAATGCAGATCTACTCGATGCCGTTTCTGTCTTGCTGCAGTCGCTTCCTGATCTCAACGACGCTGGCTTCGCTGGGTATGGTTACTGGTTCCGTAACTTCCCCACCGTTTTCGTTGGAAATGCTACCTCTGGTTATTCTCACGGCTTTTGGACAATCGGGAAGGGCCGTGAAGAGGCTGAAGTCAGCTGGGCTCCAGTAAGAAAGGCGCTGTCCAAGTTCAAGGATAAGCTCTACATGAACGAGAGTTGGGCCACATATGACGATTACTGGTCATTCTACCATGCTGAGTCAGGACTGTATGACCCAACTGGAGATACTTCAGTTTTGACCTCGAGGCTCATTGACCGTCAAAGTGTGGAGAGCTTCGACAAAGTCAGAGATGCCGTCGAAGCCATGAGCGGCAAACCCGATGAATTCGGCACAAGTGTCATTCTTCTTACTTCCGGTGGTCAAGTCTTCAAGGACGCCTCAGACAAGACAAGTGGACTTCACCCTGCCTGGAGAAAGTCACACTTCGTTCTCATCTCAGGCACTGGAACTTCCCGCACTGCAAGTCTCGCTGAGCGTAAAGCAGCAAACGATGATGTGACGTTCGTCAAGGGTGCTGCAGCGAAGAAGCTGGCTCCCAACACCGGTGGTTATATGAACGAGGGTGATCGCAATGATCCTGATTGGAAGAAGTCCTTCTATGGTAGCTTGTATGGGGAGCACCTCAAGACCAAGAAGAAGTACGATCCGTCTCACGTTCTCTACTGTCCTACTTGTGTTGGGTCTGAGGACTGGATTGAGAGACCAGATGGACCTTTATGTAGAGTTAAATAGATAGGACAAATCTAGATTTAAGCAGTTACCTATCGAATAATGCTTCTGAGTTGTGTTTCTGGTGGATCCCAAACAACATCCTGAATCCGAAGCCTTTGTCGAGCTGGAACCTCGATCGTAGTCCAAGAAGCCGAAGTAATTTCTATGTTCTCTTCATTCCTGAACAAGAGCATCGGCAGCAACGGTTTCCCTTCCTCTACTATAAATCTCTTTTGACATCCCTCTTCCGATGGAGCTATAGCATCCATCGCTCTTGTGCTGATGGCCTCGTAAAGTATCTTTGCATCCTCAACTCTTCCAGCATGAAACAATCCAACACCCCAGCTTGCTATCCCAAGAGGATCTCCATTACCATGTGGAGTAAACGGATTGCCAACATTGTTAACTGACAGGCAGGCATTGATTCCGTAATCCTGAATTAGTTTTGGTACCATGATTGTACCGCATGGCCGACTTAGTGGTTCATCCTGTTCCGAATAGTCAGGCCCATGTCTCCCCATCATATAGAGATCACTAGTCGGCAGTCCGACGAAGTGCACAGGCAATCTCGTCTCTCTCAATGACCTTGAAAGCCCAAGGAGATCGTTATGCGTAGCCCGAGTAAGTCTGGTAGCATGTCCAAGAACGACAGTCGGAGCGCCGGGGTATGTAGGCCAATTAAGAAACTTGAGTTCTTCAATGATGTGCTCAAAGACAGACATATGGGTTCCATTGCCTTCGAGGCTGAATTCGATGTGAAAGTCAAGGTATTTGCCATATTTCAGTGCTGTTTCGATAGCCCAACGTATGTTCTGACGTTTCGCTGCAACATCTGTTTCCACATATGGTGTAGTTCCAATAACATCAATCTCTGAACCAAACTGAACAATCGCTTTCTCAAGCATGGCTCGGTTTGCCTCTCCTTGCTCTGTCGAGAATACGGGATCTTGTGCAAAGACGCAGATTTGCACATCAACAAAACCTCCAAAACTTGCAAACTCTCTCTTGAGCCGGATGCCCACCTCCAGAGTTTTGAGTTCAGTGACAGTGTCTACTTCAACAAAAGCTCTCATGCTTGTGACACCCTGCTTATAGCTTGTGGCTATAAGCTGAGAGCCTCGTAGGTACAAGTCCTCCTCAGTGTAACGTTTCTTTGCTTCGGCTGTATTGACCATGGCTTCCTGAAACCCTCCCGTTTTTGACGCCAGATCAGAGTAGTCCGGATGGCCCGGGGCTGTCGAATGGTTGCAGGTGAGAAGATATGGTTTGTCGAGATGAATATGGGGATGACAGAGTGAGGGAAGCATTACGCTTGGTGTTGTCTTATCGGAAGCTGGTCTCAAGGAGGTCACCACTCCATCCTGTACCCGGATATCCCATTGTGTCGAAGAGACTTGGAACGGAAGAATGATGTTTTTGAGATCCATGATGACTTATACTAAGATTCTGCGAGTTGAAATTGAGAGAATGAACTCTTGAAGATCGTGGATCCATTCACGGTGTCATTATTCCCCTCATCTCGAATGTGGACCAATCACGGTGAACAATTATCCGTCCTATGAATTGTTTAACCTTGCTTCGTGATCATCTCCACAAATGAGACTGAGTATTTGCTCCGATAAATTAATATTATCCGTTCCTCCACCTCAGGCTTATTGCCGAATTTCTTCAAGTCAGGTTTATCATTTGCGCGGATAAACTCAACGTCATAAACAAGTTTTATGGTCCAAACCCATCTCCAATTCTGGGGAATCTGGGCTGATCCTCCGCACAAACGATGACGATCTTGACTCAAAGGGGTATCTTTCGGTAGTCCAACATCATCCAGTTCAACATCTCCTCCACAATACTCCAATTCAAGATCGGCCCGAGTTGAGATCATCACGAGTTGCTACATATCGAGATTTTTGAATTTTCAGTGTAACATTGAACGTTTTCGAGGATTTATAAAGATGTCGGCCCCTTCGGATGACCCCTCGGGTTTGACTTTCGTTTAACCAACTTCTACCAGGGTCAAGATGGTGCTTGTTACATCAAAGGGCTTTGCGACGGCGGCAGTGCTGTTTTGTCAGGTCATTTCGGCTCTTGCGGAGAGTTCAGACCGTAAGTCTTCATCTTTTCATATTGAACAATGGTTAACATGTCTGCAGCAATTCACGTTGACGGCACGTCTTTCGCTCTGAATGGCGACAATGTTTCATATCGCTTCCACGTCGACAACACCACCGGAGACCTCATCAACGATCACTACGGTGGTCCCGTCGCTGAAGATGGCATCACCACTGAAATTGGCCCCATCCAAGGCTGGGTCAATTTAATCGGCCGAGTCCGTCGAGAATTCCCAGACCACGGCAGAGGAGACTTTCGTATTCCAGCTTTTCAGCTCCAGCAAGCAAGTGGCACAACCGTCACCGACTTTCGATACAAGTCTCATAAGGTTGTACAAGGGAAGCCTGGGTTACCTGGTCTTCCGTCGACTTTTGGAGAGGTTGATGATGTCTCAACTTTGGTTGTGCAAATGTACGACAATTACAGCTCTATTGCTGTTGATCTCTCGTATTCGATCTTTCCAAAGTATGATGCTATTGTGAGAAGTGTAAACATTACGAACCAGGGTAACGCGACTATCAACTTGAGGAAGGTTTCTAGCTGGAGTGTAGATCTGCAGCAGGATAATCTGGACCTTATTGAGATCAAGGGTGACTGGGCTCGTGAGGGTATGCGTGTGCGCAGAAAGGTGGACTTTGGGACACAAGGGTACGTATTGTTTCCGTGGAACGACAACGCAGGGTGTTAACAGAAATGCAGATTCCAAAGCTCAACCGGTTACTCTTCGCATCTCCACAACCCGTTCCTCGCTCTCGTTTCATCAACTGCTACCGAAACACAAGGAGAAGCTTGGGGCTTTTCTCTGGTGTATACCGGCTCCTTCGCCGTTGACGTCGAGAAGAGCTCCCAGGGACTTACCCGCGCCATTCTCGGTCTCAATTCTCTGGACTTTTCGTGGCCACTGAAACCCGGACAAACCTTCACCACTCCCGAGGTCGTGTCAGTCTTCTCTGACAAGGGTGTTGGTGGCATGTCGAGGCAGTTCCACCGCCTTTACAGAAAGCACTTGATGAAGAGCAAATACGCAGAAGAGACACGCCCTGTCCTTCTCAACAGCTGGGAGGGCTTGGCGTTCGATATCAATGAGACTGCTATTGAGAAGATCGCCAAGCAATCTGCAGACCTCGGTATCAAACTGTTTGTCATGGATGATGGCTGGTTCGGTAACAAGTACCCGCGAGTTAACGATACAGCGGGTCTTGGAGACTGGCAGCCTGACAAGTCACGATTTCCTGATGGATTGACACCTCTTGTTGAGAATGTTACCGATCTGAAAGTTGCTAATTCTTCCGATGAGCTGAAGTTCGGTATCTGGTTCGAGCCTGAAATGGTCAACCCCGAGTCGGATTTGTATGACAAGCACCCAGATTGGGCAATCCACGCAGGCTCTTATCCCCGAACTGAGACACGTAACCAATTGGTTGTCAACCTAGCTTTGCCTGAGGTCCAAGAGTTCATCATCGACTTCGTTTCCAAGGTTCTCCGCGAATCACCAATCTCCTACGTCAAGTGGGACAACAACCGTGGAATCCACGAGACTCCTGATCCTACTCTGAACTACAAGTATATGCTGGGTCTTTATCATGTCTTTGAGACTTTAACGAGTCGCTTCCCTGACGTTCTCTGGGAAGGATGTGCTTCAGGTGGTGGCCGATTTGACCCCGGTGTTCTTCAGTGGTTCCCTCAAATTTGGACATCTGATGATACAGACGCAGTTGAACGTATCGCCATCCAATTTGGCACTTCACTTGCTTATCCCCCATCTGCCATGGGTGCCCATTTGTCGCATGTGCCCAATGGAAATACCCAGAGAATAACCTCTGTCAAGTTCAGAGCACATGTTGCTATGATGGGGGGCTCCTTTGGTGTTGAACTTGATCCTAGTGATCTTGAACCAGAGGAGAAGGAACAGATTCCTGGTCTTATTGAACTATCTGAGAAGATCAACCCCATTGTAATCACGGGAGATTTCTATCGACTGGCTCTGCCTGAGGAAACGAGATATCCAGCTGGACAGTTCATCTCTGAGGATGGCAAGAAGGTTGTGCTATTTGCATTCCAGACAAGGGCGACTATCAACAACTCTTGGCCTTGGTTCAGACTTCAAGGCCTGGATGCAAGTGCCAAGTACAAGGTGGATAATAACCAGACGGTTTCTGGTTCGACGCTGATGAATCTTGGCATTCAATTGAGGTTTGAAGGAGATTATGATAGTCAGGTCTTGATAATTGAGAAGCAATAGTTCGGATAGCTAAGCGATGGATCAAGATACTGTAAATAACTGAAAACAAAAGGGTCCCTCAGTAATCTCAATATCTCCGCAACACGCAATAACTCGAAACTGTCCATCTCAAACGTAAAATCACGCCCGGAAGCATACTGAACAGGCCAAGACAACCTCCCCTTTCAGTAGCAACCTTCCCATCTTCCCCCTCTCGTAAGTTCTTAGGCAGCCTGAAACCTACATCACCATAAGCCAAGCAAACGGCCTAATTCTGTGGCAGCTGTGCATTGATAAGTTGCTGCAGTTGACGCAGAGTGTCCACGCTCATGGTGACATTGACCATCTCGGAACCTTCAAGGCCATTGGAAGTAGCTACGTCAGGGTTTGGATAGTACCAGCACGCGATAGCAATAATGGCATAAATGACCTACAAATGTCAGTCGCTACGAATGCTCATTTGAGGGTCTTGACTTACAACAAGAAGTGCTCCTTCGAGCCAGTTGGACTCGCCATCACGAAGGAAGTTTCCAACAACCAAGATGGACAAGACAAGAAGAACGATCATGAAGATCTCAAAGTTTAGGTCCATTGGCTTTCCGATGGCCCAGCCGACGAGAACAACAAGTGGACCGTTAAAAAGGGCAGTTTGAATAGATGGTCCGAGACAGTGGTATAGAGCAACGTTGATTACTCCATCTAGTCAGGCTGTTAGCATTGATTCATCCTGTAGCGATACATTATACTCACCCCATGCTTCATCAATAGCTGTCAGATGCTCAGCGGCCTTCTCAACAAAAGGCAAAAGGATAAGACCCAAGAACTGATCCGGTACTCCACTATCAACAACATGCTCAATCTTCTCAACGAGGAAGATGAGAAGAGCAGTCACAAAAGCGAGAGCAATCAACAGAGCAACGATGGTCTCTGTCATGGTAAACTTTGGCTTCTCCATATCGGCCTCACGATCAGCATCTCGATGCTCATCCATCTCAATAACTTCGTCGAAAATACTGTGCTGGCTACTGGCTTGGTACCAGATGTAGAAGAAGAAGGCGATAATCAGCGCAATAGATGTTGCTTGGCTGATGCGAAGAACATCGTCTTGGAGTTTACCCTCTGTGAACTTCTCGTGCAGAACCCTGAAGCCTGGGAAGTCGGGTACAACCTCGGCTTTGAGGGCGGAGTAGAATGCACTGGGAATGAGGAGACCAAATGCTGCGACGAGAAGGAGTCCTGTGCCAACCTCTGAGATAATGGCGTGGAACTTTTGACTGGCCTGCTTGAGGCCACCGACGAAGAAACACAGGCCAAGACAGAGAAGTAGATTAGTCAGGATGCTGCCGAGAATTGCTGCTTGGATGATGGGGATGAGATTGCCTTCATCTCCGTTGTCCTCATGCGAGTTGACTTCGTGCTTCGAAAGCAAGACGATGAAGAGGATAATCTCAATGATGGATCCAAATGTCGTCTCAATGAGAATACCAGCTACCTTGGGAAGTTTTCGCGCGAACTCTTGTCCAGCAAATCCAAGCAGATTGGCAGTTGGGATGACGGCGATATACGCGGTAGCAAACTTCCAGAGATGCAGGCCTGAGAAGAACTGAAGGATGATGGCGATAGGCACAAAAGGCCAAAGGATGTTGACCCATTTCGACGCGGTGCAAGAGCTTCGCCAGAGAACAGAGAGGAAATGTCGTGGATGGAAACCGCTTCTTCCGCTCTCGCCCTCATGGGCAATGTGACTTGAGATTTGCGGCAGAAGCGGGGTTGATTCATCTCTGTGACCAGAGCCATTGCTTCCATGGCCTGGGAGGATATTGCTCGCCATTATCGCTAACAGAACAAACAAATGCTCAATAAGCTTGATCACAGAAAGCGTAACAAGGTTTCAGTTGGAGAGAGGGCCGAGAAATAAAGATGGGAAAGACTCCTGGACAAGATCAAAGGGGTTGGGATCGTAATAACGTGACGCTGGTGTTGGCGGTGGTGGCGCAGGATAGCCAATGATTTTACTGTGATGAGACACATTGACGGGGGTTTTTCAGCAGGGATCGAAACTCTAAACAAAGCTTGTTTTGCTGACGTTTGCTCAGCAAGGTTCTAGACCTCTTGAGAAGCATTGGCCAGCTTCTTACCCCGCAGAGTAAAATCTGATCTGACTTTGCTCGAGGGAAGTTTCGATGGGATTTAGCGGTAGATATTCACTATCTGTCGTGTACTCCGAAGACGCTATGCTCTCACTGTGAAAGTTTAGTGAGCCAAGGTCACTCCATAGTTATCGATAATGAAACCATCTCACCAAACAAGTTTAGCCATGTCTCACAGCCCCAAGACGGAATGGCGCCCTTGATACTAGCGCGCACAAGGATGCAAAAGACTAAAAAAATAAGAACACATCGTGCCAAAATTACTGCTGATCCCGTCATCGGCAGTCGTGTTTTTTTTGACACCGGAATCAACGAATGGGAGACGCGTCTCCCCGCACTCACCTCCCTTCTTCCATGCAGCGTGACATTCCCTCACCGATTCTCACCGATGGAGAGTTTCACTTTTGCCTTACCGAGAAGCACCTATTATGTAAAATGGTAATACGCTTTAGTGTGTGTTGGCCACGGCTACGACGGACCACATTGCGTGAGGACTGGTATAGGTTATCGTTATGTAAATTTTACATACACTTTTGTGGGTGAAAAGTTTGAACTCATGTGATGAGAAATGGAAGTTTCTCATTTTCTGTCTTTCTAGTCTATAAAATCTATAGATCTATTCTTCTTTTACCTACAGATACAATATTTATAGTCATTCCTCAATAATCCTCCATCTACCCTACAATACATCTCGATTTCGACTAGTCTCCCAAGAAGGTTTCACTACAGAAGCTCCATCGTGATTGGACAGCCGTTTTCGTCAACTTGGTTCAATCGCTTGGCTTACGACATCACCCGCGCAGAATGCCTTCAGCGGTGAGAACTGATTTTTCTCCTCCTCCATCAAAGCAGCTCAAGCCCATACCCTTCCGTCCGATGAAATCCCCAATCCCTGACTATCTCAACCGGGTGCTGGAGAATGCGCGGCCCATAGAAGATGGCAAGCCTGCCAGCTACATCGAGACGCTGGCCAAGGCCGACACGTCAAAGATAGCTGTGGCGCTGGCTATGGTGGATGGCCAGGTTTACTCGGCTGGAGATGATACTCTTGAGTTTTCTATGCAATCTATTTCAAAGGCGTTTGTCTACGCGTTGGCGATTGAGGATGCGGGGTTGGACAAGGTCTTGGAGAAGATTGGCGTGGAGCCTTCTGGAGACGCGTTCAACAGTTTGTCTCTGGAGCGCGGCAGCAACAGACCCATGAACCCCATGATCAACGCCGGAGCCATCACAGCACACTCTCTCATCGGAGGACCAGACTGGACAGCAGAGCAGAGATCAGACCGCATCCTCAAAGCCATGTCGAAGCTGGCAGGTCGTCAATTGCGCGTTTGCGAAGAGGTTTATGAGGCTGAGCTGAGAGATGCTAATCGAAACATGGGAATTGGTTACATGCTCAAAGCAGCTGGTATCATCACTGGCGATGCACAGCAGATTGTGCAGGGATATATCCGTCAATGCGCTATTAACGTCAATGTTCGAGACTTGGCGACAATGGCTGCTACTCTTTGCAACGCGGGTTGTCACCCTGCAACCGGAGAGAAGATCATTCCTCAAGACAGTGTGCGACAGATTCTTTCTGTCATGACGACTTGTGGCATGTACGATGCTGCAGGCGACTGGGTATCACGAATTGGCATACCCGCCAAGAGTGGTGTTGCTGGTGGTATTATCGGTGCTTTGCCTGGTCAGATGGGTATTGCTGTCTTTTCACCCAAGCTTGATTCACGGGGTAACAGTGTACGCGGTGTCGCTATCTGCGAGCAGTTGTCGAGCGACATGGGTCTTCACATGATGGACGTCAGTCAGATCGCTCAAGCGACTGTACGTGTATCCGTGGCAACTATCCTCCCAGGCGACAACGAGCCAAATCACACAAACTGCAACAAAGAAGTCATCATCTTCAGTCTACGTGGTGTTGTGCGCTTTGGAGGTTCAGAGAGGCTGACCCGAGCAATTACACGAGAACTCGGTGATCCAAACCCTAATGACCCCGGGTCTGGCAGAAGTCGCTTTGTGTGCGCTGTGGTATTCTCATTCCGTGATGTGTTTTCGTTCAATGCAGTGGCCCAGAAGATTATTCAGGCGGATATCACTCGATTGCTGCTTGATGGAAGGACTGTTGTTGTTATTGACCCGGTTGGTGTTTTGAAAATGGATACTGAGCGTGCTGGCAGCAACCTCAAGATTGTGGACAATGAGACTGCTGCGAGGGATTACATCGGAGGAATTGGATGCCATACAGTTTCCAAGAACGATGAATGGTGATTTGGCGTTATGAAAGATAAAGCAGAAAATAATACTCATGAAACTAGCCGTGCCGACACGTACTTGCAAGGGCTAAAATATATCCATACCTTATTCTATAATCAGATAATGATTAACTACCAATCTGGGAAGTGCCGCATATGATTGGCAGTCAGATGCAGCCTTTTCAGTTGGTTGAAATTGAATCACCGTTGGCTTGAGAGCCGCCGTCTTACTACTGGTAGGGTCCGTAAGGTTGACGTATTAGAGGAAGCGACAAGCCCAAGCACAAAGATAGGAACACGTATTGTAAGTTTGTAAACATACAAGGTATTCCTTGCAGGCTAGGCTGGATTCGTTGGTCAGCCGGTATTAACGGAGCCCGCGGAGGCAGTTGGCCCCCGCTCTCGAACTATATTGAGTTGCCTAATATAAATAGACCCGTGCAGTGTGCTGAAGATAAAGCTCAAACAACTTTTGAATCTCACCCACCAAGTTAGGCCGTGAAGACAATCTTTCCGTTAACTTGAGACGGAGAATATGCCGCCAACCATTCATCTCGTGCGTCACGGGCAAGCCGTGCACAACCTTAGCCAAGCAAACAACCACCTGCCTGACCCCGAACTGACGGCCCTTGGGGAAGAGCAGGCCAGAGGACTGATTCCTAAGTTCCCAGAGCTTGCCAACGTTCAACTGATCGTGTCATCGCCACTGCGACGAACTATCCAGACGGCCCTGTTAGCGTTTCCTTCTCAACTGAAGCGCGGCTTACAGATTGTGGCCTTGCCAGAAGTACAAGAAGTTAGCGATATGAACTGTGACACTGGTAGCGATATCTCTGTGATTAGAGCAGAGTTCGAAGAACAGCCGATAGACTTCGATTTGGTCGAGCCGGGCTGGCAAATCAAGGTATGTAGTGAGTTTTCTACGTGGAATTTGATCAAAATGGCTAACCAAGTATATGTGTAGCAAGGAAAATGGGCCCCGGTCGTGGGTAGTATTATGAAGAGGGCCCAGGTAGCGCGACAATGGCTGAGCGAAAGATCCGAGATCGAAATCGTGGTAGTTTCTCATGGAAGCTTTCTGCATTTCCTCACAGACGACTGGGTGAACTCTGTTAATGATAAGGGTATGTTTACCATTCTTACTTAGCTGTTCAGGTAATAATATCATTAGGTACGGATTGGGATAATGCAGAGGTCCGTTCTTATACGTTTTCGCATGACGACTGTGAAGGGCCAGTTTTATGTGAGACTAGAGAGTCTAGAGAGAAGCGAGGGGTGGCGCCAGTTGCGCCGACCAGAGAAGAACAACTAGAGATGAGACGAGCCGCACTGAAAGCAGGGATTGAATGGGGTCTCATACAGGCGTGATAAATCTTGTCAATGGCTTTAGCGCTGTAGCATGAAAACAGTTTGAGGCGAGTCACTGGTCGCTACAACTTCTGCTATTGCCAGTAATTTGAATGGTACTATCTGTCCCAAAGAACTATACCAATACACTCATCTATCAAGAAGATGAGATAGGCTTCTTGGACATGGTCGCAATGAATGCCGCCAGCGCTGCCTCGGGCTGGTATGCTGGAACTTCATGACCAGCGCCATATACCCGCAGCCAGCTCAAGTTTCCAGAGGTCTTGAATTCTCCGTATTTCTTTCCACCGACAGTGAATGAGTTGAGAGGAGCCGAGACGAACGACTGCGGGGCAATTGAGTTGAGTGCCCTGTAATTACCCATCCAGTTGCAAATCCAATCTAGATATTGTTAGATTGACAAGGTATAGAGGAAATGAGACAAGTCGACATACCAGCATCGCCAGCCCAGATGAGGACTGTAATCTTCGAATCAATGACCTGAGATAATGTCGGTAAGAATGATCGACCCCCTATCAAGAATTCGTTAGTCTTAATTATGCATACAGGCTAGCATGGTGTTCATACTGTCACCACTCGCGATAAACTTGTTATAAGACTCATCGCCACATTCTTCGTATTGAGATTGCGCGCCAATCGCCTTCATCACATCTGCAGACTGAAGATATGTGGAGTAAGTCGCGGGAGGGAAAGGATCGTTACTTGAGGCCCGGATATCGTAGACATCAAAGTCTGCTAGCTTCTCCAGGGGGCTTTCAATCGCCGAGCTGCAGACGTCGTCTGCGTTACCGCAAGCGGCATCATTGCCTGTGAGACCTGGGCATTTGGCAAATGCAGGGACACACTTTTGCTGGTAGGTGTTTAGATACTTGCTGTACTGAGTCGGTGTGATAAGCTTTCGGTAGGTGTTGTTAGCAGCGTAGTCGATGTAATCTCTATACTGGTTGCCTAATATTCATGTCAGTATTGGAGCTAGATACAGAGGCGTGAAAGAGCTTACCAGGATCAATCCAGCCATTGTTGATGCCAAGAGCGACGAGGTTGATCTTCTCGCCCTTGATCTTTCCAGCATCAATAGCGGCGTTCTGCTGCTCAAAGTAAAAGGCAAACTCAGGGCCATAGTGGCCACCATATGATTCTGTGAAAAGACCAAAGTCACGGTTCTCGTACTCGGGAAACTGGGCGTAGAATGCTTGAAGGAGATTCCAGACTCTAGGAGCAGCAGCAAGAGTCGATACAGCGTCGTCAGTGCCGTAGCTGAAACCAGTGCCGATCGGTTGATCAACATATAACTTCATTCGTCAGTGCGTTGTACTTCTGGAGATTTGTATGACTGTACCATATTGGCAAAGGTGTTCCATGAGTTGGGGTTTAGAGTAGGCTTGGAGCCTCCGTTGTTGAAGGTACAGGGCCCATTTTCCTGAAACAAGCCGATCATGGAACTACAGCCCGGGCCACCGTTGAGCCACAGGGCTAGCGGAGCTGTTTTGGCATTCTTGCGTGACTCAAAGAACCAAAAGAACATGTTCATGTTGGACCCTGGAGATAACATCTGTTAGGGGTTGCAACTAAGGAATGGGATAATTTGATGAGGCGCTTACCGACGGAGAAATAGCCAGAGTGCTGGTTGACACCGGGTGTCGTCTCGCATATTCCAGAGTTGGAGACAATCTTGGTCTTGGAGCCAGTGGCAGCGTGCTCGAAGACCTTGTACTTGATGCCACCGTCTTCAAGCAAATACCTTTTGTCGAGGCTAGCTGCAGGTGTACAGCTGCCGTGGCCGACAAGGGCGAGCGCCGTGAGGAGATTCAAAAAAGCTGTCTTCATATTGACTGGATATGAGCGCAATCGATGAAAGAACTGTGGCTGATGCAAGTGATGAAAAGTGCCAAGACGGGAGGTTGAAACTGTATATTATATACATTGGGGAGCTGACGAACGGGCGCAACTATATCCTCGAATAGTCCGCCTTGCACGCTCAATGGGGTTTCACTATAGCCGTATGCTATACCAGTAAAGTCAATGAAATTGTCTTATCGCCGCGAAACATTAATGCCACCTTCCCGATTTAAGGGGGAGATCTTTTGTAATGCCAAAGGTTCCAGAAGTTCCGGAGATATGATTAGCCATACAGCGCGGGAGTCAGGCGACAGTGGGCAGTGGGTACTGTCGATCTCTAGGTCATCCCGGTACCGTGAAACAAGGTATTGTCGTGCTTATATTGGCCATGGAGGATCAGAAGCCGGAAGAATAAGCTTCTCTTCTTAACACAAAGCCTCAGCCGTTGTTATACAATTATAATTTACACTATCCCGTATTATTCATTTCGGTACATGTTTTACTATGCAGGTAATAGGTTGAAGAAAAGAAACTCATCTTATCGAGAGCCTAATCTCGACCTTCCAGAACAAGCGATCTCCCGAGCCACGAGATCTAAGTACTCGGCACTTTTTAGCCGTTAATCTGGTCATGGTGCATGCATACTACTGCCGCTCACTTGCCGAATATCCGAGCTTGGGTCCTTTGATTGGCGCACAAGCTTATCAAGAATTCATGCTTAGAATTAATTTTCTCACTAATTAAACCCAATATTGCAATGGCATGCAAAAATGTCGTATCGAACATCCAATTGCAGCCGCTCCGAGTATTGAACTTGTGTAAATTTCCGCCTATAGATCGTCCTTAAAATGATTCTTACTGGTAAGCAAGACCGGCTTTAGAAGTGGTTTTATATATGTGACAGCAAGACTGCAGAGGACGGATATTTAATACATAGGCTGATGGTGAGCGCATTAATTGTCATCTTGAGATTCAACCCTTTAACCATCGGTGAATGTATCGTTGTAGTTGCACCCGGTCCATGGTAGGAGGATACTGCTGTTGCTATTATTTAACAGCTTAATTGCTTACCGTTTCTTGTTACATAATACCACTACAATAATTGTTGTCTGAGGCGAGCACTCGCAATGCACATATCAGAGGTCAAGCCCACGCGCATGTCGGGTTGATCTTGTGTCTTTGCTGAAAAGGCTACGAGACAGCTTATATTGACGGAAATCTATCAGTTCTATATGAATGACAACCCCAGTAAGTATTTGTTGGCACAAGAGCAGTCCGGCATTGCTTACGAGAGGCTGACTGGATAAATATTGCAGGGTATTTAATCCCTGCAAATCCTTGTTTTATCTCAAGCCAAGTCACAAGCTGCGCTGAGTATGGTAACAGAGACAGCCAATAATCTAATTCAGGATAAGCTTATAATTGAAACTTCTAGTGGTCCATCGAGATGTTTGTTAAGGCTGATTTCCAATCCCGAAAGGCAGTTAAATATATCTGTTTTCTCTCAACTAATGCATTCATCCAATTTTGGAATTTGGATTACATAACCCTACAGGGCTGAACTGGGCTTGGCATTTTCAACACAGCCTCAATGATCAATAATGATGTTTTAGGCTGCCTCCCGCGACTTTCCAACCTCAACCTTCTCATCACCAAGATGTCCGATCCTTTGAGTGTCGCCGCCTCAATCGCAGGACTCATCTCAATCACAGTAGAGGCCGTCAAGTTTCTCAGCCCATATGTCTCAGCAACGAAAGAGACCCCGCAGGTCGCGGCGCATGTCTACTCTGAAGTCCAGAGCACCCAGGTTATACTGATGGGGCTTCAGAGCCTGACTAAAAATCTCGGGTCTGTAAAGATTCAGCATGCCGCGCTCATTGGGGTGAATCAGGTGGTGGCGATCCTCACTGATGGGGTTCTGCTTTACTCGGAGTTGCATAAGGAACTTGGGTCGTTGCGAGCGAAAGACGGCGTGGGAAAGGTGCCACTCAGAGGCCGTTTGCAGTGGGTATGGAAGGAGAGTACGTTCATTACGCTTCTCAATAGACTGCAAAGTTTCAGGAGCTCAATGACACTTGTCTTGATAATTCTGCAAAGGTGCGTGCGTCGTACGATTACTGGTGCAATATCTGACTCCATCTTCTCAGTGACTCTGGTCAAACAGCAAAAGAACACCAGGAGCAGCTCTCCAATAATGTCAAAGTTCTTCTGGACAGTAACGACGCCCTATCACGCCGGCTGATGAATATTGAGGACGCCTTGGATACCCAGGCAGTGATATCGAGGCGGATGAGTCTTCTCTCATTGGCTGGGTCTCCATCTCAAGACACAACTCAAAACTCGCAGTCTGATGCTACAGAATCACCAGCTACATCGATCAACACCGATACCAGCAATTCTATATCCAAGTTTGACTTTGAAGACGATCTTGAGTCATCACGTGTATATCGCCGCGCACTAAGAGAGACCATGGACTTTTCATTCCGAAGCTCAGTTGCAAGATCACACAACTGGTCTGTCTTCTCAGGCTTGAGCCTAGGGGACATTTCTATCATGTCCTTCATCGCATTGCCTGTATACCAAGATGATATCACCAACGCTGAACACTATGACTTTGGGGAGGAAGTTGCTCTCACTTCTGAAATACCCGGGCCAATGATGGACCAGCCTTTACTAATGGATTGTCTCGAAATCAAGCTTAAACTGCTTACAATACCAGAGATGCAGAAGTACTTTGACGAGGAGCCTTACCCACCTGACGCTTTCTTCCACGTCTGGTCTGTTTTCCAGCAAATCACACCACTGGTAATCCTTGCTCAGGCTTTGGACCTGGATGTCAACCTGGATATCGGTCCACCAGAGGATCTTACCATCTCATTCAAGAAGGAAATAATACTATGGTTTGCTCAGTACTGTCACGATATTCTCAACATAGAAACAAGAAACTTGATCACAGTGGAGGACCTAATGGGAGGCGGCTACTATGGGATTTTGAGAGTATAGACGTGCGATAAAACGTTGAAGAAAGACTCCATTACTGACCGTGATCTAGGTGATCTCACTCGTTTCGAATATTACTAAGTGTCTTGTGATCACTGGTCCCTCTATAAACGACTTTTCTTCCGCCAAAGCACAAGTCGACGCCCAGTCACCGGAGCTTCGAGGCCTGCTAGCCGAGCAGCGTCAGTTTATTCAAGATCTCAACGAGCTCCTTGAGATCAAGGACCAACTCGAGATGTATATGAAGTCAATATTTCAAAACACCAGACAGCTCATGGATTTGCATATTGCCTTCCTTATTAATATGGAAAGGAACCTATTACGTCCCTCGGCAGAACATAATTGGGCTCCAGCATTCGATTATCTTCTTAGAAATATCGAGATTGAAGCTGCAACACATGCCACCGATAAGGGTGCCAGAACCAGCATACAAATTTGGCTGAAAGAAGGGCATTTCAGAGACAAGGATAAGACAAGAGCATTACTGGCAAGATGCTTCGATATCTTGCCCACGAGAGCCAAACGAATTTCTGCGCTCTTTGCATTCTCCGAGGTATGATTCAATTGAACTGCGCTCCTTGATGGTGACATACTAACACCATCAAGTACTTGAAACGCCGGCCGAGTGTCACAAATAAGCAGAGGAAAGATAGTAACAGTGCTCGATCTTCTATTTCGAAGATTGTTGCTCAGCTACAGGATAATGTCATATCTAAGGAAACTCAAGCGGCTGTTCAAAAACTTCAACAAAGAATACAGGACTGGAAAGGCATTGATCCAGATGCTCTCGGCGAGTTGATTCTCTCCAAGACACTTTATGTGACAAAGAGTTCCAAGACCAATTTGGTAAGCTGTCTCGAAGTAAAGTCCTTTTTACTCCTAACATCTCTACAATAGTACCACGGATATCTTTTCCAGAATATGCTTCTCCTCTGCAAAGACGCTCGTGGTGAGCCTACAAGAGATAGGTCATTTTACAGGTCCAAATCTTTATCTGAACAGAAACAGACAATGTTCCTACTAAAAGGACGATTTCATCTGAGACACATTCTCTCTGTCACTCCGACTTCCCAGCACGGTATGTCCCCCGCCTCTTTTCAGTTTCATCGCAGTCACTCATGCAAGTAGATAAACATGTATGCGAGGTTCAATGGGGTACTGATAATAGTGACGGCAAGTCAAAGTTCTCTCTTGTGTTTGCGGTCGAGTCCGAGATGCGACACTGGGCATTAAAAATTGATGAGTATAGAATGATGGCAATACTCATGGTAAAGCCAAAGGAAGATCCAGAAGGACCGGATTCATCAATAGAAGGGAATACAGATGAACCTGCGTCTGAGGATTCAACGGTATCTATAAGGTCGTGGAAGCGCTATGGAGTAATATAGCTTGCCAATCGGGCTACTTTTATGTGTTGGCTTGAGATATTATGAGATTTAACTATGAACCAACAGGTAGCCCTAGACAACTTCCTCAAATACCATATAACTCGGAGACAAAACTTAAGCACGCTAAAATCCATTTCCATTTCTAGAGCTAAGGTCCTGCCACTCTAAGCTAAGTTAGTGCTAAGGTTGGGCTAAGGGACTTGAAGTTTAGGCTAGGGTAGGCTAAGGTTAGGTTAAGGTAACTAAGTAGGCCTATTTTTAGGATCACATACCTCGGTCAAGGTCCCTATAGGGGACTACATCTAAGACCATATCCTTATTTTAGGCCCTAGTTGGACTTTCCTATATTAAGGAATCTAATCTGCGTAAACCTGTGTTATAAAGAAGCTGAGTATGAGCGAGTTTGTTGCTTTGTGTGAGCAGGTCCCAGAGTTGGAGGGCCTTCTAACCGTAAGGGTTTTACAGTGGGTGGGTAAGGCCAAGCAGAATGGCTTGAGCCAGTTTCTCACAGCTTTGAACGAGGAGATTAGTGATGAAAATGGCAGTACAGCAGTGATTAGCAGGTAGGAGGCTTCAACATGTAAAATATTTGGCAACAAGTGTGTATGAAACAGTTAATCCTAGAATAAATATTTCAAGGTATATGCCTCTAATACCATCATATTACGTCCACTCCTGCCAAGCACAGAGCCTAACCGATGGAACACCATGGCGGCAGAGATACTTTCAGGGGAAGTGTTGGAATCTCCAGTTTTGATGAGATTGATTGTCCCTTTTATGTCATCTTAGGCGAGAGTCCTAAACTATAAATCCTCGCTGCCGCAATAAGGACCTTTCCGAACCTCGCTAAATGCCTAGCTACTACTTCAATTGGCTTAGCTAAGCATTGTCAAGTCGGTTAGGCAAGGTCTTGCATAAGTTCAAATGGCGTCAATGCGCCTTGAATGAACATGTGAGCGTTTTGTGTTTACATCTTACAAGTAGACAGCCTTTGGTTATTGGTGGAAAATGAGATTGCACTTTAATGCATAGGAACAACGTAGATCCAGACTGTATGGTGGCTGGCTGAGAAATAGAAACGGTCCAAATATGAGGTAACAGATCTACTTGGCGATGGCTCCATCAGCAAGCTGGAACTTAACTACCGGTATTATTAATTCAACTCGACTAAGTGCAAAAACTCTAATACCTACCCTTACATGCTCCGGAAGACTAGCTATAATAAGTTAGTACATGTCATATACAATATACAGACATGTCGTCGGATGATTAATTATTCTGAGCTCGGTGAATTATATCCCAAAGAAAGAGCGCCGGTGTATTCTTAACACCGAAGATCTCAGCTATTCTTTTGTTTAGTACTTACCTCTTCCCAGCACTGCCACACTTAGATCATATCAAATACTAGTTTACGCGCGCGCGAAATTCATATCAGCGATAGCTTACAAATTATCGTTTTCGACTATGGTTAATGCCTGAAAGATGATGCTTTGAATTGCACTAGGCTTATAAATCTGAATTGATAATATCGCGATAGATACTGGTCGTATTGGGGCAAGGGAAGATTACGAATGCTCGTGTTATTGAACTCTTGGAGACAGACGATGCATCTGGTATTCCTCTGAACTATATATGTTAATCCGCCTTCCCAAAGATATAGTCCTGTTCTTAATACATCTCAACAATCACTCACTCCATACTCTTACTGATAAAGCAATCTTACCGCCGCAATATGATGTTACTCACTACGTTTATCCAACTGCTAGGTGTTGTTGGCATTGTAAACTCCTGTTTCGTTGCCCTTTCTCCTCATGAAATAAGGCAAATTGGAACAAAGGGATCCAAGACTAAGCGAGGTAGGTAGCGGCCATCGGGCATGTTGTCTCTTCATGAATACTGACAGTTTATAGAAACGCAAACGCCTCCCACCCCCAATGACGGAAGGCCATGGACTGTGGAACAGAACAAGCGGCAAATGCAATCCGCCGACGACGCCTTCATAGGAAAGGACCTGCCCCATTTTCACCATCATCCAAATGCGACGATGTACTTGAGTGGTGGAGTCACGAGGAATCTCCCGGAGCATATCGATGACATGAGACTACTCTACGGATCGTTCTCAGACGTTGTCACGCATAACCGCAATTACATTGTTCTCTTTGGTGAACGCGACTGGACGGTTGCACTGACACGAGCTTCCGGTGTCAATGACGGCCCTATTGATGGTCTGGATGGAGAGCTCTCCGCACCAACATTTCGGACCATCAATCCCACCATTATGACTATTGCTCGTTGGAGTGGAGGTCAAATGATGGAGGAGTATCTATGGCAGGATCCTATTATTTGGTATCGACAGCTCGGTTTTCTCCCTGTTCGCCCCGCCAAAGATCTCCCTGAAATTGGACAGAACCCCGTGCCAGGAAAGCCGGCGTCAGAAAACCCGGCCGCGAACAAGCAAGGTGTACTCGCGTCGGATAATGCTCTCAATGCGGGCAAATTTGACGCTCGCAGCTTGCGCCTGTCAACCAATGCGACCGTCTATGGATTCAACGATGAGGGACTCAACGTTGATGGCTGGCTTAAGCAGCTTCAGGTGCTTAAGAAGGCATTCCCGGATCTGCGCATAAACAATAAGCCATACAAGCAGGTGATTGCACAGGGCGAATGGACGGCTACAATTGCCATGCTGAGCGGAACGCACAATGGCGCACTGGAGCTTCCGGTATACTTGGCAAGTGAGCCGGTAGCTGCCACCGGCAAGAAGTTTGAGCTGCTGCATTACACCATCTGTCGCTGGAGAGATGGACAAATCGTGGAGATGAGAGTCAATATTGACTGGTTCGGCATTGTTGGAGCTCTTGGTATCTCACTCTAACTGAAATGCGTTAGCATGAAGTTTGCTTTGAGGACTTCTTGCTAAAGGACTCAGGAGGACGGTATCTAATAGAAGCTGGACACAGGTCGCAAGTGGTAGTAGTGGCGACTAGACTTTCTTTCATTCTTTACTGGTATAATTTGCATAAGTTATGCCTTTCTTACTATTTGAACAATTGTAGCTATATTTATAGTTATTTCCCACAAATTTAAACAGTCGACGCATAATCTGGAATGAGTAAGCATGTCACCTGGGTTGAGAAGGCGTCAGCTGTTATTCCACTAAGCGAGACTACTGTGACTAAATAAAATTTAATTGTACAGTCAGAGGTACTCCATGCCCATAAAGTTCGCTTTTTTCCAAGCTTTGAAATGACATGTCTTCGCCGAGGGTTGCTGTGACTAAACTGGTGGAACAACAGAGAATATTTCAAGGCAACGGGGCTTAGAGTTGCTAACTCCGGTAAGCAAGTCTCCTCGCTATCCAATTTATATTTTAAAGTTTGCTAAGTAGCTCTCTTTACATTTGAGCTAAATCACTTACTCCTATAGTTCCCATCATTTGTCTACTATCACCTTGATTAATGTCATCTCCTCTTTCGCTCGTCTAACTGTAATCATGCGTCTCTTCAGAATCCCCATCCTGACCGCAGCTGCAGCACTGGCTCAGCCCCATTCTGAGACCTCACCACCATCCTCAGCTTCAGTATCATTGGTTGATGTGATCCCTGGAGTTCCTAACCTCGAGAATCTTGCTATGCGCCACAATGGCGATATCTTGGTATCGTCCGTCTCAAGCCCCAGGCTACACCTCGTTATGCCGGACCATCGCCATGCTCCTATTATTGTTACCAAAATCCCTTACTGCGTGGGTCTACTTGGCATCGTGGAAGGGAAATCTGACATTTTTTATGTCATCGCTTCCAACTTGACTGGCGAGACAAACTCGAACGCTATTTGGCGGATCGATCTTCGCGACTACCGCGTGTCAAAATCTGGCGTAAAAGGGTCCGCCCGCAAGTCACTTATCACCGAACTCCCCGCGGCACAGCAAGCTAATGGCTTTTCACGAATCTCCCGCTATGACGAGACCCGTTTCCTTATCGCTGATTCGGCCAATGGCAGTATCTCCAGATTTGACGCTTCTACTGGTACCACGGAATTGGTTTTAACGGATAACATTATGCTGCCACTGCCTTCGGGCATCGGAGTCGGCGTTAATGGTGTCCACACGTTCGATAACCACGTCTTCTTCACCAGCCTTGACCAAGGAGTTTTTGCAAAATTTTCTATTACCTCAAAAGACTCTACTTCTGGCCCAGTCCAGGTTATTGCCCGCAACATTTCTTTTCAGGATGACTTTGCTCTCTCACCATCTGGCCGATACGCCTATGTAGCGACGAACGGTCCCGATCAGATTATAGAAATCGATATTCGACAAAAGTCTAAGCGTGTCTTAGCTTCCTCGTATTTCTTGGGTGCCGCCTCTTCTATTCTGTTTGACCAGAGAGAATCTTCCAATCCCCGGTTGTTCGTGACTGGAGCGCTTGCTGTTGGAAACGCAACTGTTGGTCACGTTGCGAGACTTGACCTAGCATAGGCCAAGTCCAGCATCCTATATCTCAGGATTTGAAAATATCGGGGAATCTAGAATAATATTAGCAGAAATGCTATGCTAGAAATGACTAGGTATTATGCATATACACCGCTATTGTGTTAGATATCAACGGTCGTGCGAAGCTAAGACATTGGAACTCGATGGAAGACCATATTAGGTATTTTCGTGTCACCTTCCCATGATCATGATAGGATCATCTTTTAGCACATTTTTTGGCTTCAGCATGTTGTCACGTCAAGGTTTGGCGCTTATACGATAGCACACGGCTAAATCTGGCCAGAGCAAGACATTGCAAAAACGCAAAGTATGGTACATTTCCAGGCACGGAGCGTTAGTAAACACTCTAGAAGGCGACTATGTGGCGACTTGGGAGAAATTACCAGATGCAGTAATGTTTATTAGCACTCAACGCTGCGTGCATATTGTCGGCATAGGACAGTCGAAAGAGAATGCACACTACGTGATATGACACCGTTCTGGAGATCACATGCCCGATGTTAATCGACACAAAGCAGGCGAGGGGAAATAATTAGAATTGGTAAGGAGCTTGTCACATATTCGTACTACTTCTTTTTACGAAATGCAGGGTGGGTGAATTGAAATAAAGACGGCCGGTCGTTGAGAATACAATATGGAATGGTGCTACTAGAATGCCTCTTTGTATAGTCTACTCGGCATGCCTCCAATATATCATTGAACTGAGGCCATTCACCTTGAGAATGCTGTTCGCCCTCACGGTCAAGTATGCCTTGATCTGGCTTACGAGTAGGTAGCAAGCTCCCAGCGGAATGAGAGTCGGGGATAATGGGCACTGTTATTGTAGAAAAGAATAGTTAATAATACATGGACGTCCAAACAAGCTGGTAGGGACCATACAGTCGTGTCTTATGAGACCATTGGTTGAGACCAACAACATCGAACCATCCTTCCCTTGGCACGGCATACGACACGCTAGCCCATTGGAGGTGATAACCTGAAAAGCCAATTCAACCATCCACGACAACCCTACATATTCCAACCATGCCTTTTGCCATTTTTCGAGCCTCGGCATGTCTGCGAGTATCAGTCGATGAGTCCATTACTTTAGAGTACCTTGTTATCTTGAGGATTGTATGATCTGACGTTGGGTATGAAGCCACGAACGGTGATAAATGTCGACAAATCCGTCAATAGTAGCGATTTGGTCCTATTGCTCGCCTTACTGACGCGCTTGTTGTTGTTGTTCCAGTTCCTATGTTCTGCGAAAGGACTCTTCCAAACCGTGAAGGTAGTTGGGCTTGCTGTCGACCTTTTGCTTTTCGAGTACCTGTGCAACGGAGCATACGTGTTGTTGGCCTTCCTGCAATCCTTCTTATAAGGCTGTCATTACTACTGCGCCGCCAGAGTTTGTGAGTCTATCCGCCTGGTCATAAAAGCTGCTGGCCTCGTCGATGGTTCGTCGCTACATCTGCCCGGGCTGGGATCCTGCGTCCTGACTTGGTCTGCGTTTCTTCTTGAGTTCCTTGTGACAATCTATCCATCTGGGATATCTGTCGGGTGGATGAGGCTCTGGTAGATACTCTCGCTTAGAGTACAGGTCAGCGAGCTGCTGTACACCTTGAGGCTCTCGTTTAGATGGGTGCTGTGAAGTTTTCTCCGAAGCCTACTGAGTTGATGTGAATGATGGCGGAGCTGACAGCATGGAAGGTGACTGAGCTCGCCGTTCGCACTCTACGGATGTGGATTGGATAGCAAACCGCCGGAACAGTCTCTGGATCTAAGGTTTCCGTGACTCTTCAAATGACCTCTCCAGTAGCTGTTTTGAAGACACCCCAGATGGCTCAGGAGACTTCTCGCGCTGCTGTTCGGATGGGTAAGACCTGGTGGATTCATCGTAGGGTTTTGAACCAGCACCATTATCTACATTATCTATCATATACCACCTATTCGTAAGCAATTCTCCCTCCCGCAATGTCCAGGTTCAGGGACGAAAGTGAGACCGAAACGTTCTTGGCTGGAGCTATTGCTGGCGCGTGATGGCGTGACTGGGCTTGTAGAGCTTGATGATGACACTAACATACCCATACTGAGACAGCTTCTCCTCCGTAAGTGAACAAGTAGTATCCAGCGGGGTCCATTGAGCAGCAGCGTCGTCGGCGCTGACTGACACCAAGGAACCTTGGACAAAAACAAGGTCATTGGGGTCCCCATAGTAACAGCCTATCCCTATTGAATTGCACCCGTCACTATACTGATTATCGGTCGCATAGTCGACGCGGACCTGAACGGAGAGGCGGTACGAGCCTGTCTTGAGGCGCGCCTTGTCGATCTTTTGATGCACGTAGTTGATGTCTCGCTCACGGACACGCTTGTTGTAGTTCCATTCTCAGTGATAGTGGTAGCTGTCTCTGTCTCGGTCTGAGTAATCGCATGGTTAACCCTAACCCTAACCCCCGTAGCTCACAGCAAGAACTGGAGGCTTATGGCCTTGTCTGAGTTGGCCAAGATTCTGAAAATATGATCAGTGAGATACATTCATCTTGTTCACGGGTCTACCGGATGAAGCAATTAATTGCACAGACGCATCAGGGGGGCCACTGAAGAGCAACGCCACTTACTGAAAGCCTCGCTAGGGGGCTGAAGTTGTGAAGCGGATCGTGCGAGTAGGCTTGAGAGACGATGCTATACTTCTACTTTATATTCGAGGCGTCCACACCACTACCCACTATTGTAATCTCAGCTAATCTACAAGCAGAACTAGCTTTACCGTGTCGCGCAGGCGGGCAGCATTGCTTTGACGCGTGTTACTTATTTGCGCCACATGACATCTCTCCGTTGCTGGACGGCGTCTAAACCTGTACAAGCATCAGGTATTCGGATTAGCTTCGATAGTTCGATGAACCAGCCTATAGAGTAGCGGTGTGTCAGATACGCATAAAAGTAACAACAAAGACTCTTGCAGCCTGGAATGGGTGACATGCTGCCGTAAGGGGAAAGACTGCACCAGAATCATGGTTGTTCAGCTTTGCCCACTTCCAGCGCCACTCCTGCTCAGACTCACGTATTAATATCTCCACCCGGTAGCGAGATTTTCTTGGCATAAATTATGTGACCCGATAAAAATGGCTAACTCCCACTTTGAAACAGTGAAATATTTCAGCCTGCATTGCGTCGACTCTGCCACGTTTTATGTATGCGAAGGTTGCGATAACGAATTCATTGGATGTTGCACATCCGATCCCTGCCGCGATGGCAGCGGCATCTGTCCCGATGGCCACCTGCGGATGGCCAGCTTCGCCGCTGACAAATCTGACGAGTTGAAAAAACAGAGCTGTGATGATACTCGAGGGTCAAGTGTCTGGTGGGTTTGCCCAGACACCGACCCGCCCTTTATGGGATGCTGCGATATAAGTCCCTGCGGTGAGGGTTGCTCGAGGAGTAACCTCCTACCGGCTGTCCTATCGAAAAATAAAGAGAATCGGCAAGCATTTCTTGACCCGGAGGGCTTTACCTCCACTATATCGGCAAGCGCGGCTACAAGTACAGCATCTTCGAGCTCACCGAGCAATGACGACAGCGGTGGCTTGGGCACTGGAGCTATAGTGGGCATTGCTGTTGGATCTGCTGCTGTATTCCTGATTCTCCTAAGTCTCTTGATCTGTATCTGTTGGAGGCGTCAGCGGAAGCGTAAACAAACCGGCGAAAAGGTTCAATCTCGCGAATTCTCTGCAGCCTCTGATCCAAATCAGTCGCCCATGGGTTATAACGGTCGTAAGTGTTTCTCTATCATCTCTCGTGTAAGGAGAGACGTTACTTACGTGCAGTCCAGAATATTTCCCTTCAGCAAGTACTGTCGTCCCCCACTATTCTAGTGGCTTCTCCATCGATCAACACAATAAGCCCTCTCCGCCGCTAGGATGGTCTAATGAACTATTTTCACCAAACACCTCTTCGAACATAAACTCAACCTTTCGTGGGAGCTACGACCAGCCCTTCTTGCCCATGCATATGATGACCGTACACGAGATGGATGGGGTAGACAGGACGCCCCAAGAGCTCAGTACAGACCCTTTGGAAACCTATGAGGATCAGAACCAGAGTCCTGATATGGACCAAGCACCACCTCAGAATCAAGGGTATTTTAGGCGTTAAGTGAGTGCAAGACGAGCACAGGATATGGCACATATAAGGCTGAGCCATCAAATGCAAAGTCACAACAGTACCAATCACTTATCAGTATTGCACTACGATATTATTATAAATAATCATGTTGAATAACCTCATATTTACTGTTTGCATCAGCAACTAACTGATCAGAGTAGCAGTAGCTCAGCCTTTCTCTTCTTCTGAGATTTCGTTGCATTGACAGGATGGCGGATTATGTCACCGTTCCCGACGAACCTTTCGACTAACGTGGGATTATCTGATTGTTTGACATTTCGAAAGATCAACTGATGCATCCTGTCAGCACTCATATACGAAGCTAACCTCAGATTTGCCATGGATAACGTTAGAATTCCGCTACAAGTCCGCTACTACTATTATTAAGTTCTACATGTATACGAGTATATCTCAAGTTTCGACACCTCATATTAATTCCTCAATTACAAACACATGAACCCGAATAACAAAACGAATGAACAGTATGTCCCACTCACTACTACTGTAGCTACCATTTACCTTTCCAGCTTCCAAGACACCAGGGAAGTTCACCATCGACGTCGACTAAAAGCTGCTTGACCTTGCGAAAGACAATGCCCGAAGTTACCTTTCTACTCGTGGAATTTCGTCACAATGGTCATTTGAAGGGTCTCCTCTGGACGCCATGTCAAACCTGGCAAGTTTGTGGGCAAAAGATTACAACTGGTCAGCTGTACGAGACAAGATCAATCATAATTCTGATCATTACGAAATAGCTGTTCCTGGAAACGGGGATTACAAAGCCGGATATCCCTCTGCATTTCGTCCATGTCCGTTCTTCTGACGACAAGGTTATGCCCCTTTTGCTCTTTCATAGTTGGCCATCCAGTTACCTATTATGGCCAAACATCATGAAGCCTTTATCGGATATTTCTACCTCGTGACGCCAGATCTACCAGGATTTGGTTCAGCCCCCGCTCCTAATGCGACTGGGCTTGACCCGAAGGTAATGGGCAATGCTCTCGACACTATGATGAAACAGCTTGGCTACGAGAAATATAGCGTTATTTCCACCGATCTCGGCGTGGTCATCGCAGTGAATATTATGGAGGCGGTTGAGGATTCTATTGTTGGCCATTTTACAGATTTCCTCTTCCTGAACCCAACGCCTGAAGATCAAGAGAGAATGAGTAAGGGAGAGACAACCGAAGAAGAAAATGAGTACATCAACGCAATGAACACTTGGAACACTCAACACTTTGCGCATGCACCCATGCATGCAATTCAACCACTTCTTCTGTCACTCATTCGCTGACAGCCCAGTTGGAAATGCTGACTGAGTATGGGATATCTTGTATGCTTCTAGCGATGGATACAAGTACTCGTTTGACCACATCATCAACACATCACTCATGCTTTGGATCCAGGAACCATACACCGGTCTTCGAGCCTACACTGAAATTCTCAAGATAACATGCTCAATGGTTGTTTTCCATTTCATAGGCAGCTAGGCAGCCACTAACGCTCGCATGAATAGCCTGGGATCTTTGATAGCATGAGAAAAACCAAAATTCCTACCGCTGTAGTTCAATTTGGCAATAGGGATGGTCCATTTAGTGTGACAGTATCCTACTTTGAAAGGTGCAAGAAACTGGTTTCTTATCGTTGATGACGTCGACGACATGGAGATTTTCGACAAGTCGAGGCATGCAGGTGGGGAAATCCTCGATTTTCTTCCTTATAATGGCGACGGAAGGATCTTATTCACCACACACTCAAAACAAGTCTCCCTTACTGCACTTAGGACTGCGGTAGTTTTACTACCGCAGTTGTGTCTGAAGAGGCAACAGATCTCCTGGAGGAATCCTCGATCGAATTGACCGAGCTACGTCGTGATGAGGAAGTGGTCGAGATTCTCCAAGCTCTCACCTACCTTCCTTTGACAATTACACAGGCAGCAACGTAAATGAACACGTATGAGGCGTCTATCACAGAGTATATTCGATAGTTCAAAACGGACGCACAAAACGTGATAAGGCAGCTTGAATAGGGATATGACGACCAAGCCCATCATGGCGGTTCGTAAGGGTCGTTGCTACCACGTGGATTGTGTCTTGCGACCGGATCTGCTGCTCCCCAACTGACCTCTGGTCGAGCTGTTCCCCGTATCACAGGAAATGGCTGTCTTTCGCAAATTTACAGCTTACCTCCGTAAATTAACGGAACTAGGGCTAACTTTGTAAGTTCGGCAGGTTAACAGAGTTTAAATGCTATTCGCCTGGCAATTCTGATAGGGTACAGCCACCAGATCTGCCTCGGTGCGCAGACTAGGGTGTTGGGCGGTCGGTTGGTGGATCACATTAGGAGACCGGCTGACACTGGCGGGTTCTGAACCTGTCACATGCAACTCGAGGGCTTGAACTATGAAAATCATTAGTCTTTATAGAAGTCAGACGCGTAAATGACGATGGACTCAACAGAACATACTGTACGGTATATAAAAGACCACTATCCCCTGAGAACCCATAAGGGTGCAATTCGTACCTGCCCACCTTTTCCCTGCTATTCTCATGTTTGTTGCACCTCAATTGGCTGCAACCCCTCCCGGTACTGCGTTGTAGCCTTATGGGCTCTCAGGAGATAGCGGTCGTACCATAAATCAGGAGCTGCCAGAAGGAATATCAAGAGAGAATCTTCAGGCTATCACATTTCGCCCACACATAAAGACAATTTGCCAAAGACCACTCATAATTCAGTTATTGCTAATCATGACGACACCTAGGCAGACTCTGGAGTTTATCCCGACCTTGCAAGACGCTGTTCAAGAGCTAGGCAAACTCGTGGAGGACCCGACAAGCGATTTAGATGAGAAGGAGTTGCCTGGGCTTGATAAACTAATTACCGATTGGTATGACGAGGCTACGGACGTAAGCAACGAAGATTTTACTCGCAGGATCCTTGAAGTCTTTCGGGATTCCACACACAACGAAGTATACAAGAATATAAAGGGGCAGCTTCCGCCTCAGAAAGAGCTCATATTTGATAAATTTGTTGATGGGAATATCACAGCTGAAGATGCGGGCGAGCTTTTTGTGAGATCTGAGGCTGAGGCCTCGGTGGTATCAAGAGCCGAGATTCAAACCCAAAGGTTACTCCCCAGGCCCGCCAAAACGGAAGCACCACCCCAGAGGAAATTCATCACGGTAAGATCAATTCAAGAGCTCCAAGTCTTTAATCTCTAATGTATGTAGGCCCATGTTACGGATTTGCCGTTTGAAAACTGGGGTCGGACTGTGAAGAACACACCTGCAGTCACATACTATCCCGAGAATGTTGCAGAAGTGCAAACCATCGTTCGTGACGCTGTCAAGAATAATAGAGGTGTTCGGGTGTCAGGTTTCCGTAAGTTTCTATAATGGTACAAAGGCTTCATTATCTAATGATATATAGGGCATTCTTGGGCCCCCTTGTTTGGACGTAATGATAAAATGGGCCAAAAGAACAATGGAGATGTCCTCATCTCAACATTAACTGAACTCAATGCAGGTGTACTTCCGAATCTCACTTCATTGCCCTCAAGTCTCTTCCAGCCGAAGGAGACCGAGCTCAATCACATCAAGGTTGTGGATGCGGCCTATGTGAGCGGTCAAGCTCTGGGAGACGGCAAGAAGTATGTTCGTGTTGGTACGGCTACTACGAATGAGCAGTTCCGCCGCTGGTGTATCGACGAAGGCGATGTTACTTTGCCAATGAATATTATCGAAGTCGAGATCACCTTTGGTGGCAGTAACGCAACCATTTGGTACGTGATGCGCTCTGTGCCTGACTTAAAAACTGACTTTTCATAGCCACGGCGCTGGCATTAATCATCCGACATTGAGCGATCTTGTACGATGTCTCGAATACGTCGATGTTCATGGCAATTTACGCACAGTCAACATGGCGGATGCCAAATTGCTCAGGGCAGCCAGTGGCTGTTTCGGGCTCCTCGGTGTTGTCACTCACATAACCTTTGAATGTGACGCAATGTCAACGGCCGTCATGTATCCTGTGAAACTGGATGTCGTTGATGCCATCCCGCCTCCCCCTGAAATAAAAGACTCAGATATTCCAGAGCCTCTCCGAAAACCCCGTACAGAACAACAGAAACAGATATCGCTGCAGAATTTCGAACGCCGTGCAAACGGGGACTTTTATGCCGAATGGTTCTGGTTCCCCTATTCCAGTCAAGTGTGGGTGAACACATGGAAAACGGACAAGAGAACGAATGATGTTGTCAATTATCCGAGCAATGCAAAGACCTTCATTCAGGTTCTTGGGACTACAATCATGAATATAGGGCAGGACATATTGCAAAAGATTGAGGCGTTGCAGACCAAGCCTTACATGCAAACTAGCTTCCTGTGTAAGTTTGATCGCTCGCTGCTTGACATGAGGCTCATCGCGAAACACAGCATGGCTGGCAATGAAGAATCTCGACGAGCGGAAAGAGAATGAGAAGCCGATAAGAACGCTCTTGCCTAACGCCCTTCACTTTCAACGAGGTGTCCAGAATATTCGGGTGCGCGATATGGAGGTCGAGATTCCAGTGAGTTGGTTGTCTCTATTCCCTGATGTCATCCGTTAAACATTGTCCCCAGCTTCACGCGAAGAAAGGCACAACTAACGAACGTGATTACACTAATGTCCAACGTGCTTGGTGGGACGCCATCAGAACGTGCTACGACAACATCAACACTTGTCCCATGCGGATGCCCCTCGAAATGCGAATTATGGGCTCTAGTGAAGTCACTTTGGCACCACAACGCGGTCACAAACTCGGAACTTGCGCAATCGAAATTTTGACCCTGAAGGTTGTTGCCGATATCTGGGAACCTTATGCTCAGCAAGTTTTGGATAAATGGACAAGCTACAAGGACAACGATGGCAAGCAAGTTGTTATCAGACCGCATTGGGCAAAAGAGTGGTACCCCTATACAGTTGATGGTAAACCTTGGATAGAAAAACTGAAAAAGGAAATCTATAAGAACGAAATTGCAGAGTTCAAGGGGTTGATGGCGGCTATTGGTAAGAAGCATGGCTGGACGCTTGCAGACCTCAAGAGGACATTCTCTAATGAGGCTCTGGACTATCTGTATTTGGATGATGTTTTAACATCCCAAACGGAGAAAGATACCCAAGTTCAGGTGCAAGAAGTGCTGGCACGGCCATTTCTTCGGAGACTGTTAGTTAAGAGTAGTTGTGGCTTATTTGGTAGCTAGACAATGCCGAATTAAGTGCTTCTTTCTTTCAGGATCCCTGCCTAGTTACATAAAGCGTAATAATATTACTTTCCTTATCCTTTTAAGCGGCACAGCCCTCTAAAAGGTTACTCGCCCTATACGCTTAAGTAATACAGCTAGTATAAGCAGGGTATAAGAAGTTTATCAAGTAAAGCATTTACTAGAAAAATTACATATAATTTTTTTTATTTAAGTGATAACTTTTTATGCAATTTTACCTTAATTATAAGATAGATATTACTTTAATAACTATAGCTTTTATACCTACTTATAGTAAGGGGCTAAAGACCCTATTAGAGTGCCTGTTTTTTTTTTTTTGGCTAAAGAATAAGCCAGTAAATATAATTATTATACTTTATATATTGGCTTATATATCCTATTTACTTTAGCCTTTCAACATTAAGAATAAAGTCATGTAGCCAATACAGGCAGTAAAGAGTATGGTATTTTCTCTACAGTAGTTGAGTTATGCAGTATGGACTTAATGTACCTATTAAACGATCCTGTGGTGATCTGATTATATCTGGCGCAATGTGATATTGTCTTAACAGCAAGAGCCTCAGGGTTGCTCAAATACCTTGGTGAATGAACATGTCCCGAGGGCCAGCTGCTGGAAAAGGCGGCCAAGATAGGTATTTCCCAAGGCTAACCCTAAGAACGTGATCATTCTCGTTTACTCTGTTACATCTCGTCTATATATTTGTATTCTCGCTTACGCAAAAGAAAGGAAAACTCCCCCAACCTCTACACACCATTCGTCAAACAACTTCACCCTCGTCGTCGAGGTGCCAGTGCCTCCTCTACAGTCCTCCTGAAAAGCTGGCTTGGCGTCAATCCGTTGGTGCGAAAGATGCAACCCTCGCCGTACGCCTCCGGGTTATTCACGCCGGGCCGGGGTGTGATTTGCCGCCAGTCTGCAAGGCAGATCAAGCAGAATTCAAAGTGGCAGCTGGAGCCTGCGAGAAGCAATTAGCTTTACCCCTGTGACGGAGAATCTCAAACTTACAGGTCATATGGAAACAGGCTTCGCCTTTTTGGATGTTCTCCCTGCAGTTGGGACACGGCTTGGTGTTGTTGGCAATCCATTCTTGCGTCTGTCGGTACTGCGGATTACCGTGATCCCTGGCGCTCTCAAACTGCTCAGAGGTGAGGCCCTCGTGCCACGGAATCATGTGCTTGTAGCACATCTCAAAGACACACTCTTGGCACTGAATGTGCGGCTCCATCTCCTCGGAGAGACAGCTGAATCGTGGCCGAGACCAGTAGAGTGGATGGTGGGGGGATGTGTATGCGACTTGGCACGGGATCGCTGCCGCTGGATCGGGGGTCGGATCTCTAGGTAGCTTATTACCGTGAGCGTTATGGGGCTATCATATCTCAAATTTCTTCATAGAGGTAATGAATGGGGCGCTGAACGAAAACTGCATTCTATATAAGTAGGATCATAACGTTAAGATTTGAGAAGTAGTACTCATGTCGTTACTACTGCTCTGAGTTAACACCAATACCTGGAGTAGCAGCTGACTCAACATAGAAGAAGCCTCTGGCCACCTCATCGAGCGTGTTCCAAATCAACCACTCCTCCAAACAATCTCCAAATCCATTCATCCCCCCATTGAACCTCCCTTAGCCTACCTACCCTCGGAGTTCGGCCTTGCTCACATGTGCGCCCCACGCGTCTTGATGACAGCTTAGGGTCCAAGTCAAACTCGGCAACCCACCCAACACACAAGGGTTGATCGATGTCTGGGTGTAGCTGACGATCGATACATGGGGGGTAAGGGTAATTAAGCCGCTGGTTGTGTATGTCTCATAATGTTTACTGGCCGTCTCTTTCGCGGTCCGTCTGATTGTGCGAAGTGTGGCAGCGGCAGCGGCACGCGGGCTAACAGCATGCCGCGTCCCCACGACGTCTGAGGATCACATGCTGCCTGACGTATTTATTATTTTATTCATTATTCAGCTAGCTCCAGCTTGAAAAATCCCCTTACCTAAGTTACTAAGGATCTCCTCTCTTTTTTGCTTTCCAAACGGGCTGAGCAAACGAGCCTCCTTCTCGAACACGCCCAGATCGGTCATTCGCTTGCCTGTTTGCACTCTGAACTGAACCAGAACTTGCTTGTACAAAACGTCTCCCTCCTACCCTCTTCTGTCCTCAACATTCTCCGCGGCAACCACAGAGAGAAACAACTTCACAATGGCCGCAACTACGCCCGCCGCGACGCCGACCAACGCCATGCTGGAAGAGACTCGTCTGTCCTCCGACGAAAAGACTGAAGTAGGCTCCAACATCATCGAACCCTCCGCCGACTCCAGGGTCGAGCGTCGAGATAGATCCATACAGGGCATCGGCCCTAATGCCAACAACGAGGAGCCTCAATATCCCGGTGCTGCCAAGCTCACCCTCATCATCTCATCGCTCTGCCTCGCTATCTTCCTCATTGCCCTCAATCAGACTATCATTGCCCCGGCGCTAGGTGTTATTACGGCTAAGTTCCACAGCATCAAGGATATTAGATAGTATAGCTCTACCTACCTGCTCACTACTACAGCTCTCCAGCCTATATACAGAACCATCTATAAGTACTTTAACATTAAGTTCGCCTACCTTGCTGCTGTTTTAATCTTTGAGATTTATAGCTTGGTCTTGACTATTATGCCCTCCTCCGTTGTTTTTATTATTGGGCGTGCCGTTGCCGGAGTAAGTTGACCTTGAATCCCCCTATATTCCTCGTAAACACTCAGCTAATTAAACTTTTTAAATTAGAACGGCTAGTCTCTTTTCTGGATCCATTATTATTCTCTCTCTGATCAGTACATTAAGTCCCAATTCCAATCCCATAGAACTAACTAACATAAACTCAGTGCCTCTCAAAAAGCGCCCTCTTGCCTTTAGTCTTATAAGCAGTATATAGGGCATTGCTTCCGTCGCCGGTCCTCTTCTTAGAGGTGCCTTTACCAAGCATGCTACTTGGCGCTAGTACTACTATATCAACCTGCCCATTAGTAGTATTACCATGGCCATAGTCTTCTTCTTCATCTATATCAACCGCAACTCAGCAGGTACTAAGAATATATCCTTTATGGCCTATATTTGAATGCTTGACCTTACTGGTGCTGCCCTCTTTATCCCTGCTATTATCTATCTGCTCCTCGCTTTGCAGTAGGGTAGTACTAATTATGCTTAGAATAACTCGCGTATCATTAGGCTGTTTTGCAGGTTTAGTGCCATAACTGCCATCTTTATTAGTATCTAGTTCTGGCAGGGTAATTAGGGAACCCTCCCTCCTCGCCTATTTGAGAACTGCAACACCTTAGCTATCATGCTCTTTGCTATATTCTTTAGTGCTAGTTTCTTCCCCCTCATTACTACCTCTATAAATTTGAAACAGTCTCTTTATCAGTGCCTTTTAACTAACATAGTTCCAGCTCTTTACTTCCAGGCTATCTAGGCTATAAGCGCCGTCCAGGCCGGGATCAAAATCCTCCCCTTCTTACTCGCCACTATTCTATACTCTATTATTTCCAGGGGCATTATTACTACTATTAGCTACTATAACTATATTAACATTCCTTATATAATCCTCTATACTATCAGCTGCATTATACTTACTATACTTAATATTAACTCCCCTCTTAGAGAGTAGTTCGGTTACCAGGTTATTACTAGTCTAGGTAATAGCGTAGGTTTCTAAATCGGTATCCTTATTATTCAGACCGTACTGCCTCAAGAATAGGTTCCCGTAGGTACCGCCTATATCTAATTCTTCCAAGCTCTCAGTAAAGCACTCGCTATTGCCGTTGCTTAGACTGCCTTCCAGAACGGCCTGATCAATAAGATCAAGGCCGACAACGTTAGCATTAACCCCAACCTCTTAATCAATATCAGATCTTCAGAGATCAAGGAAGCTTTAGCCAAATTAGGCCATCTAGACGCTTTCGATGCCGTCCTAGAGGCATATATAAAGGGTCTCCGGGATACGTACTACATCTCTCTTGCTTACGCCGCATATACCTTTATCGCTTGCCTCTTCTTCCAGTGGAAGTTAGTCAAGAAGGGTCCTGACGGCCAGGAGAGAAAGCCTGAGCCCGCTGTGCCTGTCTAGGCTGGTTATGTGGAGTCGCTTTTTTGGTAAGATTGACGTTTGGCATAGATGCCCGCAGGAACCTCTCTTCTCTTGGTTGCATCTGGCGTATATAATATATAGTTCAAAATAATAGAATCGTAATAATCAAACAAGCTCTCGTGGCCTTTAAACTTGACTCATTATGGTCTATCCCATGAAACTCGTGCCGTTCCAGTTCTCGTCCTTACCCCAGCATCAGCTCCCACGAATTTGAGCACCTAATCCTTAACCTGCTCAGACTTTTATACCTGGCCAGTTCCCTCGTTAGGTAAAGCCCGGATCCATCCCGCTTCCATAAGGGGCTCACCTTAGTCACGTCTTTTCGGAAACTCTGACCATACACCTTGCCCTTGAACATATGGAGAGCTTTGTTCTGCATCAGCACGACATCTTGACGACGTAGGGCGCTAATCTCGGTAGCTGAAGCGTTATCATGCGCAAACCAGAACGTCACAGCGAACCCGGACTTGGTATCGTCGCCGACCAGTGGTCGGCGACCAGAATTTCAACTAGGGAGAGGGTGCGGCCCCATCGCGTCGTGACGGTCCGGGGCTGTGCGATAGATATAATGCTAACGATAATATTGAACAGTCATCATCCGAGCTGCCCCCTCCTCAGACACTCTGTTAGATTCATGTCTCTGGTGAAGCCGAACATGACCCCAGAAACCAGCTCACCCATCAGGGAGACACTTATGGCTTCACCGAGAGACGAGCGTTTCTTTTCATGACATACATCCACAAACTTGTTCCTTCTGTAAGTATACTTCCATTCTTGATTGAAATAAATATGTTCTAACATCTTGAATAGTAGCTTGCAAGGCACATCTTATCAGCAGCCAACGGAAAGTTCTCTTGGTCCTGCGCAACTTAGCCCACCCACACCCCATTTGCGAGGCTGGCATCGCATTAAGTACAAGATATGGCCCATCCTTTAAACCTGTATCCGTGTCACAGCACTGGCCCTCCAGAGGGTCTGTTTCCCGGTGGTGCACTTCCTGTGGGGAGCATTTCAGATACGTGTCTGGTTTGTCAAAACCGGCTTGTACGGGCTCCAAAACACGCCGTTTGGGTCCCAATACTCCTTCACCCTTTGCAACTCCTCCACCTTCTCTTCCTGGAACAGCTCACCCAGGTCCACACCAAGCTTCATCGTATTCGCAAACGTCCTCGGCGGAACCTTGTCTGCACTTCGACAAATGGTGAAAAACTCGTCTACAAAGTCGCCTAGCCTGTCTCTCGACGCCGGAGCTGCGCACCACGTCGTGGCTATGGCTGTCGAGCCCCTATCTCGCCCTTCAAGGAACCTGTTCTCGATCTCTTTTATATCTCCGTTGGCGCGGAGCTTATCCGGGTTAAACTTGTAAAACACGACCGCCGTGCGAGCCGCATCGGGAAGCTCTTCCATGACTTGAGCCCATTTCGAGAAACTCTCCTTAATGGCCTGGGGAGCCAAGTTTTTGATTCGCGCGGCATTCATACTCTTGAATCCGCCATGCGCATTGAGCGGCTCGAAGGCGTCGTTGATGTTGGAAAGAGGCACTAGCGCCTGGTCCGCTTTGAAGGCCTTTCCGACAAGAATCGCTTCGAACAACTTGGCGGCGGCCTTCTCAGCATCCTCAGAAGGACCGTAGTATGTCGCGGAGAGAACGATGATAGGTGAGCCAGCGGCTGGAGCACCAGGCGGACTGCATAGGAACGTGATTTGGACGTTGAGAGGCACGGCCGGTGGGTCAAAGGAGCAATATGCTTCAACCACATCGTTGATGGCGGAGGGAGGAAACATCAGCACACGGGTCCACAGCTTGTTCTCGGTCAGATGCAGAGAAGAGATGGGGTAGGCCTTCATCGTTGCGGCCATGACAACTCCGAGACCATGCCCGGCACCGCACAAAGCGTAGAACAAAGCGAGATCCTCTCCCGTCGACGACGACCCAACTTCAACGGCCTTGCCCTCCGCGGTGATGACGCGAAACGAAAGGACATTGTCGATCATGAAGCCATGCAGGCCATTCTGCGACGTGTTCCCCCCACCCAGAATTGCACCCACCGCACCCACGGCATTCGAATTGGGAATCGTGGTGTAGTAACCCTGCGCGACTAGGTATTTGAGCAAGCTCCCCGTGCGCACTCCCGCTTGGAGGCGAACGGTGCTGGAGGCCTGGTCAAGCTGGATATCATTGAAGTTCCTGAGATCGAGGTACGCGGTTTTGTTGTCGATGGTCGTGAAAGTACCATGCCCACCGCCGCCAGGGACAATATTGAGGTTGTTCTGCTTAGCAAGATGGATGGCGGCGACAATGTCATCCTCGGTGTTGGGGGTGATGATAATAGCCGGAGCGGAGAGGTGAGACTCTGTCCATCGAGGAAGGACATCGCCAAGGTTGGTTGTTGCGTCGGGAACGATAAAGGCACAGGCGAGTTTGCCGGTTCCAGAGAGTGGAGAAGCCATAGTGAGGATTTCTAAATGTTTGACTAGAGTGATGTCTTGTACTGACGATGTTGAGATGATGGTTGTCAGCGGTCGCCTTTATACTTGGGGGGGCGTTCGCTTCTTGTCTGCAAGTCCGAGAACACTTTTCCATTCCGAGTTCCAGTTCCATGGATCCTTTAACAAAGCCGTCCTGCGGGGCGGGCATAAGCGCCAGGCAGGGTCGGTACAACTATAGAGTGCGAAAACGGAAAACGGGGTGTTGTCGTCGCCGCGAGCAAAAGCGCCAGGCAGGGTCGGTGCAACTACAAAGTGCGAAAACGGAAGACGGGGCATTGCCGTGAGCCTTGGACGAAACTCGTCCGGAAACTGAGCCTTGGTGGGACTCTATTGGCCTGTTCGAGATCCTGGTGTGCTGTCGAGAGCGAGTCGCTACATCATGACGCATTTTATCAGCTGGTCAGTTCAACCCCGCTTCAAGGGAAAAAAATGCCATTCGGCACCGTGAACCGGCCGGACTCTTGAGACAGACTGGAGACTGATTTCGGGACAGCCAAAAAAAACATCATTGGCTTGAGTCTCCAGTGTAAGATCGGCGTGAAATTGAGCCGCAAAGACGAAGCAGTCCTAAGTCCGAATATATAGTACTTATAAAGGAGTTGTTAGCCTTCACTGGTAAATTGTCTACTTGCACTCTTTCATTGGAAAACATTCGATATTGTCAAGCAAGCCCTGATTTGAAATTCACAATGGCCGAGCACCTTAGCTACGTCGGCTCCGTCCCCTACTGCTACGCCAACTCCCTGGTTATGATGTTGGGTAAGGACAGCCCATCGCCTGCTGTCATCGAGTTCGCCACCTCGAGCCCCTTTGGCATGCAGATCATAGGTGGTGACCTCGTATTCTTTGACCCCTACGGCTGGGACCCAGCCTCGAGCTTCGACGCGGCACTCAAGGCCGCCGGCTGGGAGTCGACTCTCGAAATCAGCGCCGACGCCGACGCCGCCCTCGCCCGTCTTAAGGCTGAGCTGGCCGAGGGCCGGCCGGTGTTCGTTGGCCCCGTCGAGATGGGCCTCTTGCGATTTCAGCCAGAGATGAAGGGTGCCATCGGGGCTGATCACTACGTCGTGGTGCTACGCATCACCGACGACGGCGAGGTTGAGATGCACGACCCCCAAGGGCACCCGTACGCCACGCTTCCCGTCACTGACTTCATGGCTGCGTGGCGGGCCGACAAGATCGGCTACGGCAAGCCATATATGATGCGCACCGGCTTCCGGCAGGTCGAGCGTGGCCTCTCGGAGGAGGACGTGATACGCAGGTCGCTCGACAACGCGCGCCGCTGGTTGTCTATGGAGGGCGAGCACAACATGCCGCCGGGGTCGTACGGCAACGGCGAGGCAGCCGAGAGGCTAGCGCAGATGGTCGAGTCCCCCGACACGCTGGCGCAGGGCATCCGCTTGTTGCTCGTTGACTTCGCTGTGAGGGTCGGGGCGCGCAGGCTGGCCGACGCGGCGACCTGTCTGGCGCGCATCGGCAAAGGCAGGGCGGGCAGCATCATGGCCAGGCAGGCCCGGCTGGTTGGAGCCCTACAACTTCCGCTTGTGTCTGGCGAGGATGCACGGGCGGTGTCGCTGCTGCGGGAGTTGGTGCCGACGTACGAAGAGTTGAGACAGGCGCTGGCAGAGGACTGACGATCCGTGGATGTGCCTGTGGCTGGCGGGCTGGCTGGCCGGTTGGTGCCCGTCACCAACTGGGCGGACCGTGGGGTAGCGAGAACATCCATGGAGAACCAGGGCTTGTGTTCTTTAAAGTTGTTGGAGATCACGATTTCGCGCCCGCGAATGCTCGACGACCTATGGCTTTTCAGATATTGTTTCTAAGATTTCACGCTCTCGTTAGAATCAAAGGTTTCCAAATTCCCCCATTGTTTATGCTGTTGTGTATATCCAATCATCAAGATTATCTTCCCTTTCGCTCTCTTCAAAATCCTGGTAATCATCTTCGCTGCTCTCGAGGTCGCCATTGGATTCGCCATCGGATAGACTGTCAGCGTCGTCACTTTAGAGGGTTTCGAACCCGAAAAGATTTATAGTAATGCTGTACTTCTTGTGCAACATAGTTATACATACATACGTATTGTGACGGTTGTGGCAAGCATTCCAGGGTAAGAGGTCTAAGCTTCGTTAGTGGGGTCAGATAGATATCTGTAGTAACAGATATAAAGGGACAGATTCCCTAGTGTGACGGTTGGGGTTTCCAAACAGGTAAGCTAATCCGTAGTGACTCCGTCTTGGCGCTTGCGAATCGAATCCCTTAGTCCGTAGTGACCGTGTGTGATTGGTGAAGAATGTGGGTAATACGTGACATAGCCGCCAGGATCGTAATAATAAAATAAAAGCTAAATTAATAAAATAAACTATAAAATAAGGATTTAAAGTACTTATATTTTCTTATAAAAGCCCTTAGTAATATACTACTTATAGTAATATATATTAAAGTACTCTTAATACTTATTATTACTCTTACTAAAGGTAATACTATTTAAGTAAGTAAGGTAAGGGAAAACTCTTTTAATAGTATTATTATCTTTATTAATAAAGTAAAACTTAAAAGTAAGTAATAATATATATTTTAGTAATAGTAATAGTAGCTTAAGTTTATTATACCTTATAGGTAGTATAAAAAGCCTTTTTATTAGGGGCTTTATTATAATAATAACTATAATTAAGTTAATAAAAGTAAAATATATATTTAAGTTATAAAATAACTTATATAAAGTAATAAAGAGGAAAGCTAACTAAAGCAGACTTAGCTAAGGGATTTAATGCCTTAAAGAATTTAAAACTAAATATAATAAATAAAAATATAAAAATAAAAAAACTAAATATAAATTAAAAGATAATACTTAAGAGTTAATAAAAAAGCTTAAGTTTTAAAAATAAATCTAATAAAAAGAGTTATTATATAAAAGGAAATATTATATATTAAGTAATTATTATAATACTTAAAAAGAAAAGGAAAAAAAGAAAATCTTAAATTAAAAAGAGATTAAATTTTATAAAATATATACTTAGTAATAAATTATATTATTATATAACTAGATTTTTATAATTTATTAAAGCTATTACTGCCTGCTAGTATTATTATAAATTACTAATATAATATAAAACCTTAAAATAAAAATCTAATTAAAAAAAACTTATAATTAATATAATAACTTATAAATAATTAAATTAATAAAATATAAACCAATTAAGGTTATAAAATTTTAAATAAAGTTACTTTCTTAAAAAGGAGATATAAAATCCTAATTTATAAAAAAAAGAAATTAAACTAGTAATAGCCTTAAAGTAATAGAATCTTATTACTGTAGAGGGGTATATTAAACTGCTAGGTGCTAATTAGTAGGGCATTTTAGTTAAAGGAGCTGCTTTTCCTAAAATAAAAGAATTATATAATATTTTATCCCTCTTTTAGAGATTAGCTAGGCTGTATCAGAAAGGCCCCAGCCAGACAGTTCAATTAACCCAGGGACGGTTCAACACTTCTGGTTTAATATAATAGGTGATTGGCGAACATGGTTGTGACTGACGATTGCCCCGTGAACTAGCTTCTCGAACAGGGGCAGATATTCCTCTAGTTCCAACGCTGAACATTCTGCCGAACTGCAAGCCATGAATACATGTTCACCATATAATGTGGTTTCCAGACTTCCCGAGTTACAACGTCGGCCCACTTGCTCCAGGACCGCCGCTCTGCGTTGTACTAGGGGTGGTCTCTCTACTCGATAGCGACGGAACAATTCTCTCGCTTCGCCAAGCTGGCTCCGCAGATAAAGATATTGTAGTAGCATTTGAACTGAATTGTTGAGAGCAAACAGGGGGAGCACGTTTGTCATGTTCCTAGGCTATCCGATAGATAGTGTGTTCCAACATGCTGTTCAATTGCAGCGCCACCTATAAGACCCATTTATCGTAGGCAAGAAATTAAAGGCCAAGAACCAGCTTTTACGTTATTCATCCCGATGAAGGGCCACTGATGTTGTCGTCGTATGAACTTAGATTGATTGGGTCCGAGGTCGCATTAGTTCCTGCTTACCACTGAGTGGTATGCAGCATTTGCAGACTAGGCCCTTATAGTGCTGTTATAATAGCAAATTATAATAAATAAAAAGCCTAACCTTTTAAACCCTTAGGTATTAAAAACCTTAAAAATAGTACTTAAGGCTATTTCTTAATTTAAATACCTTAAAAGATAAATTAAAAGGTATTATAGTAGCTCTTTAATACTTATATTAAAGGCTATTAAGTTATATTCTAAAAGAATAAAGACAATAATATATAAAATAATACTATTAAAGTCTAAGATATAAACTCTTTAATAGTCCTATAAGGCTCTTAGTAAGCAGCATAGGGCAAAAAGAGCTTGCTTATAGTATAAAGAGAAGATAAGTATAAATAAAGGTAGGGAAGTAATTAATTAAATAGGTATTATTAGGGAAGTAGTAGGCAAATCGTTAAGAAGTAGTAATTAAAGAGAGTCAGCGTGAGCAAAAGAGAGGGGTTATAGAACATGCGGCAAGATCGGCTATAATATGAGAATATGTTAGAAAGTTATTATAATATCTAGGGAGGAGTATATAAAGTAATTAAACGAGGTTAGATGCTTTATTATAGTTTTATCTAATATTCTATGTTGAGGGTTGAACTTCTTGATCCTTTCACTGATTTGATCCACTTGCTGATAGTGTACATTATGTGTTTTCCAATTATGTAGCCCCCTACATGAATGCTGAATTGTTGATAGTTGCTAGGCGCATAGAGGCTGCCTTGAACCCTAAAAGGAGAAGGGATACACACAGAACAATGGATATAAAAGTTCACCTAAAATCTGATACATCCATTCTAGAAGTAGCTGCATAGATGGGAATGGAATGGATCGTCAGCCTATCCAGGCTTGTCTTAGGCAATACCATGCAGTACCCTTCTATCTGTAAGAAAACCCACGTTATTATTATTTTATTCACCTTTTACAGCCGGTCCTTAGTAATACTTTGCCGAATCAACTCCTTTACAGGCTACCGGTCACTACATTCCGGACGCCATTAATAACTAGCCAGCTAGCGACCAATGAATGGAACCAGGACCCGAAAGGTGTTTCAACCAAGGTGGGTGCCTCGTCACGTCGCCTCCACATCCAAGTCTCATTCACAAAGGTGACGATGTGCTCATCAGAAAACACCACTTCGGAGAGAATTAGGCCACGAGGCACATGTCCTTCGTAGGATGGCGGAGCCTCAATCATTAGTTCGATCCTCTCTGAGCCTGGCACCTTACCCGGTCCTTGATAGGTGACCTTGTAAGCGCCATTCACAGCGTCGCCCCTCGAAAATGCGAGGCGTTGGATCCAGTCGCTGTCGAAGGTACGCCTTGCCTGGACATCTCTGGTAAATAGACGCATCAAAAATGCTTGAGGTGTAGAAGCGAAGGCGAGCTGCGTTGCTCTGGAATAGGCTGTCATTAAAGGCGACGGATGTTCAATAATGTCGGCGTTGGTGCCGATAGTTGCAGGGAGTTTAAGTGCCGACGTCGGTATCTGTTGCGATACCACTCGCTCATATGCCACCACCCACTCCGAGTCCTCTGAGTTCAATTCCGGAGGAAGACTGTAAGGTTTTTGAGGTGGCTCAATGCTCCCCTTGTCCCTCGCGTCTACTGCCAAGTTGTCGGGTGGGATTCGGCCTTGAATTTTGCTTGTGTGGTTCGAGACATTTCTCAAGAAGCGCAGCGACACGACGATCGAGACCAAGGCTGGGAGTATGGTCAGAGAAATGGTGACGGCGCGACTCTGTAGAAAATATTGAGGCATTTAACAGAACGAATGGGGGGATGCAATGACGATGCGTACGTTAGAAATAATGAGACTAGAAAGAAACCATTAACTCTTAAGGGCGACCACAAGAAAAGGAAAGGAGAAGGATTTTTATTAACGACATCGAGCATACGGATTGTCGGCGGTTTATCAACGAATGAATATCCGAGTGTCCCGGCTAAATGTCAGCACGGAGAAAATATTCAACCGGGACCGCTGTTGGTAGGTAGTAGTAAAATGACAGGCCAAAAGTCTGACATATCCCCGCACACCACAATACCACAGAATCAAGCTAATGATGTATAAGACTTGTAAACAAATACTCGCAACTCTAGCCAGCATGCCCTCTAACCAGTTCTTTTTCCCTCGCCTTGATTGGTTGGCAACATATCCACAGTCCGAGAAAAGAGTTGAAGTACTCTAGCCCTTCAATGATTCGCCAAATGATCCCTCGTATCCGTTCTGCTCCAAATACAAGCGGAATTGTGCGTCTTCGCTCTCAAGCTCCTTGTCCTTGTCTGGGATCAGAAACCAGGCAACAAGTCCACCTACAGCGGCAAAGGCAGCTCCGATGAGAAACACGGCTTGAATGCCTCGTTGTTTATCTGAGAAAGAGTCTTGGATGGGTGTAAACGTCTGTGTTCCAATAGCCGCACCAGCTTTGCCCACTGCTGCAGCAAAACCTAAGAAGTGTCCTCGAAGAGGTGTTGGAAAGGATTCTGCGGCACAAAGAAACGTGGCGACCTGTTTTACAGTTAGTAAGTTCTCAGCAGTTGCGCTATCAATAGTTGGTACTTACACCAGGACCCATCTCTCCGAGTGCATTGAAGATGCCATAAAGCACGATGAACAATGGAAACACGGACTGAATCGGTGAAAGTGCACCACCAATGATGAAGCCTAGAATCGTCCAGCCAAGAAAACCCAAGGTCATGGTTTGTCTGCGACCAATGCGATCCATAAGTAGCCCTCCGATCACACAACCAGGAAGATAAAAGCAATTAACAACTGTGCCAAATCCAATATTCTGTTGGAGGGTGTCGTGAGGATTCAATGTAGCGATGATTGTCGAACTGAAGATTCCGAATGGGTATGTCTGTTATTTATATCAGCAATGTAAAACTTAGGCATGGCTCATCAAATCTTCAGCAATACTCACCACAAAGTCGTAGAAGAACCAAGCCAAGGATGTTCCAAGCATCGGCTTCCAATATCTCTTGATTACAAGCAGATACGGTATGTCTTGCTTGATTGCATGTTTCTTATATTGCGTTGAGTCAAACTGACGAAGTCGAAGGAACAGAAGAGCTACTGGCAGGATGAACCCAATACCAAAGTTGATTCTCCACACACCGTCATTGACATGTTGATGGTAGGCTGCGAGCACGATCAATGCTACTACGCCTGCAATAACGAAACCGAGATCGATGGAAAAGTCTGTTGCAGCAGCGACCAAAAGTCCACGTCGGCGTCGCACGTATGAGGTTTCGTCTGAAGCTTCAGTACTGCCTGTACCACAAGTAGGGTATTCACCTGTCAATGCCATAAGTTAAATCTTGTCATAAAAGAAAACAGTTTATTTTCTCTCCTTACCACCAGCACCAAATCCTGCAACGCCTCTTCCAACAATCATCATCCAGAACATGCCAAATTCAGTTTTGCCATGTGCTGCTGTCGCGAGTATAATACCCAGTACCAAGAACAAGGTAGCAAATACAATGCCAGTCCGTCTGCCAAGTCGATCAATGGCGTAACCAAAGAAGAGCATGCCAAGAACCTCGCCGATGAGGAATGCATTGGAGAGCCGAGTCTTGATCGAGCTGGAAAAGCTGTTCGGGTATAACTTGGCAAAGACGGGATTCATGTACCCGATAATCTGCGCGTTGTATCCATCAGAGAATAGAGCCAGACCGCTTGTCAGCACCGTTGTGATGGCTGACATGCGAGACTTGGTGGTGATATCAACGTCTGTGGCATTGATAACAGTGTCGTTTTTGAAGGATTCATCGTCCTGATGGCTCTTCGTAGCAGGCGTATCTTGAGAGGCCTTGTTATCCATGATACTGATCTTGTAGTGGACAGCTTTGAAATGGTCTTGTTTGGAAGCGTCTATCTTAGAGTTTGTTCAAGAAGTTCTTGACTTTTATATATGTAGAGCGGACAGCGTCTCGGACTTGGGATCCCAAGGATGTCCTTGACTCTGTAGCTCCCTAGTTCAACCAATGCCAGCATTGTTGGAAATACAATCCAGGTCAAAGACAGACTCTGGCGTGCCCTGATTATGGAACATTATTGGATGTTCTTACCAAATTCATTATCTTTCTCAAAAGCCGATACCTCAGTGTGGGCACGTGGGTAACGTTCTTGAGTTTGGTTGGGTTTGATGGTCTTCATATTATGAAATGGTTGCCGATACCCTGAGGAAGACTTGACGTTTATCCCCGTATGGGTCTCCGTGTTTTCTTACCGTAAAATAACCCCAATTCCCGTCTAATCGCACTTGGCTTTCGTTTAAATCCTGTAGGTCTGATTGGAAGTGGGCCATGCTACTGTATCAAGTCGAATGCAGACTTAGAACAGTGTTAGTTTCGGTTACTCGGCATGCTACAGTTGCATTTTTCCCACTATATCTGCGTACATGCTGTGATTGCCCTGTCTTATTGCTTGGAGCAAAAGTGCCCGTAGCGGGAGACTAATGCAGCTAGTGAGCGATAGCCGACAGAAGTCGATATCTTATCTCGAGCCGAGTAGCGAACAACACATGGCTTATGTCGAATAATATTACACAAAGAGCCACGAGACACGCATTTCAGTGTGACTTGGAGACCAGAAGTTTTGGAAACATCATAATAAATATAAGTATAGGAAATGCTTGATCAGATCGATCATTCTGCTGAATTGCACTCGGGAAATCAAGACTTTCTTGTTCCTTATCAAATCCAGACTTTTCGCTTATACTCATTACATACAACCTTTCAGGATGGTGGTCACCGATGATCAGATCTCCTTCTTCAAGAAGAACGGTTACTTGATTGTCCGTGATTTACTGCAGCCTGAGCAAGTCAAAGATCTGCAATCGTGGGCCGAAGAAGTCCGCAACTGGAAACCAACTGAAACTTCAGAATTTATGCCCTACGAGGTTTGAGATTTCCCCGGAACGCGTTGACTGTAGAGGAAGAAATTGATTGTGGAATAGGAGGTCAATGACAAGGGCCAAACAGTTCTCTGTCGAACTGAGAACTTCGCCGATTGTCACAAGGGTTTCAGCAATCTGCTACGAAGCCCAAAGCTGCTAGGCCTTCTGAACGATCTCGCAGAAGAGCCTATGCTTCTGTTCAAGGAGAAGATCAATTACAAACTCTCTGGAAGCGGTAAGCAGCATGCCCATGGAAATACATCCATGCTTGCAAGGAACTGACAGCCTAACAGGCGGTTTTGCACCTCATATTGATGCTGTTGCTTACACGCACATCAAGGATGTTAAGCACTTGACAATTTTACTGAGTGTCGATCCTTCTAATATTCGCAATGGAGGACTTGAGGTTGTTGATGGGAGCCATGAGATGGATGTTCCTATTAATAAGGCCACCAACTGCATCGAGTCGACCTGGGTTGACTCTCACACTTGGACTCCGGTTGAACTAGAAGCCGGCAAGTGACCCATATTCCGTACTCATAGTATCTTGAACTGACCCATACCAAGGCGAGCTACTCATCTTCACTTCCTACCTAGCGCATCGTAGTGGTGCCAACAAGAGTAGCTCTGACCGCAAAGCTATCTATGCAACTTACAACCGTGCTTGCGAGGGGGACCTGCGCCAGGGCTACTACGAGCACAGGAAGCAGGAGTGGCCGGCTACGCATATGCGAAAGGCTGGGAAGTCTTATGAAACGGGGGCATTAACCTATGGCTTTGGATCTCCTATGCTCAGCGTGGATGCTGGAAAACAGGTTACATTTTAAGTGGCAGCATCCGATAAGGACAAAGACATGTGATTGTCTAGCTCGGTTGACTTTAACTTTATTGAAATCATCTTGGTTTTATTAAGTCTTGTGTCTAATGCTTGATTAAGTTGTAACTTGCAAAACAAAATATTCAACATATCCAAAGGAGGACTAGACGTGGTCCGTAAGGCAGAAACATGTTATCGCAAGGCGGTTCCTCCGTGGTGTCTATCTGTAAATCTGTAATATCTCGAACGACGGTTGCATTTCGAGGCATAAGAATGCCGCATCCATCCATCAATCGATCAAACCAGTATGAATCAACTCCACATGAGCATTGCCGCAGACTCCACTAGAGATTTCCAGGGCCACTACAGGGGCATTATATCAATGGACTGTAAGTGAATGGCTAGCCTCGCTGCCAGTACCTATCTGCCCCACTCCAAGCGACAGGCGAGAACCGAGAGCCGAGAACCTTGCGTTCGTGGATATGCAACGCATGGGGAACCATTGGCTCCGAAATCTAAGATTAGGCATGGTGAATGTACAGGTTGGGAATGACCAGTCGCGTGGACTAGTAATACTCGTGAAAGCATCAAAGATTTATGAGTTGGTTATAACTTGAACCTGTTTTCCCACCATATCAGCACTTCATTTCAACCTGTGAATGATACTCACTTGAAAGTCTACAATAGTCAACGCAGTCATGGAACTTCCGAAAGTCCCAACGCCATCTTCCGTGGCCGAGTACGTTATATCAGTTCTTCAAGCCTCCGAAAACACACCCTACATTGGAGAACCTATATCTCAACTCCAGCATTCTCTCCAATGCGCTGCTCAAGCTGCCTCTGCATCACCACCAGTGGACGAAGCCACACAAGTTGCCGCATTGCTCCACGATATTGGGCAGTATGCACCCGCCAAAGACCTTCGTAAACTCACCGGAGGAGAAGCCGAGAACCTCGGCGGACAAGCAACATGCACAAGTGTAGGGAGAGTCGGGCACGAGACATTGGGTGCACAATTTGTTCTTGCGCTCGGGTTTTCTGAGAAAGTTGCTCGCCTTGTGGAATCACATGTTGCTGCTAAGCGGTATTTGTGCGCAGTGGATAAAACGTACTTGAACAGGCTTTCCGATGCAAGCAAGAAGAGTCTTGCTTATCAGGGTGGACCGATGAGTGATGATGAGAGGGATGAGTTTAGTTCCGATAAGTGGTGTGAGGAAATGTGCCAATTGAGGGTATGGGACGATGAAGCCAAGATCGAGGGCCTTAAGGTCAGGGACTTGGAGAGCTGGAGACCAGCATTGGAACGGCAGCTAGAAGGAAGACAGGGCAACATGATATAGGTACATAAGTTCTGCATAACATTTATGGTGAGCATACGTTATGCATACCTCTGTTCACTTCGGATGTTTTAGTGCGACATGTAACTTTCTTGAGCTTGAGATGTATTCCATGTGAACTCTTATAATCCTAAGGACTACAACAAAACTTTTAACGTGCTAAACCAACACTACCTACAGAGATATAATTACATTTAACTATTAATTAATAATAACCCCTAATATATATCTTCTCTGAAGTGTACATGAAATCGCGTTGCTCTTTTCCGCTTGCAGGGTAGTTTGGCATCGAGCAGCACAAAGTGGGGAACAGTGTGGAATAGGTAGATAACAAATCGGGAGATAAGCAGCTCGCTTACAGATAAGGACACTCGCTTGTAGATAAGCCCCGCTTTCATTGCTTCTTCTCTGAGCCTATCAAACACCCACATGGCTATGGCTGGGGCATGATCTGGGGCTTGCAAGATCTCATAATGCGCAAGGCCCGTGACAGGGAATGAATGGGGTCGACGATATCATGAAACTCTACATCTCGTTACAACCACTGCAGCAAAAGCTCGGCACGTAGCCGACCCGCGTTGAGATGTTGGGCCAACTTTAGTGCCCTCCTTTCCACTCCATCAAAAGTCTTGACGGCAACACGACAACCATGCAGAATACGAGACACCAAGGCTACCGTGGTCGGGTCCGGAGTGGCTGTCTGACTTGTCGAGCTCGGAAAGTCAAATGTGACGAGGCCAAGCCCGTCTGTAATAACTGCACAAGGTTACAACGTCAATGCACATACAAACCCCGGAGAGTCTTTCGGCAGACTGCCAGCGCCGACAACTCGCCACCAGGCCTACCATCATCATTCCACTTTGAGGGTATAACTCAAGCATCCGAGGCACATGAATACACTCAGATCCACTCAAGTCCTTCACTCACTGAAGACTACGAGGTCCAAGGGTCATCAAAAGTGCTCTCAACTGAGAGCACGAATCAAACCCCCTTTTTATACGAAGGCAGGACTAATGTAGATGTCACTGCTTGTTTGCAAAAAGCTCTTCAATACCGAAGTTCAGTTCCTATCGTGGATGACAACTCCTGCGAGCGCGATGAGTCGCCATTGAACTTGATATCACGAGATATTGAATTGACTACTACACTCGATATTCTTACCCTGCGTACCCAGTCTCCTTATATGACAGACCTGTTCCTCGACGCAGTGGAATGCCCCGGTGTCACGCCATTCGATCCTCTTAACTGGAAACTGGCAAAACAACATATCGTACACCTGGGAAGGTCATGTCTGGCTATTAGTTCCGGCATCACAGCCGTCTCGACTTTATGTAGTGGACAGGTCTTGGCCCTTTCCACGTCTGAATCACTCTCTCACTATCACTCCGCGAGGAAGAATGTTGAAGAGCTCTTGGAAGATGACGATAAGGACTTTGACCTTGCCTTGGTGGCCGTCTTCTTGTTGTGTGTGTTTGAGTTGATCCATTCTGGAGATATCGCACCATACCTAAGAGAACCAAGCTTGATCTTCACCCGGAGGCTGCAGGCTTGGCCACAGGCTCAATCTTCTCACTCGGAGCTTTCCACCCGTATTGTTACATGGTTGAAGATTCTTTATTCAGCCTCCTTTCGAGGTGGAGCAATGGGCTTGCTATCTGAAAGGGTAGTCAGTCTTCTCCCCAATTTCAGTGGCCCAATACCGAACCTCAAACCTCCCGTCGAAGATAAGTCAGAAATATCCAATCATCTATACGAGGTCTTAAGCGGCCCGATCTTCGACTTCTACTGCCAACTTCAAACGCTATCCGGAGAGATTGCCAAACTCTCACTCTACCATCGTTCACGCACGAAACGTAAAGATCAGCAAGAGGTAGTCGAGCGTATGGCAAGTTTAAAGTCCCGGCTTCGAGGTCTATGGGAAAGACGGTGCGCCACGCAGCGTCAATCCCCGGAGCATTTACGCTCCCAGATGGTTCCCCGGATCGCAAACATGATTTCGAGTCTCATTAGTATTTGTGAGGCTGCATATCATGCTGAGTTCATTGATATAGGCAGACAACTAGGCGATCCTGTGTCTCAGTCGCCAGATTCGACAGACGCCTTGCACAGGATTAAGAAGATTTTGGAAAGCAACTGTAGTGGCGACGACGAGGGTAAACCAAGCGGTACCAATCCTGCTTATCTGAGACCATTATTTCTATGTGCTATAGAGAGCACAGACAAGGAGCAGACCGATTGGGCTGTGGAGAAGCTTGCTGAGATACAGAATCGTGTCTATCGAGGAGAGTTTTTCTCGGCGTTTGCGAAGGCACTTTCAGAGGCACAAACACGTAATGACAGAAGGGTTACCTCGAGATATTTCTGTATCTGGTACTTTGGAATTACGCCACCATTTCTATAGGTATAGTTCGGGCTGAGGAAGATTTTTCAACTGTCAAAAGCTGAGAACCTGGAGCCCGAAGATCTAGACCTAGAATCTTGATGTCCCCGGCAGCTTTTGTGAGAGCAATCTTGGCCAGATGCCTTCTGCAAGGACTAAGCAGCAAAGGCAATTGATGGTATAACAAATGAAATTAATCAGTTTGGCAGGAGGCGCGCAAATTGGACGCTGTCATACTCCAAATAGTTTGTTTTAGCTTCTAGTATTTAAGTTTATAACTCTTAATCAATCAATCTGGCTCTGGCAATGATGCTACTAGTAAAGCCTGGAGCTCCCCTTACAAAGTTCCATTTTCGACCAACAGCTCCTCTGCCTCTAGCATTGGTTTTGGTCGTTTTGGAGCCTTTGTCTTATCTAGCTTTGCTGCAAACTGCGACTCCAATGCCCCGGCCTTTTGAAGAAGCACCTTACAATTAGCACAAGGAGCCATTAACTTCTTCCAAATATCACTAGTAGAGTATTCGTCATACTCGGGATACTCCTCCTTTTCCATAAATTCGCTTTTGAGAGCGAGGCCTGTCATTGAGGTTTCGTTTTGTTTTTTCTCTCTGAGATTAGACAAGGAATCGAGTTAGCAATGGAAAATAATCTCCGCGATACGAGCATACATACCCCAAGAATCTGATAGCGAATGGGTAAGTCTCGCCACAGTTTCCGAACGGTACCATCGCGCGATTGGCATTGTTCATGTTGGGGGCTGTCTTGTCTCTGAAGTCGTTGACCTGAACCATGGGTACCTTCTGACATTTGAATAGCATGTTGAAACGAGCCTCTTGCGCACGCTCCCTCCACGCTCCCGTATATGTGGCATTTTCCTTTGTCGTGTCAAACTTGTCCCCCGCGTTGGATGCTCCCAGAAAGTATTGCCCCCAGTGTTGCTTGGTGCTGTTGTCGACTTCGAGATACCATGTGCATTGGAAAACGAATGGCAACTCACCTTGACCTTGAATACTGGGCTTCCACTTCCAACCTGCATCTATTTCACCCGCGATACGTGAACACCAACGGCCGTAGACTGCTGTGAGAGGGAGGTAGAAATTGTTTTTGTCAGCAGCGGACGGCGCCGGCCCCAGGAGGCTAAGGAAAAGACCGAGTAGATCGAAAGGACACCACCAGTCCGGTACTGGGCCGATAAAGGTCTGCAAACTTGGCTTGAAGGACCAACCACTGACAATGAATCTGGATGACTTTACATCATCCTTGTTCCAATCTGGGTCCAGAAGTCGTGCAATATGCGACGATGGTTGTTTTGTAGGGTCCTTGTACAGACTCCCGTCCGGGAGACTGTTGCATTGGTCAGTCACTGGGCTATGAGGTTGATAAATGTAGGTAACAGCATGCAAGACTTACGAAAGACTGATCAAGCGGTTGTAAATTTCCGTGAGGAGAGAACGTGAGTCTTGATCTCCGGGCTTAACCCCACCCGCGTCAGCGGTCTTCTTCATCCAATCAAGGATCTACTACTGCATTAGCCTCCAGCTGATCCTAAAACTCTTGAGGCATGCAAGAGGGATGGAACCTAGTCCAAAGATCTTGCTAGCACCCACGGTACATACCTGGTCCCGATTCCATTTATAAGCTGTACGGAACCACCTGTCCTCTGGCTTTGTTCCAAAAGGTGCCAGAAGGGCGAACTGTGGGCTTGCCATGCTTGGTGTTCTTGGTAGATGCCTGAATAAAAGTGAGACGAGACTTAATCATCAGGATGCATACTGTCGTTCGTGGATAAAAAGAACAGTTTCGCTTTTAAAACTGTTGCGTACCATTTCGCCCCTCCTCCTTCGATATACGCACGTGACAAAGGTTTGTGCATAAATTCAGGCTACTGTTCTTCGTCTTTCCGAGACAACTCTTCTCTTGCAAGTAACTTAACCCACGTGACCCCCCTCGTTCATTCCGAGCCGCAACGAGAAGTACCAACCCGTTGAGCTAATTCCAGCTGCCCAAATACAGGAAGATAATGGTACGTACAAATCAATTCTCCCTTGCCTTTCTTGGCTCTCTGTATCACTTTCTGCAAAATATGTGCTTTCTCTAACCAACTAACCAGTCTATCCCGGCAAATCTAGTCCCCGACGACTGGACTACTGACCCCGAGGAGATGGAGAAGGACTTCTATTGGGGAGAAAAGGGCAGGGGTCGGTTGGCCGCAGCATCTGTCGGCATCACCAACCCGGAAGGTCTCATGATCAAAGACAGGGAAGCCGGAGGAGACGGCTACGTGTTCCAGGACGCAAATGGGATCTACATGTGGAGTATGCCCACGAATGAGGTGTACAAGTACACCAAGCCTACAGGTCGCGATGATATTCTAGCCGAGATGCGTAAGCCCGCGGGTCGCGGAAAGGTGGAAATGACATTGATGCCACGACGTTCTTAGCTTGATGGATGCTGGCTGCGTGAGTCTTGATGGAGATAAGACACAAATAGCAGTGATAGGACGCAAGAAACGGCTTGTCTTCGTATTCCGTGACACACTGTTACTATTCATTCACCGGTCTTGTAGTACATATCACAAACGCAATGTCTGCATAAAAAAAGTTCCATACAGCATTCTTGGCATGCCCTCGGCTCGACTCGTCGCTTTCCTGCAACCGGTCATGGCTGTTGTATTACACGAAGCAACAGCAGAGACTGCCAATCAATAGTTGAAACGCGCAAGATAAGATTCTACCGTGTCGCACTTAAGTGACCCAAGCATCTGTATTGTCACCAACGGACCACTTATGCATTGTCAGCCATTTCTAGATCAGGAACACCAACAACTGGCATGCATTGTAAAGACATGTAACATATCATCAATGCGGTGCGGCTGATCTAGGACTCGTGCAGATATTCGGCCCGTGGGGGATCTGCATTTCGCAACAACATCGTGAATGTGAACAGACTGATGTAGCATGTGACACATGCAGGTCTACGGATGAGGTAGTGGTATGCAGTAGATCAAAACTGGTCTGCGTCGTCTGCAGACGTGAGACACTTCGCACATCTCGTAAGTGCCCGTATCATCACATCGTTATATGCGAATGGTGCCTGATCTTTCAAACGGGGTTTGCCAGATTGTTTCGTTTGACGACGGCGGTTGGAGGATACCCGAAGCAGACATGATTCTGAGTGAACAGAAAATATCCAATTTCGATTCCATCGGACTGGTTGGGTTCAGTCTCGAGTTTCTTGACAAGCCCAACAGATATAGGTAGTTGGTTGTAAGTCGTGCAAGTAGCAGTTCACGTTTCAAAAGAACGCGTTCTGTGGAATATATTTTACTTATTCAGGAAGAAATAGAACTCCAGGAGATATGCATGATCTTAACTACATAGCAGAAGTTTGAAGATAGCCATTGAAACTTTCTACCCACAATAAGAACTACTTGTTTCAATCCCCTCACCCACATAACCCTAATGCATGACTACTTCTACAGATAGAGGAGGGTTATCCACTATCATCACGTTGGGCTCCACCAGAGGAAAGGCGGGATTCCTGCAATATCTTGCCCGAGACTGGACAGTTGCGGTTGCGGTTCCACGTCCTGGAGCATTGATACTAGCCAGCCCAAGCAAGAAGCTTAGTTCAGGCACAGCCGGAGCCATGACCCATCCTTTCTCGGCCCTGGGAAGTAGACGGATGCGTAAGTAGTACTGGTCCTGGTTCTGATCGTGGAACGTTGTTGGAATCACATTGAAGCGCAGGTTTGTCAACATGTGTGCGCCAGGCCCAGTGTAGTTAGACATCAGAGAGTATGCGGCATCGCTGGGCGAACCAAGCGCAATGTCGACAGTGACTTCCATCAGTAAGTACTGATTGATCTCGCTCTGCTTCAGGACAATGGAGAAAATGAGGTCTTGGGGCAGATTGAACCTGTCTAGTACGACTTGACTGTGATTGTCGGCCAAGTTGCTGCTGACGCGTATAAGGAATCGGGGTGCTGATGCTGGCTCAGATCCAGGTGGTTTGTCTTTGATGGCACGGGCCCCAACTTGGCCTTGTTGAAAGCTGGCGGGAATGTTATCTGGGTCGCTGACACTTGGACCTTGATGAAGTGGCATCGCTCGAACATGAGGCGACAGGTAGTTTGAGAGCACATCCAGTGGAGAAACGTAGTCCGCAGCTCTAACGAAGCTATCCTCTTCATGGATTGTATCATCATCCTCACCCTCCTCATGTGGATCATTCTCCACCGGCGCCGGAGAGACTTCTGTACCAGGGGCAGAAAGGTTCTTGACTCGAACTGCTTCCATCATGTTGATAGTTCTCAGCTCTGGGCTTCCGTTTCCCATGTCAGGAGGAGCCAAGCCAGCTATTGCTTGTGCAGCCTTTGGAGCCTCAGCCATATTGATGGTCAAGTTGTAAATGGGATCATTGAGTTGCATGGCAAACAGTGCAGAAGTCGAAGCATCATCCTCAAAGTAAGCTGTATTAGTTCCTTCTTGCTTTCCCATCATGTCTTGTAGGACTTTGAGCTGTACGTCTGCAAAGGCGGGAAGACGTAGTATACGTAAGTCATTCATATTTTGGTTGGGTTCGGAGTTCCATATGAATATGTTGTTCGATGATGACTCCCCAGTCGGAGTGTATATGATTTCCTTGAGTGCCTTGTGTCTGTCCTTGTCCGTTTCCCTAGTGTTTTGGTCAACAGTATACTGCCGCCTGATGTTGACCTTGATCTCGGTAGTGTCAAGACCACGGGCAACAGCAAAGCGCTGCTGATGTGCTGGCTGCGTGAATACAAGTGATGAAAACTGTGCAGAGCCAGGCACACGGTCCATGAATGCCATCATGACCCCATCAGCAACAATTTCATGCCGCAAAAGAGGAGCTCCTGCAGGAGGATCCTGACCAGCGGCTTTGAGGTCGCTATCGTTGGATAGGACCTCAACGCGAAGATCTGGAAACATAGTCACCAAGTCTGAGCGAAGGTAGAACCCGTAAGCAGGTATCTGGACACGATGGTCCATTCCATCGGGTGTACGACCGATGTAGTCATTGAGTGCTTTCTTGATAGCGACTCGGTCCTCATCAGTACCAAAATGATTGCCGAGGGATAATGCTCCATCGATGAGGGCATCAACCCAGTTCTTGTCAATATGGAAGAAGCGTAAGCTCTCTGGCTGTAGGTAACTTGGGTCAGGCACGAGATAGTGTGCTGGTACACCCGCAAGAAACATGCGATCGATGAGCCACGAGAGAACAACCATCCAGTCTGAGGATTGAGGATCATTTGTCTCGTCGTATGGGTCACCCGATCGACTTGAAGCCAGTCTGCGAACAGAGTCTAGCGCGGCGGCTGGGTATTTGTCCTCAAAGAGAGGCGAAGAGAATGAGAGAGTCGGTCGATCGCGGCGTTGGAGATGTTTGTGGTGCCATCGCCTCTTGGCTCCTCCATGCCTGAACACGGGTCTGCCGGGCTGTCTCCTACCAGGAGCTTCCCCAGGCTCTTGAGTATCAGGTGGATCTGAACCACGTTTGTGAATATGGATGTCAGCAAGACCCTTAACCATAGAGGAAAGATCCCGTAGAAGGTCATTGCGAGTGCGAAATGCCGTGTCTCTAACCTCCTTGACAGCAGTGATCTTTACTTGTTTCGCTGCGGCTGCATGTACTGCAGTTCTTACGCGTCCCAGCGCAGCCACGAATGCTTGGTCGCCGAGTGCCATGGTACGGCCAACCTGCCATGCCACAGAGTATGTTATATCCATAATGCCCAAATTCTTGTCAAGAATTTGCAAGTCCACGCCCGAGGTTGAGCACTTGGTCAGATGCTCCAAGGTGGGCACGTATGTGGGAGTGAATGGACCTCGATACAGTGCTACAGTTGCCTCGCCTGTTTGAACACGGTACTTGACCAAGGTATACCCATCGCTCAGACGACGGCCAACGAGTTGCTGGGCCTTGTCGTCAGACTTGTTCAAAGGCGCTATGACTTCATCTGGAGCTCGCAAAACGTTGAGAGTGCGGCCTAGATTCTCAAAAGCATCTGGAACATTAAGCGTATTTGGTGGGAGTACTGTATAGTTCCAGCTGTACAGGGAGCAGAGAGCCACATATCGGTGGTTCTGGCCCGGATAGCTCATGGCCTCCACGCCCTCAATGGAGACTAGATGTGCACACATGGTGGTTGGGATGACGTTGTCAAGCGGCCCCGATCTGTTGCCGACGACGATGCTAAAGACAGCTGTGTCCTCAACGCCAGCAAGAGCCATTCCGGAACCATTGATCTTGCGGACGTGGGAAAGGTATCTGTACTGTGATGTATCTGGTCCACTGCCCTTGACTCGATTGCCTTTGTCGTCAAATGTAGAGAAGAGACTAGTGAACAGCTCTGGCTGTACAAAGATGAAGTCTCCACGGCTGTCTTTCATAGACGATGGTCCAAGTCTGTCCGTGACAGGCGTTGTAACATCAGACTTCAACTTCCACAAGTCATCGATGCTCATGTTGACTGTCATTGTGGACGATTGCTTGACGGGCTTGAGAACACCGTCACTGGTATTGCTGAAGATGCTGCTTGCACCATCCAGGTCCTCTGGGGGCAGTCGAAGCTCGTTTTGGGCAAAAGCAAGCATGACAAGCCAAGGCACACGGTTTCGTGGTATGCTGCTCGCTTTGTCCGCGGTACCCAAGGCTAGTCTTTTCATCTGTGCTTTGAGCTCCTTGTTGGTACCGCCTTTTGGACTTCCCAGTCTCTCCCATGGGAGATGCGGATCTGTCAAGACAACATGCGGCAAGATTCTATGATCATCGCTGTAACCTGCTGGAGGATATGTAGAGTGAACGCTTCCATCTGGCAGGGAGAATTGTGGCGCATCCACGTAGAACGCTTGCTCTGCGTCCAAGTTGAGTTGTTCACCATTTGCTTGGATGGTCTGCTTCACCGAGATGATGTGCTTAGGGCCCGCTTCGATTCCGGGAGCCCAGAATGAATTGAGCTTCTGCTCGCCTGGGGGCAATGGATCAATCTCATCCTCGACGATCTTGCCATCTGCGAGCACAGTCACAGGCTGGATAGCGCTGAGACGGGCATCAACGCGATTGGCAGCGACAACACGGCGAGAGTGCCGTATCGTCAGATGTCGAGGAGAGTCTATACGTGTACTTTTGCCTCCAGGATAGATGCCCATGGTGTCTTGTTCTCGATTAGTTGCGAGTGGGTTTGTCTATGGTGGACTTGTCTAAGGAGCGTCTTAGCTGAGTGTTAGGTAGAGGATGCTAAAGGGGTAGACGGTTGGATTGCCATGAAAGGGGGCGATGAAAATGGCCAATATTGGTTGCATGTTGTTGGTCAAGAAAACATGTTTTGCGCAATAGCCGCTTCATCCATTGCAGCTACGGTGCATGCGCGACACGACTAGCAGACAACCCGTTGCAAGCATTTTCTGCATAACCCGAATCTAATTAACGGGGCGTAGGTGTCGGGAAGCTTGTCCATGGCATTGCAAGTCTGACCTGTCTTCAGCATGCATCAAATAGAGGACTGGTGCACATTCCCGCAGGCTGTGCGATTGTAGCTTATCATGACAAAGAGGTGTCTGTATAGCTGAAGTATAGATGAGCAGCATCAGCGTATCGGATGATGGCCCGGGCATAGGCATTACATGCATAACGCTAACAATGCCCCAACCTGCAGATGCGGCCCGAGCGGGGTAAAGTGACAACGAGATCGAAATATGTAACCTGTTCCTAATCAAGTAAGGACCATCGGGAATATGATCTGATCTGATATGCAAAAGACGAAAAAGGGACTTATCAACTGAAACATACGGCGAAACATGCGTAATGATCCATTCGGCCCAATGGTGTCGTGGATCAGCACAAACCGTTTTGCTGAGGTACGTTTCACATGCCGTGTCCCAGTTACAGTACTCAGTCTACATACAGCATCATACGCGTTGATGCCAAGAAGTCCAAGGGCCTTTTCAGTGAGACAGTCGCGGGGCGAGGCCATCCGAGGAGTAAAGGTTGCTCAGCTCATGCAGTGCAAACACCCCGCTTTGGTGAGGTTATGAAATATGCATCCGGTGAGTAGGCCCAAGATAATGACGAGAGAATGAATGGAGAGGAGGAAAGAGGGAAGAAGAAGGGGGTTGTTGGACTGCCCACCCGAATTTACAGGAGGCTTCATGAGTTCTCCTTGAAATAGAAGCTCCTCACCCTAGACTGAACACGAGATCAAGTAAAGAATGGCTCCCATCACTGCTGTCATCGACAAGACCACCGCCGACAATAGCGTCATCAAACTCTTCTATGCCACCGGAAAGGCCCAGCTCGGTCTTGCGCTATGGTCAGGCACGAAGGATGTAGATCCTGAGGACTCGATACAGGCTCCCCAGGAAGTCGGAAATGGCCAATACATCCTCAATCCATCGCAGATGGCGAGCGTCAACTTCCAAGGTGTAGAAAGGATCTTTGCTCTTACAACGGCAAACCCATTCAAAGTTAGCCCGAATGATGTGTACAGTCTGGCGGAGATTTCTGGTTCAAACCAGAGGGAACTGCAGGGTCTGTTCATTGGAAACACTACGCTCGCTGCTTGTGCCAATGATGAAGATGCTTGGGTCTATTTCACCAGGTGAGCAAGGCATCAACCCTCAGAGTACGGGGTGGCAGGAAGTAGAGTGCAAAGCAACTAACAACTACCACCAGCCCCATGGGTCAAAACAGCAGAATCCTTACGGAAATGAACCTTCAAACTCTGCGGACCACTCAGCTCACATGGACCCATGATCTCTGGATCAACTCCTTCGCCGCAGCCTGGTACGATACCATAACTGAGAAACGCTGCGTTATTTATGAGGGAAGCTTCCTTGTAGATTATGTTGTCGACAGTGGCACACGTAAGTAGTCCATTCCCATGCTTCGACAACCTCTGATCATTATTTCTTGCCAACTTTGAAGCGGGCACGGCAATATCCACAACTGGAGATATGCAGCGCAACACTCCAGTAGCCGTCGCATTCGACGCTGGTAAAGTCTTTCTTTACTACTGTGGGAGAGGCGCTGCTGGTGGCATTCGGCGCACCATTAGGACTAACAATTCTTGGGGCACTTCTACTCTTATTGATAGTCGTACCATTTCTCAGGATAGCCAGCTCACCGTGGTGAGGGCTAATGGCATTAATCATTTGTTCTTTGTGGCGAGAGATCAGAACGAGGAGGAGGATGATTATTTTGTGCATTACCGGGACGAGATTGCATAGTTTACATGCCTGGCATTGGAATTGACGAAACGAGTGAAAGACGATTAATACATGTAAATGTGAGAAGCAACATCACATACGTGCTGAAATACAACGACGGACAACTTCTTTTTACGCTGCTATTCGTGGCCCTTCTCATTTCACTTTAATTAATTACAATAAACACATTTCATATTGATCTTGACCTGCCGGACTAGGGTAATAACAAAACAAGAATTTATGCATTCTGAGGGTTGCTTGGAGCCACGATTGGGTTTCTCAACTGCAGGAACCCCTCAATAGCAGCGTACGGTCCATCTTGGAACGCAGGTTTCATCAGATCACCCTTCTTCTCGATACCAAACGCATTATAAACAGCCTGCAGATCCTGATCTCCGCCCTCCGCGGACTGCCCCTCAGCGTACGGCTGAAACCAACTCCAGTCTCCCCCACCAAGAGAGGGGAGCAGCAAGTTGCGCTTTGGGACATCACGAGCATTCTTGCTAGTTAGCTTCTCTGCTTCTAGATAGCCAGGGACATCGTTGACGGGCATGGTCAAGGGCCCTGCGTGGAAGAATGCCGTCATGGTGTCCATAGCCTTTTGCCACGTCCATGGTGGTAGAAGCAGCTCTGCTGCGGGTAAGAAGGACGAATACGCGTGGATGGGTGTGAAGGGATCTAGTATAGCGCCAAAGACTGACATCTGGGCATTACGCTGATTCTCATAGGCTTCAGGCTCAATAGCGGGTGAAGCACCGGAGAATGGGGGCTGCCAGAATGGGCTGAAGATTGGATACTGCTCAGTATCAAGGCGGATCAATGGCTCCGTGGGTTTGTCATCTGGAGTGAAGAAGGTCTTGATCTTATCATAGTTCAACTGATCAGACCCAGCATCGGTTGTGTCAAAGTAACCGACAAGCCCATCATATCCCGCCTCTTCATTTCCGAGCCGTAACTGAAGCTCATAGTACGGAGTCTTGTCATCGGGATCCGATGGCTTCAGCAATGCGCGCTCGGAATCAACCACCTTGCTCTGGGTGCTTTGGATACCAAGAGGCGGCCCGCTCAGCTCGACGGACCAGCCCGTATTGACGAGGGCAAGTGGCTTGCCGACGATGGAGTTGAGGAACTGCGCGTAGGAATCAGGAGCCGGGGGGAGTTTCTGTTGTGCCGTCGTTATCATACCCCAGAACCCCAGGAGGTATTTCGGATCGGCCAGCTTGGAGATGAGAATATCAAGCTCGCGCGTATCAGGAGTGGGCTGTGCATCTGGATCAGGGCTGAACGGTAGCCACTTGGGTGACTGGAGAGTTCCCAAAGGACCGCCGACGCGGACCTCACGGTAGAATGTACCGTCAGGGAGGAAGATCTGTATACCGTAGTCGGCATAGTTGGTGATGACCCATCCCCATATTGGTGATTCCCATTCTGTGACAGGGCGCCATGCTGCAGGACCTTGGGAGGCTGGGGTGCCACTTGGGTCATCAGAAATGCGTCTGACAAACTTTGCGTTGATCCGCGCCGGCTGATTCATCTGCGGAGGTAGCTGAAGGAACTCGGACTGCTCCGGGTTGTCCTTTATCACCGTGTTGGCGTACTTCTTCCCATCTAGTGTGACCTCTTGTGGCGCATAAAAGTTGCTTATGCAGGGGTAGATAGGCGGTGGCCCATCCCTACGTGGCCTCTGATCAATGGCCATGAGGGACTGTCCAAACTTGTCGATGACGTTGAACTTGCGGAACCGGAACTGACCGTGTGTCACAGGCTTGAAAGGGCAGTGCTCACTGTCGGTGAAGTTGACCAATGCGGCGTAGGGGGTCAACGCTGAGTTGCCGTCGATGAGCTGGAGCTTATCTTGCGTCAATCCAGCCGGGTCAAAGGTTGCTGCTGTCAGAACAGAGCTTGACTCTCCCTGAGGACCGACGACTTTGTTTTCCGGCTTGAGATGACTGCCCTTTGCTTGAGTGACAAGGCCGCTGGTGAAGCCGGAGAGTGGCGACGATAGATATGATAATTCACTGATGTTTGCAAGGAGATTCTGTCGATCCTCTTCTGGTAGATACTCATCGAGGATACTGGGTGGTGTGTTCTGGAAAAGCTGCTTGATCTTGGCACCCAAAGCAAAGCTGGGCTGAGGCAGAATCAAGACACGTCCAGATAAAACGCGAATATCCTGCTTCTTATCGCCTTGCCATCTGGGGAGAGCATCCCATAGTGGCGGAGGTGTCTCGCTATCAGATGGAACAGTAATGCCATATCTGACCAGCTTGTTCTCCGAGTGTCGGGCGGTATGTTCATCTAAGCTCCAGAACTCAAATGGAATATGGGTGTATTCCACCTCCCACTCGGCGTAGAGAGGAAACCATGGCTGTCTGTCACCCCACTGATCACGCCAGCGATTGTCGGTTGTCAATTGATCGTGAAATTGAGGGTAGAATTTGCCTTGGCCTGGCGTACCCGAGTCATTGCTTCTAGGTCGGAGAGCATGGAACTCGGTGATGAGTGCTTTGGCAGCTGTTGTTAAGACAGTGGGCAGTTTGTTCTCGACAAGACGTGAGATGGTGCTAAGATTGCTGGGTAGATCTTGATCGCTTGAGATGGTCTGATACGGCGCCCGAATAGCGAGGTTATCCAGATAATCAAGCGCCCAGCCAGACGGGATACCACCGATGAGGACGGTGGGATCATTTCCTCCGTAGAAAACAGGCTCGCTTGTAGACTCGACCGTGGCCAAGAGGTTGCTTCCCAAGAGATTGGCAACATGTGTTTCAAGCTGTTTGATGCGGGTCTGGAGTCCACTTATACGGCTCGAAATCCTTCCAGCTTCGGCCTTGAACGCTTCATTCTGGTCGTTTCCCTGATTATCGCTCTGTCCCAGATCGCTGGCATATTTCCACCAGAGAGAAAACATATCCCAACGGTACTGCAGCATCGCTCTGTTGCAAGAATCTAGCAGTGCCTGAGTGAGGTTCAATTGGTTGATACTCTGAATGGCGGCGGGGTCAGGTTCCTTGGGCTGATTCGTGCTTTTGTCATCAGCCTCAGCGAAGAAGTATCTCGTGCCGCCTGGAGAGCGAGTGTAGGACCAGTTGTAGACCGAGTCTTTGGCCTCTCGCTGGCCCTCGACGCCGTCGTCACGGGCTTGTAGTAGGGATTCAAGGGCCAGGATATCTTCCTCCAGCTTGGCGACATCCTCTGAGTTTTCACTGGCGTCACCACGTGCGTGACAATACGCCAGCAACGCATCCATTGGAGTTGTGCCAACTGCGACTGCAGCCTGTTTCTGATCACGCAGGCGATCGTTGAATCCGTCGGCTGGGACAGTCTTGGGCTTGTTCTCGTGGTCCCAAGCCACCTCGTACATGCTGCCATGACAGAGGATACGGATTTGACTCTTGAGATCCATCCACGGGTCGGGATTTGCTTGGTCTGTCCCTTGAAGGGTCATGAAGAACGACTGCAGGTTCTCTCCATGAGTAAACTCGGCACCCGATTTCCAGAGGGGATCAACGGTGTCTTTCCAATGCCAGCCCAGCACGTAATAGCTTGCCTTGGCATAGTCTAGATACGATGGTTGCGCTTTATCTCCATATTCGAAGTTATCCAAGATGCTAAAGACATTGGCATTATGCATCTGGAAGTCAGCAAAGAGCTGGTTTCCACTTCGGAGGAGACTGATGTCTGGAGGATCAACAGTAGGGTTTGGATTCTCAGTCCACTCAGCCAGTGGTGTCTTGCGCCCAATGAAGACTTCAGCTTGCTCGTTAATGTTGACATCGGTGCCGGCGTGTCCGAGCACGAATGGAGCTACGTCTGTCTGTAGATCTGCCTGGATGGGGATATCTTCCAGGGACCAGACATAGTCACTCTCAACGACCCAAGCTTCATACACCCGGTCTTTGAAAGCGTCTTTTGCACTCGATGGCTGTATACTATCCAATTCGAGCTTTCTGATGACAATCCAGCGTGTTGGAGGCTGCAGAAAGTCCGGGGTTTGATGAGGAGAGTTGTCACTGGCCGTGGCGGATGCGGCATCAAGCCCCCGTCGCGCTCTCTCTGCCTTTTTTCTGGATTCTGGAACAGAATCGGTTGAAGACACTCCTGATCTGTAGAATCGGGGAAGTGTCCAATGGACATAGACGCCATGACGATGGCGGAGCGGCTTAGGCTCCGGACGACCACCGAGGTCTGTCAAGCGTGAATTGATAGACGCCGGGGCGGTATTGTGCAGAGCGACGTGATTCTGAACATCGCTCTGAAGCAGGAAGCTGTCAAGTCTCAGGAAAGTGTAGTTGGGCTGAGTGATGGGACAGATGCGCGCAGTCGTGTCTTGGTCAGTGCCCGTGCCGCATACAGCTGGATTCAGGACGAACGCATCCAGTTGCATGGGCACCAGAGTGACTTCAAAGTCCTCAATTCCAGTATCTCTACTCATGATTTGTCGATTGGTATAAGCTATTTGTGATGATGGTAAAGATTGAGTCTGGACTTGGAGACCGAGTTCAAACCAAGTCTTCAATAAGGAGCTATGGTGAGGACTCTTTCCAACTACCGCACCTTATGCTGAGACCAGGAAAAGGTTGATCCAAAAACCGGCTCCAATTACGTTATCCGCCTGGTAGACCAGAATGGGAGCCAATCTCGCAGGTACTGACGGCTTCACATGGCCCCTCATCCTACCTTGATTTCTCAGTCTATCTCATCTTTCCTCCCCCTCTTTTCTCTCTTCGAGCCAAGCCAATACGCCCCGTCTCGCATGCACGACAGCGGATCTGGATCTAGCTGCAGCCTTGTGTCACAGGTCTGTCCAACAATCGAGACAATCGGAATGTGGGGGTTTTTGCACAAACCTGGAAAATGCATGCAGCATGCAAATGTGGTGGAGATACCGTGAGACAAGGTGACAAACAGCCCGTACTCTACTCACACACCCCATGAACAAACTGTACATGCATTGATCAACATGCATTTAACGGAAAATTCTGATGGCAACACCAAGTTACTGTCTTGCTGCTAGACAGCGTATTCGGGAACATGTTTCTCAGGGTCTATCATGGTCCCCAGAACTGAGCGGTGGCAAGAATCACAATTTGTTTCCTTTCTCCTACGTATACTACTCATTCGCTGTTTTATCTTTTGATTTTAAGCTTAGTTACCCGGCTCACCTCTTGCCAATCCAATTCACAGCTTAATACTTTAACATATCGATAACCCCTACTCAAATTCCCGGAGTAGAAGGAGCAACATTCATTACCTGTTGCATCTGGGTCTTCAAGGCACAGAAACCTTTCTCTAAGAAGTTTTCTCTCCCCTGGCCAGCAACATGACGGTATCCTCAGACTCCTTCGGACGTGATAGCTCCACCAACAGGGCCTTGGAAGCATCCGACGCTACAACTTACAGCATCTATGCTAGCTCTGCCGGCAAAAGTCCTGGAGAAAATGTTCAAGTTCTGGCATCAGGAAGCAACTTGGATAAGTTTGTGGCAGGCTTAAATCCCGACAAAGTCATCATGTTATCAAACACGCCAGACCCGACGGCCAATTTCCACGATGCTGATGAAACCATTTCATGGTTTCAGAACCTTGATGGTGACGCTACTGGCTCCGTCACTGTCGAAAAGTCACCGGCAAAGAACATTGAAAGCTTCCAGTTCTCCCTGTCTCAACCCTGGCCGCTTGTCTTTAGCTCTGCCAGTGATGTTTTGCTCTTCACATTCGGCTCAACCAGTCTTATCGGCGGCGATGCGACAGGATCTCGCATTGAATCGCCTGGCATTGACCCTACCGGCAACATGCTTACTTGTGGTCTTGACTTTGCCCAGATGAAAGATATCACGGGAGTCGCTGTAAAAGACGTTTTCAAGCAGGCAAATCAGGGCGGCATGACTGAATACATCCCACTTGCTATCCTCAACCTCGAGGTGACGCTGAACAAGCCAGACGCTGATGCAGCACCGAGAAGGAACGCTCTGTGGTTCGTCCCATCAGCGGATAAACGGCTTGAGACTCGCCTGCAGTTCCAGTTGTCACAGTTTGAGGCCTTGCAGGATCTGTTCTCAATTGCCCTGAAGGGCCTGGTGATTGAGAGCGCAGATGTCGTATACAAGAGCAAAATGCTATTGGCCGTGACAGAAAATGGCGAGGAGCCTCTCTTCGATGGTCAAGTGACGTTTAGCATCGAGTGCTCCCTCAATAGTGCTGGAGGCACAGTTTCGATGCTCGCCGGCGTTCAATTCACTGCTACCACGATTGACTTTACCTTCATGTTCCTCTCCCCAGATCCACTTGCCGGAATACTGAGCTGGCTGGCTGGGCTTGCAGATGATGACGATGTTGAGACGGTTGTCAATGAACTTCTTAACAAAGAAGAAGGCGGAACAAAGGTTCTGCCGGCCGCAAATTTACGAAGACTGCGTATCGGGCTCGATACAAGGAAAGATCCGCAGAATCCCAGACTCGGTTCCTTTTCTTTCGACATCGAGGTCTCTGCAAACTTTGGCCGTGGGGAAAGCGCTGATACTCCTGTCTTCCTGATCACTTACAATTGGGATCGATCTATCGGTACTTATGGTACTCTGTCTGGACAACTATGGAACGGTAAGCTATCACCTGCTTTCCGTGTGCTATTCTCTGTGTCTTTGCTGACTGAACCTATCTTCCAGACTTTGACACATCCGATGACCTGGACTTGGAACCAGAGGGAGAGAAGTGGGCTATTCTGAAGCCCTTGACAACTTCCCCTGCGTCTTCTATCGACATTGCCACTCTGATCCCTGGCCAGACGGTGGTCGATATCCCAGACACCCTGCCTTCCCAGATAACCGTTGCTTCCATTGAGTTATCGCAGGAATCGTTCGCCCTTCGCTGTGCGGCTACCGCAAATCCGCCATCTCCAGGCTCGGCCCCTCAACCTTATCTTGGCGAGGTTGTTCTCGCCGCCTACTTTAACTGGGGCAGCAGTTCAGGCTTCACCTTTGACGTTGGGATATCCGTCCTGATCGACCCTCCAGAGGATTCTGAGTTCGACCTCCCAGCAGCTTTTGTTGGAACTCTCGGCTACGATTCCGCTAATAAGTCTTGGGAGCTCACAGCTTCCATTAATGGATTGTATGCGGCTGTGCTAGCTGAGTTCTTCCACGATGATGACAAAAATCACGTTGGACCGCTTATCAAATCAATTGCCATTAACACCTTGTCTGTTGAGTACACATATGAGAGGCAGAGCGGAAATAGTTCCAAATCCGTGGGCAGTAGGTTTGCTATCTCTGGCGACCTGGTCATTGCGGGGTTGAGATTGAATCTCGACTTCACCTACACGTCTAATGGCTTTGTCTTCTCCGCGGCACTCAACCCAGCTGAGAGGAATGCCACGATCGGAGACATCCTGACAGATCTTCTTGGTTCTTCATTTGATATACCAGATTTCGTCTACGACACCTTGATAGTCGGTGACAACGAGGACGCATTCCGTATCAACATCCAGAAGATGAAAGACGCTTCCAACATCGAGTCATTCCAATTCCTTGCCAATCTCAACATTGGGCATCTCCAATTCCTGTTCTCCCAGCTCCACAGCACCAAATGGGGCCCCAAAGATCCTTCAAAGCGACTGTTCAAAGCAGCTATCAATGGCTTCGGCACCATGGAGCTTGAAATTCCTCTCGTCGGTACGTTGTCGCAGCCACTCGATGAGCTTTACTTCCTCTTCGCCCAGGATCCCAAACCGCCAAGAGCCCCAGGACAGCTTACAGGGCTCACCCGAGAGGATATCGATCAACTCAACAACGGCGTTTTGCAGAACGATCAGTTGCTTGTTGCTGATAAGATCAAGCCTGACAAGGTACAGCCATCAGACCTTCTGGTGCCATCTGGATGTCACTTCGCTGTCATTATTCGAAACGTGGCAAAGGGTGATCGTGTTTGTCTACTCAGCTACGGCTTCATGAAACCTCAGCCCTCGTCCTCTCAAGCGCTGGTCCCTGGTACTGCGCGAAAGGGTAGAAGACGCACCGAGGATGAAATGGACGATGGAGGTCCCAGTGCCCAAGCGCCATTCAAAAAGGCCGCAGGGCCGGTGGCCATCAGCAACGTTGGTCTAAAGTACAAGGCTAAGACTTTGTCAATCGTCTTTGACGCCACCTTCCAGCTTGGACCGATTGGATTCTCTCTTCTTGGCTTCAGCCTCAACACCAGATTCAAGACACTCGACGAGCTGCCAAGTATCAGTGTCAACATCGACGGTTTGGCAGCATCCTTTGATAAACGTCCATTGACAATCGCTGGTATCATCGTCCATGGCAATGACGGCACCATGGATTACTATGCTGGTGGCCTAATCATCGGTTTCCGTCCCTATCAGTTCCAAGCAGCCGGCTTCTACGGCGTCATCACTCTCAAGAACAGCAGCAATAGCTTCCAGAGCGTCTTCGTATTTGCAAAGCTCAACGGCCCGCTCATGACGCTCGCTTTTGCTGAAATCAGCGGAATCTGCGGTGGGTTTGGCTACAACAGCAGCGTTCGCTTGCCTTCTGTAGACCAAGTGTCGGATTTCCCCTTCATCAACAGCGGTCGACTCAGCAACAATGAAAATGCGCAGCAAGTACTTGTAGAGCTTGTAGAACCCTCAGGCGGCGGATGGTTTCAGCCACTTGACAGCACGTACTGGGGTGCCATCGGCATGAGACTCTCTGCGTTCCGTATGCTGAGCGTTGATGCAGTGGTTGCAGTTCAGTTTGGTGACTCGGTTAAGCTGGGCATCTTCGCAGCAGCGGTTTGCGATATTCCGTCTTCTAATTCACGACTTAAGCTGGCCCATGCCGAATTGGGCATCGCAGCTGTCTTGGATTTCGACTATGGCTTCCTTAAGGTTGAGGCGCAGCTGTCACCTCGCTCTTATATCCTTAGTCCTAACTGTCATCTTACTGGCGGATTTGCTCTCTGCTACTGGTTTGATGCACCTCTCGCTGATAGGGCCAGGATAGGAGACTTTGTCTTCAGTTTGGGCGGGTATCACCAAGCTTTCCACGTACCTGTTGGTTATCCTAACCCGCCTCGGCTAGGTATTAGCTGGGACTTGGGCGGTGGCTTGTCAATCTCTGGAGAAGCATATTTTGCCATCACTACCAAGGCATGCATGGCTGGAGGCCGTCTCCATGCTGCGTTTAAAGCAGGACCTCTCTCTGCCTGGTTTGACGCCTTTGCCAATTTCCTTATCAATTACCGACCCTTTTACTTTGACATGTCAGCTGGTGTCTCTGTCGGAGTGGGATTCAGCATCGACTTCTGGTTCATCCATATTCGCATTTCAGTCCAGATTGGTGCCGAGCTGTACCTCTGGGGCCCACCTGTTGCCGGCCGCGTACATGTTGACTTCTGGATCGTCGCTTTCGATATCAATTTTGGCGATCATCATCCCAAGGTCGAACCTGTCAGCCTGTCCGAGTTCTACGAACTTGTTCTTCAGGACTCCCCGGCATCATCTTTCGCGTCTGCCGCTGCCCTGATTACAGGGGAACAGCAACAGCAACCCATTACAGCGTCGACATTAACGAGACCCAAGAATGAAGCACATAACTTCCTTGCTGAGTCTGGATTGTTAAACCCCGATGACAAACCAGAGCGGGGACAGGAAGATCCTTGGACTGTCCGGGCTGGTACATTTGTTTTTGTTGCGGAATGCAAGATGGCCATAAGTTCTGTCAAGACAAGTGATGGCAGTGCTCCAATCTTCGAAGGCAGTGACGTTTTCAGTAAGCCAATGGGACTGACAACACCTATGACTTCGACCCTGCAGATTCAAGTAATCCATGAGGATGGAAGCAATCCCGGAGAGGATTGGCAATTTGAGAGGTATATCCAGATGCTTCCGAGCGCTCTATGGGCAAGATGTAAGCTTTTTGTACCGTCTTGGAATTCCTAGCTAACGCATTTTAGATGACCGACGAACTGATCCGCGCCAGAGTGGAAACAACGTTGGTGATTTACTCAATAACAGTGACGGCAGCCCTCCTCTCATGACAGGCGTGAGGGTCACTGCACCCAAGCCAACCATGTCCCCCGATCCATTCCCAGCCTACAAGGTTGCGGATGCCGACCTCCAAGAGCTAACTGCAGTTCGCAATCTCCCTGATGTGGTTACTGCTGAGGATGCGTGGGCTCCAGTCAAGCCAAACGATAATTTCAAGCAGCAATATGAAGATATTCACGAGGCTTGGGTAAATCCTTCGCTGGAGGAACAGGGACAGCAGGACTTCGTAGGTACCTTGGCCCAAGGATTGGGATGGAGTGATGTGGGTCAGCTGAAGAGCCTTGCTGGAATTCCGGAGAGGTTGAAGAGGGGCTTTATGAGTATGTATGTTGCGTCTCCATTGCTGACTTCCTGAATTTGATACTGTGTGAGTTACGGCTTTTATCACGAACTTGATGACGGGTAGTAGTAAGAATGAATCGAGAAACACGTCTTCCTTGGCCATTTCAGTTATGTGTTGACACATGCATTATAAAGGTCCAATTTTAATGTAATTCAACCCTTTTCTGGATGCCACCAAAGTTTTATATAAGCAAGACTTGTTGGAGTTCGAGTTGCGTGTCCCATGCCTTGTCACGCTCGAGTCCCCCAAGCTTTTGAACCAGCTCTCATGTTGTACATAGTATAGGCCGAAGCTGAACGCATGGTCGATCAAAACACCTCATGTCCCAGTTTCCTGTTTACCCCCTTTTCTAAAGATACTGTATACCACCGAGGCACGGGTTTTCAACTTGACTATTCGTGACGCATGCATTGGGGAAGCTTCTGCCTTAAAAGAGAAGCTCCCAAGCTGCCTTGGCTGTGATCCCCAAAAGCACAACTGAGCTCATGGCAAAGGTGGGGAAACGCAGATTAAGGTTGTTGGTCGTGACGTGAATGATGCTGTGAAGGAATCTTAGGCCCACATAACCCCACGCCAAGCGTACCGTCATCTTGTCCTTGACATTCAACAAGGTCAAGGCAAGCATTACGGCGTAGAACTGAGTAGGTTGCTCGAGCAAGTTGTTGAAATTGTCAGCCGGCCACTGAACGTAAGGAGGCAATTTCTCTGCCTTCTGCTTCTTGACAGTAGCTGGATCAAAAGTGACGTCGTACTTGGAAAGCGCTGGAATTCGGCGTGCATATAGCAGGCCTTCCATTGCAAAGGTCCAAGTGCTGAGGCCGACGATAGGACCAAGGAGCGGCAGGTTGTGAATAGAAGGAGACATGACGCCTATTGGGAAGTTTTTTGTGGATGTATGTGTAGGTGTAATTGTCTCAATAGAGGTAGGTAATTAAAGCAAAGTCTGTCAGTCTTGCAAACAAAAAATAACAATGATGCAATAAGTAACGAAGCAGAGCTCATGGACCCTTATATAATTCTCGCTTTGTTAAATACGAATAGTCTCAAAATAGTAACTGGTACTTAAATCCGTTAAGTCCGCCAAGTCCGTCAAGTTTACTAAGCCTGTCAGGCTTAAAGAATTTTCGTATACTGATTTGTAATTAATTAAACCAAACTGACTCGAAACCTTTTACTAAGCTAAGCCTGGGATCTTTTTACCTTGTCGCTTGTCCTTGATGCGGCTCGTTCAACAATCGGATAGATATGCAAAGAAGGGTGGATTGCTGCGTACGTTGAGACCCTGTCAATGGCTGAGTCTACCTGTCCTCGGTGCCAAAGCTGACTTGCCTGGGTCTACCGTATCAATTCATGAAATTGGGTAGCGCCTGTGGATCCCGCTAGTGCTATTCTGCAGCTATAATTGGCAGATGAGAGAATAAAGATCTGATATTTTGCTATTTGAGATCATTGGTCAAATGGGCGAAGTGGCTACCCAATTTCATGAATTGATACGGTATTTCATCGGTCTCGCTGTAATCTGTAAAGTGAGAGATTTGACAGTTGCCAATTACTTAAGAACTTGCTGTGTTTTTCTTTCTGGCTCCAAGGTGTCGAGTTTCATTGAGTCGCAGAGCTGTCGGACTATGGACAGCTCTTTGGGTGTAAGTGGAAGCCTTGAAGTCGTACCAGGCGTATTCTGCATGGCGACTAGCACCACCCCAATTAGGATCTTTATTGGACCTGCACTGGTCCCTCTATGACTGATAAAGAAGAGAGGGCCGCACTTAAGTCATCTGTCTTATAGTAATTAATTCTAATTAGTGACCATCTGATGCTCCAATAAGTGGCTTAGCAGAAGTCATAGTAATTAGAAATGACTTGAGAGCGTCATCTTTAAAGAACTGAAACTCACTCAGTATGCTCCGTGACATCCCGTCAATAGCCTATGGAAGCATCTCCTTCTCTTACTCAACAGTAGACCTTTTCGTCAGACCAAATTCCTTCAGGTTGCCAGCGAGAATACACGAGTCGCGCAATGCACAGTTGACACCATCACCTACAAATGGCGTTGTGCCATGAGCAGCATCTCCTATCAGGGTTACATCCTCAGAGGCATTCCAGTTCAGTCTGTCGTTCGACATGTGATACATCAGCCACGGCCTGAAAGGTCCTTCGCTGCGGCAGATAATGTCTTTGAACTCCGGTGCATAAGACCCGAAATACTCGTCTTGCAGGAGGAGATTCTTGACGCCGTCATGATCGTCAAAGTCAATGCCTGCAGTGGTAGGGAAGTCCTCAGGCTTATGCAAGCCGACGTCAATGCGGTAGTGACTATCTCCCTCCCGCGAATTGAACATGTGCTTCCCGTTGCCCATGATGACATGGGAACCAACAACGCCAATGGCTTCGACAGTGGGAAAGTACGGATTGTCTAGGTGGATCTTAGTTGTAATATAGAAATTACCTAAGTAAATAGGCTTTATATTTATTACTTAATAAATATTTGCAACTATTATAAAACTTAGCTAATTTAAAGTATATATATTAGTACTAAGATAAATTATAATAATTCTACTTACTAATAAAAATAAAAATATACTTAGAGAAGTACCTTAATATTTAGCTTAATAATTAAGTTAATATATAAGCCTACTTAGTCCCTAAGTGCTAAAGTCTAATAAGAATTAGAATTATTAATTTATTTAAAATATAAAATAAAAGTATTAATAAATATTATTTTATTAAATTACTTTACTTTTTTATATAATATATTCTTAATATAATAGTTAGGTTTTCTAAACAGGTAAACTAGTTTATATTAGGTTTATAGTTACAAATTATATAAGGCATAATACTAAGTATTATAAAGTATTATATCTCTTAATAATTAAGTAATATATATTAGGCTTATTAATATAAAGATGCTTTATTAATAGCTAGTAAGCTAAGTTTTATAAAAGTGCTAATAAATATATTTTATATACTAAAGGTAGCCTAATAGCTTAATAAGGAATAATAGTAATTTAAAGGTTAGATTTCTAAGGATTATTAGTAATTTATAGTAATTTAATCTTAAAGTATTATAATTTAAGTAATTTAATAAAAGAGGATTATTATTAAAAAAGTAATCCTTTTATAATAGGTATAAATTATAGGGGCTATATAATATAGCTATATAAGTTATAATATAATCTCTCCTTTCTGTTAAGTCTTGCCTTTAAGATCTATATATTTCCCTATTCTTATATTAGGCTTTAGTAAGTACTAACTCTCTTTCTTTATTATTTTCCTAGTATACCTTATTAATTATTATATTATAGAATCTTTAGTTAAAATCTTATAAGACTTTAGAGTATATTTATTTAGTAAATTTAATTATAAAATTTAGTTTTAATATTATGCCTTATTCCTTCTATAAGGCTAAAGGCCTTTATTATAAAATAATTAAGTATTTTTCTTATTATTTTAAATATATTTAATAAGGTTAATCTTATAATGCTTTTAGTATTATAATTGCCTATTATATATTATTTCCCTTATTATTATTGTCTTTTATTAACTATTTTTTCTTTAGTTTTTTATTTAAATTATAAGTCTAATTGCCTAAAATAGGCAAAAGAGGAAGCTAAGGAAAAGCTTCTTAAGGCCTAATAAGAGGTTAATAAGGCTATTATAAGATTATCTTATATTTATTATTAGAAGTGTTTATTATATATATAGGGTATCTAGTTTATTATTAATAATATAAATTCTTTTATAGGTAATATTATTACTTAAGAAGAGGATATAGCAGTTCTAGATATTTAGTCTTTTAGTAATGCTAATATTATTAACTAGAACCTGATTTTTAATCTTTTACTTTTTAAGGTTATTAATAAAAGTTCTTTAAGAGTTACTAGGTATTAGTAAGGTATTTTATTAGTTTTTATATATTTTTACTTTTTAAGTAGTTTTTTTATTTAATTAGATATATCTTTTATTTATTAATTTTTTATATATTTTTAATTTCTATTACTTTATATATTTCTAGTCTTATAATTTATTATAATTTATTACTAGTTTTTATATATATTATATCTATAGCTAATTTAAGTATTAACATATAATAAATTAGGTAATATTTAATATTTAAAGGTAGATCTAGTTTATATTAATCTTCCCCTATCTTTTATTTAATCTTAATTAGTCTTAAGTACTTATAATTTAGTTTATAATTTAATTAATTTGTTTTAATGTTTTTAATAAATAAGTAAATTATATCTCCTTTTATAAAGGTTAGTTCTTTTAACCTTTTAGGGTTAACGTATACGATAAGCGAACCAGACAAACAAGCGAACCGGACAGCACACTGTGCGGCTAAAAATAGCCTACCCTATAGCATTTCACCACTAAAATAAAATAGCTAAAAATCCAGTAAAAATAATTTTAAATACAATATAGCTATTTATACTTAAAATCATTTTTATAGATTTTTAACTATTTTATCTTCTATATAAAACTTCATTTATACAGTGTAAATTACAGTATTAACATATTTTATAATAAAACTATATAAAATAAAATAGCTAAAATTCCTAGAAAATTATAATATAAAGATATTTTAGTTAAATAGCTTATCCCTTATTTTTAGCTATTTTAGGCTTAATTTGAATTTTTAAGAATTATTTAAATAATAGCCTTTAAGGTAAGAAGTAAGGTGTCCGGTTTGCTTGTCTGTCCGGTCCGCTTATCGTGTACGTTATAGTATTTTTATATTCTTTTTCTAATAAATTCTAGCTTAGTTTTAAGTTTATTATATATTTCTCTTAGCTTATTACTTATAATAATTACTACTAGGTTTATATTCTTAAGTTCTTAAGTATTATAATATATATTAAATATAAATCTAATATTTATATTAAATAATATAAGTTTTATACTTTTATTATAGGCAGTATTATAAGCTAGCTAAGCGCTTAGTAGCTTCTTAACCTAATTATCTTATTTATAATTAATATAATACTAAAAGTATTATTTTAGTATTTAATTTATTTAATTTATTTATTTTATTTATTTTATTTAGCTATTTGCCTGCAGTCTAAAGGCTATTATAAGTTAGTAATTAACTCCTATAAGTATTATAAATAATTACTAGAATTTAGAGGTAAATATTAGTCTTCTATCTAATAGGATTTTTCTTAGCAGTCCTTATTCCCTTATTACCTTATTATAGAAAATATAGGCCATAACTCCTATATCTATTACCTCTTTATAAGGTAAGTAAATTAAGAACTTTATTAGTTTATTTATAATAATTATAATATTATTATAAAAGATTCTAGTTAAAGGATCTTTTAATAGTAGTAATTTAGTTATAAAGTCTATAGTAATTAAGCTTTATAATTACTTTATAACTTTTATTAGTTATAGTATTTTATAAGGTTTATATTATTATACTTTTATTTTAATATAAATATTATATTATTTAATAACCTTTTTTATTACTTTTTATATTATCTTATAGCCTTATTATAATAATTATTTTAAGGTTTTAATAACTCCTTAGTGTTTATATAATAGGTATATATAAAATTCTTAAATAAATTCTTATAATTCCCTTAGGATTTCTTTAATTACTTCTGCTTATATCTATCCTAATATTACTATCTTCTAAGTAAATTAATATTCTCCCTTATTATTCCTTTTTAATACTTATTTTTTTACTTTAATAATACTAATATTATAGTTTAGTTATTAGCTAATTATATTTACTTTATTATTTTCTAATTCCTTTTAGTAAATAATTATAAAGTTAAATTTATATAAGAATTTTATATAATATAATTATTATTTATTAAGTTTATAAGTTATAATAAAGTATAAAATATTCTAATAATTAATATAAACCTTAACCTTATACTTACTTCTTATTAAATAATATTTAAACTCTTTAAAGTAATTAACTATTATTAGAAATTCTTTATTATAAATTAAGTAATTAAGCTCTGCTTTATGCAATTTATATAAATAAAAAGTAATAGGATATAGCTTTCTTTCCTTATCTCTTTAATTAATTTATCTTCTTAATATAAAGTCTAATATATTTATTTCTAGCTTAATTTCTTTTTTAAGATTAAATATTACTAAGACTAGTTTACTAAGGATTACTTCTTTAAGTTATTTAAATACTTCTTAAGCCTTATTATTTTAGTTAAAGGATTTTCTCTTTTTAATTAGTTTTATTAATAAAATTATAATCTTATTAAATCCTTTAATAAACCTTTAGTAGTAGTTAATAAAGCCTAAAAAGGCTTATATTTCTTTAATATTAATAAATACTTTTTATTTTACTATTATTAAGATTTTCTTCTTTTTTATTTAGATTTCTTTAGGTATAATAATATATCTTAAAAAGTTTACCTTTATAATATAAAAGTAACTCTTTTCTAATTTAACTAATAGCTTAGTATCTTATAATACTTTTAAGACCTTATAAATATATTTTTTATATTTTTTTTTATTATTTAAGAAAATTAAGATATTATTAAAGTAATATATTATAAAGATATTAAGGTATTATTAAAGTATATTATTAATTATTTATTAAAATATTATAAGTATATTAATAAGACTAAAAGGTATTATTAAGTATTTAAATAGTTTAAATTTAGTTTTAAATACTATTTTCTATTTATCTCCTTTCTTAATATAAATAAGGTTATATACTCCCTTAAGGTCTAAAGTTATAAAGATCTTTTTATTTTATAATTAATTCTTAAGTTTTATTATAAGTAAAAGTAGGGTTTAATTCTTAGTAATATATATATTAACTAGTTAATAGTTTATAACTAGTTAATCTTTTATATTTTTCTTTAATATAAAGAATATTACTAATATTACTAATAAACTTAATTCTTTAATATAATCCTTCTTTAATATCTTATTAATATATTCTTACTAAACTTATAGTTTTTTTTAATTAAGTAAATATAGCTTTTAGAATAGTAGTTTTTATTTATAAAATTAATCTTATAATCTTACTTACTGTATTTAAGGACTTTTATTTTTAATTCCTTTTTAAATAGTTTATTATATATTTAGTATTCTTTTAGAATATTTTTAAGTTAGTCTTAGCTTATTATAATTAATTTATTCTTTTATAAGTCTTATTATTAGAGGATACTTAAGATTTTTATTTTTTATTTTTAGCCTATCTTATACTTATATTATACTCCTTTTAAAGGTAGTAAAGTCTTTACTTTATACTAGTTTATACTAATCCTCTTAATTATAAATTAAGATCTCTTATTACTTATTATAATTATTTTATTATTACTATTAGGGTTATTAGGAAATATAACTTAGCCAGTCTTTTAGTTAATATATAAGTTTTATT